TAACTTCCACGGTTCGACCATATAAAACTGGATCTGTAACAGTTCACTTAACAGTGAGCGCTTTGGAATAATGGTTGTAAGCGCCGGTCGCCAACAACGCGAGGCGTAAGGGCCCTGTAATTCGTAGATGCATCGCAAAATTATGCGACCGTAGGCCTTAGGATCCAGGCATCCTTAGGTCCAGTCTAGGCCTCTAGCGAGACCCGCGCACAACGGCGTAAAATCGCGAGACCTGTCCAGTCACCAGTGTCGGCTTTCAACCCCAGCCCTAATTATGGACCTCAAAGAACGGCTTGAGTCGCGATATCCTAGGGATGGTAAAATGTCGTCACAAAACAGACTGTGACCGACACAGCGAAATGTCAATGTTTTTTATGACGGTCAGAGACGACATACACGTGACTAAAAGTGGATTAAAGCTGACCAATCAAAATGCGCTAAACCAAGCCATCAGCCTTTCATTTTAGGGCTAGTGCGAGTATATGCCGCGGGAGCTAGACCCCTTTTGGTATGCCAAGCGCCGATCTGACGACCTTGTTTTGCTGTGACCGTCACAGTGGTCATTTTGGTGGTCACAGACGGTCAGACATATGTCGACTACCACCCCTACGATATCCGTATTATATCAGTTGCAAACTTGCATTGCCTCTACTCCGTACGTTCTCCGTATAATATGTAGTGTAGGTTGCTGTCAAGACATTTCACCTCGATAAGCAAAACCGTGCCTCGGCTGTTGGCCATAATCTGAAGCTGTTCACCTGGACAGAGGCACGTTGTTAACGGAAACGCTCTGCTAGACAGTGGGCATGCCGCGGGAGAACTCGGGTCGAAACTTCATCGGGATCGGTCGAGATCCTTTATCCTTCTAAGTGGTGTTATCAGTTGAAATATCGGTGACTCGAGGACTCGGCATGGGATTTGGGCAGCATCCCGTATTCTCGTTGTATAGATGGAAGCGGTCAAGAATCAACTCCAACTCCAAAGAAGACAACTGATTCTTTGTATCTCCCAACGTGCCCTAGGCCTCACCGACATCAGAGTCCAAGGGCTTTGCCAACAATCCAACATCGAGAAATTCTAGACGGGTCCCACTCCGAAGACGACGTGACAGTGGAACCCAAAGGCGCGTCGCGGTTCCTTGGCCCTTTACCGTCGCTGTGGAAATAATAGCTGCGGATGGCTTCATCCGCGACAAAGGGGGAGCCAAGACGGTTTGTTAGTGTTTGGGCTTGGAACTGCCGATGTTCGTTAGTGCTCGGGGAAGCTGTTCCTGAATCCTGCAACGGTATGCGGTGGAGACCAAGCTTCGAAATAAAGAGCGAAGAACGGAATGAAACCACGAATCATTCTCTTCATCCAGGCCATTGGAATCCAAGGACCTTGGGAATGATCGTCTGTTTGAGGATCATAAATAACGAACGGCCAAGTAAGGACCACGACGGATTGCTGCAGAGTGCAGACCACAAACTTGGACAGAGATATGAGCCTTCATCCCTGTCTGGACTATTGAGGCTTAATGAACCTTTCAAGCAAGACATTGCGTTCGCGAGACCCATCGAATCACAGAAGACACACAGCGATATTGTCCCAGAAGAAGAGGAAATGATCGGTCATGGACAAAATTTGTGCACATCGTACCTTTGTTTATCATATCTTCGCGAAGCACGGAGATTTTCGCACTATTGTCCGCTTCTTCCCCGTGCGCCGATCTATCGGACTTATACATGGAGGTTTGGCTGCACGCCATTTCAATAATAATGGCCTGGCAATCGATTGAGTTAATGGCGTATCCCTTTCTCAAATACTCGAGCTCTTTCATCCTCGCGGTGTCGCTGCCGGAGAGACTTGTTATCTTGAATCTCGACGTGATATTGAAAGTGGCTGGACCGGACCGCTGCAGAGTCGGAAAATAGATCGACAAACAAGATCCCAATCACGGTTAATCTGGGTTCGATTTCCAGAGGCTGGACCTGTAAGGCCAATTCACCGCTTTGATGCTCAATCAAAGCTGGAGGCAGATTCAAGCGGTCAGTTATGATGCAGGGTCAAAATCCTGGAAGCAGCAGCATGTCCTATACTGATGATCCGCCTTGGAGTATGCGGACGACGGACACTCTACTGTAAGGGCTGAGAGCGTGAGACGCGCACAAGCAAAAGCCCCGTATGCAGTCAAAGCGAGGTAGTTTCCGGAGTAACCCTCGCTGATCGGAAAGAGTGGGTTCGATGCCATATTGAAGGTGGGTTCACCCCCACCATGGAGCTTAGTCCGTAGTACTTTAAAGAGTTGCTCTCTAGAGCACTCCAAAGTTTATTCGTCTATCGACCAAGAGTACTCCGTATTGGAATCGATAATAGGCTGGTGATAAATTGACAAGTCATGCCGTCATACGGGTATACTCTGTATATCCTGGAAGAGGGGCAGGACGTGACAACTTGCGGGAGCATCGTCATCGTCATCTGACCTCAGTTGAGATGTTGGTGGGCCTGAGAATGGGCCCGGAAGGAAAGCGCGTCTCCGAGCTGAGGCCGCAGCCACAGTCCTCGGTGGTCTAACCCCGTCTGGTAACCAGAGGGTGCACAGAGTGTGGCTTAAGTTTCAACACGTATGTATACAGGGATCATCCAGGTAATGTAGGATATTTTTATGCGCCCAATCAACTCTAGTCTCTGGAAAGAATGCACCGTCAAGGGCACAGAGCTGGCGTCGCGATAAATCCAAGGCGCAAACTGCAGAATCTGTGGCGTGGTGGTTCGTCTCTTGCAGCTTGCTGTGCCTCTGCAGCCTACCGGGAAATGGTGATCTAAGGGTTTCTCATCCAGTCAACCGGCAGGCTGATGTTCCTTGTCTCGGTCAGCCACAATTGCGTGGGCGTGAGATTCGAGATCGAAAACGTCAGTCCGGGACGGAGTACACGAAGTATCGCGGCCCCAATTCACGGTGGCGGTGGACGAGCGAAAGGACAGTTGGTCGTGGCGAATGTAGTACTATGGACTGTGTATAAACTAAAAGTCAATGATGCTGTTTCACTTTCAACAAGAAATCGAAGTGTTTTGGGATAGAGTGAGTCTGGACTCTGGAACGGCGGTTGAGCGCAGCAAGTTGACGGGGTGGTTCGGCCCACCCGCTCGGGTTCGATGTAGTCATCGGTGCATAGCGGGCCTCGGACAAAGTACTTTGGTACACACTACGGAGTACAGAGGGGTTGTGCTCGGAGGGGCTGGAGGGGTGCTGTCCAGAGAGAGTCAGACTCGTCCATGGAGGGGAAGGAGGGGTCCGGTTCTGACTCTCGTTTTCGAGAAGAAAGGGGCTGAGAAATGAACATCGATAATCAAGACGCCAAATGCACAAGATCAAGAATGAGACATCATAGGCCCATCGGTGCGGGTGGAAATGAAAGGAGCATTTACACGAATCATGTGGCATCATCCTTGTTGGTCGTTGGAGGGGCAAAGGGGTCTGTGTCTGACGAGGGGCGCAGAAATTGGAAGGGTTTCAAGCGGCGGTGCTGGGCTTGGAGTGTGGCTGCCATCCCTTTCCCCAGAATTTCTGTATATCATCGCCTTCATCTTCAGGGCGATTTAGAGTGGTGAAGCTGTCATGATGTTCTGGTTGGCGGCCCCGCAGCCGTCGTCCAGGTTTTCGCGGCGGGTGTCGTCAGATGCCCTTTCTGGATAGGCCAGCTATTATTAATATATACGCTGGAAATGTGATGTGATCCAGTTCTAGGCCTAGACAGGGATAGATAAGATTCCCTATGGAGCCCGGATATGTTTGAAAATGGAGAGCGGATTCTGAGCTTCTGATTTCAAACAGGTAACTGCCCTAATCGAAGCCATCACAGTTGCTGTATACCAAAAGAAGGAAGGGAGGGCCCCAAAGATTGACTGTGCGCATTGGATCGGACGCAGTGCCCAATAATAGGCATTGCCGGCTGCAAATTTGATGAATCTTGAATGTCAAGGGGCCAGCGCTTGCCCCAATAGTACCCATTATATCATGTTTTCTTTTCTGGCTTCCTGTTCCTGAGCAGTGAGATGCATTTCTATGACTTCTGTGGACTATGCTCCGTACTAGGCGACTGATCACTCACAAAGAGACGTGGCGGATGAGATGCGCTCGAGCCTGATGAGACCTCTGTAGACAGCTTCCTATTGAAGGAAACCTTGGCCAGGCGACGCGACTCGACCTGAAAATTGATATGTTCATCGGCAGAACCGGGTTGATGGGTTCTTGAGTGTCCATGTGGGCTGGAGTGGGCTGGCACTGCTTTGTTTTCCGTATTTTATTCGTAATCTGTAACGGAGCTGGACACGCGATCTAGCCCGATCACGCCTAGCTCCGTCACGCGGTTAGTCAGAAATGACGGGGGATGCCGCGATTGGCCGCGTGGTACAAGAGTGGGCGGTGCGTGGGCTTACAACCCCCTCCGTGCTTCCCGGCCACAGCCCCTCTCCCACCAAGACCGCCTCACTGTCACGACCCAGCGATCGCCCCGACTCTTCTGCCCACGACTGCGTGCCTGCTCGCACCCTCGCTCGCTCCCTTTCCTTTTGACCAGCCCGGCCTCCCACTCCCACTCCCACTTCTGACTTTCTCCTCATCACATTCAATATCCCCCCCTCTTTTCTTCTCTCCTCCCTCCTCTCCTCTCTTCTTCCCCTCCTCTTCCCAACCCTCTCCCTCTATTCAACACCCTTTCTCTCTTCTCTCTCTCTTTCAACATTCTGTTCTGAGTTGCCTGTCTGTCCGCCTTTCGGCCACACACTCTGTGTTTGCACCCCACGTCCGCCTGTGGCTGGACCTCCACCTAGAATAATCCCACCTCGAAGTTTCTTCGCGTCCAAGGAATGATCAGACATCAACTCGAATACCTATCGTCAGCCCGCCTTCAGAACCGGTGTGAAGCCACTAACGGGACGATACCACGCTTGTCCGCGCCGTCGTTGTCGTGCTAAGAACTCTGGTCGTCCGACTGTCGCGATACACACCATCTTGAGAAATGGCCCCTAGCGCATCAAGTACGGCGAACAACTCGCCTGCCAAAAAGACAACCGCCCCCGAGAAGAAATACAAGTGCCAGTTCTGCAACCGCGCATTCAGCCGAAGCGAGCACCGCAGCCGGCATGAGCGATCCCGTAAGTCCAGTCCCTCGGTTCTTTTTATCTTGGATCATTCTCGCTCTCAACATAGGTCACAGATTGTGCTAACTAGGTGGAATAGACACGAAGGAACGTCCTTTTAAATGCTTGAAGTGTAGGAGCACATTTGTTCGCAGAGACCTCTTGCTTCGACATGACCGAACTGTTCATGCCAAAGACGGTGGCGTCCCCCTCGTCTCTGAGGGCCGCCGCCGTGGAGGAGGGGGCGTTCGCAAGGCTTCTTCTCCAGCCCCTTCCAAGCCCTCGGTCACAATTGATCCTACAACATTGGAACAAATAGAGGCAAGCAGCGATGGTATGGTCGACCTTGAAACCGCAGCCATGTTGATGACAGATTTCCAACATAAGGCTGCAGCCGCCGTGACCGGCCAGATCCACGATCGCGCCGAGTCCGATCGCTCCTTTTCCCCCGGACGTGGTTCTCTCCTCGAACCTCCCGTTTCATATCTATCCGGCAATGCGACGTTACCGCAAATGCCTTGGGACTCGTTGGTTTCGCCCACCGATGCGAAACATCACCTTTCGCCGTTCGTATCTCAGGATGCCGCAGAATCCCACGGTCTCATGGACCGCCATGTATCTGACTCGCTGCCTCCGTCGCTGCACTCGCTGGTCAACTCCCTTCCCGTATCGGGCAACTCCACACCGAATGCTTTGTCTCCCTACCCATCGATGACCGGACCTGTCAGCCCCGTCAATTACCGCCGGTCGCCGGGACCTAGCCAGGCTTTGACGCTGCCTAAGGCGCCTCAGGTTGCTAATGACCTAGAGCGCAACCAAATTGTGGAGCGCATTCGTCTTGCCGACTCTCTGGGTGTGCTTCCCGAGTCATTCCAGCTCCCTGCGACACCCGCGCTGAACAAGTATCTGTCTACTTACTTCAACTTATACCACCACCATCTTCCATTCCTGCACCAGGAGTCGTTCAAGCCCACCACGGCCTCCACACCTCTCTTGCTTGCTGTCCTCTCCATCGGAGCTCTGTACACCTTTGAACGGCAACACGCTTTTATGCTTCACGTTGGATCCAAAATGCTTGTCAACCAGTTTCTCCAGCACAAAGACAACTTTGATTCGAGGAAGTGTCCTCTGTGGGCTATGCAGAGCACTCTGCTGAACATGATCTTTGAGAGCTGGAGCGGCGACCCGAAGGGTCTAGAATGGACTTGCTCAATCAAGAGTCTCCTTGCCAATGTGAGTCGCATCGCCTCGCTTAGTGTGAGAAAATAGCTAACAATTCATAGATGGTTGCCGGTAACCGATACCAGCTCAAGGTTCGTACGGAAGGTCGTGGAGGACGCCAGCCAAACAGGGAGGAATGGATTGAGGATGAATCTTGCCGCCGCACCTACTACGCTGTGTACATCTTCTTCGGCATGCTCACCTTGACCTTCAACCACACTCCCGCGATGAGTTTTGATGAGTTCGACAACTTGGAGTTGCCCTCGTCTGAATCTATGTGGAACCTTGATGTCAATGACGATGAGGCATGGCGCCGAAGCTTGGCCTCTTTTTCGTCGATGACCGTTCGTGAGGCCCATGACTGCCTCTTCCAAGGCGATCAAACCCGCTACAGCGCGTTCGCGACCCGTGTTCTCATCAACGCTCTGTTTCTGCAGGTCTGGAACCACAAGAGAAGCTTCGAGGCTCTTCAGGATGTTGTTACTGAGTACAAGCTCCGCCTCGCATTGGAGACCTGGGAGAACTCGCTTGAGGTTTGCGAGCCCGAAACCATTGTTGTCCCTCTCAGTACTCCTCAGAACGGTCACCCGCTCATCTTCAACTCGATGGCCGTCTATCGCAACACTCGTGCCCGCCTTGAGGTTGACCTGAAGTCCATCCAGGAAGCCCTGCGCTACCACTCTTCATACGAAGTTGCAGCTGCAATGACTGTCGCTCGCGAGAAGGTCAAGCGATCCCAAGAGATGAACAAGGTCATCCAGTCATGCTTTGAGTGCATTGAGATTGCCGCCATCCAAGGAATTAACTGGGTTGCCAAGACCTCTGCTACCAACTGGAGTGTCGAACACCCGCTTTGCGGGCTGGACCTGATGGTAATTCTCAGCCTCTGGCTTTATCGCCTGGAACATGACGAGGAGCCTGCCTCTGAGGCAGAGATGGCCATCTACAACAAGGTCCGGAATCTGTTCGACGACGATGCCGTCGACTCATGTGGTAAACTCAGCTCCACCGTGGCCCGTGTATGGGGTAACATCCTAGACGGTGTGGTGGTTTGGGGGTAAGTAAAGTTGTTTCGAGGATCGTGAACCGTATAACTAACATACTACAGTATTACCAAGCTCATGGGCGAGTCATTTAAGCTTCACTCCCAAGCCTTGGTTGGCTACGAGGACTCGCTACGAGTTGCCAAAGACCAACCTATTCACGCTGTGCCGACAAAGTCACTTGCCAGTGTTGGCACCGCATACTAACTTACCTGCATTTGCATGAAGGGTCACAACCCTCAACCGATTTAATCCGTCACTCGTTTCAACACCTTGGGTGTCCCTACCCAGTCCTCTCATTACTGTCTGTCTTTACGCATGTTTGGGTTTGCAATCTCGGAATATTTGGTCGGGAACGGATGCAAGAAGGTAGGCGGCGAAATTTTTGTTTTCTGGGATGCTACGACCTGGACCGCCGCATAATGCTTCTTGCTGGTGTTTCCCGACTTCCTCATTGAACGTTTCTGCATATTGCTCTTATGGTTTTGCAAGAGCCCACGGGAGTCCGGTGTGATTTTCATGTTTTCGTGGGCTGTTCCTTCTTGGCAACATTCCAACACCCGGCTGGTCCTGTGTGTTCTTCTCTCGCACATGATGGAGTTTTTCTTTCAATCACCTTCTACATACTAATACGGGAGGTTTGCCATACCCTCTTGTGCGCGCCGGCTTTTTTGTCTGATTGCCAGTCGAGCTTACAACTCGACTATTGATACCTTGTCTTTTTCTTGTTACATATTTTCTTTCGCTTCCCTCTTTCCAACTTTTGAATATTCTTTGATTTCGCCTGCCATTTGGACCATGGGCCATTTTTTGTTTAATGTCTGTTTGAATCGCCTGTTACGTTAATAGCTCTTTCCTTGTTCCTTGAGTTTTACAGCAGCTTGTTGCTCGTTTATCTTTATCGGTTTGAACTGCATTGTTCTGCATGTTTATTGTTATCCTTATCATTTGGACTTTTTTCTCCTTTCTAAAGAACGTCATATCTCATTTTTTTCTTATATCTACTTAAAGTTGCACATGCTTTGCTTTGCTCGCGTTGTAGTACCCCTGTACTATAAGTAATTTGATCACAAAATGCAAGTTGGTTTGGCGGGGAATCTTGTTCGGTACCGTATCTACTCGACGGAGTAGGTCCTTTCTCAAAGGCAGTCTTGTAGGTTGTAGATTCTATGCATACGTGAACCATGGCCGTAGCTATCTAAGACTTCGACTTGATATTAGCATGGCGTAGACGTACTGTCCATTCAACTAGGCTCTACACCAGAGTAGGACAGCTTGAGCTGAGATTACCAACATTAACATTATGCATTACGGAGTACGTATAATAGGCCTATATACATGGTAGCTAATTAGATTATCACCCACACACGGGCTCAACAAACCCAACAGTCCACCTCAGCGACCCGGTGATGATCACAAAAGACCCCAATGCCACAGCTACACTCGAAACCCCATATACATACGCCTGTAACCTTTTCGCCAGCCCATTCAGTTCCGCCACCCACGTACTCACCGTCGTCGCGCACCCGCAGAACCCATCCATCACACCCTGCAGCACCTGACAACTCACTAGCGCAGAGGCACCAATGTTTCCGACATGTTGGAGATCATAGCACATGGCCAAAACGATGGTGCCAAAGATATTCACTGCGAAGGTGCCGAGCGGGAACGAGGGCATGCGCGCGTTCAGCCATAGTGAGACGTAAAAGCGGAGGAGGCATCCTAGGGGTGCGAAGACGATTGCGAAGACGGCGTCGCCGCGCCAGGCTTTATGCCCTGTTGGCGGGAAGATCGCGAGGAAGATTGTTCCTATCCAGCAGCCTAGGCCGAGGGAGGCGAAGAGGGGGTCGAGGATGCGCCGGGTTAGGCGGAAGGGGAGGGTATGTGGGATTGGGAGGTGGTTGATGCCGAGCGCGAGATGCGAGCCTGCGATTAGGGCAGCGAGACTAAGGGAGACGGTTGTTAAGAGGACTGCGACCAGGGCCATGAAGCTGTAGCCGCCGTTGCGGGAGGTTGCGGTTGCGGTTGCGAGGTCCGGGGAGACGAGGTCGTTGGAGAGGGCGAGGAAGATGTCGCGGATGAAGGAGGAGAAGGACGTAAAGGAGCCGCAGAAGCCGGTTGTCAGGCCAATGTAGAGGGGGATCGTCTTCTTGACGGCTTTGTGGCGTTTGGATTCTTCGGTTTTGTCGTTGCTGGTGTTGGGCTTGCCCCATTCCTCGCGGAAGATGTTCTTATCTTCGAGGAAGAAGCCCATGAGCAAGGATCCTCCTACATTTGCCCATAGCACGCCTGTTACGACCGGCGCGCCGGGGTAGAACGTCAGGGCTTGGAGACCGAGGCGGGCGAGGGTGCCGAAGATGGAGAAGAAGATGAGGTAGGAGAGGGTGTAGAGGGTTGTCGCGGAGGAAGAGAGCTGCTGCGATTCGGTGGACGGTCCATTTTCGGACCTAGAAACATGACGCTCTGGCGCTTGATATGCTTCCTGGTCTTCGGGCTTGTCTGCGAAGTAACCGTTAGATTGTCGCTGCGGAGCCGATTCTGTCGTCGGGGGCGGCGCTTGGGTCTCGGGGAGATGAGCCTCCACATTGTCGCTGGGACGAGGGTCATCGAAGTCCGAGGACATCGCGGGTATCCTTACGCTCGCCCAATGGCGTAGCGCTTTGCTGTCTGTTTTGTTGCCGCGAGGAGATCATGAGGGGAAGAAAATGCTTCGCCGGTTAGCCTCATGACTAAAGCCGGGCGAGTGGGTCGGAGGAGATGGAGTCATCGCCCTGCTTATCAGGTTATCAGTATCAGGGTGGCAGCGAGATAAGAGTTGGAGACAGCGGAGGAGCAAGCCCCTGGAGGTTGCAGATGAAGCCGGAGGAGGCCGCAGGGGATGCATTCTTAAGAACTGCAGGTGAGGCAGGTGACTTGGCCCTGCATTGTATCTTACCTTACCCCTCATCTTCTCAGTCAAGTCAGATCATCACCGCCAGCTCTCCCTAGATACAAGGTTCACTGCCTTATCTACTATCTCACCTATTCTTCCACTATGACGCTTCCTTCTAACGTCCACATCTCCTCTCACCCCCTTCTTCAAGCCAAGGTCTCTCAGCTGCGGTCGTCCTCAACCACGACCCGCGAGACCCGCAACTTGGTCAATGAAATCGCGACGATTCTAGGCGTGGAGGCCTTTGCTGGCTGGAATGCTGTGGGCACGGGGAAGACTGTACGAACTCGCTCCCTAACCCTAGCCAGGTACATACTGCAAGTACTAAAAGCAGTAGGATTCCACGCCCTTAGGCATCGAATATGAGACGAAGACGGTTGACCCCGCCAACATCGCGCTGGTACCAATTCTCCGTTCAGGACTGGGCATGATTGACGGTATATAACCGATTCCAGCCGCCATTCAAACAACCAGGTGTTGACAAGTATTAAGCAATAAACGATCTCCTCCCCTCCCCCGTTCCAATCTACCACCTCGGCCTCTTCCGCGACCGCTTCTCCCTCCAGCCCGTCGAATACTATAATAATCTCCCCTACAACCGTCCCGAATCATCCCCGTCTGCCGGTCCGGATCCCAACAGCGTCAACACAGCCGCTGCATCTGTAGCCGTTCTGCTCGATCCCATCATTGCAACCGGCGGCACCGCCGAGGCCGCCATCCAGCTTCTCCGCGAGTGGGGCGTGCAGCGGGTTGTCATGCTGAGTGTGCTGGGTTCCGAGGATGGTGTTAAGCGGGCGGCCGAGTGCTGGCCTGAGGGCGTGGAGGTGTGGATGGGCGCCGTCGATGGACGGTGCAACGAGCGGGGCATGATTGTGCCGGGTCTTGGGGATATTGGGGATCGGTTGTTTGTTGCGATTGGGAAGTAGTCCCAAGCTGGTTTCTGTCTGTTGATGTTTCGCTTTGATTGCATTCATAGAGAAGAAAATACATTTTCATGTTCCTGATATCATTAGAGGATCTAGATAGGGTTGATAGACCATTTCGACCTTGAAAGCGAGACCCAACCCAGCTATAATCCAACCAACCAACTCCGTATACACATCAATCCATCGGCCAGGACGAGATAGGTAAACTAGTATATACACAGCCAAAAAGCCAGTTCCCTCATACCCCATGCCATTCCTCAAGACAACCCCATGGAATTCGACATCGCCCTCGCTCTTCCACCACCTATACCACCCGCACCGTTCCTTCTACCCAAACCCTCCCCACCATTCGCACTCCCATGAGTAGCATCCGGTTTCGCGACCCCTGCCCTCCCGTTAAAGAATTCCTGATTCAGCATCTTCTCATGGATCCCACCGCGCCCATGATGCACGCCCTGCGCAATGAGGCGCTGCCGGCGCACTCGGTCTTTTTCTTCCTCGGCGCGCTCGACACCTGTCCATGTGCTTGTTCGTTAGCCTTGCTTTGTTTTCTTATCTGGGGCTTGCTACTCCGTATGTAGAGAACAAACGACTCGACTCGACCCGACTCGACTTGAAGTGGAAGTATGGCATATGGAGTATAGCGAGAGCGGAGGATAGAAAGTATAACTCACCCCTCCAAATCACAGCGTAGACCCCCATGATGACCAGCGAGGCGAGGAGGAAGCCGAACAGGATACCGAGTTCGCGGGCGATGGGGACAGACGACGAGGGGATCTCGGGCGGGATGTTATTGTACGCATTTGCGTTGGTGGAGGCGGTGGTCGACATCTTTCTGTCGTTGTTTCGATGTTTTCGATGCGGCTGATAAATAGGCGCTTTTGTTGGACGGCAGGGACAATTAGATCATTCAAAGAGAAGACGATGGTCTATCTGTAGGCATCTGAGGTATCCTGGACAGGATGATGAAAGAACTGGAATTAAATGCAGGGTATAACAATAGCAATAACTCCCCACTCAGCAAGTAAGCAAACCAAGGCTGTGCCCTGACTACTTGTGGTTGTCATGTCGCCGGGGCAGTGACTACTACTGTGACTGTCCTCGACGCTCGTACCTCGTGGTGTGACAAGCCAGCCGGGGCCATGTTTGACTGGCTGCCACATGCGAGTCCTTTGTTCCTTGGAGGATTAAGTAACCGAGCTTTGATTGGGACGCCCGGGTTTCAGGACAAAGAGGTTGGTCAAGCAGGGTTGCTTCGGTCCATGGTTCAGTGGTTGAAATTGTGAAGTCGAGTTGGGGCCGAAGTACTCTATACTTGAGATGATACACAACCTTAGCAGGGATTGGCTCCTTCGTGCGGAGACGGATGTAGGCTTCGTCATAGTTCGACAGCTGACTGGTAAACAACAATTATAATAACCTTCGACTGAAGTCTCTTTCAAGATACTCGGTATAGATCTGAAGTATTTAGATTGAAGTATATTCGTTCACTGAGCCAAACAAGTGATATCATGTACACGTACAAAAACCCAAGCAATCCTGTTCTATACATGGCATGGGATATGGTAGATAGGTAGGTCGATAGGTATAAATGCAAGCATTAGCACTGCAGGGGAAGAGGGTCTGCAGAGATAAAGAGAAAGAAATCGTAAAATCCTCCCGGTATTAGCGTCGTCGTAGATAATCGATGAAGAATGCGCGCTGTAAGCAAGACGCTCATGCAGCAAGATAATTAAAAAGGACCAAGAGAGTCCAAGCGTCCCCAGGGACGAAGAAGCGAAGAAGAAGCGACAAAAATGCATAACTCCAGATGCAGGTGCACTCCTTGGTTTGTCGTAAGAGAAGCAGAGGGAGGTATAGTTCATCAGGCTAGGCGAGGAATTACCCCAGCATCACAGCTGCCATTGTTGTGCAGGTCAGCCCAATGGCCATTCCTATCCACGGCGTCTGCCCCAATGTGCCTTCGCTCCGCTTCGTCAACTCGGTAGATGACCTCCGTGTCCGCAAAGAAAGCGCCGTCCTCCGAAGAAGAGGAATGGCTATCGTGTCTGGTTTCGTTTGGGCGTCTGCGACTTGAAGGTGGAGCATCTTTTGCGCTTCTGATTGTATCTGTGGCACGTCTTCCGGAGTTGTCTGCACGTCTGGTAGAGGTCTTGAGGAGAGACCGTTCTGTAGTGACGGGCTAGGAGCGACGGCGTACGGGATAGGGTCAGCCGCAACAAGTACAGCCGCAGGAGCGAGGCAGAGAAGAAGTGTGGAGGGCTTCATTGTGATATGGACTTGAGTGACGTGCGGAGGTTGGGTTGGCTATAAGCGTCGGGAGGATCGATAGGGGGTTGCGAATGCGATAGCTCGGCGATTATTGTCTCACTTTATGGAGGCTGCAGAGGTCTAGTCGGCGCGATCTGGGGCGGCTGAGAGATAAATAAACGAGCCGTCTGGTGGGCGGAGTCCGCAAGGGCGAGGGCCCAGGGCGAGACCGGTTGAAACGAGTGGCAGGTCAACCTCCTGAGACCACCGCTATCCAAGGCTAGAAGAGCGGATATCGAACCACTCGACGCGCCAGGACAACAACAATCACAACGCCGAATCCAGAAGCTCTAACGGTATATATTCCAAGCGCAGGATAACATGAGTTGGGATGAGGAACCCAAGCACGTTCAGCTCGTGCAAAGGAGAACGAGGGCCGCTGGAGGTGGAAAATTGGATGGAGAAGCAAAACAGCCCTGAGCAGTGAGGGCCAAAGGGGCAGGAAAAGTCCCTTGCCCGGCTCCATAGTGGGCCTGTGCCTGCAATACGCGGCTGCTCATTGGCCATCTGTCTGCCGCGACTCGCGAGGTTAGCGTGGGCCGATCGCTGTCTCGTGCAACCTTCCGAAGCTTGTCGGCCAACGAGACAGCACCGGCTCAATCTTGGCAGGGAAATTGGACCAATGGCCATGGGACGGCACAGAGCGCCCCATCTTGTGTGACGCAACAGCACCAATCAACCAGGGTTCACTATGAATATCAAGATTCAAGGCAGGTATAACGCTTATGACTTATAGTTACCAGAGCAATAAGGCTGCAGAGTAGTCGGTACTTCGTAGATGCGGATGACGACATGTATCTATCTTACTTGGATAGCCGACCCCGGCGGGGTCCTTTAACAGCTTGACGTGCATCATAGTATCTTCTCCCAGTCTGGAGTCACGGTGAACTTGCCGCTTAGCTGTCCCATAGCCCACACCTTGTGCTCGTCGTCGGGCATCTCCTCCGTCACATTCGGCGGCGTCGACACTATCAGCGCTTCTTGTAGAAAGTCAACAGCCGTTGCGCGGTCCAGTTCGAAGCTGATCCCTCCCCAGTCCATTGTCACCCGGCCCGATGCGTGCACGTTGAGCTTGCCGGCCTGCCCCGCCTTGAGCTGCCAGTCTGCTGCTGTGACAACCTTGGATTGCGTGTTTGTGGCGGTGTCCTCATCTTGGCCGTCGAGGACTTCGACATCATCTTCGCGCTTCAGAGCAGGAGTTTCCGATGCCCCGTTCTGCCCCGCGCTTTGAGGCGCAGCGGGATTGGGGATCGGCGTCGCTTCGCTGTCAAGGTTTGCTCCGTCCGCACTCGGTTCAATGAGGTTTGGTGTGATGGGAGGGAACTGCATCAGGAAGAGCTGGCCTGTGAGCTTATCGTCCTGGAGCTCTTCCTCGCCGTCTTCACCTTCTTTCTTTTCCTTATCCTGGTCGTCCGTCGTAGCCTCGGCGCCTTCTGGGGCCTCGGCACCTTCTGCGGCTTCAGTTGCTTTTGTAGGAGGCTCTTTGGTGAAAAGATCCTTGATTAGTTCAAGATCTTCTGCATGTCGATCGTATTCTTCGATATCTTCCTTGGTCCGTAGCAAACTCTTTGGGTCCTGCACTGCAGGCGCTACAGGCACGGATGGCTCCCTCGAGCCAAGCTTCCGTCGCACCTTTACCTTCGGTGCAGGTAATAGCCCGTCGTCTGTCGTAACAGGCTCCTCTGCATGTGGGACATCTGTCATTGCCTGGTCATTCTCCGTAGGCTCCTGTTTCACCTGGGGTTCGCCTTCTGTAGGCGTTTCGTCGTCATCCTGCACAAACAGTGCATCATCTTTAGCTTTCTCCTTCGCCTGCTGTCGAAGTTCAGCAGACTTGGCTGTACTGGACTCCATGTTCACGCTGACCACCCGCTCTTCATGCTCATGTCTCTCAACGCGAATCGGGCGAAGACCTGACTCCCTCGCACTTCCCAAAACCATCTTCCCCTTGCGCTTTTTCTTCTTCTCGATCATCGCATCCTCATCGTCGTCATCCGCATCGCTTTCCAAATTGATCCTGTCAATGCTGACCCGAATATCCCCGTCGCTTTCATCCGAAGAATAGCCACCACCTGGCCCTGCAGTCATTGATTTGCTCCTCCGCGACATCGACGTAGCCCTAGGATCACCACCACCGAATCTCGAACCACCGCGACCCCTTCGTCCAGCAAATCCAGAGCCCAATGGTCCAGCCGCACCAGCAAGTCCCATCGGGCCGCCCCGCCCACGGCCAGCGAATCCTGCCCGTCCCCGCGCTGCAAGATTTGCCTTTCCACGCGCAATAGCCGCGGCCTCCGCCAACCGCTCCGCATTCCGCTCGGCCTCAAGTTTCTCTATAGCCTCTCGTTCTTCCTTGCTGCGTCGACCCACCGCGCGCGGTTTATATTTCAGTGTCGGTTTCGAAGGCTCTCCGGTTCCAGATCCTGCGCTGGTGGGACCGGGCCCAGGTCCAATGCTCCCGGAGGGTGCCCGTTTCTTAAGTGATTGTAATCGTTGCACCGGTGCTCGTGTTGTATTGCCCGGCGCGGGGCTTGCGGACGTAGTAGGGGTCGCACTGGCTCCAGAGGCAGTGCCATTGTTGTTTCGTGTGGGCGCCGACGATGCACCCCGTCGGGGAGCGGCTTTGGGGGGCATCGTTCGTCGTGATTAAGGGTAAGGATGTGGAGGTAGCAGGAATGAAGATGGCAACCTAAGCCTAACAGGCCAGATAAAAGAGAAAGAAGGCAGCGTAATTGATGTAGATGTACAGTGCTGGAGTTATAGACCAATCAACAATCGATTCATTTCATGTCGGATATGTAGAGACCGAAGACTCATCGATACAATTTTGGGCGGTAAAGAAAAATTGAAGCGCCGCAGCGCGGCTAAGGCGGAAATGCGGGGCAAAAAAAGCCACACTAGGCCTAATGTGGAAGGTGCGGTCCAGGTCCACGGGTCTAGTTCTTTCCTTTCTTCAGGACATTATATTGTTGACGCTATATAGCCTTGGTGGACGAGGGGCTAGTGCCATTTGAGGTTGAGATATGTCATCACGACTGCGCATCTAGGCCGGGTGCGACAAGGGCCTGCATCGTGATAAACTCCGGTTGAACCTTGGAACTAGAATATATAATTCGATGCGAACCACAGTGATTCAACCACTAGAATAAACGTGAAGGCAATCTGTAGACGAACAGAATCAATAACAAGATACACAGCTTGAAACTAAATCACAGACAATATTGTAGGAGGCAATCAAGTCAGATTCAGCTGTATAGCAAATGAGTGGAAGTGACCAGACCAGATCGATGTCGGTACCGTGTAAATAACAAAACATTAACGCCAAAAAGACAATCCGTACACAAAGTCGATGAATCGATCAAGTCAACCCGCTCAGTTCAATCGCTAGACTATCCATGATAAACAAGACAAGCAATGTACGCAGATAGGATGTTATGTAGCAAGGTCGGTGGGTGTTCAGTCGGAGAAGGAGTGTAAGGAGCATCGGCTCACGAAGCGAGAGTAGGTAATAATAAGACAGCGGAAAGAGTTGAGTTCAGGTGTCCGACGTCGGAAGCCAAAAGCAAAACTGAAAAACACAGCTCCCAGGATTAATCAGAGATTTCTTGGGTGGTTTATATCCGGTGAGAAGTATAGCGGTTTTGCGCCCGGAAGCTATAGCAATTATCACCGGTCAACGAATTCGTCAACTTGGGGCAACGAGATGGATGTTGCCTCGAGTATATTGACAGGGAGGTGAAGTGTATAGTTTTGCATGTCTATGGTGGAAAGGACCAGCATGCGCGTATCTTAGATGCTTTTATTCGCCGCATATATCGTTTTGTTCTGCAGCCGATTTGTCAAAGGGTAAAACTTTCGAAGATGGATGGCGATCCGACGGGCATGACCAACAAGCCTAGCGCTTGCGCTTCTTAGACTTGTCCATCGTCGTAGCGGTGATGGGAATGGCGGCGATGGAGGATGGCGCCTCGCTAATAACAGAAACGGTATCGAGAGGCTTTTTGACAGGAACGCCCATATGGCGTCCATAGCGACCTTTGCGGCCGTTGCCTTCGTCCTCACTGATGCAGCCTTCAATGCCAATGCCGGCATCCTTGCATCGCCCACAAGGGCGCTGTCGGTCACAGCCCTTCTTGCTCTTGCGGCACCGCTGACAGCGCGGCTTCGTCGACAAATCCTCCTCGTCCGCGGCTAACGGATGCTGGCCGTTCGCAGACGAAGTAGAAGCCTTCCGCGGTGGAGCAGGGTTGGCCATTTGAGGCGGAGCAGCTTTGGCACCGGGCAAGGACGGTGTTGACTTGACCCCTTTGCGAGCAGCGCTGTTAGATGAGCTCTTGTTTACGCCTTTGCCCGGACGAATTTGCTGTGTCTTGCCGACGCGAGGCTTCGAAGAAGCTGTGCTGATAGCTCGGATTTTAGCCTTCTTCGACTTGGACTCATGAGAGGAGTCATCGTCGGCCTCGTTCTTGACCATACCGCCCTCAAATTCTTCCTGATGATACTCATTGTCGTGGCTATCATAACTAGCATCGGAGCTGTCGAAACTGGGAAGAATATCGTCCAAGCGCTTGTGGGTGTGTTTGGCAGTACCCGGTGGAAGCATTGGGCTCGAGTCTAGCCTTTGCCCAGGGCCAGTGGGCAGATCATCATCGTCCTCACTGTAGTATTCACCGTCGCTTGTCGCACCGGTGGAAGACGCAGCGTCAGCAGCACCGCTGAACGCATCATCGAGGGTCGATGCAGAAGTGCGACCATGAGAGAAATTGGAGGCATCTCCAAGACGAATCAATTGCAACGCGACATCTTCATCAGATATGCAGCTGGCAATGGTGGGATCGGGGGTGGGAAGAATACCCGGACCACCGTTTCGGACGGTAGAGTTTGAATACTGCCCGGAAGAGTGAATGGTTGCCCGGTCGCGAAGACGGTGACCATGCTCAGGAACCATTGGTGTAGTATATATGCCATTTCGCGGAGGGTTGGTCCCATAGATGTGATCACTATGTCCATAACTTTGGGGAGAGGGCAATGGCTGCTGATAATGATTGTTCGAACGGTGCATTGGTCGCGCGAATGGCGAGCCCGCCCCTTCCTGGCCAATAGAGCGACGTTGTGGGGAGATAGAGGAGGTCGAGGTAGTGAGAGGGACTTGAGGTGGGACGAATAATGGAAGTTCCTTTAGAGAAAGAGAGAGGATTAGCAACTCTACCGGTGATGGTACTATTGAGGAAAATAGGCAAATCTCGACTCACAGAGCTGTCGAATTTCGGTCGCTTGCGACGACCGTCTTGGAGGATATTTTCCATGCTTATTTCTGAGCTGGCAAAGTGTTCACTTCGAGGTTTCTTCGCCCCAGAAACGGAGCCATAGCCATTGTCGCTGTCGCTATACCCAGCGTCGTCATAGATGCTGCCATGAGTACTAGATCCCCTACTCTTGAGTTGGGGGCGAGGCTGCTGCTTGTGCTGGGAGGCGCTACGACGGCTTCTTCCAGACGGCGAGACACTGCGCTTGCGAGCTACTCGAGAAGCAGGCCTAGACGGCGATTGTCCGCGCTCAGAAGGTTGAACAGCCTGCATTGCGGAAGCCATCTGGAACGGCTCACCGAGGCTGGGGCGTTTGCGATTGTCCATGGACATGGGGCCATAATACCTATCTCCGTACCCCTCCTCATAAGCCGGAACGGGCATTACCCGTACGTAGACTGTCATATTATTCCTTAGATTCTCATATCTTGCAATGAGGGTAATGCCATGCATGTCCTCGAAGCTGACGCCGGCAGCGCCATCGTAAATCCCATAGAAGTTTTTCACTGTAGTGACGATAGAGTCCGTGGTGTCATGAGGGTAAATCTGTACCCGCATGGGAATGCGAGCTCGAGCTTTGGAGTTGTCATCGAGTAGCAACTCGAAGGCGACGTTTTTGGGAGTCGGGCTTTTGGTCGGGGAGACTTCTTGGAGGGGACGGTGGTCGGTGTAGGTAGGAGACTCCCCAGGGGAAACAAGCTGTTCATACTGGACAGCCTGCATGATGAAAATAATCCAACTGGGAGTGTTGCCACACTTCTACTACATTGATTATAGGATCAACCGGCTGTTCGTTGGGCGAGAGGACGAAGCGAAGAGAGTGGGGAGGTTCAAGGTAGAGGGAGACGGCAGCAGTAGGGTACGGGCAGAATCCATCCAAACCTACCACAATAGGAAATTTATAGGGGCCTGGTTGATAGATGGATCACCCGCGATTATTTTGACGCAATGATTGATGGCCGAAGGTGGTGGGTGGAGGGAGGGCGATGCAAGTCGCAAGAGCCGAGAGCGTCGAGAGGGAAAAATGGGACAAGAATGAGAGGTCTAGGCAAGAAGAAGCCGCCAGCGTCAGTATAAAGAGTCTCTAAAGGTCTCAATGGATACGAGGGTCTGCAAAAAAGGTACCAAACAGGATTCGAGATGCCGGCTACCATCCGTCGGATCCTGATGAGTTGTAGACGTTGCAGGTTGAGGGGGAAGAGGAAGAAACGATCCGAAACGCTCGGAAGACGATGGAGAGCACGAGGGACACACCTATTTCTGATCCAAAGGTCTCCTCCAGAGTCGCAGACGGTTAGTAGATGCAGCAAAGCCGTGAGGAGGCGGTCGATGGCAGTGGGCGAGGCAGTTCGATGGTGGAGGAGAGAAGGTGAGTCGAATCTACGCAGCGCTTGTTGGGCGATGTCAGTCAGCGGTGGCAGACCCCAAGCGAGCCAGGAGAACAGCGAAACACCAGAGCAGCCAAAGACAGAGACGGGGGATTTGCAGGTTCCAGAGAATGTAGACTAACCACGCAGCGAAGACGGCGAGTCGCAGGAGCGGGCAGAGTCGAACGGATGATGGTGAGGATGTTGGGTTGACGAGGAAGAATGGAGAGCGATGATCCGGTTTCACCTCCAAGCGAGAGCATCACTTGAGCTGTCCGGCCTGACAACCCTCAATTGCCCTCGACAACACCCATTCTCGATACTCCTAGGAGCTTCAAATCTGGATTGTTTCTTTAGAGTTATCTTCTACACCCGTTTGGACGATTTGCGCTGCATTCTCTGATGTCGCAAACTGCTGGTTTGCGATACCTCCGGCTCGATATTGCATAGCCAACCAATGACAGAAATAGAAAACCAGAGCCTTTTGAATGTGAAATAAAGTACATAGAATAGATCGCCAGTATCTTCTCTGCTATATAAATTGTCTACGTCCTTATTATCGAACCCTATGGCTGTAATTAGGGGTGTGTGAAATGCGACAGCCGCTCGATTTCAGCGCTGGAATACCTCCTCCGGCTAACTGTTTCTGTGCATTTTTATAGATCAAATGGCTCTCATTTGATTGTGTCTCCTTTTCGCAAGAGTCTGGCCGGGTTAGAACAAAATCCGCAAGATGGGTCGAGCGCTGGGCAGGACAGCTTGAGGAGTGTCTCAAGCGCAGCCACGTCGAAAGATCGCAGGTCATATTGGCCAACGACTGGCGGAGAGTCCTCAGAATTGTTTCTACTAGCAACATTTCAATCGCAGATAATGCAACATTGGTTTGCGCTTTTGCGCGTGCGGAAACAAGGACGATTTAAGAGTACAAGCTATCAACCATTCATCATGAACAAGCGGCACGAGATAGGTACTCGGTAGACGATGGATGGTGCTGGCGCTGACAACCCACAGGCAAGTCCAGCGCCTTTGTCATTGTCAGAAAAGACCGACTGTCTAGCTGCTATCTAAGCTTTGAATGCTGACAATTTTTCATATGCCTGACTAGATACTAGAAAGCCGATCGATGAGCTGAGAGCCTGAGACTGATGGGGAATGGCTGAGACCCTGGCGCAAATCGGCCTTGTAGGTACTGCAACAGCCAACTGGGTGATTTACGACTCAACATTGACTGGACGAAACGGAAAGAAACGAGCGGCGAACGCATTATCCGTGTGAGCTCTGATGAATTGGCCAGAGAGCCACCGACCAAGTGGGTGGCCGCACCCAATTGCTGCGTCTTTTCGTGATCTGCGCCTGTCCAGACTCCCTCACGAGTCACTCATGCCGCTTACCCCTCTCTGGCTCACGAAATAATGGAGATGCCAGGCCGGTCTACGTAGGGATTTCCCTTTGAATTTCGGGCAGAGGAGATCCAGTAACTTCATGCGCGGGGAGTTATCGCAGGAGCTATGATCGATTGATTTGCCCTTCTTCATTACCAACCCTGCAGGACCGTGCGACGTCGCCTCTTCCCAGAAGGTCCCCGCTATAAGAATGCTTGTCGCATTCTAGTATTGATTATTATATCATGAGAGACGCGCGATTGCTGGTTGCTGGAGTGCTAAGGAAAGGGCATAATCAGCTGGGACTGGTTGATGGAGGGCCGTTGGCTAAGTGGGGGAAGTTGGAGGATGCGCATCTGCCAGTGATCCCGGCCATCGCATCTATATTATATGTATCATATGTAATCCGACTTGATACCAAGTCGGAGCATGCAAATAACTTGCCATTTGCCTAGAATTCTTCTTCTTCTGGTCCAGACAGAAGGGCCGGAAGAAAAAGCAAAGAGAAAGAATGCAAACGGCCGGCATCTCTTTGAGGTTCTTTCGGAGTGAGGCGGGGCTTTTTTTTGTCAAGTAGCCAACGGTGAAGTTTCAACCAGCGCATTTCGAGAGATTACTAGTTGAACTGTACACCGAAAGTTGGGTGGCAGACCTGACAGCTGTGCTTCAAGTCGTCGCAAAACAGCGGCGCATGATAGCAACAATGGTGCCATGTCTCGCTTCACCTTCCCCTGACCGAGGCGCAATTACTTCTGCATACGGCATCCAGCGATGGCTAATGGTGGTCACCGTCGGTCATCTGAAATGCGACGAAAGCCTCCGGAACCCGCAGGTTGATGATGATAGGTACCGCCGGATCCGCGTCCCACATTGGGGGATCTTGTGGCTTTTTTGGCGGCGCTGGCAATCATCCGGGTGCAAACGGAGTTACGCTCTCACAGAAGCTCAGATGAAGAACTCAGTCCTCATCTAAACCATCTCCTGTTGCAGGAGGCATCCAGCTATATTTCTGCGCCAGGGCATGGCAAAGCTCACCGCAAGGGTTTCTCGCTAGACAGCGATCATTTCCCCAGCACCTCAAAACAATTGGTGGTTCATAATGGCGAGGCTTCGTTGCTAAACTTTGATCCTGCGGCCTAACCTCCGCAATTTTGAACTTGTAGCGTCTGGAATCGACGAGTTGACTCTCCGAGCGACCAGGACAAAGGCGGGATTTTCTGCACGTGACTTCGCGTTTAATGGGTTGCGGCACCGTGTCTGCCGTCGCGTGTCGAGAGATTGAGAGTTGGCGAGCGAGGACGCACCCCAGGAAAAAGAACGATTGAATTCATGGCGGCTTATATGGTCGCTAGCAATGCATGAACTGCTCAGAAATTTATTGACCAAATTCTGCGTGGCTGGCGGACTATTCCTCGAGGTGGACTTATCTACCTTGCAGCGGGGTGACGCGACGCCAAAGGAGGTCCTAATGCGTCACGTGACTGATGATGTCATTACCTTAATCTACTCCTACAACCTGGCGGTTGGTTAAGTTCACTATCGCAGTTATGGCAAAGGATACTTTACCACGGTGCTAATCCTACAGATTATGGCTCCCACTCGATACATGGATACGACAGCGGAAATAACTCGCGTAAAGTGATTCGGTAGCCAAGATAGTTAAGGGTAGGTAGGCTTATGGGGCAGCAACCGCTAGTTTTGCGCCGTGTACAGCTGCCCGGGGGACAGGGCTCGTAGCAACAGTCAATGGCTAACTAGTAACAAAGCATAAGTGAAATCAGTTCCTATGGGTAGATAAAATAAGAGACCAAGTCCATGAAGCTATTCCGGCCGGTCACGGTTCTTCAGCTGGGCGACGCTAGCCGGAAGAGGAATGGTCGCCCGGGCAAGGAGGTTAGGTAAGTACGACTCCGTCACCCCCGTAACTCTGTTTACATTTTTCGAGCCCACTCCAGACGTGAGGGCGCTTTATTTTCTTCTCCTCGCTGCTAGGCCTCATGGAGCTGTACTCCTTCTTCCTTCCCCATTAATATTCTTTTTCCCGCGCGTGGTGAAAGCACTCTTCTCCTTTGACCAGGTCCAACTGCGTCTCTTGGACTTGGCGCGGCTTTGTTTGTTTGGGGTGGCCGTTGAAGTAGTATCAGCTCCTCTTCAAGTTTGCTGCTCACCAACTCCACTCACGTTCGGAGCCAGAAAGGAAACAATCGCCTGGCGTGCCTTTAGCATATTTACCCACGACTTGGTAAAGGCTCCAGAATCCTTGACCTGCTTCACAATGGACGCGAAGGTATGCTTTCCCCCACTCATTGTTGCCCTGCCCTGCCGTCTCAAAGGGTCACGACATGGCACGCGCAGCTTGTATCTTCCATGTCCCACTGCCCTTGGGGATCTGCGTACTGCGGATGCTTGATACTGACGATTTGTCTTGTTGTAGCCCCAACGCATCCGTGTCCGTGGTGACGAGAATGCTCCCTTCCCGCTCGCCGCGAACAAGACGCTTCATCAGCGAACGAAGTCCACTACCGCGTTGTCCTCGGCTTTTCAGAATGGTGCCATCAAGAACGGAGCTCGCAGAGCCGCCTTTGGAGACGTCAGCAATACCTCCAACCCAGTCCATGGCAACCGAGACGATGCCTCCCTTGTTGGCAAGAAACCAGCTAAAGTGCTCGAGAAGGCGTCATTGGTTACGGAGAAGAAATCGGCCGTTCTTTCACAGCCTGCTCAACGTCCAGTTTCCATGTCCGGCTTCAAGGGTCTGTTGAATAATGTGACCAATCTCAAGCCCCTTGAAATTACGAAGCAAGCAGCTGGACACCAGCAGAGCACGAATGCCCGCAAAACCCTCAACAAGCGCGCCGCCGTTTTTAAGGACCAACTAGAGCCAGTGACGGAGAACAAAGAAACTGCATCCAAGGAATCAAACCTCGAACTGAAGGAAGGCAACAAGAAGAGCTATGCTAAACAAGGCCCTGCGGAACCTCTGCGGAAGGACGACGAGGCGGAGGAGACTGCTTATTCGGATGAAATCTCGGAGGGCGAGCTGGCCAAGCTCGAGGCCTCGTTGGCTCCGCCTGAAGTCGATGAAGACGAGAAAGAATCCACAGAGCTTGACGATGACAACTGCAAAGTGCAAACCTTGTTGAAGCAAACCGGCGAGCTTCGCGAAGCCCATGTAACAACGGACTCAAATGCTGCCAATATTGGCTCCAAGGTTACACGCAAATCTACCACGGCCTCTCGTCCTTCACAGGAATCCTTACCTCACCAGTCGGAACCTGAAGAGTACTGGGACGATGAGGACGAAGATAATGAGGAAGATGATGGCTATGTCACTGCACGTTCCTATCGCTCCCGTGGCGATACTACAACCGGTGGAGCGACCACGCTACTGTTCCCCAGATTTAACCAGCATGTCAAACGGGAGCTGGCTCTCGCAAAACAGGTTGTCGAGGCTACTCGCACCGTCGAAGACATTGAAGACGACTATTGTGACACAAGCATGGTAGCTGAGTACAGTGAGGAGATCTTCGAGTACATGAGGGAACAAGAGGTATATACCCACACCTTCCACCACCAAAAGAACTTAGCTGACAATCGATTTATAGATTAAGATGCTGCCAAATGCTCACTACATGGACAACCAGGCTGAGATTCAATGGTCTATGCGGTCTGTTCTCATGGACTGGCTGGTGCAGGTCCATCATCGGTTCTCACTGCTCCCTGAAACTCTTTTCCTATGCGTCAACTACATTGACCGCTTCCTCTCCTGTAAGATCGTCTCGCTTGGAAAGCTGCAGCTCGTAGGTGCGACTGCCATCTTCATCGCTGCCAAATATGAAGAGATCAACTGCCCGTCTGTTCAAGAGATTGTCTACATGGTTGACGGTGGCTACACGGTCGATGAGATACTCAAGGCTGAACGGTTCATGCTGAGCATGCTTCAGTTCGAATTGGGGTACCCTGGCCCTATGAGCTTCCTGCGCAGAATCAGTAAAGCCGACGATTATGATCTTGAGACTCGCACTCTTGCGAAGTACTTCTTGGAGATTACTATCATGGACGAGCGATTCGTTGGTAGCCCCGCCAGTTTCCTTGCTGCTGGGGCTCATTGCCTGGCGAGGCTGATGCTGGGGAAGGGCACATGGGTATGTTCCCTCGAATATATTCTAAAATACCTTGCTGACAATCCATTAGTCCCCTGCCCACGTGCATTATGCTGGATATACTTACTCTCAGCTTCACCCGCTCGTCTCGCTGATCATGGAATGCTGTGAGATGCCCGGCAAACACCATGCGGCCATTTATGACAAGTACCTGGACAAGCGGTTCAGGAAAGCTTCCCTATACGTCGCACAAACGATTAAGAGATTTCGCCTTTCGGAGCCCACCATCGACCGCAAAACGACACTGGAATCTGGACACTGGAAGCGGGCGTAATCGCCAATGAGTGCCGATGTTTCAGCTGGCCAAGACTTATTTCTTTTGTTACTCTGTCCCCTCTTGTCGACTAAACCTTGCTTCGGCAAGCTCATCGACTTGTATTTCCTTTGTTGCAACAGAATAACTATCTTCAAAAGGGCCGGGATGCTGCGGTGAGCCTCAATAAGCTCGTTGGTCTTGCAGTGGCCCAACCTTTATCTGGGATATGCGATAAGGACGCTGGACGCCATGAGCATGTTTATTCTCTTCGTCCGAGAATATCAACACTCCCAAAGCGCAATACGACCTAACCAAACGGGCCTTGGTCCAACGTTTTCCCTCTATTTCACATTCTACGCCTTTGATGATCGATCATTCCTCTCATGACTTTTACGCATTTGGTATTTAGACGGGCGGTGGTAATAACGAAAGGACATGAGCGGGTGGAGTTTTTCCTTTTATTTCTGTCATCGTTTTTATGGGTCATGATACCAAGGCTATGGTAGTTGGAGCAGATTCGGAACGTGACCGTTCTCGTCCGCTACGACTTCACGCTGCTGCTCATGATGCTCTCCATCTCATGATAACGGTCTGAGCCGATCCTCGACATCATGTTCCTTTATTTCCTATGTTCATTTTGGGATTCGGTTCGTTCTCCCTTTCAACTATCATCTCGCATTGATTATTGCTCAGGATTATGGAGCCAAGTAATGATATTGGATTTTATATTCTCCCAACGCAAACAATCGCTTAAGGAGCATGGTTGCATACATGCTTTTCAGTTTCTGTCATTTCCGTCTGTAGGCCCGCTGTAGCCTCAATACCAAGGGCGCGGTACTCTATTCTAGGATACATCACTCTGTAAGTCTAGATCTATACAATCAAGGCGGAAGAAGCCACGGCAAACCAAATCCAACTTTTGGAAGCCAAAAAACCGGCGCGCAGAATCTACTGATCCAACCCATTAAACTCAATCAACTTTTTCACCACATTGATAACTTGGGTTGCGATTCTATCTTTACCGGACGTAGCAGACGAAGACGACGATATCGACTGTAAGAACGAACCGGGATTATCGATCCTCGTCGCAATTATCTCATCGACCATTGTGCGGAGCCGCGAAACCAGGACACCGATTCGCGCCCACCCGCGGAGACGTAGCCAGCCGTCGACGATCAGGCCGCGACCTGTTGTATCGAGGTCGATGGAGCCGCAAAACAGGAGGAGGGAGTAGGCGTTGAATGCTATTTACGCACAGAGTCAGTTTCTGATCTTTCTTGAGAAGGGGATACGCTGGCCAGAATGAGACGGGTATGCTTACGGGTCAAGTCACGGATGAAGACCTTGGAGGTCTCCATTTTCGTAAAGTAGCTCAGATACGCGGCTGCGTTGGGGAAGGACTGAGCGGAGAAAAGCAGGGAGGAGGGGTGTATGAAGACTCGGCCGTTCTCCTGGTTGAAGTATTTGATTGTGCGAGCATCTGGGTCGACTTCGAACGTGCCCGTTATTGAGCTAGCGAATTTCTTATCCGGGAACGCGATGCGTGCAATCTGGGGTTGGAAGGCGCCGGCGACGAGGGCGCGGAGCAGGCTGCGGTTGGAGGCGTTGCTGTTGAGACGTGAGAAGGAGGGAGAGGATTCGGAGTAATCGACAGGGATTATGGCGGCGTCTTTGAGCGAGGTGAGAAATTGAGCTCTGTTGGAGGAGATGTCACGGAGGGTTTGGTGGGAGAGGAAGTTGGTTGTGCACCATGATTGCGTGCCCCAGTAGCCCTGGGTTTTGACAAGATCTGACCAGGCCTGGTAAGCGGATAGATCTGTGAGGAGGTCGCCGTCCCCTTTGGAGAAGGCAGCCCTGGCGGCGTTTGCTTCTTCGCGACGCTCGCGCGGGGAAACGAAGGGAGATTTTACGGTTAGAATGGCGGCGATCGTGATTGCGGCGTCGATGCAATTGAAGATGGAACCGTAGACCATCAGCTTGGCGCAGCGAAGGTCAGCGGGGATCATGGAGAGGTATCGGCCTAGGGCGGTTAATTTGTCGTGATCGAGGGCTCCGACGCGGTGGAGAAAGTTGAGGGCTCCTTCGACAGCAATGCTTTCGGGGGGCGTGATGGTGTTGGCGAGGAAGGAGGCGACGTCGTCGATACCCTGCATCGAACGAACAGACAAGCATAGCTGCTCTAGCGGGACGCGGCGGATTTCTGGATCTGGTCGCTGTGGCATACTTGATTCTGCTTTGCGCGTGTAGAGCTTGTAGCATGTACCAGCCCTAACTCGCCCGGCTCTACCACGACGTTGCTTACACGCTGCCTGGGATGCCCATACTTCCTCGAGGCGAACCATGTTGTCTTTAGGGTCGTAGCTGGTTTCTTTCACACGGCCAGTGTCGATGACGGCCACGATATCCTCGATCGTGATTGATGTTTCGGCCACATTGGTGGCCGCAATGACTTTTCGCTTACCTTTAGGAGGACTTTGGAAAACACGTCGCTGCTCAGCTGGGAGAAGAGACGCATGTAAGGGTAGTGGATGTGCGTTAGGGATCCTCTTCACAGCATTCAAACATCTATCGATTTCCATTGTTCCCGGTAAGAAGATCAATATGCCGCCTGGCTGATCTCCTAGTTGGGAGTCGATATATCGAACGGTAGCTGCGATCAGTTCGTAATTGATGCCCATTCCAATAGAACGGAGGATTTTGCCGAATGACTCCTCCCCTGCATTATCGTCTTCGAAGCCTCGCTCAGTGAGTTCCGGCGCGAAGCCCGTCTCGCGAACAACATCATCCAGGTAATAATCGTCCACAGGGAAAGTTCGTCCGGGAATATGTACCAAGCCTACCGACTTAGGCCCGCCGAAGTATTGTGTAAAAATGTCTGCGTCAAGGGTGGCACTCATCAGAATAACCTTGATATCCTTCCGATGACGAAGAACATCCCTTAAAAGCGCCAATAAGAAGTCCGTGTCGAGACTGCGTTCGTGGACTTCATCGACAACGACATGGGTAACATCGGCAAGAGAGCTTGCGATGTTGCCCGAGCCGCTACCTGACTGAATTCTACGAAGCAACACACCGGTTGTGACGAATGTGATCTTCGTAGTCCCAGCCTTAGCCTTCGATTCGCCCCTGATGATATAGCCGACCTCGTCGCCGACAGGTGAGCATCGTTCGTCACTGACCCTGTCCGCCAGACCTAATGCTGAAATCCTGCGGGGCTGAGTACAGATGATGTTTGCTGCAGACCCAAGTCCTCTTTTGATCATGTCATCAAGGACAAACTGGACTGATTGCGTACTCTTACCGCTACCTGTCTCTCCGGAGATGATGGTGACTTGGTGCGTGTTTACAGCGCGTATGATTGCTTCCTGGGTATTCCAAGCAGGAAGTGATTCCCGCGCCTGAAGCATCGCTTTTTGGGCCTTCGTAGCCTTCTTAGCTTCCCAGGCTTCTTTAAGAGCAAGACTTTTGTCAGACCCGGGTGACCAATCGACTTTCCTCACTCCCTTGTTTCGTTGGCGAGTGGGAAGTTCTAATTTTGAATCAGAAGATGCAACGGGAAGTGCTGATATTGCTGAGATATCCCGTAGTTTCCCTGGATCCTGAATGATTCGTGGTAAATGGGTTTCCAACCAGTCTATGATATTATAGATCATTTGTTCCCCGAGGAAGTTCTCCTCTGCGAACTTCACAGCCTGGCGGATGGCACTTAGTCGGATGTAAGCAGGGATCTTGTCAGCCTGAATAGATATTATCGGAACGGTTGACGGATAATGCTCCGAGGGTCTCTGGAATCGAAAGCGCATTGCCTCTCCATCAGGAGACTCACACTCTATCTCGCAGACCTTTGGCGATTTGGCCGAGTACTTCTCTCCAAAAATGGCTTCAAGCGTCTCTTGCTCTTCTGCCCAGCCATCCTCATTTTCAGATGGCACAAAGTTGCTAGATGAACTTCCATGTACAAGAGTGCGCTGAAGAGCTTCTGCTGCAGCAAGATCATCGCCCCGCTGGCTGTCCAGAGTTCGTGCACAGAGATCCGGAGGGTATCCAGCAGATGCAAGTCGTTTGAGCTTCGACTCTCTGGCGAGATCGTCGCTAACCAATGTGACGCCCACTGAATATCTTTCAGGCAGACACCAAGGCGGTAAATCATCCTCTGGAACGTATATAAGAAGCCATTCTAGCACTTCTTCCCTATCCTTGCACGCAGCACTGGCTTCCTCAACGTGGCTCCTCCGGAACCCTAGTTTCGTGAACTCTTCGATGAGACTATCTCGCTCTGACTGGGAGATCTTCACGTCATAAGGGTTCCATATCGTATGATCCTGCACAAGGGCCTCAATCTCGCGTCGCACTCGATTTCCTAGGTCAACCTTCGGCGCACTGGTCCAGACGTTTCTCCCTTTAGTCTGGCCGCCGCTGGGCCCTAGCCCCAGATTGACCGCGCCGTCGGACGACTTCGCCTGTGCCGCTTCATGCTCCTTTTGTTTCTTTTGAAGGTCCGCCGCTGCGAGTTCTCGCTCCTTCTTAGCCAGGAAAGGGTCCGCCTCATACAACCAGGCGAGGTCTTTCTTCAATTCTGCCACCTTCAACTTCTCAAAGTCGTCTTTCCAAAGCTTTTTGTAGTCCGGCGGAAGCATCATATGTAGGTTAGTCTTATTACACACATGGAAGAGGGCGTAAGTTGCGGCATAGTGACGAGCTTCCAGCGCAGTAGGCTGTTTGAACCCGACTGGCAATCGTATGGGAGGAAGTGTGAGCGTTTCTTTGGTTTTAGGGTCGATGCGTCTCAATATGACAGAGGAAACAAACCCTCCGCCAACTTTATCCTATATTAGACGCGGTCGTTAGTACGGCGTAAATTCTGCGATGCGCGCATTTTGAACAACTCGCTCACCATAGTATACTCTGGCTTCTCCCATTTATGCTTTTGACAATGCTCCGACATCAGATTGACTGGCAATTTCCCCGTCCATGATGCGCCACCAATGACCTGTTTGACTGTAGGCTTCTTTTGCTCATCCGCAGGCTGCTGCGCTTTCTTTGCGCTCTCCGCCGTCCGCTCCGCGGCGGCTTTCGCCTGCTTCGTCCCAGGCTTGGGCGCGCCTCCACGGGCGTCGGACTTCTTCTTCGGCGGCATTTTGGGGCGTTGGTGTTCTTGACGAAGACGCCCGTGGAGTTCCTGGCTTTGAAGTGATCGCCAGAGTGTAGTGAAGAGATAATGGAAGTCGATCACCTACTCGAATAGGGTCCCCGCTCAGGCGGCTTTTTCTGTGCGGGCCGCGGGGAAGGAAGATCGCCTCCGCCTCCAGCTGATATACTATACCTTCTTTCTGCGTCACAAGTACAGACGGAAAACCAGCATGACAATTGTCCTAATCAAGAACGTGTCTACCTGCTCCGGCCTCGAAGCTCGAACCTGACGCACGTTTCTTGTTTAAGCCACCATGGAAGGCGGCGCGAAACCGAGTACCACGCCGCAAGCTCAGAATCAGCCTGCAAAAAGAGACGCTTGTATGTCCCTTGGACGACAATTCACTCTACGCATTATACTTAAACATCGAACTTTACTAGCTAACAATTCAAAAATAGTCGCAGAGCTTCTCTCCCCGAAAATTAAGCAGCCGAAACACAACAGCGGGAGTTCATCAAAAGACATACCAAGGAAGGCCCACGGAGGCTTCCACGCTCGAGATGGCCTAGGCGCCTACATTGCGAAACCAGAATCATATCCGTCTACCACCGTCGTGTACTATGATGATGACTTCGTCGTCATCCATGACATGTTCCCCAAGTCTACGCTGCACCTCCTCCTTCTCCCGCGCGATCCTGAGAAGACCCTTGTTCATCCCGTCCAAGCGTTCGACGACGCAAAGTTTCTGGAAAAGGTGAAGAAGGAGGTAAATAAGGTTCGTACCTTAGCAGCAAGCGAACTCCGGCGCAAGTATGGAAAGTACTCGGTGCGGGATAGAGAGCGAATAGAGGCGCTTGATGTCGAACCACCCGTGGAGACGTTGCCTGCAGGGAGAGACTGGGAGCAAGACATCATGTGCGGAATTCATGCGCATCCATCGATGAATCATTTACACGTGCATATTATCTCTGTCGACCGATACAGCGACCGCCTGAAGCACAGGAAGCATTATAATAGCTTCTCCACGCCATTCTTTATCGACATTAACGACTTTCCCCTCGCGCTCGACGATCCGCGGAGGGACCCTGACCGGCAAGGTTATCTCAGGAGAAACTTCATATGTTGGCGCTGTCACCGGGATTTCGGAAATCAGTTCGCTGCACTGAAGAAGCATCTCGAGGAGGAATTTGACGAATGGAAGCGACTGTGAGTGAACAGAAGAAACGGAGCCACGAGTTTTTAGGACCACTGTAAATGATATTCTTTACTATACTGAGCACCAAATACCAAACCAGGACTCCACTTGTGCATGCCCGCATCGTGAGTATAGAACAACCTTTTTGTAGACCAAATGAAGCTGTCCAATAAATCAAAGCTCCAAGGGGCTAACAAGTCAATAGTTATAGATATACATGCGGGTGATCCAATGTATAACGAGACCTTAGCAGATTACATTCTCAGTAATCACGCGCACGGGCTCGCTAACATAAGATCGGACTCAAGAAGAAAAGTATCGTGCCAAACGCGGACGACATTATAGAGTAAGCTGTCCGCTCAGAGTTCGACTCAGAAAAACTCGGCTCACGCAACAAGATCACAGCCGATCAGTTTATGCGCGAGACTTGGACCGGGAGGAGCCCTTGACCTTCCTGGCTTCAGGGCGGTTGATGTGGTGAGCTGGGATCCAGTCGGCGTTGTAGGTGGTTGCGGAAGAAACAGCAGGGCTGTCGACAGGAGCTTCCGCCTTCTTGGAGGCGGTGTTCTTAGTCTCGGGCTTGGCGGACTTTCTCTTCTGAGGGAAGTAGGGCGCAATCCAGACGGTGTAGAAGAAGTACACAACACCACCAAAGCAGGTTAGGAGGAAGAAGTAAAGGAAGATACTAGAAGTACGGATTAGTCTTCACTCCCTGACAACGCCATGGCGCATGGGCTTACATCTGAGGGTCAAAGATGCTAGTTTCCGGCTCAACCACGCTAACGGTACCATTGTGGGCGTAAACGGTGAAGAAGCGGCCCTCGGCGTCAGAAATGACAGAGGCGAGAGAGAGTCGGAGGTCCTGGGGGTGCATCTCGGTGGCAAAGCTGTAGCTCAGGCTCTCCTGCTCACCAGCGGGGATCTCCACGCTGTAGCGAGTCGCAGTCAGATTGCGAACCAGCTTGCTCTCCTCGTCCAGAGTAGACAGAGTACCACCAATGAAGTTCACGGTCACAGCAGACTCTTCATTGTTGGTAAATGTCACCAAGGCCTGGGTGGGGTGGCCATTGACGAGCTTCACGCCGAAGATCTCAGAGGCAGGGAATGCTGCCTGTGCGGTCACGGCGAGGGTAGGCGCTTCAAATGTCTCTTCAGCCTTCTCAGCGGCATCCTAATGCCGGAAACAATCATGTCAGGATCCAATTGGCGCTTATCAGAAAGGATAGCCATGTGAACATACTGCTGCCAGAGTACCGCCGATCAAGGCCTGAACCGAGAACAAAGCCAGGGAGAGGAAAGCGAAGCGAGCCATTGAGACGAAAAATCACCGGGTCTGCGACAACCACAGAAGAACAAAGGAAGCAAGGGACGAGGGCGAAACAAGAGGAGGAGAGGGAAGGAAGACCGAAGATGAGAGATCGGGGTGGAAGAGACAGTTTGCTCCACGTTGGCGTCTTCCCCGGGGCCCCGCTGACTCAGCGCAGCTCCATTGCAGTTTCCGCCGCTCTTAGAGGACGCGATTTCCGTCAAGAAAAAGACTTGGATGTGTTAAACAGTGAAAATAGATGGATGGCTTTTATCTGAGGTTAGGTTCTCACTGAATCTATTTAGTAATAAAGGAGGTGTTGCCCAAGGAATTCTATTCACGCCCTCTCTGCCATAAGCGCCATTGTCCCAAGTTCTCCGATCAACTTTCATAAATCGGATACACCATTTTCAACCTACGCTCCAGCTTTCTCTGATGATCTCTCTCGCTTGAGATAGCACTTACTGTCTCTTCAAGCATCATGTCGGTCCGCGCATATTTTGAACGCTATCAACAGCTCACTGCTGTTGAACAGAAGAAAGACACTCTGATTGAGGTATATCGACATGGCCTTTGTCCGACTTGCCAGGCCTGCAATTTATTAACCTTCCACTTGTGGGCTAGGAACTCATACAACGTGTGACCGAGCTCGAAGGTGCATATCAGCAAGAACAACTTGACCATGACCGCGAAAAACGTTTCAATCGTGATATACAGATCCATGAAATGGAGTTGATGGAGCAAATCTCGCGGACAAAGGCTATCATGGTCAGCACCTTGTCATTGGATATTGTTACTCTCCAATAGGATATGGTCGCAATGTTTGCTGACGGCTCTTTTACCTTCTTCATATAGAACCGCGAACCCTTTATAGTCGTACTTCTAGACGGAGACGGAATGATCTTCAAAGACGAGTTATTACAGCTGGGGGAAGAAGGTGGCCGAAAAGCAGCAAAAGAGCTGTCCTTTGCAGTGGAAGATTACGTTGCGGATAACTTTCCAACCATAATCTCCCCGAAGATCGTTACGAAAATGTACGTCAACATGAAAGCGCTATGTGACGCTTGTATTCGTGCCGGAATAGCGACGGACCCTTCTATACTTAGAGAATTCGCCCGAGGCTTCAATAGCACCTTCCCATTGTTCGATCTTACGGATGTTGGCTCGGAAAAGAATGCGGCGCACGATAAGATAAAAGGTATGCAATGCACCTGCAGGGTTCAAATGTCGCCCAACTGTTCTCAGGTGGTCTTTGCGCTGACTAGTTGCTGCTACTCCGGCAGAGACCTTCAAACTACATCTATACAACTGCCATTGCCACCAGATTTTCCTAGGCTGCTCAGAAGAATCGCTATATCACCAAACTTTGGAAGAGACTCTTACAGACATGGAGCTCTCAGGTCGGCTGTCGTTGATCGAAGGCATCCCATTTGGGAAGAATCTGGAGCCTCTTAAGTCACATTATAGGTTCACCAAGTTTTCCAATATTTTCCGAGATTCGAAGATAAGCAACGCTGTTTTGTCGCCTTGGAAGGCTGCGGTGACTTCCAAACCTCGCTCTCTCCTCACCCCTTCGCCGAGTCCTCAAGTAGCACCGCTTACCCGCACGCCGAGCAATATTACTACAGCGAGTAATAGCGCACCCATCTCTTCAACCCCGGTCAGCTCTCACGGCTCTGAGGATTTCCAACTGGTGCGTTCGAAACCTGCCTCCTCCTCCCGCCCTAAGGCTGTGGAACGGAATAAGTACGGCCAACGCGTAGACCGGCTTGACATTGGGAGCATCCCTAGGGAAGAGGTAAACCGAATCAAAAAACTGAAGCTATGCAATTATTACTTTCTACAAGGCGAATGCCCGAATGAAAACTGCCACCACGACCATGAACGCAAACTAACCAAAGGCGAGCTCCATACGCTGACAGCCGTGGCGCGAATGACTCCCTGTCGATATGGACTTGAATGCGATGACGCCGAGTGTATGTATGGTCATCGTTGCCCACAAAGCGAAGTCGGTAGAAAAGACTGCTACTGGGGCTCGAGTTGCCGGTTCAATACTGCTGCCCACGGAATTGACACCAATGTTGTCAAAGTGACAAAAGTCTAGATTCTTCGACTCGCCGTTTGGATGCATGTTTTCTGATAAAAGGCGTTTCTCTCGTGGGTACCTCAAATAACAGGGCTGTAACATCATGGCGTTGGGCTCTGTACTATTTCTCAGGTGACACCGTGCTGTTTTATCTCGCCTGGCGCGCTTTCCGTTGAGTTTAAGCTATGTATCTATGATCAATCTGCTACAGCAATAACCAATTCCGGCAGCATTTAATGTCGTCCACCCAAGGCGACTGCAAGATCTATCCTTCGGGTCAAATTGAACACTCCTTGTGCCTGTCAATCCGTATCATGCATGAATAGTCGTCTTAGAAAGCCCAAATCTTCTCTCCCATCCAAAACAGTTTCGATCACTACAGCCATGTAAGTGCTCGGAATCGGCTTTTCTCGAAGCGCGAGCATGGCTGCACCTAACGCCGTATTCAATAATACAGCAATTGAAAGGTAAGGATGAGGCGGGTGGGGGGGTTTTACTGCCCTCAATAGCCTTCGCTTTCGACTCTCTCAACTCACCCCATAAGATAAAGAGTTTCTCCCTCAACTGTGACAGGGCTCCCGAGTTCTGGCGTAGACTAGAAAGATAAGGCAAGTCAGCTAGGTCATCCAGACACCTCCGAATGGCTCAAAACTCACTCAACAGCACTCATTCCCAAAAGATGTTCAGCCTCCAAGTCGGAAACAAAAAGTTTTATCCGCTCGTTTGGCTTTCTTGCAGGGGCCCGGGGGGCGTTCTCTACAAGAAGACAGAAGCGCCATTCCCACTTCTTATACGTTCGAGAAGTGGCAGGATCCCGGTTTCTGTTGTACGCGATAGAGACGGCTTCTTGCTGAACGGCGAAGTCTTCTAATCGCGGAGGATAGAAGTCAACCACGCGGACTGTGGTGAGGTAGCAAAGGTTCTGGAAGGGGAGACGGTAAGTGATACCCCTCGGCGCTGAATTATTATGAGATGGGTTGTTTATAATAGCCTCAAGGGACAGAGCGTGTACCCCGCTTAGTGGTACACGGGCTTTGACTTGAAGCGAAACGAGGATTAGCATTTAAGGGGCCGGGGTCCGCAGCAGATGAGCAAAGGGATGCTTACCATTCTCGTTGACAGCCATCCGTTTGTTGATATCTAGGATTGTTTGGCCTGATTCTTTCCTGGGTGCTGTTTTTGACTGTCTCTTGTTCGGCTTCTTTGAGGGCCGGTCATCGTCTTCATCTGACTTCCGCTTCTGCTTTTTTGGATGCGCTTCTAAGTATGCTTGTTTCCGAGAAAGCAATTGCTGGGCCCGAGAGTCGTTATGGAGATTTACTTTAAGAGCGTTCACCATGCTCGGATTGTCGCGACTTCCATGGATGACACCCTCCAGGATTCCTTCTTCGGCGTAGCTCTTTTTTATTTTGACATTCTTGAGGCGAACAATTTCCCCTATCTGGAAGTTTCCCCGGACAAACGAGGCATGCGGTTCCCACAACGTTATTTGGAGGCTCATACGACCAGATGGCCCATTCCATCTCTTTGCCTGGCGTTGGATATAGCCGTATGGGTCACCTTCGCGGCCATGGCTCAGATCATCATTGTTGTCGGATGCATAATGAAACAGCTTGTCGTTACTTGTATAGTCAGTAAGATACAGAGTTGCTTTCTCGCTATCGTTACCAAATATCTTCACAATCTCGCCAATAAGATCCACGAACTGTCCTTCCTGGATATCCTCAAGAAGTGAAAATTTCCGGTTCGTGGTTGTTGGCTTCGAGGCTGTAACCTGCGCAAAGTTTGCTCTGGAAACAGTGGCACGGTGAAATCTACCCGGCGAGGCTTCGAGCAAAGACGCCGCATAAGTCTTTTCTGCATACGTAGGCTCAAAGGGCTCGGGACCGGTGAGTGCCGAATGGTTGGATGTCGGTTCTCTATCCGGGCGAAAAATAGCGTATGGTACAGTCACATTCTGAGCAACCACTCCAGTTAACTTGCCCTGTAATATTCTAACCTGTACCGGGGATCGGTTAGCTCATATCTAGGAGGTGGGCATTCGGTAAACAAACAGATGGTCCTCGTAGTAAGCAGACATCGCCTACCCGGACAGGAGGCAAGAGGCTCTCCGTTTCTTTGAAGTATTTGATTCTGAGGCCATCCCACGTATGCCCGTTATCCAAATCGCAGTCTTTAATTGTGAATGTGATGCAAATTGAGGTGCCTCCGGTTTTGAAAGCGCCCCCCATGATGTCAACCACCACTCCCATAACATTCACGACGCCCCTCATCCCGAGCGCAGTGTTGACCTCAACATAGGTTGGAGGGAGTCGAGCCATCATCTTTGTCCAAGGTGCTGGCTATTGTGACCTATGAGACGATCTTGTCGGGAAAATAAATCTGGAGTCATTTCTCATTTCTCATCTCGGCATCGCAGAAGCCACCAGAAGTATAGCCAAGCAATGAGTTCTTTTGTTCAAAGTGATGCATAAATCTAAAGAGAAGGTACGCGCCGCAGACAGCTACAGACGCGTCTCGGCCTCGGCCCTTTCTCTTGTTGACGGACGATCAGCGCTAAGATCGCTTGAGCGCCTAGGAATAGACTAAGGTACAGATAGCGCTAGTTCCACACTAGACCCAAAGCAGTAGGCAGATCCCGTGACCCAGTCAGAGCGTCAAAGATTCGTTATTATTTTGCACCCCTCTTCTTTCACTCTCAGTTGCCCCGCGAAGGCTTTTCCATCTCCCTTATCTGCCTATAATTTTTCCTCCTTTATTTGGGACTTTTCATTTTCGCCTTTTTGACTATCTTCATCAACTCACTTCTTTCCTCTCTTCTTTGCGCCCCCGACTTTTCCTTTCCTCCCTTGACTGAGTAACCGCTTTGTTTTTGTTCCCTCACCTCAGCAACCATGGCCGAACGCTACATCCCAGAGCATCGCCGCACCCAATACAAGGCTCGAAACCAGTTCCGGCCTGATGAGCTCCGTCGTCGTCGTGAGGAGCAGCAAGTCGAGATTCGAAAGCAGAAGAGAGAAGAAAACTTGGCCAAGCGACGTGGTATCCAGACTCGGGATGGCGGAATCGGTGTAGGAGGTGGCATGGCTGCCGCTGAGAGTGACGATGAAGCGAGTGCCATTGAGAGTGAGGTACGTGATGGTTCTAGTTATCTTCTCTAGCATCGTTGCTGGTTGTGTTGGTGACCCGAGGCATACTTCATGGGCTCCTTTCTCCCTCGCAGCGGCTCACCGCCCGAACATGCTCCCGGAACTTTAAGCCGGTGCTATTCCGGGGCAACACTCACAACGAGCGCTCTGATATATTAGATGTCTTTTTTTGAACTGCAGAGGAGGCTAACATGACCCTGTTCAGCTCAATGTCGAGTTGCCCGAGATGGTCAAGGGTGTATTCTCCGACCAGATTGAAGCTCAAATCCAAGCGACGACCAAGTTCAGAAAGCTCCTCTCCAAGGAACGTAACCCTCCTATCGAGCGCGTCATCGAGACTGGTGTTGTTTCCCGCTTCGTGGAGTTCCTCCGATCTCCTCACACCCTGGTTCAATTCGAGGCTGCATGGGCCTTGACCAACATCGCTTCTGGATCTGCGCAACAGACTCAGGTCGTCATCGAGGCTGGCGCTGTACCGATCTTCGTCGAGCTTCTGAGCAGCCCCGAACCCGATGTGCGTGAGCAGGCTGTCTGGGCCCTGGGTAACATTGCCGGTGACAGTCCTCAATGCCGCGACTTCGTTCTCAACGCCGGCGCTCTGCGTCCTCTCTTGACTCTGATCAACGACGGTCGCAAAATCAGCATGCTGCGCAACGCCACCTGGACCCTGAGCAACTTCTGCCGTGGCAAGACCCCCCAACCCGACTGGAACACGGTATGTCACCCCAGCATATAAGGGTGTAGCCCTTGCTAACGTTCTATCAGATTGCCCCCGCCCTCCCTGTTCTCTCCAAGCTTATCTACATGCTTGATGATGAGGTTCTCATCGATGCTTGCTGGGCTATTTCGTACCTCTCCGACGGACCCAATGAGAAAATTCAGGCTGTCATCGAAGCCGGTATTCCTCGTCGCCTCGTAGAGCTCCTGATGCACGCTTCCACCTCGGTCCAGACGCCCGCCCTCCGTTCTGTCGGCAACATCGTCACTGGTGATGATGTTCAGACGCAGGTTATCATCAACTGTGGCGCTCTTCCCGCCCTTCTTTCCCTTCTCAGCTCAACCAAGGATGGCATCCGGAAAGAGGCTTGCTGGACTATCTCCAACATCACTGCTGGCAACTCCAGCCAGATCCAGTCCGTTGTTGATGCTGGTATCATTCCTCCTCTTGTCCATCTTCTTGCCAATGGCGACTTCAAGACGCGCAAGGAAGCTTGCTGGGCCATTTCCAACGCCACATCCGGTGGTCTGCAGAAGCCCGACCAGATCCGCTACCTCGTCACCCAGGGCTGTATCAAGCCACTTTGTGACCTGCTGGCGTGCCCCGATAACAAGATCATCCAAGTTGCTCTTGATGGCCTTGAAAACATCCTTAAGGTCGGTGAGATGGATAAGGAGGCTGGCCAGGGTGACGCTCACGTGAACCGCTATGCTCTGTTTATTGAGGAGGCTGGTGGTATGGAGAAGATTCACGATTGCCAGAACAACGCCAACGAGGAGATCTACATGAAGGCCTACAACATCATCGAGAAGTACTTCTCTGATGAGGATGAGGCCGCTGGTGACATCGATGAGCTTGCCCCTCAACAAACTCAGACAGGATTCACCCTTGGCGCTACTCAACAGCAGCCCGGTGGTTTCTCGTTCGGCGGTGCTAACGGCGGCGATTCTATGGATATGTAAAGTGAGGAAGATTAAAAAAACAGCAAAAGAGGAGAACGATCTCGGGCAAAGTTAATGCTCAACCCCTCAGCCCCTTCCCTCCTGGTGGTGGATTGTGGCTTCGATTCGCGTCTACGTTGCTTACGTGCAGTCAGCAATTCCTCGCCGCAGGATTTCACATCGTCTCCTGCAGTGATGGCACGTTGATTCTTCGAGCTGGATATTGTTCTCCAGGACTTGCCTGGGGCTCGGGGGATTAATAATTCAGATACCACGCGAGGATGTTTCGGTTCTTCATTTCCCCTTCTTACCCCTCGACGTTCCAACTGTTCTTATTTCGTCGGACTTCTATATTCCTCTTTCTTATTATGGTTTGATATTTCGCGATAAACAAGATTCACCGTCATGTATCCCTTTATTTAACAGGTCACCCTAGCATTCCTCATACACAGGCGTAATTGTCTATAGGTTCTAAATTGGTTGTTTTTCTCTGTTACCTTTTGCCATAACCCCATTTTCCCATCAAGGCGCGATCTGTTCCATGGAGGAGGTCTGCTTGTATGTTTGAATTCGTATCTACGCCCTAAAAGAAGAATTTGAACCTAAACGTGTAGTTTTTCCGGTCTGATTAGCAACCCATCCCGCGACTACATTGGTGAATTTGGACTGCTCGACCAAAGAATATAGCCCGATGTTGATAATATCTTGCTCCCTGCAAAGAAAGGCTCTTCTCTCGGCCTTACCTTGTTAGTCCTTTACGATGAGTGAGCAGAGTCGAGTCTCTTGAAATGCAGGACACAATCAAACGTCTACTAAGCACAAAGAAGTACCTGGTTGATGGGCTGGTTTTCTCCGTATACGTAGTCAACAATATCATGGTGGCTTACAGAAACAGAACGCAACTAACTCACACCCATGCTTCCTAGATCATTGGTCAATAATACTTGCTCAGATCAAAGCCCAGCATCTACGCTCTGTCTTTTTTATCACTCGCAATAGGCGAAAGCTTGGTTATGCCTAGGTGATGGACCGCTAACCCTGCAATATATATTTGAGATTCCATTAGACCTTCTTCCAACATAACCTGGAAGATCGCGGCACTATGCGACCAATGCAACGATCTTAGGTGACAATGGATAGATGCAAGATCCAAGCAAGGTGGAGAACGAGTCAACTTGCCTTACAGATACAGCCACTTCCAGAAGGATATCACAAATCCATTACATGAGAACGCAAATTAACGTACAGTGTACAGCGTCAAACAGAAGGCAATAATAGATAAAAGGTGCTGGACCAGGAAGCAGAGTCGAATCAGACGGGAGTGTATGGTACTAGATTGCGGAGAAAATCAGAGAAGAATTAGACCTATGCTAAAGCGGCCAGTGAGAAAATAGAAGCACATAAATCAAGTCATGAATCTGAACATGTAGAAGTCAAGCGCCGTATACACCGAGTTTTGTTGAGGGCGGAGTAGCTAAACCAAGGGGGAAGGAGAAAGACAAAAGGAGAAAGAGGAGAAGCCACAGGATCAATCACCCATGATCTCATCGTCATCTGGCTCGGGGGCTGCGAGCTCGTTTTCTTCGTCTTCATCGTTATCCTTGTCGATGGCGATGTTATCTTCCTCCATCTCTTCGTCACTGGCTCGCTGCTGCTCCTCGTCAGACTCTTCATCGACCCTTTCAGTGGACTTGGCCTGTGCAGGGCCCTTGCTGGGTGCAGGTCCAGCTTGGAGTTTATCTGCGCTTTGCGCAGCAGATTGCTTCTCTTTAGACGGAGCAGGACGCGAAGCGGCGCGTTTTGCGGGCCGGTCTTCGAGGTAAACCAAAACCTCGCGGTAGTTCGGACCAAGCTGGGTCTTATGCTTCAGCAGCTTCTTCTTCAACTGCCCAGAGGAATCGATGATGCGTCCAATGATGGCGAGTACGAGCTTTGCGGTAAGTTCGCATAGTCGCTGCTCTGCGACGATTTTTGTTCGCAGCCGCTCATCGCGGAGCGCCTGATCACCCTCCTCGTCCTCCTCCTCAGGCTCCCTTTCGAGCTCCGAATCGGAGGCTGGAGCATCGTCCTCTGCAGGTTCGAAGGGAACGCGTGACTTCTTCGCGTGTGTTCTCAGAGCAATCCCGTGAATCTTCGTTATCAGTGTCTGGACATTGTCGTCGAACTCATGTACTAGGCTTTGGGTCTGGAAGATGGTATCTTCATCATTGCCAGCGCCGGGGCCAATGTTCCGCAATGTACCAAACAGGGTCTGGAGATCCAGAAGAGTGGTAGTAGCGGCGAAGCGCACATCGTCCAATCCGGACCGCTGTTTCATGATATCAACAAGAGCCTCCACGAACAACTCTCGGCTCTTCGTCAGAGCCTCGAAATAGGATGTCGTGAATTTTGCCTTTCCAGACTGTAAGGACCCTCGTAGAGTTTGTACTTTCCACATGAAGTAGAACAAGAGCGTCCTGATACTGTTAATTACCACCTCAGTCTCTGCTCTCGCTCCGTCCTCGTCTTCATCGGATTCTATCGGTGTTTCCACCCTTAAGCCTCGTTGCACCAGTTGCAACATTGTGTTGAACAGAGCTTCTGAGTCCTTTTTACTCCGTCCCTTCGACCGGCTGGAGGGAGGTGTCTCTAGGATCTGTGTGCAATCCGTCACACTAGAAAGATTAGAGATCCTGGTCACAGTGTTATTGAGCTCGCTCAAGACTGAAGGCGGTAATGGGTCGTCACTCGTCACTTCTTTTTGTTGAGAGAGCCTGCCGAGGGTATCGACCATGTCATCCCAAAGTTCTTGAATTTTGCTCTCCAACGCTTCGCGCATATCATCTGAGCTCTTCGCATGGAGGAAAGCAACGCTAGCTTCAGATAGGACATCTTGGTCGGAATGGGTCAGGAACTGCTTGTTGATGTCATTCAGCAAGGACGTGTAGGCCGTTGCGTCTTTTTGAAGATCTTGAATCTTATCAAGGTCCACAAAGTGCTCCAATCGGAGAACCGCAGCAGCGGCTTCAGGTGTAGAACCAAATTTGTTCAGAAGCTGCGGGATGATTTGAGCAAGGCCATGAGCGATTTCCTCCTGTAGCTCCGGGATTCTGTCGGTCAGTGCCTTGATCTTTCGGCCCCGCTTGTCAATATCAGATTTTGCAACGTCGAGGATCCGGAGTTTAACAGCACAACATAGCACCTCCAGTAGGATTACTTCCTGGCCCTCCTGCATCTTGTACAGCTTTTTGACCATCCCGCTGGTGTCATCGTCACTGGGTTCATCGTCGATCTGAGAATGATCAAAAAGAAGGTAGCCGGCCAGAGATTGCCAACTTGTCAGCTCACTAAAGACCGGGTAGATAGCTTCGGTGGCAAGCACAAATCGTGAATCCACCGAGATACCCGAAAGGGCATCACGAGACTTGATGTTAAGTTCAGGGGTAGATTCGTCTTCTGGAGTATCATAAGCCTGAATGATGTCTGCAAGGCATTTGAACTTGATCCATGAACGTTTCGGTGACTCAAAATCATCTTCGTCCTCATCATCACCAAATACTTCATTTATCTCATCCGCAACCTCCTCAACCGTTGAGTCGAAAACATCCTGGACATTTGCGACAAAGAAGGGGCCCGCCGCCTTGCGCACGCGCGCCTCGGAGTCGAAGATGAGTTTGCCGATAGTGTCGACATCAGCAGGCTCGATTAGTCCAGCATCCCGAATCAGATCAAGCAGCTCAATCGCCATGGTACGCATCCCAACGTCCGAATCGTGAGTGGCTATTTCCACAAACCGGTGGCGGAAACGCTCAGTGAAGGAACGCACACCAGCAATGTTGTCTTTATTCGAGTATATGCTCAAAAGCTGTTGTAGTGCAACGGACCGCGTATGGACATCGCTGTCGGATATGATCCAACCACAATACCGAAGGAACTGGCCCTCGAAAAAGTATTCCCTGTAACTGCGCATCCACCGTCCTAGCGCCGCTATGCTCTCTGCACGAATTTTTGGGTCAACGTCCCGGTAGCGGTTGACGAAGATGATATTCACTCCGTCCTTAAGAAGGTCGTCTATGAGTTCAAGCTTAGCTTCGCCTTCTTGGATAGACACCTTGATCGCGTCAGCCCGGCCTTTGTTGACCGTTTTCTTCTTTCTTTCGTTTTCCAGCTGTTTTCGGGAAGTTGAAACCGAAGTCACCACCTCGCGCGCAATGTCGCAGAGGGCATTCATGTTTGATAAAGCGACAACGGTTGCGGTGTGTCTGAAAGGTCTACAGTTAGAAGAAGAAAGCGATGACAGCCAAGACTGGAGATTTTCGTAAAGGACTTTGTCGTCGTAGAGAATCGAAGAATGGTGCAAGGTCTGCATCAGAGCCACGAAAAAGTTTTCCAAAACGGGCTGGAAAGACCTGTATTTTCGAGACTTGGAGATCAAAGGATAGTCGGAAATGCCCCCAGCAGCATATTCGTCCTGAACATCCGTAACGCGCTGTGATATATGGTCAACATCTTCGATGTCCTCTGTTGAGACCAGGATGTCTGTTCCCGAAGACCTAAGCACCAAATTGACCAAATCGCGCATCGCAGTGGTCTGCGACTCCTGATACCGTGTGAGCCATTCTGCCGCGACAGTTTCCGCGTTACGTCCCTTGCCGAAGACCTCCGCTAAAGAATCATAGATATTAGCTCGAAGACAGACAGCTCAAATCGAAGACAAGGGAAGCGCAAACTATACCATAAAGACCACTCTCGCCAGCAGCCAAACTCGGTCGTACCTGCGGTCTTTTCGGCCGCGACGCAGGCTTTTTACCGTTCGTAGCGGGCCGCAGAGGCAGCTGGTTTCCTATCCCATTCCCAGTTACTTTGGGCTTCTTCGCGCTGCGAGGCCCTTGCGACTTGGGCTTGCTTTTCGTCCCCGAAGATGCTTTCTTGGAAGATGCTCTGCGTGCAGCGCGCCTCTGCTCTCGTAATTCCTCCTCATCAGGCTCATCATCATCCTCTACTTCCTCGCTTTCTGGCTCCGACGCGTCTTGAGTCCCATCTTCGTTTTCGTCGCCGGTAGTTGTTCGTTTTCGTTTGGCGCCGCCTGCGGTCGCACCATTGGCATCGCTATAAGATTGTGAGAATAATGCGGGTTTGCGCGTCGCCCGACTGGATTTTCTCCTGTCTCCTGACGGCGTGGCGGTGTCCTGGGTCAATGCAGGTTGGGGCGAGGAAAAGCGTAACTCGGGCTCCATGTTTCTCGCAGAGTTGGATATGATTCAATATAGCGGTAGTTATATGCTCCGATAGTTTATGCCACGCACATTGGCGAATGAAGAGCGAAGACTGTGCTTGAGCGCGGGGTTGTTGCGGGCTAGACGGAACGCGACGATATGGTGTTGCTGCGCGCGCGTTATCCTCCACCTGTCGATGGGGCGAGAAAAGTGATAAATACGGCTGAAAGTACTGACACTCAATGAATCAAGTTTGCGCTGCGCCAGTCGGGATGAGACTCGACGAGGGAGGAGTAAGGGAGAGTGGAGGACGCGGAGTTGGCTTGAGACTTGCGAACGGGCACAAGACGCGCTTTGATGCCTGTTAATGCCTCATTCCTAAGGCACAACAGACGTTTCACAATTAGTAATTCTGTCTTATGCGCATCACATGATGCACTAGCCCTAGCCCTGTAGAGACCTGATCGGCGCTGTCTGCGGGGAAGAGGAGAAGGCCGTGCTGATGCCGTAATGGAAATCCATTCTGCTCCATCACCGACACCTTTGAAAGCTGTGTAACGGTCTGTATTGGGGTGCCAAGGCCCTCAATCATATGTGCATTGATTGCAAGCTGTCCATAGAAACTCCGCCGGAGCGCTTTTACGCAGCACTGAGCTCAAGCGGTTGGACCAGAGCCACTCTTGGGCCCGGACATTCGCAGATATCCCCGGTCCCGGTCAAGCAGAAGGACCTCACAAGTCCAAGTCCAAGACACCGTCTACGGTTGCATCACATCCGACGATCGTCGACATTGCCTATAAGAAGTCTCGTCATGCCGTTAAATTTGAAGCCGCTGAATATAGAATCTTTCTCTCCGCCAACCTCGTGTCTCCTCCCCTAAAGATCTCCGCCAGATAAGCAACCAAAATGCCAGTCAGGTCGCCCTTCGAGTCCTCAATCGCAAAGCCTGGGCAAGGCAAAGTCGTGCTCTCGCTACTTCCCCCCGCGAATCCCTCCCTCAGCACTCTGACATACAAATACCCACTCAAACTCCTCACGCGCACGCCGGGCTTCGTGCCGCAATCTGCATCACCTTCCGCCTCTCAACCCGTCCATCTATACCTCCTCACTTACGGTGGCGGCCTCCTGCCAGGCGACCAGATCGATGTCTCGATAACGCTGGAGCCGCGCACCAGGCTCGTCGTCACAACCCCTCAGGGCAGCACAAAGATATTCAAAACAGAAACATCGCCGGGGCGCACTTTATCAGATCAAAGCCGTCAGACACTAGACGTGCGCATCGGCCAAGAAGCAGCGCTATGCTACCTGCCCGATCCCTCAGCGCCATTCAAAGACAGTCGCTACGAACAGATCCAAACCTTTACCGTTGATAACATAGCGAAGGGCTCATGTAGGAGCAGCCTCTGCGTCCTAGACTGGGTAACGCAAGGTCGCTCCTCACGCGGCGAAAACTGGGACTTCAATCTCTGGAAGGGGAAGAACGAAATATGGCTGCTGGATGAACCTACGTCCTCTGAAAACAACGAGAAGAAAGAGAAGAAGAAGCTTCTCCTCCGCGACTCATTGATCCTCAATGATGAAACCTCCGCCAGTCCTCAAGCCGGAAACAATCCACCCAGATCTCTAATTCGCGAACGTACAAGTCCCCATGGTGTGATCGGTACCTTGATCCTTTATGGCCCTGTCTTTGAAAAACTCTCATCCTTCTTCGTTGAGAAGTTCACCTCGCTCCCGCGTATTGGGGCGCGAAACTGGTCGTCTTCTGCCCCTGCCGCTGCGGAGGCTCCGCAGAACTACGACTCCCGGGTGACGTTTACTGCGGCGCATGTTCGGGCGGGCTGTGTTCTTGTTAAGTTTGGGGCGGCAGATTTCGAGACGGCGAAGGATTGGCTGGGCGGTATTTTGAGAGAGGAGGGGAGCATAGCCAGGGAGTTTGGTGAGGAGGCGTTGCTCTGCCTATGATGATTTTAAGAAAGCGTTGTCTATAGATATAGAGCGCATGATGATCTGCTCGCCTCAAGATATCCGCGCCAGGGCATTTTCCTTTTCTGTTGTCACGATGATACCCAAAATCAAATGTTTTGCGTGTGACTGTAATTTGAACTATAGAAATCTAAGTCTAGTAGAATATTCTTCGAAAGGCCTAAAAGTGAAGGTGGGAGATAGTTGTGTCGTCGCAAGTAGGCCTCCTTGGCCTCCAATTCATGCAGCAAAAACATCGCAACGCTCGGGGGTATATTCAAACGTAACAAAATCATAAAAGCCATGGTCTATGCCATGTAGGCGTAATCAGAAACGACGCATCGTAAGTCTCTTGTGGTTATCATGACCATGTCCTGGTATAGATTAACTCTGAGTCCCACAACCAAACGCCTTACTTCAGGACAAATGCTCACTGTTGAACCAGATCACAGTTTCCTCGGTGTCTCACCCAAGAAATTGGGTTCAATGCCACCAGTCGGAGAAGCTAGGCGCCCAGTCCTTCCTTGTCGCGCTCACAAGGTCGTCCACATTGAGCATGTCAGCGCCTTCACTGGCTAGGACCCGCCAAACATGATTTCGCAGGCTCCTTGGCCAGTCAGGCGTTCCCCAGTATCGGACCTTGAGGCCTTGCCGGTGAGCGGCCCTGATTTGGGCCCTGATTGTCTGTATCTGGCGATCTGTAAGGTGGAGCATCCATGGGACACCCACGGCTTTCTTGAAAGAGACCGAGGCATAGTAGCTGTTGGTCAGGTTAAAAGTGTCCGGCCTAATATCCCCATCGGAGATTCCTGACATGCCCTGGCCGGCATTACCAGTCCGCCCTTTCAGACGCGTGTTGATATCAATCCGGTCGACGTTGTTCACTAATCGATTAAGCGGCGCATCAAAGAAGATGTCGCGGTAGGTAGTGCTTGCTGCGATCCGATTGAAAGGGGCATTCCCTGTACCAACTACAGTGATGGGGCCGTTGATAATGTCGCTGCCGTTGTAGTAGGTTAGGTAGCCACTCTCACGGAGCGGCGTCAATTGGGTGTATACATAGTTCCAAGCCTCCTCTCCATCAGTCTTGAAATCGATGAGAAGAACTAAAGTCTGTGAAGGATCCGTGTCGAAGACCCCATTTCGGGGTTGATCAGTGTCGGGATGAAAATGAGTAATGGGGTTTTGTTTGCCCAGGATCTTCATCAAAGGATCAATGTACATCTTTCGTAGCGTGCGGCTAGGGGTAAGAGCCGCGCGGGTATGGCCAACAAAGAGTTCGTCATCAAAAAGCCACACATCGGCCTCGACGCCTGTACACCCAGCCTCAATGGCGGAATATAGAGGTACACGGCGCCAGTAGTCGTTATGCGAATGGCATGAAACAGGGACTATATCCCGTGAAATGTCTGTAGGCCAGCGAGTGATGTCCGCAGGATCAGCATCTGGAGGTTGCCGCCAGCGACCCGTTACTCGATCGATCTCATCAGGGAAGAACGAGATGACGATGCCACAAGCGAGGGAAATAAACTGGAAAATTCCTCTAGGAAATTTGTTAGATTCCGTTGGCGCGGAAGCAAGCCGGGCACTTACAACATGACGAGAAAGGCCACCACACTATATAGAAGGCAGCAGGATCGGGTCGGCGTTCGGAGCCATCGGGGCTGGAGCTTGGAATATTTGGCGTGAAGTGGAAGTAAAGGACGAGAGGCATCCGATGTCTCGATCTTGGCCGAGGAAGAAGCAAATAACGGCGAGACTACTATAGCCAACCCGCGGGCCCATAGCGAGTCCTGTTTCTGTCTGCCCCGTTGCCGAGCTTCTTCCGAGTCGGAGTCGTAAGTAGATTCCGATACCTCACGACAGCCAACAATGCCTGCTTTATTGACCGAGCCTTTATTGTAAGTCTTCCCTTCGCTGTCGGAGTAGACATCGCGCTGTACAGGAAGCAGAGGGGTAAAGAATTGTTGAGAATAACGAGGAGGGGAGGACAAAGACGACATGACTAAGAATGAGGATTGGCGCAATATCTAGGTAGCCATACTCAACCGTCTTTTTGAGCCGAACAGCGGACAAGGGAGTATTTATCCTTCCCACCACACCCGGTCCCTTCTTTCCCTCTTGATCGAACTGTTAGTCCCGTGGTAGCACATCTTCAGGCTCAGGGTCCGAAGCATGCGCGCCGGGGGCAGCAAAGGATTCGTCGCCCGCGCGGAGCAGTTGGCGGGAACATCGGTGATCCAGACGCTGGAGATGATCCAAACGGCCATGTGCCGCATCGTCCTCCCTCATTGGTCATTTGAATCACCTCTTCAAGCCAAATATAACCCCCCATCCACAACCTTTGCAAGCATTCTGCTTTCCACGGACCCTATTGTTGATCATTATTCATCATCAGTAGTAGACTCAATATCCAACTTACCAACCTACCCTGGCGGCCATAGAACCTCACACAAAGTCTCCCAGATTCATTATCCAGGTAGCACTATTACTCTCCTTCCCACTCGCTCGCTACTACTTGGGTGCCCCTTGCAACTCGGAGGCTTATCAGGGACAAGAACACCCTTTCCGCCGCTTGGTTTCTCTCAGACTGATTCGTTCGCTAGCTAACAGCCCTTGTGATATAGCAGACCTGATCTATCTTCGAATGTAGATGACGCGGCCTGTCTTTCATTACATTTCCAACATACAAGCCTCCGAGATGTATATGCAGCTCTTTTAGTATAGGTCTGTCTCCTGTTCCATTCCAGCACTCAAGCATCGCCTTTCCCAGGGTCATGACCTCAGTTTCGCCGCGCCGCTGTCGTTTTGCTGAGCCCCCGAAGGCCGCGAGCATATACAGATGTGAACTTGCCAGGCAGAGATGATTGCCCATTTTCGCTTTTCTGATGTGCTAGACTTCGTTCATGATTACGGTACTCAGTTCCTTGTTAGGGTTACATCGGTCCGTGGCAGAAATTGCGAATTCCTCGAAACATACAGACTTCTCCTCGACCTCATGGGCAATTGGCGCCACTGGAGTAAGAACATGCTCAAACACGATATCCGGACCAACGTCTGTAAGCATTGGATACCTAGCGGCCTATCACCTACTATGAAGTCAAGGGCTACCGAAAATAGACGAAGTCGGCCCTAGCATACGTATGATGTTGTTTCCAGGATACCGCCAGGAAGACATGATTTGCTATCTACTCCGCTCTACCTGGCAAAATACGAGTCTGAGTCAAACTCATTATAGCAAGGCGACCAAAAGAGGTGAGGCATTTTGGATTATTGTCTGACTTTCACAAACCACGGCAGTATTGCGTTAGCCCGACACTGTTCTGGGAGCTTAGATTAGGTGCGCTTGGACTAGGTCAAGGTAGTTGTCTCGATCGTGGACTACGCGGAACAGACCAGAACAGACCACGCCACAAAAGCTTGCTACGCGGCAGCCGCCAGGCAGAAGTGCTTGAAACAAGAGATTTTCTGAAGTCTGCGAGATCTTTAATCACGAAGACAGTGATATACAGCTTGTAGCTTTGTTGATCTTCCACTCTACTGCCACTTCCAAATGAACGCGCTACCACAAACTGCAAATGTTCATTGAGGGGATACCGAGGATAAGATCTCGGTGAAGCCAAATTGACATACAATAGCAAATATATCAAGGGATTACGGACAGACAATTGGCTTAAACATAGGCTATGCACCTATAGATGTATATACAGTGGCAGAATAAACGACAACGGAAAGCGGTAGACTACGTAGATAAGATAGCCAAGATAAGATAAGGCTTAAGTCCGCAAAAAAATACTGCATCCCAGACAAGAACCGATGCTAGAAACAGCATTGAATAACAGCCCCAAATGCCTCATAAACACAAGCGCCGGCAAAATGACGAAAGGTATGTTATATTTTCATTGATCTAAACCCGATTATTTACAAAACTCTCAACAGCACCTACGACCTCCCGCCATCCCTAATAGCCAAATCCCTCCCGGTCAGAGATCCCTCAAAACCCAGCGGGAAAGACAAATTCAACGGCAAGCAAAAATCAAAGCGAACCGGAAATCCAAACGCGAAGCCGAAATCTCAACCCCACGCAACAGACGGCAAGGCGCCCGCGCCAAAGCCAAACGAAAAAGCGATTGCTGCAACGTCAAGACGCAAATCTGCCTTGGAGGATGATACGCCGCGCGCATTCCGACAACTGATGCAGTTCCAGGAGAGAAGGCAGACGCAGCAGAGCAAAAAGCGGAGACGCGATGGCGATGGCAGCGATAGTGACAGCGGCAGCGAAAGCGATACCCCCGTTGTTCCGCGCAAGAATAAGAACAAGAAGCAATCAGTCACAACAACCACGAAGCCAGAAGAGGTAGAAACGAAGACGGTCGCGCCGAAGATCCTGCCTGGCGAGAAACTGGCTGACTTCGCGGCTCGCGTGGACCGCGAAATGCCCCTCGCGGATATGAAGCGGTCGAACAAACCAACATCTAACGACCTCCCTAAGATCCGCGAGCAGCGCACAACGAAGCACGAAAAACATCTGAAGAGGCTACAGTCGCAGTGGCGTGAGGACGACGCCCGGATCAAGGAGCGCGAGGCGGCGGAGCGGGAGGAACGGCAGGAAGAGATGGAGGAGCAGCTGCAGCTGTGGAAGGACTGGGAGGTTGAGGCTGGCAAAAAGAAGAGGAATCCGAACCATTCTGGTGGTGCGAAGAAGAGGAAGGGAGGCGAGGACGATGACGGACCTGATCCATGGGCGAAGCTGAAGAAGAAGAGGGCAGGCGTGAATCCGTTTGAGGTTGCGCAGGAGCCGCCGCAGTTGAAGAAGCCGAGGGAGATATTCAAGGTGCGTGGTGGGGCAAAGGTGGATGTTGCGAATGTGCCTGCTTCTGTGGGAAGTTTGAGGAGGCGAGAGGAGCTTGCGAATGAGCGGAGGAATATTGTCGAGGAATATCGGCGGTTGATGGCGGAGAAGAGGGGGGCTTGAAATAGATACCCAGTGTTGATTGCTACTTCTACGCATTAGTTGTTGGTAGAAGAATTATGCAATGACTTTTGCCTTCAATATCTATAAGAAGTCCAGGCTATGGATGCTTTTATATACAGTACAATAAACCAACCCAAGCAGAACACCGTGATCATCAAAAAGAAGCATTACGCCCTGCAGGAAATAATCAATCCTGCTGCAGAGACTTGACGTACTCCGCAGCCTTGGCTTTGGTCTCCTCAACCGTCTTCTCGTTGCCCTTCTTCTCCTCGTACTCGAGCCATTTCTTGAAGAAGAAGCGAGCCTTCTTAGGCTTGAGTTTCTTAGCCTCATCAATAACTAAGCCGGCACCCTTCTTCACGTCCTTGATGCCAAGGACCCGCTCAAATAGCCGGCGCACTTGCTCAGCATCACCGTTCTTGATTTCCAGGTCCAAAAGGACGTTCCAGAGATCAATGCGCTTGGGGAAGGAGGAGAGGAGGCCCTCAAAGACGGTGCGGCCACGTTCGACGTCACCGTTGGGAGAGCGGAACTCGATCTGAGCGAACTTGGATGTGGTTTCGACGTGCGTGTTCTTGGGGAGGGACTGGAGGGCGCGGGAAAGGAGACCACGACCGCGGTCGGGGGCGGCCATGGTGTCGTAGAGGAATGTGGCGTAGTTGATGAAGAATTTGGGCGAGTTGGGGAAGACCTTCTTCTTGAGGGCTTGTTTGAAGAGCTCGTCGGCTTTCTGCAACGGCTGTTAGTGTTTGCTTGAAGCCGAGTGCGGAGCGCAAGTGATTCTTACCTCGTTTTTGCCGGACTGGATGTAGATGCTCGTCAGCCGCTCGTAGATTTCCTGAGTATCGTTGTACTGGCAAGCACGCTTGAAGACTTCCTCCAGGGTATCGTCGTCGCCATATGTGTTCTCCAAGTTGAGCATAGCAACCCAAATGTTCAGCTTTTCCGTGTCTTGGCCAATGGTAATGGTACGGAGAGCACGTTCAGCGATCTCCCTGGCCTTGTCAACTTCTCCCAACTCGAGCTGGAATGCCATGTATCTCAGCCAGAGAAGCGATGAGTCAGGCTCACCAAGCAGGAGTCGTTCGAAGTCGGCGATCGATTGCGGCCCATTGGCATCAAGCTCACCTGTCCGGTCGACCTGGATTTCAGGCTTTCGGTGCTTTTTCTTCTTCTGTGGTCCCTTGTCCTCCTCATCAGACTCCGAATGCATGGCCTCGTCCTCATCCTTTGCGTCGCCGTTCCAATCGAAACCAACGGCACCAAGACCGCCCTGTCGAGGTTTATTCGCGGATTCTTCTTCATCGTCGTCATCCTCTTCCTCATCCTCGCTTTCCTCTTCACTTTCGCTCTCGTCTTCAAGGTCAACACCACCCATTGAAACATCGCTGTCGTCATCCTCGTCGCTCCCGTCAAATCCTTCAAGCTCAACTCCACCAAGACCATCAAGGCTGACTCCTGATTCATCATCCTCGTCACCACTCTCCTCATCCTCATCCTCATCCTCATCCTCATCATCGAAATAGGAAGCCTTGAGCCCCAAAGAGATCTTTCCTTGCTCACGATCAACCTTGAGAACCTTGGCCTTCACAGCATCACCTTCGTCGTACAGAGTTCTGGCATCCTCCACTCGGTTATCCGCCATTTCGGTACGATGGCAAAGACCACTAACATTGGAAGAGCCATCAATAACGATGAACGCACCAAATTGCTCGACCTTGCGGACTTTGCCCGTGACAGTTTGGCCAGGTTTGAGGTCGTGAAGCGTGATGGGGGCCTTGTAGTTCGGATCAAGAACTGATTCTTTCAGACTCATCTGAAGCTTCTTGTGCTCTGGGTCAACAACGGTAACTCGTCCCTTGACTAGCTGGCCAACCTGAAAAGAGTCTTTCCACTCTTTGAGATAAGAGTCCGAGAGGTCGGAAATTCGAACAAACGCGACAACATTTTGACCAACAGTAACGAAAAGACCGCCGTCAGAAACCTGTCGCACGAAACCGCGGATGATATCGTTGACCTTGACTTGCTCTATTGAGGTGATTTCGGGATCTTGAACGGAAAGAGAAGAGCTCAGTACTTTCGACGGCCGTAGAGAGAGATGGATCTTCCGGTTGGCTTTGTCAACACCAATGATACATGAGCGGACTACTTCATTTTTATGGTAAGCATTTGGATCAGCCTTCGAGAAGTCGTCCGCCATGTTGATTAAATCAACAGCACCGACGAGTGTGTTGTTAAGCTGCATAATGACCTGCTTGTCCGTGACTCTTGTCACTCTGGTAGGTAGGACCATGCCAACAGACAAGTCGTCAAAGGTGAGGCTTTCGGACCGTTCCCTAGCTGAGAGATCGATATGGCCCTTTTCGGCATCGACACCAGTGACGTGGAACTTCAGTGCGCATCCGATGGGGTATTGCTTCTGAAGGTCGGCGAGGAGAGACAGATCGTCCGATGCGTCGATGAATCGCAATCGTCCACGGACATTGGGTGATAAACTGACCCAGAAGAAATCATTGCCAGCATTGTTGATAAAGCCGAACGATGAAGACCCAGCTTGCACTTGCTCGATTGTTAGCGGAGTGGCGTTGTTGGATTTGACAAACTTGGGCTTCATGGAAAGCTCATAGACGTTGAACTTTCCGCTGCGGTGACTGATCGGAAGGAATGTGTAACTGCGAGCATCATGCAGACCCAGGACCTTCGCTGTCACGACCTGACCAGGGCGGAAATGAGCCAAAGGATGTTTCTTGTCTTTGATATCTTCCCAGCTGTCAAACACCTCGGATATATCAATACGACCCTGAACGTTGTCGGCGAGCTTAACATTAATCTGGGTTCCTTTGACGGAGTTGATCTTGCACTTCACGACACGACCAACAGTGATATCAGACTTGGCGTTCAGAGTTTCGTCAATGGGATTGGTGAGGGATTCATCACCAGCGGCTGCGGACTCCTTTGCAGATTTCTTGATCTCCTTCTTGGGTCCAGCGTGTGTCGCTTCCGAAGAATCCATACTTAGAATGAATCGACGGAAGTCCGTATCAAGGGAGTGCACAGTAGCAGAGACTACCTGGAAGTTAACCTTACCAAAGTCAGGCTTGTTCGCATCCTCGGATCCAACAAGCCGCTTGGGCACAAGGCCAGTAAGCCCACCAAGAAATTGCACGAAGAGGCCGGTAGGTGTGATATTCTTGATGAAACCGGTCACTTCAGCGCCCTCTTGAAGGTCCTCGAATGCGCTGGGCATTTTGGCCTCCTTGGCAGCCTTCTTAAGGCTTGCTCGGCTGGTAACATGGATGAGGCGATGAGCACGGTGGATGTCGAGGACAACGAGTTCGTTGAGTTTCTGACCAACACGGATCTTGGAAAGAGTCGAGGAACGCTTAGAGGAAGATCCATCGGCTACATGACCCACGCTCAATCGAGCCACGAGGCCACCGAGATCGTCTAACTTCAAAAGGACGTACTCGTCGGATTTTTCAAACACGGTACCGGTGACGGACTGCCCAGGACGAATAGTCTCGAAAGCCGTTCTGTAACTTTCAGCGAGAGAAGACTGGTCTCTGCAGGACACGGAAAGTTTGGCCTGAGCTGCGTCCACGTTCAGAGCATGTACATTGACGACTTGACCAAGCTTGAAGTGTTGCGAGGGATCCTTAATGTAAGCTTCACTCATCTCCGATACGGACAACCAGCCACGAACGTTGCCGTAGAACTGAACCACAGCACCATTGTGAAGGAGGTTGATGATTGTTCCTGGAGACTGGGCTCCTGGAAGAATGTCCCTGTAATCTTTCCAGACGGCAGCCTCGCTGTTCAACAAACTCTTCTTCAAGGTCAGACGAACCTCACGCTTTTCAAGGTTAACTGAAAGAACCCTGGCTGTGATAGACAACCCCTCGCGGAACTTCTTTTCGGGAAACTGTAGTCGGGTGTCTGCAAAGTGCACCGATGGGATAAATCCTGTGATGCCATCGGTCAAGGAAACTATTAAACCGGTAACACCTGATTCTCCAATCAGAACCTTGTTAATGGTTACTTTGACCACTGCACCAAGAGTAACATCTTCTAAGCGAAGGAAGGGCTGATCGATAACTTTCCGCTCGAAAGACAGAGAGTAGAGGTTATCAATGGCGCTATAGCCGACAACTCTTGCTTCATGGGTGGTACCGATCTTGAAAGGTCCATGGTCAGAAGTTATCGTTTCGACCTGTCCATCTGCGAGTCTCGATACATGGACAAAGCCCATATGCTTTGTGGACCCAATTTGAACGTAAACACCAAGGCCGGGATCTACGTTAACAACTGTAGCCTCGGGTATCACGGCCGAAATGGCGGGCGCATCTTCGGATGAATTGGGCCCATGACCCTCGGTTGTGAATTTCTGAACGTGGTCAAGCATGGAGAACCCGATCTTGTATGGTTCTGAGCCAGGAAAGGTGCACGAGATTCGGGCCTTAATCTTAGCACCATTATTGTACTTCTTCGTCAGGTCTGTCTTCCCTGTGGCGCCACCAGAGTGCACCAAGTCAACAGTGGTGTCCAGCATACCCATTATTTTGCCGATCATTCCGCTGGATGTTACATCCGTCAGGAGAATCTCTGCTGCAGAACCTGGTGCGAAAGAGTTGATAGTAGGCGCCACGCTGAGATAATGCGACTTCTTGATCGATCCAGAAGACTGGAGGTTGGCGGACAACTTGATCACATTGCCGCTGGCGTTTTGACCTGTCACCATGCACAGGAAGACAGATCCTTCCTTGATTGTGGAATAGTCGGTCCGAGGGTCGATTTCTTTCGATGACATGAAGCCCCTGACATCAGAGCCTTCAATACCTAGGTCCATGACCAGACCGTGGTCTTCCACGCTAAGAACAGATGCTTGAACGGCAGTATTGGCAACTATATCTGTCTTCTGGAGGCCGGTGTTCGCCGACCGTGGATCAACCGAAAGTTCAATGCGCTTCTTGCTCTTCGCGCTGGCATCGGCCGCCTTGTTGCCGACTGATACGACGTAGGTCCGTAAGAATTGGCCGAGATAGAAGTAGTCGTTGAGATCGAAATCCTCCTCGTCTGAATCCTCTTCCTCTTCCTCCAGCATCTTCTCAATCTTGCTCTCGAGAGTCTTCGACACGGCCGTTAGAGGCACGTAACCCGTCAGGTTGTTCGGCAGCGAGATTCCAATGTTATGGGTGTTTATACTCGAGACCTGTCCCAGGATAAGGGTACCCGGTACCAGACGCTGGCTCATTAGCACGTAGCAGCATTTTGCGACGAAAAAAAATCATCGTACCTTGAAGCTCAAACCCTCGATTTTGACACCCTTCTTGTCACGCTTTTCCTGCTTCGCGTCCTTCTTGCCTTTTGCTTTTCGCTTCTGCGATTTCTTGGCGGGGGCTGTCGCATCCTCCTCTGCGTCCTCCATATCCGTATCATCGTCGAAGGCTTCATCATCGTCTTTGGAAGGCCTCTTGGTACCGCTCTTTTGCTCGAAGAGAACATCTTTCGTCGCTTTAATGTGAATTTGCTTCCGCTCAAGCGGTGTCAAGACGCTCCCACCACCACGAGGGAAAGAAGGCTCGTCGTCTCGCAGCCCGGCGAGCTCAGAAGCTTTCGGCGCAGAGCCCGCGGACGAGCCCTTACCGTCCTTCTTCTGCTCCTCGGTTCCCACGCGCACACGTTTCTGGGGGTTGCGGGCTGATGCCTCCTCGGCGGCATTGCCCTTGCGCTTAATGGGAGCCATTTTGTGAATTGAATGAAAGCGTATAAGCTCTCACTCTATGTTCTAGAGTAAGGCCTTTGCGGGAAAAAATTAAAATTTTGGTAGACCGCCGGTGGCATAAAGCTACCGCCTTCCCAGTCTGAGCAGCACTCCCACTTTAAATGGAAGCTTGACCGCCTTCCTGCTCTGGCTGCTTCGCGTCAGGCACAGCACGCACGTCCACGTCGCGAGTCAAGGAACGAATCTCGCGAATTGTTGCTGGTGGATTCTCTGCTCCACCATGCCTCGAATCTCCCGGTTTGACTGACCTCCCCTCCTCTCTAACCCTTGTCCTCGCCCATGTAGAATGCCGTTGTATGATTGTATTCTCTATGGGACACAATGACTCGCGGTCATGATATGCCCGAGGTACCACGGTCTGAACCGATCTTCTCGCCAACTCAAGAAATCCCCTCCTCTCCGCCCTCAATAGCGTCCGATGCTGGCTTACGCCGCAAGCCGAAGAAGCCTCCTCCAGTCACGCCTCGTTCCTTTAGACGGTTCTTTACTCCTCGCTCGCTGCAGGATAGCGGTCTTGGGAATGCTGTTAGGACTAGTCGCCAGGCCCTAATGGCCCTCAGCTCTCCGGCAGTCAACCGCCTAGGGCCTGCTTTCACGAGGACATTGAAGGCTGCGATGAGCAAACCGGAAACTATAGATCTTTTGCGAACACCGAGCAAGAAGCGGAAACTGTCGTTCTCATCCATTGGCTCTCCTCTTCAGTCGTCGCCAATTCGCAAAGTTCGTGTACAGGGCTTAGTTGAGGATGACGAAGGGGTCGAGGTCCCTGTGAAAGAAATTGATGTCGGCGCTGCACTTCGGACGAACCAAGACGGGCCCCCGCCGGCCGCCAAACCTCCGCTCAAGGTCTCTACCGTCGCTCCAGTTCGACGATCCAAGGCTTTGCCGACCTCTGGGGCATTGTTCATGCGCAGTGTCATGGGAACTCGAGCCAACCGAGTAACCATGCGGGCAAATTCCGGCGTTGGTTCGTAAACGTCTTCATTAGCTCCAAATGTCACTTTCTCACTCTGCTTTAGGCTGGCAAGACTTGACGTCGACATTCTATTCGCGACCTGATGATAGTTATGCTTGTACAAGCTCGTCAGGCGATCGTCTCGCGCTCCCATTTTGCACTGCAGCATGCAACAGTACGTCGCAAACTCATCTGTGGTCGAACTTGATTAACCGTTCGTGCAGCCAATACACTCGTTGCCGTTGGCGATGAAGAGGGTGGTATTCGCCTGCTTGATTCAGCAAAAGACGATAAAGTCGGGTTCTCGAAAGCATATCTTACATTTCGCCCGCATGCTAATGCCATCATGGACCTGGATTTCTCATCCGATGATATGCTGCTAGCAACGGCATCGGGTGACCAGACCGCCATTGTCATCGACATGGCCACTCAGAAGCCTGTGTATTGCCTGTCTAACCACGTGTCTTCCCTGAAGCAGGTAAAGTTTCAGCCAGCCGCCAACAATAAAGTTCTTGCCACGTGCAGCCGTGATGGGAATGTAAACATTTGGGACCTGCGCTGCAAGGGCTTCGAGAAACCCGCTCTGCAGGTTCAGTGCTCTCTTGAATCCGAATCAGAATTCGACCCTGCCATATCCTCTAAAATGACCTACCCGCAAGTTCTGAATACCGTGCACGGCGCCCATGCGTGGATGCCGCAAATAACGACTCCCGAGAAGACTGAACCTCAGGTCGCCCGTTCTGATATCACGGTAACTTCACTTGCATTCCTCCCGCCTGGCCGCGAAAACCTTTTCGTGACCGCATCTGAAGCCAATGCCTGCGTGCGGTTGTGGGATTTACGTACGGCACATAGCAATCGCCGTGGCCGCCCTGCTCTTCCCCTTTCGACCACTCGAGAGCCAGATAGCCATATCAAATACCGTCGGTTTGGCGTTACCTCTATGGCGCTGGGTGGCGACGGTTCACGACTATACTCCCTATGCCGGGACGGGACAGTATACGCCTATTCCACTTCCCACCTGGTCCTTGGCCATGCTCCTGAGCTCTCCTTGAACAATGACCGCCCACGACGTTCGGGTGGGTCTGACAAAGACGGCCTCGGACCTCTGTATGGGTTCCGTCACCCGCGCTTACGGGTAGCTTCATTCTACGTCAAAATCGGCGTTCGCAAGGCTGCTGGTGACAAGCCCGAGATGCTGGCGGTTGGCAGCGGCGAACCTTGTGCTGTAATATTTCCCACAGACGAAAACTTTCTCGACCCTTCGACCCAACGGCAGGCTGCTCAACCTGACCAAACCCCAACAACGCCGTCATTCTCCACCCGTTCTGGTTTGCGCCGTACCAACTCAAGCATAGGGCTGTCACAACGCCTGGAAGACACAATCCCGATTTACCCAACAGGAACACCTCTGATTGAAGGCCACAAGAAAGAAGTCTCCGCAGTATCATGGACTGTTGATGGCGAACTAATCACAGTCAGCGACGATTACAGCGCTAGATGCTGGCGCGAGGGCTCTGAAGCAAGAGACCTGCGCGCAGGTGGAGAGACCGAAGGCCGTAGATGGCGATGCGGCTGGGCTGATACGAAAGACTCTTATGAAGACGAAGACGAATGATTTTAGCGAATGTCTTAACTATCCCATCATCTTGTGCTTGTTTGCATGTTTGGTTCTACGTGTCTTTCGGGTTTGTCCGGTGTTCATTGCAAGCATTTTGTGGCGTTGATGGCATATTCTTTTCACTTAGCGGGTGTTTGATTGCTATTTAGAGGGCTTGCACCCCGATTATACTGATATCAGCGGCGACTTTGCATAGAACAGGGCGTCTGCATGCACAAAGAAATACACTTCTAATTACCAGACAAACATCGTCTCCAGATGCAGTTCCGCTGTACCAACTTGGCTAGTGTTTTGATATGATGGTGCGTCTGTAGGCGTCAAGTCTCTGAGGGGATCATACTCTGGGTACTAGATCTTATTATACTTTTGTCTAAAATTCCGTACATACAGAAGTAGGAAGATCTCACGTCCAAGAAAAAAACGTTACTCTAGTGGTCGTGACCGTGTCCATCATCTTCCTTGCGTTCAGGATCCAGCTTAATCATGGTATCAATGCGCATAATGGCAATGCAAGCTTCAACAGCACTCTTGAGCTGCTTAAGCTTACCCATGCTAGGCTCCAGGACACCAGCTTTGAGGCAGTCGTGAACACGGCCCTTCGTCAGGTCGAGACCGTAGTTTCGGTACTCCTTCTTCTTGGCCACAGCCTTCTCTTTCTCGTTGGCCTCGCCTTCCTGGACGCGCTGGGACACGGCGTGGCGCTTGCGGAGCTGTGCGACGAGCTCGGATGAGTCTTTTGCGGCGTTGACGGCGAGGGTCTTGGGAACGACAAGGAGGGATTGGGCGAATTCGCCAATGGCCAATTGCTCGCGAGAGCCCTGTGGTTTTTGTCAAAAGGAGCACCGAAGGATGGGGAACATGTTACATACCACTGTGACGGCGAATTCTTCAAGGTACATGTGAAGGGCTGTCTCGACAGCACCGCCTCCGGGGACGATGCTACCACTCTCCAATGCTCGCTTGACAGCGCAGAGTGAGTCGTGCACTGAACGTTCCATCTCATCTAGACTGAAATCGTTGGGTCCTCGCAGGATGATGGACGCTGAAGTGTGGACCTTGGTACCCTTGACGAGGATACACTCGTCATCGGATATCCGGTCCTGGACAACCTCATCTGCATGGCCGAGGTAAGAGGCTTCGAATTTCTCATCTCCGTTCAGGTCAGAGAGTGTGCTGACCAGAGTAGCTCCGGTAGCCTTGGCAATGCGTCTTAAATCCTCCTTCTTGCATCGTCGAACGGCCATGGCACCCTTCTCAATAAAAAGCTTGAGAACCATGTCGTCGATACCTTTAGTGGTGAAGACAACGTTCGCGCCAGACTTGAGGATTTTCTCCACTCGCTCAATAACAATGCCGGATTCCCTCTGGCGGATCTTTTCAAGCTGATCGGGATCTTCAACTGTGATCTGAACGCCGAGCTTCATTCTTTCCTTCTGCAGGTTCATGTCGAGACAGGCAATCTTGGCGTCTGTTATCCGAGTCTTCATGGCCTGGGAAGCAACGGTGCAGTTAAGAGCATAGCCGTTGACAAGAACTGATTCTGTTCCACTCTTTCCGTGCGCCTTGAGCAGGTTCACTGCCTTGACTGGGTATTTGACTTCGTTCCTCTGGTTTGTGGTCTTGACCAGCAGCATTGCATCGACGACCAAGTTCGCGAAGAAGTCGGCATCGGCACCGATGATCTTGCTGGACATGGACGTCTTGGCAATGTTAATCAAGCTTTCCTTGCCCAGGTTGTCCACCTTTGTGGCGATGTTCTCATTCATATATTTCACGGCCTCCCGAAGCGCCAGCCTGTATCCGTTGATGATAGTTGTGGGGTGGATGCGGTTCTTCATCAATTCGTTTCCTCGTCGAAGGAGCTCTGCGGCAATAAGGACGACAGATGTGGTTCCATCACCGACCTAGTTGATAATCAGCGTATGTACTTCGGTGCAGTCGAGTATGGGTGGAGTAGTTAACGCACCTCCCTATCCTGTTGCTGGGCCAGATCCACAAGAATCTTGCCAGCAGGGTGCTCAATATCCAACAAACTCAAGATAGTAGCACCGTCGTTTGTAACCGTCACATCCTAGAAGTTATCAGAAATATATCCCAATATCGCGGGGTCCGCAACAAGCATACACCGATATCGTCGACCATCATCTTGTCCAGGCCTGAAGGGCCGAACGAACTCTTGACCACATTTGCAATCGCCTGAGTCGCAAGAACTGGATTTTTGTCAGGTTCAAAAGCAACAGAGTATAGTACAACGCATATTTCGAATCGACGTACCGCACTGGTCTCGTACGTCGGCACCGGTGATTTTCTGGCCTCCTAGGACTGTGTGGTTTGGTTAGTCGGCCGTTGGAGCGTGGAGATGGCATAATCTGCCATGGAGAGACGTGATACTCACAGAGAGTGTCCGCATTACGCGGCGCCTCGAAAATGCCTGCCATTTTTGTTCAGATGCTGCGTGAGCGATTGTCCAAGCTCCGACAGCTGCTTTTCGGGGGGGTTGAATGGGCTGCGCTAAGCAAAAGTTCTGCCGGTCGGGCGGTGACAATATTTCGATATCCCACTTGATTTCCCCCTCAGTGAGTCAACTCCCCCACGAGACCCTAGATTGCTTTTGTCCTTTCGGATTTCCGCTTCCAGGTCGACTTTCCAGGTCTCGATAAGGTCTCCATCAAAATGGCCAGCCAAGCTCCTGCCGACAACGCGGCTGCCCCTCAGGAACTGCCTGACCGCACCCAGAACCCCGCTGGAGAGGCTCCCCAGGGCGATGTCTCGAAGAACGCCGCAAAGAAGGCCGCCAAGCAAGCAGAGATGGCTGCTAAGAAGGCTGAAAAGGCCGCGAAGGCTGGAAAGTCTGACAAGGGCCAGAAGTCCGCTGGCAAGGGACCGAAACAAAACCCCGATAAGGCTTTGATTGGTATCGACGTGAGCAAGAACGTGGACTTCCCAGGCTGGTACCAGCAAGTCCTCACTAAGGGTGATATGCTCGACTACTACGATGTCTCCGGCTGTTACATTCTGAAGGTGAGCATTGGTGTGCTCTATGTGTATCAAAGAAAGTCTTTGTCTGATAACACGGCTAGCCTGCCTCGTACTCCATCTGGGAAGAGATCCAACAGTGGTTCAACCAGCGCATCAAGAAGATTGGCGTCAAGAACTGTTCTTTCCCCCTGTTCGTCTCTGAGGATGTTTTGCAGAGAGAGAAGGACCACATCGAGGGCTTCGCTGCTGAGGTTGCTTGGGTGACTCACGCGTACGGCATAACCCTATCTCTTCTTTGTTGATACATGCTGATGTTCTATCCTCTTTCACAGTGGCTCTACCCCGCTCGAGAAGAAGATTGCTATTCGTCCCACGTCCGAGACTGTCATGTACCCCTACTACGCCAAATGGATCCGGAGTCATCGAGACCTTCCTCTCAAGCTCAACCAGTGGAACTCGGTTGTTCGATGGGAGTTCAAACACCCCCAGCCATTCCTTCGAACCCGAGAATTCTTGTGGCAGGAAGGACACACCGCGCACCTGACTCAAGAGAGTGCTCACGAGGAGGTTATGTACATCCTTGACCTCTACGAGCAAATCTATGAGGAACTCCTGGCTGTTCCTGTAGTAAAGGGTCAGAAGACTGAGAAGGAGAAATTTGCGGGTGGTCTCTACACCACAACTGTGGAAGGATACATCCCGGCTACTGGTCGCGGTATCCAGGGTGGTACCTCTCACGGTCTCGGCCAGAACTTCAGCAAGATGTTCGGTATTACCGTTGAGGACCCATCGGCGAAGGGTGACGAGAAGAAGCCCCCTCTCCATGTCTGGCAGAACTCGTGGGGTCTGTCTACCCGTACCCTAGGTGTCATGGTCATGATCCACAGTGACGACAATGGCTTGGTCCTTCCTCCCCGTGTTGCTGAGACCCAGGTCGTCGTTGTCCCTGTCGGCATCACCGCTAAGCTCACTGAAGAAGACCGCGCCAAGCTCTACGCTGAAGTCGATAAGCTTGTCGAGACTCTCACTGACGCTGGTGTCCGCGCCATCGGCGACAAGCGTGAGGGATACTCTCCTGGCTGGAAGTTCAACGAGTGGGAGCTCCGTGGTGTTCCTCTGCGCATCGAGTTCGGCCCTGGGGAGTCCGCGGGCAACTTCGTCTCCACTGCCCGTCGTGACATCCCAGGCAAGGATGGCAAGGGCTCGATCCCCATCCCCGAACTCTCCGCCGCCGTCCCCGCTCTCCTCGAAACCATCCAGAAGGACATGTTCAAGCGCGCCGACGACCTGTACCGCAGCCACCGCAAGCTCATAACCAACTGGGACGAATTCACCCCCGCCCTCAACGACAAGAACATCTGTATCATCCCCCACTGTCTCACTGAGGAGTGTGAGGACCAAATCAAGGATATGAGCGCCCGCAAGGCCGAGGAGGACTCCGGCGAAGCCCAGGACTCTCGTGCTCCTTCCATGGGTGCCAAGTCCCTCTGCATTCCCTTCGACCAGCCTGAGGGCATTGTCCCAGGCGAGACAAAGTGCACTAACCCAAAGTGTACCCGATTCGCCGAGAAGTGGTGCATGTTCGGCCGTAAGCTCACCTCACCCCGAATATCAGCAACCAAGAGACCTGAATACTGACTATATTCTTCTTTTAGGTTCCTACTAATCCGAGCACCACTCAAATACTAGCGGCTACCCAGCGCATCTCGCGCTGGCTCCTAGTAAAACATCCTCACCCCCGCCGTTGTCGGCGGTTGGGTCTCCACGAATGACTCTTACGACTCTAACGTCACGTCACCCTATCGCCGTTTTGAGCATAGCATAGCATTGCTTTGCTTTTAGTCCGGTAAAGATAGATTTTTGTTCTATTTTCAGACTTTCCTCCCGAGGCGTAGAAAAAGTGTCTATGTATGTAGCAAGCCATGTAGTTAGGCGCAGGGGTGATAACAAGGGGCGCAGTTGCAGTGATTGATTGATCGTTTGAATTCTAGATACCTAAAGCAATTGGAATCGCGTTGCGTTGCGTTGCATATTCGAGTTTTGTCAGTTGGACAACCTGCGTATCTGTAAGTCAAAGTCAGGGGATAGTCACCCTCATCTAAATCTTGATATGATCTTCTAGTAATACAATACATCATCGGTAATCTTTGCTTTATTTTTCATGTTCAGTAAGACTCATCGCAGTGGCATTTGGTGCTTACGCGGAAGTGGCAGATATATATATTTAACCACATTGATTCAAAAAAGCAATTTCCGTCGATGGGGTACACCCAAGCCCTAACGATCTACCACACAGCACGTAGAAATAATACCCAGCTAAAGCTATACTCATGGATTTAGTGGTCCGTACTTCGCATGTATCGTCAAAAATAGCCTACAGGTTAAATCCGTACTAACCCTAACTAACGCCAAAAACACCGCCCCAGAACTTATGCAAAGATGGACAGACGACAAGAATGTGGAAATAGCTTCAGGTATATTCAGAAGATATGCGATGTTATAGGAAAGGGAGTTTGGGATATAGAAAGGGAAATGCTCCATGCTTGTATTGATGATGTTGGTAAAGCAAACAATTAGCCGCTTTTTACTAGGTGGGTATGAAAAAGGTAGGTCAGAACTGGTAGGAGTGCGCCAGGTACGGAGTATATGATAGACGTATGTATAAGGAAAGATCTCAAAAAGAAGGAGAGGTATTGTTGTAATGTAGTGCAGTGCAAGGTGTGACAAGGCCTCATGCCTTGCAGGGGTATACTTGTCATATGCACTCAACCGGTCTTTAATAGGACGCCACCGACTGGCCACTATTCGTACGATTTTTCCCGAATGAGCTTCGCAGGTTTACGCTGCGGCTTGACCTTTTTGGCCAGTTCATTAACCGGTAGGCGTTTCGTGGCGTCGTGTTCTCAGCGGCATAAGAAACGTTGTTTCCATCGACCCCATGGACCTTGACTTGTGGAATGCTGCTGACGCTGGGGAGATGAATGATATCCGAATCGCTGTCGGAATTGGTAAAGCTCCTTGGGCTATCGCTAGTGGGTGAAGTTTGGGCGCGCATGTAGAGGATCGAGGGGGTTGTATTGGAGCTAGGGTAGCTTCCGCCGCTCACGCTCACGGTGCTTATCCTGCTCTGGTTGGCTTCCGCCGAGCTTTCGGACCGAAGAATGAGATCCATGTAGGTGACCGGTTCCTCGGGAGGAGGATTGTGGTGTTGAGGGATTAATGTCTCGAAGAAGCCGGGCGAGGGTGGTGGGGCGTCAGTATGTCGCCGTCGGCCGGGGACTTCAAGTTCTCGACGGGGAGCGTTGGAAGGGTCGCTTGTCGAAATGCTTTTCCGTGTTTCCGAGTCACGCCGTGGCCTGATGAAGGAGCTCTTGCGGCGTCGCCTCTGGCCCTCTTTGAGAGCGATTGGCTTGGGGGGAGTGGCGCTCTCGAATGAGTCTTGAGACGGTGAAGGTGTGAATGGAGGCCCTTGCTCGGGAACGGGAACCCTTTGGAAAGCCTCGTGGGAGTTGATCTCGCGGATAATGGCATCTTGAAGGGTCTCGAATGTTGGGTGCGGAGTAATTTCTTGAGTGGAGGTGTATGCTTTGCGGAACATATCCATAATCTCGGCTACTTTCTTATTTGAGCTTGGTAATGGGGATGATGTTGGAGTTGCGACTGGTAGAGGACTGTTCATAACCTCTGCAATGCTAGGATTGTTCTTCGTGTCAAGGGTGGTGGGCGTTGGGGGTTGAATGGCCTTGTGCGTGATCTTTTTTGGCCTTCCTCGAGTGGCCAATTCGGTGTTGATGGAGAGATCCAGGATGTTCTTCTTGGATCCTGATCGCGGCCCCAATAAAGGCCTCCTACTACTCGACAACCGCGGACTTGGGGTGGACGATTCTTGCTGCCTCTTGTTGACAGATATGGTGGTGGGCAAAGTTGGGCTATCCGGTAGCGGCCGGTTAGTCCAGGAGTCTCCTTGCTTATGAGCCGGGGGTACACCCAGGTGTTGGGAGATACCATCTTCCGAGGTAGGAGTCAGTTCAGATAGGGTTGGGGCAGATCTCTGCGCTCGTAGAAGACCTTCAACGGCTGAATCTGATCCATTCGCGTCGGCAACAACCTGATCTCGAATAGATTTACGGACGGAGTAAAGAGCTTCTTGTGAGATAGAGTTGATGAGCTGGCTTTCCTTAGATCTGGAGCGCGCACGACCTCTCGCACCGTCTCTCTGTCGTTTGTCGTCCAGCTGATAGGACTGGCTCTCTGTGAGCCGACGAGCAGTGGGGAATGTGGTATTCTGAGCCATGTTCCGGTCCGCCACGTCCTCTTGATATAGGGCTGAGATAATGCGAGTGTAAGGACTGCGCTTTAGTGCTTCCCGTCGAAGGAACGGCACCATATTGCGTTCAGCAACGTCCTCATTGTAGGGTGTAATCGGAGACATTGTGCTAGAAGACTGCATCCGGTACCGATGAGAGGAGAAAAGGGCATCGACCAGGTCGACATGACGCGAGTTCTTATTCGTTAGATGGCTCGACGATCGAGAGAGCGGAGGTTGCGAAGGAGGCACAGGTCGTGCTTTCAGTTGATCATGCAGCACCTCGAATTGCCTTTCAATGTTTTGGAAGTGTTCATTCTCGCTCAATGTTGAGGACGGCACCGAGGGGGCTCGGCCCCGGGAGCTCTGTAATTGAGAGGTTCTCTCCGCCGAAACCGGGGTAGATGGGGCCTTCTCCGCATGAAAAAACCGTCTCAAAGCAACCATCTTGGCCAAAGCGCGGTGGTTTTGTAGAGGAGGAGGGACTGGCGATTGAGCTTAGGGTCGTGAAACGATTGTTGAGAGAATAGAATAGCGAATGACAGAAGGTGGGGGATTCGTAATGAGTGTGATTAGTGCGTCATAGTAAAAGCAAGCGAGCAAAAGAATGGCGAGGCCGAGTCATAGCATGTCGTACCTCAAGGAGGCTGCTGAAGGCGCAAAAGATGAAGCTGCAAAGCAAACGCTGGAGAAGCACAAAGAAGTTGAAGAGCGGCCATGCAGGAGGAGAGCCAGAGAAAAGAAAAACGGAAGAGGAAGGTCAAGAAAGAACCGGAATGAGAGTCCAGTTGGAAGAGCCAGGAACGAGGCTATGGGGTTTGCAGATCACGCGAAATCATCCTCGATCAGGGGAGACTAGAGACGAACTAACAGTGATCCAGCTCCACGGTGGATGGGGCTGCTATTATTATTATTATCACATCACACAAATAATATTAATCTATGGCTGATGAACATGGAGATCTTGACGAGGGATCGAGCATCTGTGGTATCTACCCGCATGCAGCTGCTATAGATGTCAACTCTGATCTGGCTGGACAGTTGTATACCGGACTGAGCTCGTGGACGCGGAGAATACTCGAGGAACATGGCCCCGGGGCCAACGTGTGATAGACCTTGGCGGCGTTAACTCGGGCAGTGACAGGCTGACAGGAACTCAGGAACAGCGCCCGGAATTTTGATCGGCAGGCGGCTTCCTCATTCGTCGGCGCTGGGTGGTCTGGGCTCACGACTCTGCCGGGACGAACTGCAAGCTGTGACGGACGGGGGGAAAGAGAAACGAAAGCCGAGGATCCCATTATTTCTCAGAAAAAGCAACAAACAAAGCAGTGCGCGAAGCCCAATATTTCATTCCACGGAGGACATGCTCGATGGGGTCGATCGTCGCTTAGAACCGCACTTCCTCTCTGGTACTTGTCTCTGACGGCTTCCCCTTACGGTCCATCGCCGAGGTCTCGAGTCTCGTACCCCGACGACGCCATCCGTTATGCTTTATACTCAAGCCGATCATGGACTCTCATAGCCGGGCTCAAATTCAGGCACAGACTCCAGCCAAGTCTCAAAGATTAAAAAACCTAAAGAGCTCCCCGCTCCGCCCCATCTTCAAATGGCGCTAGACTTTAAGCTCGCTCGCCCATCACAAAGGTGAAACACCGAGTCGGATCTTGATTCAAATCGTATCGCTTTAGTTTACGCCTGCATTCGCGCCCAATTTGTAGGCCGATCGATGAGATCTAGGTATCAGATTCGAGTGCTCAAAAGATGGCTGTTTGCCTGCCCCTCGCGTTTATACTTACAATATGCATTATGCAGGATCGCTGGCTCGGGTCGTGGATCTTGATTCGATATGTGATATATCACTCCAGCACCGTGCTTTGAACCGCCCACAAGGGCTTACCAAGCTGGTGCTGGCCATGTTTATTCCAAATGACAAGATGGAACTATGATGTACGCAGCTGCGGCATCGGCAATTCTTGAACTGAAAGTATGCTTTCCTCCACAACTCTCGAAGTCAGGGATAGGAAACTAAACGGTGTGACGATGGATCTCAAGAGCTGCTACGTGGTTGGAACGTCATGTACTAGACATGTCGATCAAAAAGCCCTTGCGCATGCTCATTCTCGCCCTCTCGTCGGTGCGGACACCTGGCTCACGCCGAGAGCCGAGGGCAAGCACAGGCAAACCTTTATCACCCAGCATCAACAACATGTCTTTGTTGTCCGGGTTTGGTAGCTTGGAACGAGTGTGACAAAAAATAGTGCAGGCCTGGAATCGGACCAACTCCGTTTTCCAAGTTTACGGAGTATCTTGGTATAGATCCGCAAATTCTTTCCGTAAAAGGGGGATCTATTGGCCGTTCAGCGAAGTCCCTGGGCCGGGCCTGCCCCTGAGACTAACGATCAATAGTCGCCCGGAGGATAAGCCGTTGATGCGACTTTGACAGCTGCGGCAACAGCATTGACACTTGATGGATATGAAGAATGGAGCTTTCTTGTAAAGCAAACATATCCCAAGTACTCCGTTATGCCATACGGACGATAGCATCAACAATCGGACGTGATCACGACGGCCCCAGAATCGAGCAGGCACAAGCCGCAGCCTCAGCCTCCTCGGCCCTGGCCAGCCTGCAAACTTTGAATTCTAGGCCCCAGAAGTCAGAAGGCTCAGACTTCCGATCATATGTCATGTCTTTCCTGACTCGTAGTTGGCAGATCGTGTACCTCTCATTCGCTCAGCCTCAGAATAAAGTCCGCCTCGAAAGAGTCGAAACAAAGAACAAGCCTAAGCTAACCCAGACCCTCATGAGTCAAGTTGCGACCCATCACTGAGTTGGTCACCAACGCGATATGAAATCCATTGCTGTCGTTGGCTGGAAGTTTTAGGCCGACTCCATGAAATGAATCGTGGTGTGATATCTCCTACCTCAGCGAACTAAAAAAAGCCCCGGCCCTAGTGATCTCTTGTTTCTCTCCTTCTTTCCTTCACTCCCTCTCTACTCCGTATCTTGCACTCATCGTTACCCCTCTCTTCCATTTCTGCGCGGAAAGGCTTTACCGGTATAGGTCCCGCAAGGTCCTAAGGGTTGCTTCTTGAATTAGTATAAGGAGGACTTTCGACGGTGAGATGCAATGAATAGACTAGCGTCGAATGACTTGACAACAGGTATATCCTCAACCGTTATCAACCAGCCAAAGCAGGCTATCTGGAAATCTAGACCAGCCTGACCTTTTTACACAACAAGTCTCGCAATGTGTACAACCACCTAATCAGGGCCTGCTCCTACTGTTTGTCGCAACTACCTTCCTGCGGTACCTAACAGAGCCTCAATCTCTTAGTATCTCGTTCGTGGACTACGCTATGCTAAATATACTTCAAGGGTGCGGGAATCTGTTTAGTCCTCAGTGTACTTTACCTACCACATGATACAACCCACTCGCATCCAGTAGACCAATTCTGGCAGGGAATAGATCTACTTGAGATTTTCATTCTAACAGTAGACACATTCTCTTCTGGCATCTACTTTATTCTTTTGGTAGGCAAGCTTGCAGAAATTGCACTGGGCTATTGTGAGTCTCTCCGAGCAATTGTCACCACGCACCCCATTCTCCTGGTAGCCGAGTCATATACAATAACGATACACTGACCGGCAAGGTTTTGGTGAAGTGATTGACCTACCCGATGCGGTTGGCGAATCGATTTCATCTTACTAGCTTTGAGATGGTAAAGGAAAAAAAAAAAACTGAAGAACAGGGATGGATTGCACACTATCTCGAATTGCATAGACATCCTCACGTGGAGAGATGTTAATCAAAATGTATGAGATGCCCTGTCTTGCTTATTCCTCAATCCTATTGCTAAAGCCTGGTGACCTCCAATCTCCCTGTTATCAATCAACGATTCCACCGCGCATTCCTTACAACCCCAATAAACCACCAATCTCGATCCTCCTGATGAGCCAAATTGCGCATGAAACTCCCCTCCAGCTCCCAGGGCATCAAAAACCACATTCGAGATCAAAACTCCTTAATCCATCTCCTCGGCGTTGATGACACGGCGAATGCCATCAGCCTCCTGACGCTCAGCCTCCTCATCCTCATCCTGACCCTCCTCAGTCTTCACCTTTGCCTGTCTCTTGCCCTTGGGCTTGGGGGTGGCCTTCACGGTCCTGACTTTCTTGGGGGTGGCCTCCTTGGCAGTCTTCCTCTTCTTGAGAGGAGAGGGCTTCGGGTCACCAGCTTCAGCATTAGCATCAGCGACAGTGACATCTCCATCCTCGCCCTCGTCGCCGTTGCCATCAGCGCCGCCCTTGACGGGGCTACCGCCGTTGACCATGGTGACCTTTCCATCGGGGTAGTTGGCTTCGACTTTCTGCTTGAAGCGAGCCAAGCGCATGCGTGCAGCGGCGAGCTTGAGACCCGTGGCCGCGCAGACCTTGTCGAAATCGATCTGTGCATGATGGTATTGGTTAGTGCATGCTTGGAATCATGGCAGGGCATGGGATGGGGTACGGAGAGCTGAGACTGCCGGGCGGGATGTACGTACTTTGCCTCCATCTAGGTTGGTGAGGCAGAGGTAGAGAAAGGTCTGAGTACTATCGATGGCAGTTGGCGCAGACATCTTTGCGGTTTTGCTTGATGGTATCTGTGCTGGTGGACTGAGTGCAGAAGTTCAGTTAGGGTGACCCTTTACGGGCTGTGTTCAGAGGCTAAACAAACCTGTCTTGGAGGAGATGACGGTTGGTAGGCAGCGTACGCTGTATCAAATCGTTGGTTGCTGAAATGAGAGTAGGTAGATGGAGGTGGGTAGGGAGATGGAGATGCAGCGTTTAGGGAGACTGTGCGTTGCAGAAAAGAAGAGTGTGTAGGAAAGATGACGAAGAGGAAGATGAGAAAGAGGTGAAAGGAAGGAATCTGTGTTAAAGACATGAGGGTTGGAAGGGCATAGCAACGCCGAGCATAGTAACGCCGAGCATATAGGCAACGATATGGTTGTGACAGACAGCCTTCACTCTTCTTGCAGGTTAGGATTGACTTGCACATCACCTTTGTCTCAGAAGTGAGGCCTATCCTATTCAGCAGTTCCTCTTTGATATGAACTGCGCTTTGACTGCAAACCGGTCATCCATTGTGTAGCCCTAACTTGAAAGTGACATCGATCTGTGGAACAAGGAAGAGGACACAACTACTGTTTCCGGCGCCTCGAAGCATTTCTCTTCAGCGGGCAACTGCCCTGAAGGAAAGAGCCATGAGTCCAGACTCAGTCATAAGATACTGCAGCTACGGGATGGAGAGAATAGAGGCTTCAGACGAGCGGGCAAGAACTAAGTATATAACAAGAGCAAAAGACCAATCCGCACGTTGAAACTGCAAGTCGAGACAGCTGATTACAAATTATAGCGTGCTTTCAGAAACAAAAGGTGATAATCCAGGAGCTCAACCTTGGGAGCTGAAGACATCCCAGTAAATCCAGGCGGAGTTGTAACAGTAACAATATTCTTCAGCCAGAAAAACCCTACCTCTCAGGCTCATACCTGCCCTAGCATCCGATCACAGATGGGTTGGTTGGTGCGCAAAGGTAGTAATGCTCGTCAATGTCCGCACATTGTATAGGGGTTCTTGACATGAAGTGACAAGGTTGCTTTTCGTTCGAGGTTATAGTGCATGCAGTAACTTGGCCAGACTTATAGCTCGTACCAATCGTCACCATAGCGTGAAAACTAAGGTTCCAATGGCATTGCTGTTAGTAAACCATGGATAGATACGTAGCCTAGACCTACGGAGAGACAGGGAACTTCGACGAACGTATGATGCAGTACCGGGCCTGTTTTGGTTGGGAAGAATTAGCCAGGAGTATATGCTTCGTGGGATAGTTAAGTGTCTGATGCCAGGGCGTCCATGACCGATAAACCATGCATCACGTACCATGTCTCTTGACGCCTGCAGGAGAAGAGGAATGGGAGATCAGCTGAAGCTGTCACTGCGACTGCTGCAGCATGAGGAAGAAGCTAAAGACGTGCATGTTGAAGATCTGAATTGTGGTGTTGTGCGGCTTGAGGGATTGAGGTAGGATGCGATGGTGAAAGGGTGGTGCGGTATTCTTATACCCCGACACCTCGTTCTATCTATGGACATTGGCATCTGATTGAAACAACTGTGCTGCTTGAGATGCACATTATAGATCTACCGTAGACAAGTGTGATCTTGAATGTTGCTGTACAGATCGCGGTGTATTCGAGTATCTAGAGTCAAGGTCCGGAAGATATTGACCATGTGAAGTACCGCGCTCAGCGGCTTGTTGAAGACTAGTTGAGGATCGGGTATAGACAAAAGCTAAAGCCATAAATATTGTTGATTGAGTACGTAAAGACATGATCATATCGTATTATGCAGTGCCACTCGACAGCCCAGCAAACCGCATTGCCGATTCCCGAACAGCCTCTGCAAGAACCGAGTGTGCCCCGCGCGCGGCATCTACAGCGCCATCTATCAAAGCCTCGTGGCTAAGATTTTGATCTGTTGTCCCAACCGCGGCTTTCGAGTTGTCCCCCTTTAGCCAGAGTTCGGTAATTTCATCCCGCGCAGGCATATAAGCAACCACACAAGCCGACAGTATTGACTGATGCTCCGCCGGGTCCGTATCCAGCATCAACCTAGCAGCAGTTCCATCGGGAGTCTCATCCGCAACCACAGCAGCTACACCTCCAGCAACGAGGTCAAGACAGTCGATCCGGGCGTCAGAGATGGCCGCAGAAGCAGCCGTGATGCATCCAGCCAGAACATTCATCATGCCCCACGCCGCATCATGAGAGTCCGGTGCGTCTCCCCACCACCGATCGTCCTCGGCTTCCAAGATCGTGATGGTGATATCAAGTCCACTCTTCGGCCATCTCTCTGCGACAATCACGCCACGGAGCGCTGTCTCGAGGTGTACGCCCAGATCACGCTCGCTGGCATCGCGGATGTGCCCTTTGCGCTTGCGAGCGGCGAATGGGGCGTATTTGACGTGGGTAGTGAGGACGAGGTTGGGAGAGAATGTCGCGGATCGGGGGAGTGGTTTAGGCCCGTGGACCGTGCATGCGAGCTTCAAGGAGGAAGAGGGAGGCGTTATGAATTTGGGAGATGCCCGTGCAGCGGAAAGAGATGCTGAGGGTTCAAATTCTAGGTATGAGGATCCAGAGGCAGAAGGGATCAGACCGGTTTTGAGGACTAGCCAGAGTAAGCTAAATAGTATAGTAGAAAGGCATGAGCCTTACAGATCTTCCGCAGCTCATTCGGCTGCCTTTGTCGCTGTGGTCGCTCCGCCGTAGTCACAGTGGCAGAGGAAAAGACTGGAGGCCGGGTGCCGCCAGGCGGCCCATTGATTCTTCGTCTGTCAGTCATTACACATGTCTCAACTGCCGGCAGTTCCTTGAGCGACCGAGAACGATCGAATAAGAGTGATTTGAAACTTGGAGCTGTCGTCGCAGCCAAAGCGGAATCTACAATTTTGAGAAAGTTTGCACTGTTTGCTTTGGGTGGAGACTTGCTTAGCTCCGCCCTCTTAAGCATTTTTTCTCTCGCGTTTCTTTCTTCTTCCTCTTCCTCCCACACAAGCTCGGCTTTGCTTCAAAATGATGAATCTGCCTTGACTGCTTTGCTCCATGCAACTGATCAATTCAACTCTGTTGATTGCTAACCACATACTGTGAGTTCCCTCTTCCTTCACGTCTCCCTGCTTTCATGAGGAAATCGATTCCAAAAATCGTAGTTCTGGCGACAAACAAATGGGCCATTGAACAAACATGCATCACCATCTGATATGCACCTTTCGAAGCTACTCTGTCAACAGCCCGTGTAGCGAATTCCTGCTGACAGCTTCAAGGTAGTCTAGGTCGTTTCTTGAGGACATTGCGACAGTGTTTCCTGCAAAGGTAAGATTTCCACGCTGCTTTGAACTCTCCTTTGCATGATGAGACAAATTTTTTTCAGTTCTGCTTCTGCAAAATCCTTGAAGAAAAACAAATACCTTACCAAATCTCCTGATGCTTTCCATCTTGCCTACCTTGTCACTTGCTCGACTTTGGTTCAACAAGTACTGACAGCTAGAAGAAACAGGTCACACCAGCCAAGCTGTTGTGTAAAGGTACGGATATTCGCAGTTCTATATCCACTGCCCGCAACGCTTTTATGATGACAACTAGTCAATCCATTCAATGATCCTCTTTGAGGAACCGCCCTTCGAGCCTGTAGCTGCCGATGTGACCTTGCACTTGGATTCAGCGATCTACTTCTCCGCCTCCCTGATACCGGACCTGGTTTTCACCCGTTTCTTCGGAAGCGGGCTGGGTACCTGGGAGGATGGTTGTGGAGTGTCGGAAGGTGGGCACATATTGCTGTCTCGCGCACAGGTTGATTTAGCGATTGCTTGCTTGACTTGTGTCAGGTCTTGATGGGAACTCGTTGTCCGTCTTGGGTGGCTTGTTCCTTGACTGGGCTTGGCAGGGGATGGGATGAATTAACCGGCTTGTCTGATTACACTTGCTCCAAGTGCCATGGCGACGAAATCGCTTACACGGACCACATTCTCGGTCAGTCGGCTGACAGATGTCCAGTGTAATTGATTGCTTGGTTGTCTTCTCAACAACCTTCCTCTAGTGTGAGTTAACCCCACCCCGTCATGTTCTCGCGTTCCTTCACCTTCCATGATCACATGATGAAATATTTTCGGATGTAAACTCACAGACCTGTTCTGAATGCGCAAAACCATGTGGATATTTCCGTTGCCTTCCTTCTGAATGATCATGCCCCTACACTATGCTGTTATATCACTTGACGAGAAGAGGAATATGTGGCTAACCTCTCTCACAGAATGCAATCTTCCAGTTAGTTTTGGAAAATATGACTATCTTAATCAATTTTTTTTATCCCGCGTAACTGGCTCCTAAAACTGTTCCTATCACCGCCTCTAGACCCTAGCAACATATTCGCGCAAATGGCCATAAAATAAAATCCACGCATCCAGCTTAACGATCCCGTCTGCCAAGTCAAACGCAAACCGCCGTCTCCTGGCCCTGCTTCCGGACCTTGGATTTTGCCGCTCTGTGCTACGGTGCGGTTCTTAAGGTCGATGTGCGGGACGAGGTAGAATTCAATGGACAGGTATCTCAATTCTCTTTCACAGCAACAGTAAACCATATGTACATGTTAAAGCTGGAAACCACACCACCGCCATGCACCCGTATTCACCCAATCCGAACCCCTATCAATGCATGCATCTTTGTGTCTTCGCTGGACATCATTTCATAATAAGAAAAAACAGCCATCAAGCTCAATAACTGCCTACCCACGTCTATTGCAATATAACCTTATCCGTCTATCGTTGCTTTTCCGTGGTTTATTCTTTCTTCTTGATTGCTCACTCTTTGCTTTCAGTTGGTGTGGTAGCACCATCCCGCGACATACTGTATGGGGCCTAGTTGTTGGGCACAGACGATATTAACGATGCGGAACGCTAAGCCATTTGGTTGGATTTGAGAGAGAAACCAAGGAGAGTTCCAGAAGGGTTAGGGTAGAGGCTTACCAGGACCCTCTTTGCGTTGCAGATTCTCCAGGCGAGATTACGCACGTTGCCGTCTGAGCGGACGACCAAGGGGGCGAACTCAACGCCGAACCTAGGGTTGGCAGGTCAGTACCGTAAAGTAGGAGGGGTTATTGAGCATACATTTGATGGACCGCAAAGACAACCCGTTTGGCAAATTTTCCGTCTCGGTCAACGAGGCTACCGTACTGTTCCTCCGCGGTCTCAGGAGCGATTTCCGGGTCCCGGTCGAAGCAGTTTTGGATAACGGGTAAAAGGCTCGTTTCGACAGCGGTCTGGGACATGTCGAAGTGATCTTCCTCTTCAAAACGAGGGATGCGGACTTCGAACGGTCTGGAAATGGCCATGACATTGTGCTTGCCGCTGTGGTGATAGCGAAATTCGAAGACACCTTGGGTCCAGAAAAGCTTATCGCCAGAGAAGAGGACCTCGCCTGTGGCGATCAGCTTTTCTGGATCAATGGTGCTTGAAACGACCACGTCGCTGGTGATGATTCCCTGCTCGCAGGTGAGGTTGTCGTAGGAGCCTTCGTTGACGGCGACCCATCTTCCTTGGGAGGATACACGGGTAACTTCTCGAGAGGTGTTGTCGGTGACCTTGTAAAGGCCGATCCAGTCCTTCTTGCTGTGGTTGAGGGGTGCAGTCCACTTGACCTTTACCGGAGCGCCGTATGTGAAGACTAGGTTCCATAAGTCACCACGGCGATCAAGAGGCGTGCGAGCATTGTCGCCCTCCTTGCCCAGGTCGCCCTCATCTAGAGGCAGCGGGCTTGCTTCGACAGAGAGAGAGTAGTCCCGTAGGTCGTACCCAGCCAGATCGGCATCGATGCGCGAGATGGTGACACGAGCTGGATAATTTTGGAAAAGGGCCGTTGTATCCCGAACGAAGGTGTTTACACCGGCCGCGAGTTTCGGTCGTGCGGCATCGATGATTTCCTCAATGAACTCGTATGAGTCGTCGAACATCTTGTCCACGCTTCCATGAAGTTGTCTTAGAGATGGAGGTAATGACTTCTTTAGGCTCTTCACGAGTCCAGCATCTTGACGCAAGCTTCTGCCGTAGAGCTTCTGCATATGAGGTCGCTCCACGAATTGAATAAAGGCTAGACTGAGGATATGGCTTAAGAAGGCGAGGAACGCGACTGTTCCGCTGGCAGTGATGAGAACCGCACCCCAGACTCCTGCGAGCCCTAAGACACGCTCAGGATTGTTCAAAAAGCGATAGATGCCATTGTAGGTCAATTTAGGGGATTCATCGAAGAAGAAATCTCCGTAGAACCAGCCAAACTCGCCAAGTGACTCGTAGATGCTCACTGAGGTCCAGATCTGCAGAGAGATAAGCCCAGCTCCCAGCACATGACGCAAGATGACGAGACCGTAACCCCAGTCAGATGGGAAGGTATACATCTTCCATACGGCTGCAATGAAGCTTGCGTAGCACATGATCATGCTTAGGTGATATGTACCTTTCCACTGGTTCCATGCCTCGTGAGGTGTTTCGCCATATTTGACAAAGTGTCGGGTCCACGATTTACAATTGGACTGCTTGTTGAGAAGACACCCGACGCCCAACGAGTACCAGAGCCTCCAAATGGCCGCATTGACCACGAAAAGGAACTGGTACCAGGGTGTTGAAGGCGTCAGGACAGTCAGAGAGAACATGAGGACCTGGACGAGGGTTGAGGAGCTGTCCGTGATTCTATGAAGGTCTAGATTGTGGAGCCCTATAAGGTTGTGAATGGCCGGAGGTGGGCTGCTGAACGTTGTCGCGTTGGGAACATTTTCTTCGGATACGGATGGCGCGTTTGGAGAATCCGAGAGCGTGTCCTGCTCGGTGATAGTACGCTTCCGTGGTGGAGGAGGATTGTACGTCTTGTCAATATGTGGGTTCTCGACCAACACGAGAAATGCGAATTGAGCTGCATGGGCGATGATAGAGATGAACAGCACTTTGTAGCTTGCCGCCATCAGCGAGATCCCGTAATAACCAGCATATCCAACGGAATACATGGGATGGGGTGCCATCTCAAATACCCCGTCAAAGGTCAACTCTTGGTCGATGAGGTAGAAGAAATCACCCCAATACCAGGCATAGTCCTTGACCACGCGGTGGGCATCTAGTTTGACCCAGAGGTTGAACAAGAATAGAGCGATGCCAGATATCCATCGGACAACGGTCATTAGCACGCTTTCGTCAGCAGGATGGCGACTACAAGCTATCGCAAAGAGGCAGTAGGAGGCGAAGTCGCACATCAAGATCAGATCCACAAGGCGTCTGAAGACAAGCCAGGTGTTATACTCAAGCGGGGCTTCCTCGAAAGAGTAGTCCTTGGGAATCTTGGTCTCCAATTCACGCTTGATCAAATGATATAATTGAGGGTAGGGGTTCCTGCCAGTAGCCGGGTTCACGAAGATCTGAGACTTCTCGGCCCAGCGAACAAGGGTCTTGTGGTGGGACTGGTTGTGAAGTAACCAACCGATCCCCGCATTGTAACATGAGCGCCAGAAGAGGTAAATAACCGCAAAGACGGGAATTTTCGCATCTGAAGGAAGTTTCCACAGTAGTACGATATGGGCAACCAGTATCGTCAATACCGCGAGGTCAGAGAGGTTCTTTGGCTCAGAGGGTGACAAGAGCTGGGAGACCATATCATGGGTTTGAGGTACGGTGAAAACTGGAAATATAAGTCAATACGCGCAATACAGCCAGCAAAGCTCAATTGATAGGTGAAGTTACCTGTACCGTCTGGAGTTCGACCAAATGTCTTGCCGGCTTTGTCCTTGCCATTGTCCGCATCCTTGACGGTGGGGTTCTCAGTAATGACGTTTAGGTCGGCCTGAGAAGTCACAGCTCTTTCCCGCAGCCCACCATCGGGCTGTTGGGTGCCTGTTGAGAGGCCACGATCCATGATTGAGCGTTGAAAAGAAAAGAAAAGTTGAGAATGAGGACAGAGTGCGAGCGGCATGTGATGCTGCTTTATTTAAGAGCTGGCCGGGGTCGGCTGACCTGATTGGCCTGGGCGCAGGGGCCGACTAGCCTCATTGAGAGGAGCAATAACGTCACCTGGGGCACTGCGGCAGGAACTTGGACTACACAACAACGTTCTGGACAACCTCTGAGTATGATAGTCCCTGCAGTATTCCCTGCAGTAAGTGAGACGGGAACGCTTGATCGTCGCGCAATTCTCTCTTCTACTCCCACTAACGAAGTCAACTCTCCAAGACTGCCGGAAGAGACCTCGCACGCCTAGACTTCTCCAACCGAGACGTGGAGCCCGGATCTTCCCCCGGCGAGGAGGGGGAATGGAAGTCCAGAGTCTCCGAGGGAAATAATTGCTGAATTTGAGCGCTCGAACCTCTTGGAAAACCTTGCTGATGCGGTATCACAGCATAAAGGATCCCAGCAGCGCTGGTATGCATGGACCACCGTGAAGCGGTTATCGCGGGTAGGATCTCAGTCCGAAGCTTTGCGGTCAACAACATTTCTCTTACTCAAATGCTGTCTACATGCATGTGAGTCCGCTGTAGTCATCACATACGTTGGCCAATTCGGATACGCAACAATTCAAGGGTTAGTCTATGGAGTACCACTGACAGGTCTACTGCGTGTATGTGTTTTTGCGGGACACTTGCTGTCCGCAATTCATCCTATGCAGAATACCTTTGTCTCATATCCCTCAATTTCAAGAATGAACTTGCAAGATATAATCAACGCGGATGTATGCCAGCTTTAAATGACTGCCCGCCTTTATTTCCAGAGTATGCTATGATTCAAAAAGCGCAGTCAAGCAACGCCTTAGAATTAGCCTTTAACTCCCTGGTCCTAATGGCCAGGGCCCTATCATTATTACAGGGATATGCCTGCCGACATCGCGCATGGGACCCTTGCAGATCTGTCCTCAGGGCTGAAGTATTTTCTGTATTTGCTCTGTTCATGCTAGGACAGTGAAGGTCACGCTCTGAGATCCTTGCTTCTTGAGCATACCAGTGCCCATAACGCCATCTCATAGTATATATCACTTTGTGACCGACAAACACCCAATACAAATGGTCTAGTAGAGTACTTCGAAATGGATCTATATAGTCACGTGAAACTCCGACACCGCAACGGGCAATCCCCGCGCCAATCGCCACTGCTGATTATCAAGCAGACAAGCACTCCTCCGCGGACTTGCCACTACTTCTATCAGTCGCTTCCTCCTCAATTTACTTTGGTCTCGACTTGATACCTCACTTTGTCTATCTAAATCTGCGCAAGTTGATAACTGCGTTGACCTCATCTCGCGGCAGATCAGTGCCAGCGGTGCTATTACCCCGCCAGTACCCGCCAGTCTAATAACGATGGCGCCCTCCTTCACAGAACCAACATCAACTTACCTCGAGGCGCCGTCAAAAGCGCCTCCAAACCTTGTTGCTCCAGAGCCTGGTACGCTTCTTCAATTTGTCTTCCTCTGCAACCACTAAACCATTGCAGAACACTGCCCAGGCCCCGAATCCGATCAAGCAGGTCAAGGCGATGCGTGCGCCGGCTGCCCAAACCAATCAATATGCGCCTCCGCCCCCAAAGGCCCCGACCCCGATATCCCTCTCATAACCGCCCGTCTTGCCTCTGTCCGACATAAAATTCTCGTCCTGTCCGGTAAAGGCGGCGTCGGGAAGTCCACTTTTTCATCGCTCCTCGCCCACGGCTTCGCATCGAACCCGGACTCGACAGTCGGAATCATGGACACCGATATCTGCGGCCCCAGCATTCCCAAGATGATGGGCGTCGAGTCCGAGACCATCCACGTCAGCAACGCCGGCTGGAGTCCGGTCTGGGTATCCGACAATCTAGGTGTGATGAGCGTGCAGTTTATGCTGCCAAACCGAGACGACGCGGTTATCTGGCGCGGGCCGAAGAAGAATGGGCTCATTAAGCAGTTTTTGAAGGATGTGGACTGGGGCGAGATGGATTATCTGATTGTCGATACGCCACCTGGAACTTCGGACGAGCATCTTTCTGTCAATTCTTTGCTCAAGGAGTCTGGAGTTGATGGTGCGGTTGTCGTTACAACGCCACAGGAGGTCTCGCTTCTGGACGTGCGCAAGGAAATTGATTTCTGCAGGAAGGCTGGAATTCGTATTCTTGGTTTGGTTGAGAATATGTCCGGGTTCGTCTGCCCGAGCTGTGACCATGAGTCAAAGATCTTCCGAGCCACGACAGGTGGCGGGAAGAGGCTTGCGAAGAAGATGGGCATTCCGTTCCTAGGCGCTGTGCCTTTGGACCCCAGAGTTGGAATGGCGTGCGACTATGGTGAGAGCTTTGTGGATAACTTCCCGGACAGCCCTGCATCCATTGCGATCAAGCAGGTCGTTAGGGCTGTTGGGGGGTTTGTTGGCGAGGATCCAGATGATGTTTTGCCCGACGCCGAGTGATTTGTCGCACTGCCGTTTTTGCATTTTCATGGAGTTTTCGGCCTGATATATGAGTCTTTGCATTGATACCATATGATTACTCTCTTTAGCATTGGATATATTTAGACTGATGAACAACGTCTTATCTACGAATAATTAAGACCACCCTAAAGAGGCACACTCAATCACACTCTCCGTAACCGCCTCCTTCAAGCTATAGCTCCCTTTAATCCTAGCTCCCTTTAATCCTCGGGCCAGCCTTCTCCACCAACTGATACCACTGCTCAACCGTCCTCAACGAAGCCAGCATCGTTATCATCGTAACATCAACCTGCGCCACATGCCAATGCGTCCCCGTATTCGGGCATCATTAATTAGGATGCTCAAGTCCTCATAGGAGGGACTATATTCTTCTGTAGGATAGTGCACCTCTCATCAGGGTAATCATGCATATTGTTCGACAGGAAGTAGTACTTTGCGTTCTTGATCGGTTGAGCTTCGAAAAGTTGTGCGCCATCCCTTCCACGCCGTCGCAGGGGATGAGGGCCGGCAAGACGGTGGGGTCCTGTACTATCATGCGGTTCTAGATGCTTGGGTGGCGCTGCTTCAGTTCCGACGGTTGCGGCCCCTTCCGCCGATGTCGACGAAAGGCTGCTCCGGTTTTGAGGGGCTTCTTGGAGCTTCGAGACCATGGGTAGACGTCGAACCACCTTGGTTTGCTGGAGTGGGTGGGCTTTCTCAAAGGTGTTGAAGTGGGAGTGGGCTTTGGGCGGGTTGGCAGCCAGACTAGGAGTCAGTTGAAGGCTTTTTGCATGGGGGTGTTTGTGGGCTCCGTGATGTCTTTGTAGGCGTTCTGTTTGAGATAGTCTGGTAGGACTAAGGTGGCGGGGCCGCAGTCGTCGAGGCTGATAGATATACCACGGAGACAGGAATGGGTTGGCAGAGGCGCCGTGCCTGTCTCCGTGGCCAGGTATCTTATTGCTAATGGCTCCCTGCCTTTGGAGAGAATGCTGAAGGGATTAAGATCAATGACTACCGGGGACTAGGGCTGTTTGCATGGGCTGTATCCGTCTTAGACATCAATGGAGTAGTCTCGCAAGACTTGATGGTACGTACCGTATAGGATACCCAGTTCAGAGAGTCTGTAAGGGAGTTCAAGATGTGTTCCGAGTGGCTTCATCTGCACCACTGGCCAGGGCATTTACTTGTTCGGCAATGCTCTCCATGGTGGTTGATTTCTTGGAAAGGGGAATAAAGAGCTTGTCAGTCTTAGTCGCATAGAAGGCCATGGCAAGCCTCTTATTTATAACCTAAGTTCCAGGAAGCTGAGCTGGACCCGGCATGTAGTCTACCCATGCGGGGGGTAGATCCAATATGCTTTTCGAGGAATATACGACCATCGCAAGCTTAGGGTTTAAAGTCAGCGGAGGCGCCAGCAAAAGTTGACGAGAACAGCTGATGGCCTCCCATGATATTCACGCTGTTATAGATTTCTTCACGCGCATATGGCTGGTACTCTGTGGACTCGTAATACAAGGCAATCCGTTGAAAAACTCGTAGCGAGGACCTTAATCTAGGATCTTATCCAGGCCGCCTCGCAATTGAACAAGTTTCTGAAGACCACTCACATGAGCGCGCACGGCGTTGGCATTAGCAAAACCGCACTGTTTGACGACTTATCTCGGGCAAACTTGTACCAGCCCCAATGAGTGATGTGGACGGACTTGGTGCTCACCTCTATGCAGATCAGGTTAGCTACGGCTTGAATAGTTGACTCTAGGTTGGCATATGTGAGATTGTCTAGGATCCGCTGTAGCTCTTGGAACGTCTCTGTCGGTAATTGCAAGGCGTCCAGGGCCGATTTTCCATTGACGTGGAGGGCATACCCGATATTCGAGCGGAGTGATAAGTATGCACTTGAAGCTAACAACGCCTTCGACAGAGTCGGCTGGCCGGCGGACTGCTGCCACCACCAGATGCTCATCTTATCGGCACCAAGTAGATATATGAGGCGGACATAAGTATCTTTATCTGAGCAAGTGTAAGTAGTAATATACATGTTTCGTCAGAGATTTGTACTTACTGTGGTAGAACTAAGGGTCCATGTCAATCATCCCGAACGACGAGAAGGATCCACCATGCCCGGGCTAACGGTCTGCTGCAGCGGGCCAGCTCTATATGATTGGCATATTTCGTGGTTATGCACAGTTTGAGTTTCTTCAACTGCGTCTCGGCCAGGGAACGGCCTGATTGAGGTTTTTAGTCTTTGCAACCTCTCGTCTCTCCGCCATTGATGGTGCTTCTTCTGGAGAAAGGCATGTTTTTCTTGGACAGAGCAAGCCGCTGGGATTTAGCGTCGCTGAAATCGACAAAGAGAAGTTCCGGAGGCATTACGACGAAGCAGCGCGTGGTTGAGGATGGAGAACTTTATGGGAGCAAAAGGAGGCAGCGGAAGTGTGGGGGCCGGCGACGCCAGACCACAGCTCAGCTTGAACCAAAGTTGTTCCATCGCGATAATCCTTTAAAGACCAGACAGTTCTCCCATCCATGCCATGAAGGTATAAACTGAGAGATGTGTGACTGTGACAGGTGTAGTTCATATCCATGTTTGACCCACCTGCGCCTTGAGCTTGGCCGCGGCATGGCATGGTCTGGACAGGAACACAATGCTCTTGGTCAAGTAGAAATCCCGCGAGGTCATTGCACGGTTTTGGTTTCACTGCTGCCTGTCTGTCTGTCAGTGTATGACTGAGTTGTTGGATCTCCTGAACGACGCTTGAACCACCGTTGAACCACGCAGCAAGTGCCGAGTGTTTCAGGACGGCACCAGGGGGCTTGACGTTTCAACGCGACCACTCGGCCACCGGGCCAGCCCTCTCGTTGGCCATGCTTAGACTCGTTTTCTAGGCGCCAAGGTCGACCATGCGCTTAATGGAGAGCTCCGACTGCTCGAAACCAAAAGCGACCAATCCACCGTGTCAGACAGATGAGATGAGGGCCGTTCGCTGATTTGCATGATTGTTCGTCAGACTCAGTAGTAGTGATGGATCTCCACTGCAGCTTTTGACAAAATGCGTGGACTCGCCTCGAACACTCTTCTCCTTATATCCTTGCACCCAGCCTTACCATGTGCTGATTCAGTTCGTTGTTATTATTTTCTTCCTATTCTCTTCTGACAATAGGTGCGACAATCCTCACGGTGTCCCCTATCTCCCTTTCTCTCTTTCCTTCTTTGCTTCTACACCACCGGGAGTCCAGTCTGGGCCTGGCTCCAACACATTCTTTTCTCTGATCCCGCAGTTACTTGCTCTGGAGCAATTCCTGTCTTTGCTGTAATCATCTCGCCCGCCTTCCAATCTTTACAGGCTGCGCGAAGTCCACTCTTTTCGTCCATTCGCGATGAGGATCCTCCAGTCTGCACTGATTGTCCTGGGGTTCGGCTATGGAGTGGTCTCAGCTCCCACTCTGAAGCAGCCCGAGCGCCGATCTTTCAAGGTTGAGGCTGTTCGCCGGAGCAACTCTATTTACGGTCCAGCGGCTTTGCGGAAGGCCTATGTCAAATATGGCATCGTCGCTTCGGACATCGGACTCGACCTCGATGACTTTGAGCCAAGCGTCAAGGTTGCTGCTGCTGTCGGCACTGAAAGCAAAGTTGAGGAACCCGAATTGACCGGTGCTGTCAGTGCCAAATCTGTCGAGGGGGATGCATCTTTCGTTTCACCCATTACTATTGGTGGCCAGCAACTCACTGTTACCTTTGACACGGGCTCGTCGGATGTGTATGACTGTCACCTTCCCTAGTTTGATATAGCTAACCAATGCAGATGGGTGGTGAACACACAACTTCCCAAGGACTCTATTGAAGGACAAACTGCCTACAGCCCCACCAAGTCTACTACGTTCAAGAACATGACCGGATCGACCTTCAACATCACCTACGGTGACGACTCGTATGCTTACGGCGGCGTTGGAACCGATACCATCAACGTGGGAGGAGTCACCGTGACCGGCCAAGCGATTGGTCTTCCTACTGCGGTTGCCTCGTCCATCCTCGACGACACCCACAGCAACGGCCTGGTGGGACTGGGATTTACATCGCTCAACACCGTCAAGCCTACCCAGCAAAAGTCCTTCTTCGAGACCATCGCCGACGTCCTTGACGAACCCGTCCTCAGCGCATCTCTCGTGAGCGATGGAGTCGGCCAGTATGAGTTTGGTACCGTCGACAAGTCAAAGTACAAGGGCAACCTTGTCAACGCAACCGTTGACTCTTCAGGTGGATTCTGGAAATTCGAGTCCTCGTACTACCGCGTTGGAAACGGCACGCTGAAGAAGCACGACGACGCAACTTCGACCATCGCCGATACAGGAACCTCGCTCATGCTCCTCGAGCAGACTGTCGTCGACGAGTACTACGCAGAGGTGAAGGGCGCGCAATTCGCAACCAGCGCCTCGGGCTACATCTACCCATGCAGCGCGGAGCTGCCGAACCTCTCTATCGCCATTGGCCCTCAGCATCTGGCTACGATTCCTGGTGACCTGATCAACTTCCAGGAGGTTGGCACCAATACCACCACTGGGGAAGCTGGTATGTAACCTTTGTTCCTACAAGATAGTTTACTAATTATGCAGTGTGCTATGGAGGTATTCAATCCAACTCGGGTCTCGACATGCAGATTCTCGGCGACGCCTTCCTGAAAGCTTTCTACGTTGTGTTTGACCTGCGTGGCCCGTCGATCGGCGTTGCATCTCCGGTCTGACCGATCTACTCGTTCTTTTATCCCAGCTCTTGAGCCGTCTTATAGATACTTAATCAAGTTAGGACTTCCTATTGCTATACCTAATTGTACATAAGCCTTACTACAGAACTGCCATTCTAGCGCCTGCATCGATTATGCTACTTAGAGATGACTGTGGTGGCTGAGGACTGTTTCTATGGCCCCGCATGTTGACTTTTCTACTCCTAAATTTCTAAAACCTATAGCATTGTTTCATCGGCGGTGATTCGAAGCTCTTTCTATTCCAACTACACAACCACCAGACGCAACATCGACGATTGTTCTCTGTGTAGAGTTGATAGGGTACTATGAAGTTACCACTACTCCGTACCATAGTTCACTGATGAGGGGGAATTGCGGGACCCATATTTCGTCCTGCAACTCCAACGGAGAAACCCCGATGAAATCTGGGGGATGACCATGGCCCACTTCAGTGACACTTATATCCTCCGTCAATCAACAACCTCGTTTATTCATATACCGCAAGACACTCCTAGCTCCTACTCCTGCCCCTCGCATCTGAATAGCATCATGAGAGCAGTCAGGTTCCACGGGCGCCGCGACATTCGCATCGACCAGATCGACGAACCTGTCTGTGGAGAAGGTCAAGTTAAGGTCCGCTGCTGTTGCTTGCACGCATGCCTCCGTCAACGCTGACAGCTGCTTCAGATCCGTCCAGCCTTTGTTGGGATATGCGGTAGCGGTCTGTACACGTCCCCTCCGTCCAACCCTCTACAAAGAAGACGAGACAATGCTAACACCTACAGATCTCCACGAATACCTATCCGGCCCAATCGTGATCCCAACGACGCCGCACGCCCTCACAGGCGCCCAGCTCCCCGTCACGCTGGGCCACGAGTTCAGCGGCACAATCGAGGAAGTAGGGCAAGGTGTCACCGGCCTCAAGGTCGGGGACCGGGTGGCTGTTCGACCAAACCTGTCGGATGGAACCTGTGCGTCGTGCGTATACGGACGGCCCAACTGCTGTCGGAGTCTGGGGTTTATTGGGTTTAGCAGTGAGTTGTTGCTTCGCCATGCCTTGTCGTACAACAGGGCTGGGATCATGGCGCAGCCCTCTCAGATGCAACAGTGTTTAATTTGTCTTAATAGGCAACTCCGGAGGCCTATCAGACCACGTCTCCGTCCCCGCAAAACACGCGATCGTGCTGCCGGAGAGTGTCCCGCTTGACCTTGGTGGTGAGTCGAGCCTGGCGTCATACCTCCTGCATAATAAACCCCGTTCCAGACTAAGCGACGTACAACAGCACTCATCGAACCCCTAACGGTAGCCTGGCACGCCGTAGCCCGCAGCCCCCACGGAACCGCACAAACAGCACTCGTAGTCGGGGGCGGCCCCATCGGCCTCGCAGTCGTGCAGGTCCTCAAAGCCCGGGGCCTGCAAACCGTCATCGTCGCCGAGGTCTCCAGCCATCGTCGCGAATACGCCCTTACCCTCGGCGCCACACATGTCTTCAACCCTCTCACAGACGACGTGGTCAAGGAGGTCCGCGCCCTGACAAACGACGCCGGCGCGGATATCAGCTTCGAGTGCTCAGGCGTGCAGGCGGGATTCGACACAGCCATGAACGGGATCCGGGTGCGGGGGACAACGACGATCGTGTCGCTTTGGGAGAAGAAGCCGGTCATCGATGCGTTCGATGTTGTTTCGTACGAGAAGCATGTTATTGGGGCGGCGATCTGCGAGGATGGGGACTTTGAGGCCGTCATCGCCGCGATTGCGGAGGGTATGTTGTTTCATCTAGCTCGTCTCGTCCAGCGACTGCTCAGACCTGTTGAGAAAGCGACGCTGCTGACTGTATTCTTGTACTCTCTAGGCAAACTCAACCCGCGCCCCATGATCACCAGCATGATTGCGATGGAGGAGGTCGAGGAAAAGGGGTTCAAGGCGCTTGTCGACGAGAAGGATAAGCATGTCAAGATCCTGATTGATATTGCCGCATGACATAATCTACGAATATGAGCTTGAGACGGGCCCAAAGTCAATTGGTTTCTGATGTTCCCACTCCGTCTTACCTATGTTCACCCGGGTCTTGTCACAGGTTAGAGTACAGCAAAGTTTGGATTGAGTCAGGAGAGACATGGTTACACATTGGCTAATCGGACTCCTGAGTCTTGGGGCGGCTATTCAGTCTACCATATAAACGGGTAATACCCTGGCGCATATGCAGAGAATCTGAGGACTATGAACGAACCGTCTTTAGTGTCTGGTGCTGATTTAGTAGCCTTTCACCTAGGTAATTGAAAATAGCCACTTAGGACATTTATTGTCAGCATCAATTGAGAGGCACTCAATACCAAATTCAGCTGGCAAAGCAGGGAGCCTCAACTTCTGGTATGGACTATAAGCCATTTGAACCGGATGCGCCCTCTTTGTCCGACATACCTACAGTAAGGCCAGACAAAGAGCCGCCGGGATTACGACAGACACGACAGTGGCGAGCTTGGCCGGGCAAATTGATTCTTTCCATGGCCCCGTATTCAGGTTTCTTCGGTCTTCCCAAGGTTCTTTTGGGTCTGAACCGGAGAGGGTATTCATTCATGTTTAGTAACTTTAGTTTAGTCACAGGCATCTACTTCAAAAGCTGTGGCTCCAGAGAACATGTCAAGACTGAGACTGACAGACATTTTCAATCAAAGAGCATTTATTATAGCTGCTCTGTATTAAGCTATTCGATACCTGACAGGTTCTGCAAACGCTATGCCCTAACAGGGTACCAAGTAACATTGCCTGAGATCAAGCACAGAGTCCCAGCTTGTGCCTGCGGACCTCGCTCCTGAGACGTTCCAAATGTCCTAACTAGAAGTCCACTAGATTGCGGGGCGTTTTGCTTTGTTTCGTTCATTGAAGCTCTCCACGAGTGTCTGCTGGATGCCAAGGGGTAGGTGGGAATACCGGGCACTGGTGGTGGTGAGAGCAGCCTGTGTGGCCGGTTTGATGAAAGGAGAGAAATAATGTATTAAGTCATGTCAAAGAAACGGATGGAAAAGTACAGATACACACTGGCTGATGGTGGTGAGGAAAAACGTATGTGTGGCTGGCATAATGATAAGATTGAGAAAGAATGTATTAAGTCATGTCAAAGAACCATGGAAAAGTACAGAGACACACCGAGTGGTGGTGAGTGAAGACCTGTGTGTGGCTGGTATTAATAGAAGAAATAGAAAAGAAGTTATCAAGTCGTGTAAGGTCCACGACGAGGCCAGAAGCAGTTCAGCCAATATGCGCCATGAAGGTATATGTACCGGCTCGATTTCTCTCAGATGGATCACAATCGTTGTTCTTCTTCTACAACTACTACTACGGGTACTCCTCCTCCTCTTTCTTTCCTCGACATGTCGACCAGTAAACGCATGACAGCTTAAGGCTCACCCCAACGCCCCTCAGCCCTTTCCCGGAGATCCCTACGCGGGATGGTATCGCGCCCCCAATGGCCAGCGCTATTTTGGATTCGGGACTGTTATCGAGGTCGGCGTTAACCACGACGGCAGCCGCTACGTCGAGGTCGAGCCCGAACAACATCATCCAGGCGCTGAATTCGACTTCTTCGACCCCTTCACCGACGAGGACATGGACGAGAATCTCTATCCAGACTGGGAGGAACGCGAGGAGTGTTGCGAACGCGACAAGTTCTTCAGCGACAGCCAAGACCTAGAGCCCGGCAGCATAGCCCCGGGCCAGTACATGTCCGCCAGCGGCACGAGTTATTACGGCCTTGGGAAGGTTGTCTGCGCCACCAGGACAAAGGCGGGTGTGTTCGGATGGTATCAGGTTGAGCCAATGCGCGGTGGGTACCGGTTCTGGTCGGAAACTTCTGGTACCCTGATCCCCGACGAGGACCTGCCGCGGTCTCCCTACTCCGGTAGCAAGGAGACGCAACAGCGAGAGAATAAGGACCGACCGCGGCGGCCGAACTATTTTAAGCTTCGAGGTTGGTACGGCGGGTACGCGAACCAGGAGATAAACATGCGCAAAGCCAAGGCGAAGTTAGGCACAGAGCGTCTGGGTGTGTACTTTGCACCAGACGGGCAATGGTTTGTCGGGGTTGGCAAGGTTGTTACCATTGGGATGACGACGGTCGCTAACTCGAACCTGTTCTATATCTATGTCGAGCCCATCTCAGGCAAGTCCGGCGGTGAATATGACTTCTTCCATCCTCATACTTGTGAGTGGATGGACGAGCTACCAAGCAATCCGATCCCTGGAGTGGCCTGCACGACAGCTCAGCGCAAGACCCTGCCTCCTCGCTGGCGAGCTCTCCCTGCCATCAACCGTAGGCCTGACATAGGACAGGAGTACCCAGGTCGATACTTTCCACCTGGTGCGCCTAGACGAGCCGTCTATGTTGGTGTTGGCAAGGTGGTCAAGACAGGGGTGGACACGAACAGTAAGATCTGGGTGGAGGTCGAGCCTATCCCCGGAAAGAGCGGAGGGAACTATGAGTTCTTTGACCCATTCACGGGCAAGACCATGCCGGACGAGTACTGGCCGGACGAGGAGTGAGACGAGTCGAAGGCAGGCCTGGTATATAGACTGATTGATGTTCTTTGATGTATTTAAACATTGCTGTATTCGCAACTCAACTTTCCTCATTTCATCCGATAGGCAGATTCTTAACTGGAGAGCGTCCGTCGTATCAGACCCGATGTAAGCGGACAGATCTGAGCATAAGTATTGCGAGGTAAGTTAGTCTCTTCGTGACCAGGCGCTGTCACCTCGTCCAATCGTCAAGTATATACTTCGTCTGCTTCAATCGGGTGCGCTCCGTGCAGTAAAAGCAGGAAGTCACGCCTCTTGCCTCAAATGGGCTCTGGCCGCTTGAAGGAATATAGACCGAGTACCATGTGCTGTACGCTCTGTATACCAATCGCCATGAACTCCAAGGATGTCTTCGGGCCTCCGACAAGCAGGCTGTAAGGCTCTCACTGTATGTATAAGCATAAGCACGCCACATCGGACATGTCCCGATCGCCCAGCAGCCCAATCCATTACAAATGGAATGTGCCAAACGAAAAGCAGGCAGCAAACACACTGTTATGCACAGTTAGTCAGTCCGCGCTGTTCGAGGTCAGAGTGGACACCGCAGAGTGCCTGGAGTAGTTGCACACGTGTGGAAATGTCTGGAAGGAGAAACCTTCAGCTCGTGCAATGCCATGGCCTTAGCAGCAGCCCGACAGCCCGATGGATCACGATACTTCAGTCTTGGGATGGGCGACTTGACCGAGACTATGGCGAATGTGCGACAACGAGTGGCCAACGCATCTCCCCAAGAATCGGAAACACGAGGGCCAGCGCTTGAGCCTCGATGGCCAGGCCAGTCGCCAGGCCATCCTAGAGGCTACCGCTACTTTGGACCAAGGAAACTACTCCTACTTCCAAGCGATGGCACTACTCCTACATGGATTAACCCAGTCGCCCCAGTCTACAGCGCGGGGCGGCGGAGTTAGCCGTCCGATCGGTCGAGAATGAAATAATGTGTCTCAAGGCTGACGGGCTGAGTACGATGTGACTTAGTGGTCGGAGAATATTGCAGCTGAAGCAGGGTCTATCCACGCTTAGGATATAGCATGCTGTCATACAAGTCTTACAAATACGTAAGATGATATTCCCCGAGCCTCGAGGCCGGAGGCCAGGGACTCAGGGTAGCTCGGTATAGTACAGATCTCAGCCACTGAACTCAATTTCCAATATGGCGTTTGGCTGTACAGCTGCACAGTCGGAATATCACGACCACAGATTACTCCGTATATGAATGGCGTGCCGAGGATAAATGGTCTAGTCCACGCGTTCGCCATGAAAAGGATCTGTCAGTTATTTCTTTTTCCGCCCACCCGCTCGCCCGGGGTTGCCGCTTAGTAGGTACTAAGTATGTAGTGTTCGGCGTTCGCAGAACGGTCAAAAATGCAGGATAGTGGATTCGAGGCCGGCGCTCAGACTCTGCCAGCCAGCCGGCCGGTGGAGGAGGAAATACTACAGTAATGCAGCAAGACCCCGAGGGCGGATGGGTGGCCACCGAGAAAACTTGGGCGCTTGGCCGGAGGCTGAGCAGTCTGAGCTGAGTTTGAACCTGCCACGGGTGCGGCGTACTCCCTAACCTCCAATGTACTCCGTAAGGGTTAGGTCTTATGGCGCGATCAAGCACAAGGTACCCGTCAAGGTTTGTAGTACTTCGGAGTGGGATGCCGGGCGGCAAGAATAGGCGACGTTCATGCCGAGCTCGAGAGTAGGCCGGTCAAGGTTCATAGATCAATGGATGGATGGGTTTGTTGCTTTGTGCCATGGACAACTTTATATTGATTTCGGCGTCTTTGATCGACGGTAGGGCTTCGGTTCTTCATGACATCTCCCGGTATCAAGATTCAAGGCAGCCAGGGTTCTGATTCCTCGGCCAAGATGCCGGGTCTTGAAAATGGGCTAGAAAGGGTTAAAGGACAAGACAATAAATTAATATATAGCGTAGCGTTAAGCGAAGCTGCTCAGCCTGCAGAGGGAATAATCCAGCAGTGCGACGATGACACGTCCGCCGCATGTCTTGCTTTAGTTTGGGGTTAATTATAGGAGTTGCTGGAGAAAAGAAATCATGATCGTAGGGACGCCGCTTACTGACTCTTCGCTGTTCAGAGCAGGGATTACTGGACTATATACCGGGTTTACCTGCTAGCATCTCCACTGCCACTTTACGTCGAGTTGTATATAGATTATTCCTGAGTTGCGACTGCGCTGTTCATGACTCCGTTCGACTGATCGACCCCACTTCCTTCAGCGCGATTGACCGAGTCTCACTTTCAAGATCTAGATTAGCCTGGCTCATCTTGGAACAAAGCTGGGCGTTTCCAACGTTTCCTTCGAATCCTCTACGGCCGTCTCGTATTTCTACGGGGTAGCGCCCTGTGACCCTGTCGAGTTCAATGGATTCCAGTTTACCAGCAGTCCACTCGTGTTAGTGATCTTTCCCCTTCTATATAGATCTTGGTTCGCTGATCTGAAAATTCTCGATGCAGTCTAGCCCCGCAAACGCAAAACTTCTCCTTTTTTGGCCTCCTTCCTGGCTTTGAGCCTCAAAACACATTCTTTTCACAATGGGCACTCCGCTGGTCGGCACCGCCATTATAACAGGGGGGAACGGTTCCCTTGGGTCGGAGATAGCTGTCTCGATCGCCAAAACCCAGCCATACGTCCACTTGCTGCTTCTTGCGCGCGATATCCGATCCGAGAGCGTCAAGGATGTCAGGGAGCGAATCCGGCTGATTGGGCCCCGGTCCCTCGAGTTCGTCAAGGTAGATCTGGCGAGCTTCAACTCGGTTGTCAGCTTCACAGAGATTACGGTCGAGAGGGTGAAAAACAAAGAGATCCCGCCAGTGACACTGCTGATCAACTGCGCCGCCATGTCGTCATACACCACCGAACAGGTCACACGAGATGGCCATGATCCTGTCTACCAGACAAACGCCATTGCGCCGTTCTTGTTGACAGTCAGCTTGCTCGAGGCGTTCAGGGCCGGTGACGGTACTCCGAATGGCGGCGCGCGGGTGATCAATGTCGGATGCTCTTCCATCTCCAAAGGCACACTCGATTATTTCGAGAGCCCGGATCCCGAACTGAGCGTACACCCTGGGGCGCCGCTGAGCGCCAAAGAAGCGACCAAGCGGTTTGGGAGCAGTAAGCTTATAATGAGTGCCGCCATGTATGCGCTGCGACGAAGCTTGGTGTTGGTGAGTTTTTCCTCGAGCCATGAGAGGCTGTCGCAAGCTAACCTATGTAGACCGGAAAACTTTCCCTCAATGTATACACCCTCGACCCAGGAGTAATGACCGGTGAAAGCCACGCAGCGAACGCCGCCCCATTATCCGTAAAGATGGCCCACCAGACACGATCGGGACTTCGCCCGTTCCTGCGAGTATTTTCCAAGACCGCGATGAACAAGGCTAGCGTTCCGGCGAAAGTGATAGCGAAAGTCGCATTCCGGCCCGACACGGTGGAGAACTGGGGCAGGGAGCGATATTATATCTTGGACAGCGAGTACGAGGCCGGATCCGTCATTCCCGCGATGCGGGACCCCAAGCAGATGGACGCCCTGCTGAAGAAGATGCTGCAGCAGGTCGAGGTCGGAGTCAAGGGAATGGGGTCGCCCTCGTCAAGGGTATCACGGTTGAGTTGTTGACGGGTTCCCGTTGCACGTTCGTTTCGCCTTGTTTAGACTTTTCCTTTGCATTCTTGGAGTTTGGCAGCTTTGGCTTTACCACGCATTCCTGGCGATCTCTTTTGTTTAGCGCTCTTTAATATAGCTCTGCATGTAAATAGCTAGCCGGACATAACAAAAATGGATTAGCATCAAAAGTTGGATGGATGGATGGTTACATGGCTGCAAACGGATGCGATGCGGTGGCATCGGGGGCGCGGATCATGTTGCCTCCCGTCCTCCGGCCCGGCCTGGATCATTTTGAGTCGTCATCATCTTGGATTGAGCATTGTTAAGTGAAAAGACTCGGTTTTCTGTCTGTCGCTCGTTCTTCCCTTCTGCCACCTCGAGATTGCCTTGAGACAGTCATTCATTGTTAATCCGTCGCGTTTCGGCCTCTCTCGTTATCTTACTAACGGCTCAAACCCGCGACTCTCACGCTTCACTTTGCGATTTGACTACTGGATATCTCGGGGTTGGACGACAAGTTGAATGGACTGAGCGATGAATAGGCACGCTGCCCTCGCGAATGGGTATACAGCCTACCCTCGTTCAGGCCAGGGCACCTTTTCCATCTCCCCTCACAAGTAAGGTCCACAAGTGTAACTCAAGTCCTTGACTGATTGTAAAGATTTCAACCGCGCTCACAACCTGCATTGCGACGGCGAAGACAACTCATTCAGCGCATCTGCTTGATCGGCGGCGTCTCATTCTTCCTGCTTATACTCATCTTTCCCTCCTGGCGAGCCTCGATCCTCCCTGCGCTATCGCTCGGCCTTCTCTCCTCCTCAGACCACCTACAAATACAAACCGTCCGATACTATGATCTCGCGAAAGTCAAGGGCTCCGCAAGCGGCTGGGAAGATGGCGACCGGGTGCTTATGTGCACGCCTCTTCGAGACGCGGCCTCCCATCTGCCGATGTTCTTCTCGCACCTTCGAAATCTCACGTACCCGCATCATCTGATAGACCTCGCCTTTCTTGTCTCGGACTCGAAAGATCAAACGAACGAAATGTTGGAGAATATGTTGGAGGAGCTGCAGCGCGACCCGGACCGCGATATGCCTTTTGGAGAAATCTCGGTCATCAAGAAGGATTTCGGACAACAAGTAAAACAAGATGTGGAGAGCAGACATGGCTTTGCGGCACAGGCTGGGCGCAGGAAGTTGATGGCACAGGCACGGAATTGGTTGCTCAGCGCCACGCTCCGGCCAACGCATGGCTGGGTCTACTGGCGAGACGCAGATGTGTTGACGGCACCATCTACAATTCTTGAAGATCTCATGCGTCACGACAAAGACGTCATTGTGCCAAGTAAGTATCATCAATATATTACGGACGCAATTTAACAGTTGCAGATGTATGGCGGCCATTACCCGATTGGCTCGGCGGAGAACAACCATATGATCTGAATTCGTGGCAGGAGTCGGAGACAGCTTTAGCACTTGCGGATACACTAGACGAGGACGCCGTCATTGTGGAGGGCTACGCCGAGTATGCCACATGGCGCCCTCACCTCGCCTATCTCCGAGACCCGTACGGTGATCCCGATATGGAGATGGAACTAGACGGTGTAGGCGGTGTTAGTATTCTTGCGAAAGCAAGGGTGTTCCGCGCCGGAGTCCATTTCCCGGCCTTTAGTTTCGAAAAACATGCCGAAACAGAAGGATTTGGCAAGGTATGTCATTTACTAAATTCGCATGCAATTGCTAATTATGTAGATGGCAAGGCGTATGGGATTCTCCGTGGTGGGTCTTCCTCATTACACGATCTGGCATCTGTACGAGCCCAGCGTGGACGACCTCAAGCACATGGAAGAGATGGAGAAAGAACGCAGAGCCCGCGAGGCGGAAGAAAAGGCGGAAGCTGAGCGCGCACAGCGGACGGAAACATACTTCAAGGATCCCAAGGTCGAGTCGGAAATCGACAACGCATTCGTCCGTGACTCTGTGGAGGAAGAAGAGAAGGCCAAAGACGCAACGCCGGAGAAATCGGACTCAACGCCAGAGAAAGCGGACTCGAAGACAGGGAAAGGGAAGTACATGCTTGACGACAAACACGACAAGAAACCCCAACCTAAGGATGACAAAGTTAAGGGCGATGCTGATGTCGATACGAAGACGGAAAAATAATAGACGAGCTCATGCTCATGTTCATACTATTGGGCTCTGTGCTGGCCACGGGCTCTTATTCTTATTGTTCTTACGAAAGCATTCATGTATCATCTACTCGATCTGTGGCTTTTCTGTACATGTAGTTGGCGTAGAGGTATATCTTTTCGATCAATTCCATACACTGCATTTAAGAATTAGTAAACGCACATTGTACTTCTTGGCTCTAAAGCGTTTAAGACAAACCTTTTGACTTTCCACATTCCTAGTCCTTGCCATAGCCTTCATCATTAAGCAGTGGTCCGTGCGCCGCCCCGCCGTCGCCGTCCTTCAATCCCACGCGTCAAGATTTCCGGCGCATTCAATTATCTCAAGCCACCAATTCATCAACCCAACATCAATCTGGATTACTCAACTATCACCTGTCTGAGTGAGGGGATAGAAGGGCGCGAAAATGTCTACACAATCCACACCCAGCATCCTCTTCACCAATCGGTCCCGACAACAGGGCTTCCGGCTCCTCGAGCTGCCGCCCGAACTCGCGGAGCTGCTTTCTTCTGAGAATCCGCCGACGTGCGTGCTCAACTCTCTTTATTTCCTGGTCAATGACTACCTGCCAACTGACTCTCTTTACTTTGGTTGAAACAGACTCGAACTTAAATCGCCAGCCCCGTCGAACACAACAAATGATGCCGGATCAGAATACGTGAACCTCTGTACGGACACACAAACATACTCGATTCGCCAGGTCCAATCATCGAACTCGCTGCATATCCTCACACCGAGTAGTGGGAATGGTGTGCGACGGGGCGATTTGAAGATTGTCGCGGGAGCTGGCGCAGACGGTGACGATCATGGCAATGGGGAAGACGTGGATATGGACACAGACGCGGACGCGGACGCGGACGACCAAGGGCTCAATCTCAACGTCGAAGGCACAGTGACCTCCATCGCGAAATGCGGGTCGACGCTGGAGTTGCACAAGCCGGCGGAGGGGTTCTCTGCTGTGCCGTTCCTGAACAAGATGGTGCGGGTCTTTGATGGCGCGGCTTGGGAGGATATGAACGGCGCCGAAGCTCAGGATGAGGGTATCACCGGAAAAGAAGCTATGGAACGGGTCTTCGCCGACGTCCCTGTGTCAAGAACACAGTGTGAGCGTGAGTGGGTGGAAATATGCGCGTTCGTCCTCCCCTCGCCCACTGCAACAGCGACAACGTACTGGCGGCCTTCGGCTGAAATGAGGCTGCGCGTTTGGAAGAGGGTTGTTGAAGGGGCGGTGCTGCAGGGCATTGATTTGGGAAAGCAGTTTCTTGTTGCGGACCTTTGGAAGTCGGTGCTTGATGATGATGATGGGGTTGCGCCATTCCCCCGTCCGCTGTTTGAGGCTGTTGTAAGGAGAATCCGTGAGCTGGCAGATGACTTGACCGAGATGAAGTGTGAGTATCTACCTTTTAAACCTCTCAGGAACGAGCGTGCTGATTGAAATAGGGGCCAGTATTGAAAAGGAAACGTGTGTTCGATGGGTGGGAGAGACGTATCTCGAGGCCAAGGCAGCTGGCAGTGCCTCTGCTGTTGGCGAAAGCGAGTTTCTGAATGCCTGGAAGGACCAACTTCCTGAACATTGGAGGGAAGATGTCTCAATAGCTATTTTACCTGTAAGTGGATCTCTGACTGTCGTTGTATTCTGCTAACGATAACTAGAACAAATGCTATATGCAACCCGAGCCGAAAACAATATGCTTCGCCACTGAAGCTGATAGACAAAAAGCCAAGAAAAACCTGCCCTCGGATACCACCGCAGCAACGGCGGCTAAAAAGACGAGGAACTGGCATGAGTTATTCAAAAACCAAAAGCGTCAGAAACGATGACCACCATCCATGCAAGGCCTTCTATGTCTAGCTGGATTAACACCATGCGTACTTCTCGTTCAGGAGCCATTCCACGTTCTCTTCAGGGTTGCCGCTCCACCGAAGAGCCGCAATACTGTCTTTTTCGCGGTGTACTATTTCGACAGCCGGGTCCAACAGTGCTACAGCTCTGTGCAGGAGTGGCGTCGGATTCCAAAATGTAACGTGGGCCATATTCCACTCGTGGGCCTCCAATTGCGCACGCCTGAGAATTGCGGCCATTGCCTTGATCGTTGTCTCGGTCTCCTCTTGGGAGGCGGGCTCGTCATATACCCATCTGAGAATGTACAATGTATTCTCTTCTGGAGTATTGCCAAAAGTCCTATTCCAGGCACAATACACTTTCACAGCGTCATTGCCGGCACCCTTTGCCGCAGGGATTCCCCTATCGGGGTAGAGCCTCTGACAGTAAAACTCCTCCCTCGCCCAGTGCCACTGGTAATGATCGAAATCTGGAACAATTGCTACTTTGGGACCGGAAGACTGCAGCGAGACGCCACGCAACAGCTCGCGCTCTTTTTCGAGAATGCCAATGCTGCACATGCAGCGTTGAACATCATCGGCGCGCAAGACTTTTACCGCAGCCGTTGTGCTCAAAGTAGAGTATTCTTCTTTGGAAAGAGGGGGAAGCGCAAAGTGTGAGGATGGATGTGGTTTCCAGCCGAATTGCGCATAGAACCTCTTCCCAATATCGGAAAACAGAATACTGAACAGCGGCCGCTCACTTTGTTCGCCCTCCAGCTGCCACGCATCCATCTTCTTGCTCAGTTCCTCCAACATTCGCTTTGCGTATCCTTTACCACGAAACTCTGGCCGACAATAGACACTCCCGACACCTTGAACCGAGGCCTCTTCTACATTTCCGTCTTGAGCCACAACTGCCGTCTTCTTGTACGTCTCGCAGGAACTGAGGATTGTTCTCGCATTTTCAGGAGCTCGACGGTCGACCAGAATCCAACATATCAAGGCTTCCTTGGTTAGTCGCTGTTGGAGCAGCGTGTCCTCTCGCGCGAGATACGAATCGAGATCCAACGGTCCCTTCCACTCCGTGCTGTTCAGCTTGATAGATTCGACACGTTCCGTTGGAGTCGCTTGGACCAGCGTCAGCTCGGGCGAGTCCCCGTGGGGTAAATCGGTGTCAGCATAGGCAGCGATCATGTTTCAAGGTGGACTGTCTTGCCAGGCGTTTTCGTGCGGAGCAAAGCGGCCAAGATAAATAAGAGATTGAAGGTTTGTCGATAAGCAATCGGAAGGCTGTGCTACTACTATATACTCCGTAGCGGGTCCCGAGCCATTACTGATAACATGCGGACTAGAGAAAGACAGGTGACGATTGAAGGAATGCCCATAGCTGGGAAGTAGTTTCTGTTTGTAATAGACGCAACCTTGGAAAAGAAGGAAGTGCCGATGGCAAGCGACGGCAAGCGCTCCAGTTATCTTTCAAGCAGCGGTATTCGGCATCGCCTGCCAAGTAGAATACGCTGACCATTCCCGGGATCCCCAGATCTGAGGCTCATTCACAGCATCTTGAAAGGGGGCGACTTCTTGGCGCCCGCAAAGAAGCCATCGATAAGTTTTGAAACAGCGACTTGACAGTAACCAATCAGAATAAAAAATATGATAGCGAAACTGAGGTACGTTCAGATTACTGTGAAGTGCGGACCCTGGTTCAAATCCTCGATGCCAGTGCTTACTAGTATTCATGTTTGAACTGCGTTGGTTGTAAGATCTCAATAATTTCCCAATTTCTTGTGTGCAAACACATCAAAGGTTTTGGTCGCATTGATTCGAAAACTGAGGTTTCGGTGAATGCTACCTAGATAGGAGTCGAGGGCCTTTGTTGTGTGCCCCTCACGTGTTCTGACTGCAGTACTGCAGTGATGTGATCTCTCTTTTTCAATTATTTCCTCACCAGCGAGGCCCTTTCACCTCCATCTTTCTCTCAAATGTTTCTCCTTCTTTTCGATTCAAAAATCTTGCAGTCAACCTCTTTCTGGAGAAGGCTGGGCCCACCTGGCACCAGCCCATCCAGATCTCCACACCATCGCTTCGGCTGATGATTGATCTGCGTCTTGATCTCTCCGGCTCTCATCCCTGACCCTGAACCAACACGCTGCACAGCGCTTTGCTTCATCTCCTGGATTCAAAGCCCGAAAAAACAGGAGGCAACAAATGTCGTAGATTATCCGGGTCCTGCCTCAGGAACAATCGTCCGCCAAACTTGACGGCCAAACTTAGAACCGTCTCCTTTGTCGCCTCGACCATTCTTTCAACCACAGGCTTCTGTATCTTCTCTGCCTTTATAAAACACATAGTGCAAGCCTTTGTCTCTCCTCATAGTGACTAACAGCATCGGCATCTTGTCTCTTTTGCTACCTCTACTCTCCGGAAACTGCTATTGCGCCCTCCGAAGGCTTAACTCAAAATGGATCAGGCCATCTACATTTCTAGTGACGGCGAGCCCGACGACGATCAATCCGCCTTCTCTGAGGACGACGATTTCCAGGAACAGCTAGCAGCGGACGATTGGTTTGCTGCCTACCTTGACACAGGGATCACTGAGGAAGGCCTCCCAGGTCGACCTCCCAAAAGGCAAAGAGTCCATGGTCCAGAAGACGCTATCGACGGAATCCTTTCTACTAACCCACTTGCATCCCGGGGCCTTGAATATCCAGGGTATCCACAGGCTGCGACTTCGATGGCACCGGCAACTGACGGCACCGTTGCACTGTTCGCCCAAGTCCTGGAGATGTTTCCTGACATCAGCCATGCCTACGTTCTAGGTCTGATGGGTAAACACAAGGTGGCTTTGGGACCCGATGCAGGTCAGACCCGGGGGTTCAATTTGGCGATAGCCAGAGATGCTATCTATGAAGAGATTCTCGGACAGAAATCATACCCTAAACAAGACAACGAGAATAGCAAACGGAAAAGGGAAGAATCTGAGGACGAGGATATATGGAAGAGCGGTTCGCTAAATGCAAACAACAGTCATGGATATTGCGAGGCAGCGTAAGCCTTTTTTCAAGCAAGACCATTGTCGTGAGCTAACTAGTCTACAGGGCTGCCCTCCTGGCAATCGAGTTTCCGTGGATCCCAATGAGCCACATCAGGAAAGTCCTCAGCGCCAAGGAACGTCTGTACCATGCATTTATAGCGCTTTACTCTGACGACAAGGTTCAGTATGTGAAGTTGAAGAGCCAAAGGAGTACGAATTCTCCCAAGAAATACAACCCTCTTCGTGATACTCTGGCACAAGAGCTCAATGCAGCGAAGAAGCAGGTAGGAAAACTGCAGAGTAAGTGACTGTCGACTGAAATCGTATTGTATACTTACTAGTCTTGATAGCCACTTTGCGCAAGAAAAAGGAGGAAGAGGAGGCGGAAAAGGCCAACGAGGAGGAACACATTCGAACAGGCAATACTATCGAGTGTCAGTGCTGCTACAGCGACGCCCCGGCAAATCGTTGCCTTCCCTGTGATGGGGATGGCCTTCATTTCTTTTGCTTTACGTGCCTCCGCAGATCGGCCGAGAACCAAATTGGTATGATGAAATACACGATTCAATGTTTCGACGTCGGCGGCTGTCAAGCCCGATTTGAGCGTTCACAGCTCAGGGAGGTTTTGGGCTCATCGATCATGGAAAAACTGGATTCCCTTCAACAAGAAGACGAGATTCGACTCGCCGGTCTGGACGGTCTTGAGGACTGCCCCTTTTGCTCTTACAAGGCCGTCTTGCCCTCCGTGGAAGAAGACCGGGAATTCCGCTGCGAAAACTCTTCCTGCAAAGTGGTTAGCTGTCGTCTATGCAAGGCGAAGAGTCACATACCTCTGACCTGCGATGAGTTCCGAAAAGACAAGGGACTCTCCGAGAGGCACCAGGTCGAAGAAGCCATGAGTAATGCTCTGATACGGAAGTGCCCCAAATGCCAGATCCAAATCATCAAGGAGTATGGATGCAACAAAATGCATTGCACGAATTGTCATACTCTGATGTGCTATCTATGTCAGAAGGATATTACCAAGGAAGGATACGATCATTTCGGACGCGGAACTTGTCTCCAAGACGACACGCGTGCACAAGACCGTGAACACAGAGAGATTCAGAAAGCTGAGCGGGAGGCGATTGATAAGATTCTAGCAGAGAACCCCGATATAACCGAGGAGCAGATTCGAGTGGGCCACGAAAAACCAAACGTCTCGAGGGACCCTCAGCTGCACCCAGCAGCTCACATGCGAGATGTACTGAGAGCGATGAGGGCGGAAATGGCCGCTCAACAACCTCAGCAGCACCAGCATGCTAACCATGCCCTTCCCCCCCAAGCACATTTCCAAGTTTACCCTCGGCCAGCTCCCTATGTCCCATACCCTATGAATTATGGAGGGTTCATACCGCATCCGCACCGTCCTGATATCAATGCTCCCCGTGCAATGGCCGTACCTGGAGTACCCGACAGACGACCAGCCCAACCGATCGGGGCCCAACCGTACCGCAGGATTGCCGCCGCCGATAACTATATACAGAACGTCCAGAACCCCCCCGCATTCCAGCCTCAGCAACGACTACCTCAGGATCCAACTGCAGATTTTCGCCCTGATTTTTACGGCCCCTTTTGAATGCAGTTAAGACCTGCCAGGCTGGTTCGGTTGTGTCCGGTCATGGGAAAGATACCGGGCACGTATGGCGCCTTATCAATTCAATATTCGATTCATTATTCTTGGTTCTTGGAGTTTACTCATTACGTTCCGCCGTATACCCAGGACAGCGTTATCCGTTTCTTTCCACGCCTCCAGCAATTCCTGTTTGGGTTTCTTTTTCTTTCTACTTTTGCGCGGTCATCCTTCACACAACTTGGAAAGGGTACACCGACAACTGCATTGCAGTCAATTATTTCACGAATTTTATCTTTTCTGTTGGGACAGACTTAGCATACTTCCCTCGAAATAACCGTGCATGTTGGTAAAAGTATGTACGGTCCAGGACTTAGAATGCATTATGCTACCTACTCTTCAAATATGATATTAATACCTGTTTTCTACCATCCACTTGCACGAGCCAAGAAAAGTATTATGCTACTCTCTGTGCCTAACCCGCTAAAATCTAAATAGCTTCGTCATCTCCGAAGACAAACGAGACTTGCACAGGCGGCTGGAACTGTACTTCAGACGTGCCCACTGATTAGGAACTCGGACACGTTGGACGATAAGACTTATGGTGTTAGATATGTACTGATATATCTAAATTCGCATCCCGTTCCCTCTTCGCTGCATCCTACAGAGTACAGAAGTCGCAGCGGCATCGTCAGCAGGATAAGAGGGACCGCTGACAGAGACTGCAGGTCTAGCGCCGGGCCAGTTTGCAGGCGCGCCGAGTAACTGGCGAAGTTCAAGACTGCCTGGCCGAAATATGTAGGTATCTGAAAAAGGGCCAAGAAGCTGAAAAAGCCGTGCTACTGGGACTTAAGGCAGGCATGCTCGCAGGCATGCCGCTCCCCTACCTGCGTCCGGAAGACATTAGTCGATGCGCTGCATCTATAGAAAATGTGTAAGCTGGATACTTGTGAGGTGCAGCTTCGTTGTCTTGTGAACAATGTTATTGTGGTGGACCCGTGAGTTTTAGTGGCGTTACGTCATATTCTGCTTGGAGGGGCCGATGTCGTTGCAAACTCTCTTGGCTGAATCCCCTCAACTTCCAATTGGGTAATGCTAACGAGGTGAATACATGGAAATCCGTGTATATAGCTAATGATAGAGATGTGAATTTGCTAGTAGGAACCGTGTAGTGAAACTCCGACGAGACGAGACGACAGAAATACAGGAAGTGGTATGAAGGATAAAAAGTGAAAGAAAGAAGAGGAGAATGAGAAGAGAAGAGAGAAGGAACGTTGACATGAGAGGATATGAAACGGCGGAATGAAAGAGATGATGAACCTGATCTATGTAAATGCCATGCGAGTCCCAAAATTCGTCCGCTCCCCATTTTATATATTTGCACCACTCATTGGACGACGATACCAGAATTTCACTTCATCCATCATATATGTTCGATCATTGGTCACGCTAAAACAAGAAGCAAAGAAACGAAGCACCTCCAAATGCTCCATAGTAATGAAAAATGGGCCGAGTCAGTTATTTATGGTGGATGCTCTGAATCCACCGGTTCATTGAACTTCTGCCGTGCCTCTTCCACCCATAATTCCAGGCGAAGTTCACCGGCCTCTACACGACGTACCGGCACCGTTTTGGCACGCCCGTTGGACACCTTTGGGGGTGGTTGTTGCGGCCCACCGTTTTTGAGCTTCGAAACGGAATATGGAGCCGAACATGATCTGAGATGAACCTTGCCTGGTTCCGCCACAATCCAGGTCTGTTCTTCTGTCGTAGTCCCCGCAGGAGGCAAGGCGTCTTCCCGGACTTCAATACAGACGGTAAAACTGAATTCATCGTCACGCGGTAGCGGGGTCAATCGGGCGCAAGCGGATGCAAGTCTCGCGAGACAAGCACGGAATTGCGCTTCGAGGTCGAGGACTTGAGAGTTGGGCGGGGCGCCTTTGGACGAGTCGTCCATTCTCTCTTCGAAAGTGGTGTGCACCTCCCCGGGCGGCACACGGGGAAAGCCTGAAAGATCAAAGGCATATCGTTCGAGGGGCTGATTTGTGCGAGCCGATGACAAGATGATGCTGACAGCAGTAATTGTGCCTTTTAGGATTTCTGTTCCGACTGCAATTGAGGCGTCGTTGATATAGTCACACACCTTGGGATGGCGGGACTGTCGTACGGGATAGTTGTATGCCCGAACGGGTAAGAATGTCGCTCGCGGATAGACTGACCGGAGCCATAAAATCTGATGTACAGAGACGGTGAGGAAATTTGTAAATGAAGCGGCCAGGGCAGCCTGATTATGAGGAGTCCGAGGTGCGGTGACCGGAGCAGAGAAAGTTGTCATTGTTGTTGTCGTGGTGGTGGTGCTCTCACTGGCTATAGGCATCGCCGGCACGGACTCTGGTATAGTTCAAGAAGAGTTTGTCGGATCTTGGAGAAACTGAGTGTTCCACCCTGAGGATAATCATCGCTCTGCCTGTTGGTGGAATGAATGTTAATTTTTTGCTGGGATTGAGGAGCGGTGGAGCGGGAAGGGAGCAGAGGCCACCAAATGACGTGCTATACAGAAACAACAGGGAAGCCTCACGGGCAATGATTATAGTGGTCATGCGAGTGAAGGCGAGCTGATGTCCAAGGAGAAAAGATGTTTACATACGTTGGGCTGGGTGGTGGAGACGAGACAGGGAACTCTCAAAGCATGAGTTTAGAGTCGTAGCGATCGTGTCGTGTCGTGTCGGGGTATAGTTCGCGATTAATGCGGAAGATATTAAAAGAAGGACTGCGAAGGTTGAGGGACGACAGTGGACGATAGAGAGAAGAACGAAGATGACGCGGATGCCGTAATCCCTCGGTGTGTCCTGGGCGGCTAATGATTATTATTAAGGCCGTTGGTGGTGTGCTCCCCTCTCCCTCGGAAAATTTTGATCCTGGATACCGTCCTGGCTTAGAGGAAATGTACTTGGTTAAAGGACTTAAGGGAGGGGTTCGCTCCTCTTTTTTTAAAATTTGCGTCTGGGGGAGAGAAGAGGATGTGCAAGGGCAGAAAACAAGGAACCAAATTCTTGGGGAGGAGAGGGAGGTCAGTGGGTTAACAAGAGACCGAGATAGCCGGGAGCTGCTCGGGCACCAGCGAGGGACAGAGGCAAAGAGGGCGAAAAAGCAGCAGGAGAGAGAGGGAAAGGGACAGACGAGGAGGGAAGAAGGACAGGAAAAGAATCCCAAGAAGAGGCGACGACTGGAGGGGAACCGCTCTGAGTCGTGGTCACTCGGTGGGCATGGGCAGCAGTGAGTGGGAACGACCCAAAGTGAAGTCCAACCAAGTCACGTGCCGCTGATCTCAGTATACCTACTGCTCACCACAGTATTTTGAACAGCACGCCTGCTAGACAAGGCTTTCAATGAGGTCTCAGTTGAATCAACATATGATGTCTTCAAGCAATGCATGGGCTGCTCCATGTCTCATATCTAGTCTCTCCCCCATCCACGGCCTCACCACAGAGTCAAGGCGCATCCTTCCGGAATCCGCTTTAGCCTTCAGCAGGGCCCACATTGCTTTCCCCTGCTGACTGGACTGATCTGCAAAACTGCTCCTTTCATCCAATGGCATTTGCAAACAAAATAATGTACTCGCCACTGACATTATCCATGTTCTTCGTGAAGCCTTAAAATCCTGAGTGTCATCCTGGAAGACTATTTTGCGGCATAGAGTGGTGCAGATGGTGGCTGCAGAGTGCAGACAGCTGTTGCTCCGGCTTCGGGGTTGAGAGCCACTTCAACCCCTCCCTAGTACCAATATGGCTGACCAACGCAGGACACAGACAAAGTACGAAGATAGATATCTTGTTATATGGACTAGAGCGGCGCGCTACGGAGTTTTTCCCGGGTACGATATTGACAGAGACGTTGTCAAAACTCCCGCAGTAGACACAGAGTATAGCAGTGTGTTCGGCTTTATGCAAAACAAATACAATGCGCATTATGCAGCAATCGTTAGACAAGACATTTTGAATTATATTGTCTGAAGATACTACGTAGTTTTTGGGTAAATTAGAATATCTGCAATGAGGGGAACCTTGGAACGTGAAGCGTGAAGCTGCCCTAGGTACGGTCACCGCCTCTGCCCCTCCTCCGGAACGCGATCGCTCCCCTAATCGCGTCTATAGCGCCAGACCACTGCCGTGTTATAATTTTGCCTTATTGCCTTTTTGGTCATCCATAAGCCTTTCTTCTTTCGATTCTTCTTCTCGATTGACCCGTCTCCATCATGGAGCACGAGCTCCTCACCCTCCTAGCCGACACTCAGTCGCCGGTTGCTGATACAAGAAAAGCCGCCGAGCTCAGTCTACTTCGTCTGTATTCAAACGAAAGCTTCCCCCTCTCCCTCGCAGCAATTGCCTCTCACGACTCCGTTCCTACCAACCTCCGCCAATCCTCCCTCTCAGTCCTTCGCACTTTCATCGCCGCCGCGTGGTCCCCAAACCTGGATGAGTTCAAAGGCCAAGTTCTAGTCAGCGATACCAACAAAGCCCAGATCCGACAAGCTCTTCTTGATCTGGCAACGGTCATAGAAGTATCTGAGCGGAAGGTCAAGTCTGCGGCCAGTTTTGCCGTCAGCAAGATCGCGAGCGCCGACTACCCCGAACAATGGCCCGAGCTGCTTCCTGCGCTCCTACGAATCATCAATGACACCAACAGTACGCCCGGAGCGCTGCATGGTGCATTGAAGGTGCTACTAGACTTGGTGGATACTGGCTTCAACGAGGAGCAGTTTTTCAGTGTCGCGCGAGACCTTGTCAGCACCCTGTTCAATGTGGCTACCAATGCGTCAAGGAAGCCAATGCTGAGGGCTTTGGCCGTCGCTGTTTTCCGCTCGTGCCTTGATACCCTTGAGATGGTGCTGGAACAACACAAGGTGGCTGTCAAGCAGTTCATGGACGAGGTTCTGGGTGGATGGTCTCCGTTCTTCATCGAGACCCTCAAAGCCCCGTTGCCACAGGCTCCAGTCGAGCAGGAGGAATCCAAGGACACTGAAATCTCGTCTCAATGGAGGGGTGTCATTGGGTTGAAGTTGCAAGTCGTCAAGACTCTGATGAAGATTCGAATGGTCTTCCCAGGTCTTTTAGTCGCCCAGAGCCCCGTCTACTTTTCGACAATTTGGTCGGAACTCTCCAACTCTCAAGTCGTGTACCACGAATTCTACATCAACGATGAACGCCAAGGCCGACTTGTTGATGTCGATGACCTCCCTTACAGTTTGGATTTGTTGGTTCTGGAGGAATTGGATTTCATCCAGAGCCTCTTGAAGGCACCGCCGGTCAAGGCAGAGCTGCAACAGCAGTTGCAAACTGACACTACGGCCGGCTGGCTGGCAGAGATGTTAAAGCTGGCTAGCTCCTATTCCCAAATCACGTCCGAGGAAGAGGGTCTGTGGGATGTTGATGTCAACCTCTTTCTGTCGGAGGAAACTTCTGTCACTGCAAACTACACCCCTCGTACTTGCAGCGGGGACCTGGTAATTAAGCTGGGAGATTGGCTCAAAGATGTGACCACCCAGAGTCTTCTTGCCTTTCTCAACGGCGTCTTCTCTGATGCTTCGTCTACGTGGAAGAGCCGCGAGTCATCCCTTTTCATCCTCAATGTGCTCCTCAGAGACTTGCACGAGGTCTCGCGGGACATTGCACCGGATGTAGCTAGCGGTTTCGGCAACTTTGCTCAATTCGCGATTCAGCAGGAAGAGGAGCTCCTGCGTGCGCGAGGTTTCCTTGTGGCGGGAAGTTTAGCAAAGGTGTCCAAGGTTGGCGAAGCTTACCTTGAGGCAACTCTCAAGGCGATCGCTGAGGACCCGTCAGAAGTCGTAAAGGTGGCCTGCATTCGCTCACTACAGGACTTGCTGCCTTCAGCTTCCCCCAATACCGCTATCCCTCTTCAGCAGTCTATAATTTCTGCGGTCTCCGAATTCGTCGCCGCTCACGATCTCCGCGAGTCGTCCGACACTGATGACCTCAAAGTTACCTTAGCCGAAACTCTCCGTGATACAATCATGGTTGATACTGGTGTCGTGCTCACATCTACGGCACTCGACGTCCTGTTTAACGTTGCCAGCAACGGTGCTACGAACTTTCAGCTGACAATGACCGTAACGGAGGCCTTTGAGGATATAGTCGAAATCATCTCGGACCGAGGCGCTGATGCATTTGTCCGTCTCTGCGAAAAGGTCCTTCCTTCGATCATGGGCGCGGTCGACGTCGGTAATATGACTCAGGATATTTCATTGACTATTTTTGCCGCTGACCTCCTGCGTGGTCTTACGGAGCGAGCCCTTGAGCCGCTGCCGGCAGGCTTTGTCGAGACTGTCATGCCGAAAGCGAACCGGCTTCTGCTGGATTCGCAAGATGCAGAGCTCATTCGGCCCGCCACGGAAGCTGTGAGACATATCCTTGCGCACGATTTCAATCAATTTGTCACCTGGCGGGACCCCCAAAGCGGAAAAGAGGCAATTGAAGTTGTTCTTGTGATTATCGACCGTCTTCTGGGCCCCACAGTTGACGATCACGCTGCAACGGAAGTCGGTCAGCTTGCTGCGGAACTGGTTGAGAAGGCAGGCTCGGAACGACTGGGACCATACCTCCCACAGCTTTTGCAAGCCGTTGCCCGGCGCCTTGCCACCGCCGAGAAGGCTCAATTCATCCAGAGTTTGATCCTCGTGTTCGCTCGGCTGACGCTTGTCAGCGCGCGCGAGGTCGTTGACTTCCTGGCGCAGGTCGACATTGGTGGACAAAGTGGCTTGCCTATTGTGATGAGCAAGTGGCTGGAAAACTCGGTCAACTTTGCCGGGTACGACGAAATCAAACAAAATATCATCGCGCTGGCAACCCTGTACAACCTGGAAGACCCCCGACTGGCTCAGGTGCAGGTCAAGGGAGACCTCATTGTGCAAGACACCGGGCGAATCAAGACTCGATCTCAGGCTCGCAACAACCCCGACCGCTACACGACCGTCAGTGCGCCTCTGAAGATAGTCAAGGTCCTCGTGGAAGAGCTGGCGGCTGCTTCCGGAAACAAGGAGATTGACGCAGCCACCGCGGCGGCGCTGGATGAGGAAGGCAGCGATGATGATGATGAGTGGGAAGACGTGCCTGATAATACTCTTGACCTCAGTCTCGGAGTCACTAAGCAAGAGCTAATGGCATTCGGCGAAGGTGGTACTGAAGGGGTGTTTGGAGTCCGCAAGCGCGATGATGAGACGCAGGCGTTCTTGCTAGAGTTCTTCCGAAACGCTTCTACGAAAGCCGAGTTCCAGCAGCTCTTCGCAGCCTTGACGCCGGATGAGCAGGAGAAGCTTCGGAGTTTGGGTTGATCAGGTTCTATTGACATGTGGACCGAATTAACGACCTCCCTCTGTGTGGATAAGTGCCACGATGATGATAAGAGTAGTACATTTGTACATAATAATATACCATGATACGACGATTCAGGATAGCCGAGGAGCACGGGGTAATAGAGTTCAAACCGACAGACCTTGGAAGAGGCCTCAGCGCGATTTACTGGGCGAGCCAGCCTATCGGGGATGGAACGGCAGGGTCTGGCTTTGGCTGGAGTCTGGGCGATTCTGCATCTGCACCCGACAAAGTGGCTGCGGGGTTCCAAGGCACTGTCAACTGTCAACAAAAATAGTCGGGTACTACTGCGGGAAGATGTATCATATGTGCTACCAGTCCAGAGTTTATCACATAATGCACATTCGAGCCTTGAACCTTCTCAGTCAGGAGATAGGCGAGAGTTGACGCTACTGCAGCAAATCCCACCGCAGCGGTCAAATGGTCCCGGTGCTGGGGATCGGGACGCCAACCCTGTGCTTCTTTTCTTTCTTTTTCTGTACCTAATCCTAGTCTAGCTGCAATGATCTTGATCCATTTCTCCATTAATTATTATATGGGTGTCAAGTCTGCCCGCCGCCTCCTTTCTCCAACTTCCCCTCCCCTTCTTCTGCTCGCACCCGCATCCCGACAGCTTGGGCCCTTTCTACGCCCTTCTTCCTGCTGGATTCCCTTGCCGCCAAACTCGGAGCATGCCGCCACCCAATTTCCATGAACAGATTCAGGTCGATGTAAGTAGACGTTTATATTCTGTTCGAATACCAGGGTCTACCCCGCTCGTAATGAATTAACACCCCTCCAGACAAGTGATGAAGATTCTCTCTACGATGTCGATTCCGTAGCTGACTCGAGCCTCTCTTTCGCGTCTACCGTTCGAGACTACTACTATGAAAATGGCCGTCGGTACCATGCATACCGCTACGGCCAGTACCCGATCCCCAATGACGAAGAGGAGCAGGATCGCTTAAACATCACCCATCACCTCTTCAAACTTTTAACTGGGGGCGATCTGTACCGCACCCCTCTCGCCCAACAATCTGCTCCAAGGCGCATCCTGGACATTGGCACCGGGACAGGCGCCTGGGCGCTAGAGATGGCGGAGGAGTTCCCCGAGGCCGAGATTGTCGGCACCGATCTGAGCCCAATCCAGCCGAGCTTCTCGCCGCCCAACTGCACGTTTATTATCGACGACGCGGAGAGCGATTGGGCATTTCCCAAGGATGAGAGCTTTGATTACATTCACGCCCGCTCTATGGGTGGTGGTATAGCCGACTGGGAACGGTTGTTCCGGCAGGCTTATAACCATCTCAAACCCGGTGGTTGGATTGAATGCCAGGAGTTCGAAGCCGAGATACACTCGGATGATGGCACCGAGGAAATGGCCCCGATGCTGCTAGACCTGGGTAGAAAGCTAGACGAGGCTAGCAGGAAATTCGGGAAGCGCATGAGCATTGCTTCTTCGCTTTCCGGGTGGATAGAGGGGACTGGGTTTACCAACGTTACCGAAGATATCTACAAGGTCTGCCTCTTTATGAAATGATATTGCTCACATTGCTCACATGCTGCAGTGTCCAGTAGGCTCGTGGCCTAAGAGTCCGCGCCTCAAAGAAATTGGTCGCGTCAGCAAGGTCGCAGTAATCGAAGCCATCGAGCCGTATTCATTAGCTCTCCTTACAAGAGTGCTTGGATGGACCTACGAACGTGCCCAAGACTATGTCAACAAATGTCGCCGGGAGGCACTTAACTCCTCATGCCATATATACGTGCTATACTACTTTGTGTATGCACAACGACCTCTATGATGATACGATGAATAATGAATTTTCATGACTATGTCTATACAAAAAGCGGGCTACTGCAGTTGGTATATACATCGGCTAGATAGCTACATACATGCAAATGCAATCATCCTTGCAAAGAATATCCAACGCCCTCCCCTGTTCCCATGGCCACCAAATTCGCCCTCATCTTCTCGGCCCTCCCCCCAACCCCGAAAGCCGCATCCCCTCTGTGCACCCAAGCCCCAACCCCATGCTGCAGCACCGCCGTGGCCCTCACCTTCTTACTTCCATCCCCTTCGCCTCCATCGGTCTCCTTAATCCCCACACTCCCATGCAACGTCAACCTCGACTCCTCCCCACCCTCCTCCTTCGCCTTATACACCCCGCGGTGCAAAATATTACTATCATAAAACACCGCATCCCCCGCTTTCAACTCCACAACCAGCTGGCCCGGAAGTTCATTCTCGTACGGATCCGCATTGCGCTCCGTCTCGGTGCGCACCCGGCGATGCGAGCCAGGAACCACAATTAGAGACGCATCGTCGCAGAGCGCGAGATTGTATTGCGCATGCGACTGCCGACCGCCGGGGCTTTTTGAAGCGAGGAGCTTCTCCTCCTCGTCTGGCGACGCGGTCTCGGGGATATCGTCGCGGTGCCAGCGGAGCGCAAAGTCGTGCGTTTCTGGTGCGACCAGTAGATTGAAGAGTTCCATTACGAGCTTCTCGTCGTTCTCAGCCAAATCCAAGCCAAGCAGTTCCTCGACAACGCTCAAGATCCGCTCATCGAAGTAGAATTTGGCGAATTCTTCCCGACCTGGCATGTCGGGGTGCAGGAGATGCTGGACGCCCCATATTCCACCCTCGGAGGCTGGTGGGGGGACGTTTGTTGGCCATGGGGGAAACTGCTTGGGGACGGTGCGGAAGTAAGGCCAGGTGCCCGTGCGGGTGTTGGTTGTGGCCGTTGTGGCGGCTTGTTTGAGAGTTGCGAACTCTTTGGAGGAGGGTGGGATTAAAGAGGGGATGACGACGAACCCCTCTTTTTGGAGAGACTGAAGGTAGGTGGATGGCATTTTGCAGGCTGGGTAAGATGCTTGTGGAGGTTGTGCAGAAAAGACTGGAGGTGGGACAATATATAACTTGAGTTATACCTAGGCCAGCTAGCAATACTACTGTCGTAGCTAGGTTGTATAGCAGCTACAGTGTGTACCTTACCCCGCGCGAGATAGAGTGGGGCTCACACAGTAACTAGGTAAGGCCTATTGTGCTGCTTGAGTAGCAAGCAAATCAAATCAAACGCCTTCTAGGAAGTATCATGCCTGGATCTATTGGCAGCAGCTTCTTTTTTATTTTCCGAAATATTAATGGTCCCGGCATATTAAGCCTTCCTATTATAGGGCTATAGTGCGCAGTGGGGCAGGACATCTGATTCTGAGGTCATCCTCCGCTCGTGTGAGTTCAGCTTTCTTCCCTCAACCCAAACAAAAACTCCTCCGCCTCCATATTCAACTTCGCATCTCCAGAACCACACACTGAATCCAACATGGCTCCCCGAATGAGTCTGGGTCTGAGTACCCTGCTCGCGCTGGGGCTTGTTCTGCTCCTGCTCCCCTGCCAAGTTCACGCTTTCGGCGCCGGCAGTAAGATCGTCCACTCCTTGCCTCTGCTAGATCAGCCACACTCGCGTGCTATATACTAACAAGACAGACATCGCATCCATCTCAAAGGTCGAAGGCAAGAACTGGCGCCATGGAGACATCGAAGACATGCTCAAGACAATTGCGTTCATCAAGGGCCACAAGTGGACTTCCAACATGGTCAAGCGGGTTTACTTTGGAAACTGGCTGAGGGATTAGTATGTTGTTCTATTTCGTTAGAATTTAAGCTAATGCTTCGCTTAGCTCTCAAGCTATGGACGTCGGCACCCTCAAGAGTCTCCCCGCCGATACTATTCGCATCCTTGTGTGGATTCTTTCGTTTCTATCGTTCGGCTACGCGACGGCCGAGTTTGAGGTGACGGCTGAGAGGCTTGGGGTATATCGCCCGGAGGAGCATATCGAGTGAGTGCCATTCTCGCCTGCGGTATTGCTACAAATTAACTTGTACAGCAACCCCAAGGACTACGCCGATAACGAGGATGCTCGCCAGTATGACCAACGCCTGCGCGGCCCTATTCGCCAGATCGAACTCGATATCGACCCTGAGACCGGTATGAAGAACTATATCGCAAACGAGAAAGGGGACTGGGCTACAAGCGCGGCGTATATCAAGTTCAGCTTGGCTCGCAGCATTCATTACGGGAGACTATATACCAGCGGCGGTCATCGCAAGGGTAATGAGGAGGATCTATGTGAAGCACTCCGATGTCTAGGTCAGGGCTTGCATACGCTGGAGGATTTCGCCGCGCACACAAACTACTGTGAGCTTGCGCTCCGGGAAATGGGCTTTCACAGCGTCTTTCCACACACTGGTGCCGAGACCCAGATAAATGTCCGCGGTCACCACGTTTATCCGCTTGTAACGGGAACCTTTGGTATGGTTGACTTTTTCCATTCGGTCCTCGGAGAGGCTACCGACCACTTTACCCAGTCGGAGATCAACGAGATGGATACTGCTCTCGGCGACGCCCAGTCGAGCTCATCGGCAAACTCTCTCAACAACCTTACCGGACTCTTAGGAAAGGTTCCCGGATGCGGTGACCTAGTCGCAGAAGCGGAGGCACTCAAGCGTCGATCCGAAGCTCAGCAGTCTTCAAACAGCCGCAGTGGTGCGGACCTTGGTTACGCGGCTGGTGAGTTTACTCGTGCGTTCAATAACGACTCGGAGCAGGCCAGGGCAAACACGCCATCAAGCACCAACAAGCCCACTGGACTACCTGGAATGCCAGACTTTAACCCCGCGGAAACGATCGCCAAGATTTACCCTATTCTCGAATTCCGTGACAAGGTCGTGCGAAAGATCTCGTCGATCATTGAGAAGATTCCCGGCCTGGAGGCGCTTGTCGAGAAGATCACCGAGACGCTGACTATTTTCATCATGTCTCTGCTTGCCCCCTTCATCCGCCCCATCATCAACGCTGCCTCCCAGTCTCTGCAAACCGGCTCCGCTGGTGTAATCGAATCCTCCGGGAAACATCAGTTCGAACCCTGGACCAACCCGCAGTGCAGCGACCCCACGCACTCCATGCTCTCAAAGGACCACTTCTCCAACATTCTCAACGAGCCTGCTGGAAACGTCGCCTCTGCCATTCTCAAGTACGTGGCCCCCCGCGTACTCCACGCCTGGGAGAACATCAACATCCCAGAACAGCAAGTTCTGCACGATGCCCTAGAGGTCTTCCACCACCCTGCGCTCCGGAACATGCGCAATGAAGCTCATCGCACCATGTTCGAGGCCGTCCAATCCTGGGTCCATGCCATGCCTGACCGAGGTGCCAAGCTCAACGATGTTCTCAGCTCCGAGGGCGTCAAGACGGGAAAGAATAATGGTGGTCAGGTCGGCCACAGCTGTCAGTCTCACTCACAAGGCGGCTTCCCCTTAGGAGGTGCTGCAGGTCAAACATCTAGCCATGGCTACGCTTCTCACTCCCAGCCTCAACCTCAGCAAAGCTCTGGATCCAGCTCAGGACTCCCATGGGAGAAGCTGTCCGACCAACTAAACAGCCTTCCCATCCCCGGGATCTCAAACATCAACAAGCTCAGCAGTAAACTCTCCAGCTTTGGCTTGGGAGGCTCGTCACGAGAGGAGAAGGATAACACTCCGCCGCCACAGCACAACTATGAACCTTCACATCAGCAATTCTCTCACACGCCTCCCGCGTATCAGCCTGGAGGTTACGGCGCTCCGCCGCCACAGCACAACTATGAGCCTTCACATCAGCAATTCTCTCACACGCCTCCCGCGTATCAGCCTGGAGGTTACGGCGCTCCGCCGCCACAGCACTACTATGAGCCTTCACATCGGCAATTCTCTCACACCCCGCCTCCCACGCACCATGAACCTGGAATTTACGGCGCTCCGTCTTACGATGGCGGTCACGGTCAGCCTCCTCATCACGGCCATGGATACGGACATCCCCACCAGCGTTATGGAGGCGGTTATGGGTACTAAGCTGTCGACCTTCTAATGCATAATGTCAATTATGAAAGCGAGTAGATGGTGTACGGATCAGATAGAAGGGCAGAGTTCTAGTTCCGGCGCTTCATGTTTTACTGTTTGATATTGGTTAGCAGCTAGTTGGGCTATTACCGATGCGTGATGAGATTTACGGTATCCATAGAATTAGGTATCATTAGTTGTGTATGTGCCTTTGTGTATTACAGCATCGTCCTTGGGGTCAAAACTGATCCCAGGAGACGCTATGGGCTCTATAGAACATGGTATCATACTGAATCCAGAACTCCACGCTTCCAATCCGTTCCGTCGCTAAGCCTTGCTTACGATATAGAGAATCACAATTTCGTCCCCTCCCTTCCCGTATCACTCAGTCTCCTGGGCCTCAACAATCCCGGTATAGGAACGGGACCACTATTACTAGAGCCCACCCCTGCACCAGCCCCCGCGCTTGTCGCACTCCTTGAGTCATTACCATTCTGCGCCCGTTGACCTTGATGCAGCCGCGGGTTCATGAGCCACTGAACCTGCATGCGGACGCTGTTCACGGCAGCATTGGTGTGCGCCATGTCTTCCTTGAGCCGGAGACATTCGTTCATGATTGCCATGCTTGCGCGGGCATCAAGGTCTGTGATGGCATGCGAGAGTTGTGCGACTTCTTCGCGGAGGGATTCATGGAGGGAGAGGAGGTAGGTGGTCGCGTTTGTGAAGGGATTGGTGGATGAGTCGGGGTCGGTTATGGATGATCTGCGTCTATTTGAGGAGTTGGTGGCAGTGGACGTGGAAGCAAGTGCGTCATTGTTGTTATTGGGGGCAGAGAAGGCGCGGGAGGATTCAAATAGGGTTGAGCGGATAGAGGCGAGGCCGTCGTCGAGGATCTCGTTTCGTTGTTGAAGATGGCGGACTGTGTGTTCCATCGAGTCAAGGCGGGCGTTTTGGGCTTCAAAGTACGGCCCCATTGTGATGAGGGGGCAGCTCTGCTCGTGGGCTCCTAGCTCTGCGCGCTTCATTTTGATGGGACAGCCGTATTTGGATGCGGCGCAGGGGTGAATTGCTTCGGGACAGGCATCGATGTGTTCCCGGAGGGCCTTTCGAAAGACGGTTACTTGGCAGTCTGGACAAGTTGTTTTGAGGCTAGGGCATAGATATTTGACGTGCTCCTGTGAGGGAGTTAGCACTGCGTAAATGGAACTTGATCCGATCCCTACCTCGTAATCCTGCTCCATAATGTCTGTGTCGCAACGTAGACACTTGTGTAGTTCATGCATACACTTTCCCTCCGTGCTGAGGTCCTTCTTGCGGGTTTTCTCCTCACAAGAAGGGCTCGGACAGTCCATCAGCTTATACTCGCAGTACTTGTCCGCATGGGACTGGATATGGCCCCTTGGAACAACCTCTTTGCATCCTTCACTCGAAAACGGACACCGCACCGGAAGATCGTCGCACATGTTGGTCAATAACCGAGGAACATTGAGATAGACATCTCTCGTAGGAGCGCGGCATGTGGGACAGGTGAAATTGTCTGGACCGTCGGCGAACGTTCTAATGGCAAAGTTCAAGCACGTCTGGCAGAATACATGATCACATCCTAGGCGCACTGGTCGGATAAAAGGGCAGTGGCAGATTGGACACATGAGATGATCATCGTAGTCAGAGATGTACTCGAGTCCACGCAAGTCAATCACTCCGTCATGGTCGCTGCCTGCCTCCATAGCGAGGAACTGGTCAAGCTTCATGCTGATAAGTGGCGCTTCCAGGTAGATTTATAGGATTCTGACAATGACTCTCCTGTGAAAAGGAGAGAAGCTCGTGTTTCAAGGGATCGTCCGCTGGAATGTCCTGTTGGCGAGAGGATGAAACAATAGCTCCGAGTGACAGCCCATGAGTGTCACACGGTGGCTGAAATGAAGGGAGGGATGTCGCGACTCGGAAATCAGCGTTCAATAGGTTGATTTAGAGCGTGAGCCGGCGGAGAGATGGCGGGTGGTTGAACAGAGGAAGTTCGGGGACAGGAGCGGGAGTCGAAGCGGCATTGCGGGGAGGCAAGAGTGGTGGTCGGATGGATTTTGGACATCAACTGCCTGGATCGAGCGCAGCAACTCATCTGGTTTCCGACCAGGACAGTCCCGTTATAAATAAAGATACTTTTCTGGACTGTTCTCGGTTTCGATCGCTTTAAGCACCGACTGCATTCTCGACCCTCGGTCCATCGTCCGTTCGCAACTTAGCGCTGAAACTCCTCCGCAGTTGCCCATTCATTGTCTGACCAGCACTCAAACCTCTCCCTCAACAACCTCCCTCCCCTGCATCAGCGATCATCATAATCTGACATCCGACAATGCCGAACCCTTCCCAACTATTCCTCCTCGCCGATCACATCAAACTCTCTCTTCTCGAACGCCAACGAGCCATTTCGCTGAGTCTAGAACCCAACAGCCAAGATGGCGAAATCTCCCGCTCGCTCGAGTCCCTACGAGAAGGCATCGAGAGCGTCGAGGCCGACGTTACACGGTTAGAAGAATCGAATGATGAGGCGGCTTCCGACTTGAAAGACCAACTCGTCCATCTACGCTCGCAGTACAGCGACTTATCGTCGCAATTCCGCGGTCCCGCCGGTTCATCATTCGCCGATGACCGGTCAGATTCAGCATCGCCGCAATTCACCAGCATCAAAGGCTCATCGCCGGACCTGAAACAGCCTGTTCCGCAGCATCCGCCGTCTAAATCTGTTCGTTTCATGGACGATTCTGCCGCCGCCGAAGAGGATCTCAACCGTCGCAACCTGTTCCAGCCATACCGAGACTCGCCCTCACCCGAAGGCGTGGATACGACTGACATGTCGAACCAACAGGTTTACGACCATCATGACCGGGTGATGCGGGAGCAAGACGAGCAGTTAGACCGGCTGGGCGAGTCGATCGGGCGGCAGCATCAGCTGAGCATCCAAATTGGGGACGAGCTCGATGGCCATGTGGCGTTGTTGGATGAGATGGACGGTACTGTTGACCGACATCAGAGCAGACTCGACAACGCCCGGCGACGCATTGACAAAATCCGCAGGAGTGCTGGGGAGAATTGGAGTATGATGACCATCATTGGGTTAATCATCATCCTAGTCATCCTGATCGTCCTTTTGAAATGAGGGCTGCAGCATTCCTACGTGTTTATTTGTCGTGCTTTAGTTATACCTATTTAGCGGCGCAGTGGCGTTGATTCTCAGTTTCATATCTGCTCTGGGTTAGAACCATTTGGTATCGGACACTCCTTGAACGACGGGACGGCGTTGGTAAGGTTGCGACAATTCCATTTTATACATACACTACACGAACAGTTCTACTCGGTACAGCTCTACTACAGTACACTTAAATGTACCCTGAATTAAGTTCATTGCCATGTCAAAACTGGAGAAACCCTCTTTAACCTATATCATGCATGGTACAAAAGGAAATGAACTGAAACAAAGAAAAGGTCAGACAGCTAAGCACCAGGCCCAGCCATCTTACGCCTTCTTATTAGGCTCGTTCTTGGTCTTATCTTGCAGGTCGACGAAGCTCTCATGGCTGTCCACCTCGCCCCGATCAGCCTTGACCTATTGCGACAGTTAGCTTTCAGGCCCATTCAGAAGCGGACTGGACAGTTCAGATGTAAATACATACCGAAGCCTCACTGCTGCTGGCAAGGTTCTGGTTCCACTTGCCCTTGCCCTCCTTCTGCCTCTTAAGCTGGCTCTGCTTCTCCTCCTCGTAATGGTCCTTTAGTTCGTCGCGGCCTGAACCTTAGGTGTCAACGGAGTCAGTAACACACAGTTTGGGTGCGGAAATCAGGAGTTTGTCGAGTGGTGAAAAGGTAGGTGCTTGTTCGGAAGGAAACTGAAGTCGACCTACCTCGGTCATCGTCCTCCTTGAGGCCCCGGCGAGGTACGGAGGTGTGGAATGCGGAGGTTGTGGCGCGGGGGAGGATGGATGAAGCGCGGGCGCCCGAGAGACGGGTGGATGCGCGGATGGAGGGGAGGAAGGACATTTTCTCTGTTCTCCTCGTTAGCAAGAGCTCGCATTGGGAGAGTAGATTGCGTAGTAGCTCACGTTTGTAGATAAGAGTGTGGAGAGGTGTTGGTGGTTGGTATAAGCGGTAGTAGCCAACTTGTACTTTTTCAGCAGCTATGTAAGGATGTGGAAGAAGTATTTAAACAGTTTCCAGCAGCCTGGCAGCTTGCAGCTCAACCGCTGGACGTCACCTTGCTGCGGCGGCCAACCAAACACTGTGGATTTGGACTGATTGACGGTGACGTCATCAATACTCATTGCCTGGTTACCACGGCTTCACAAACGGGCTGCTACGGCTGGACATTGGTAGCCGAGGTAATAAGCTTATTAGTGCTCGGAGCAATGGATTGGCGGATGATAATTTAAGGATAGGAGGTTGGAGCCCATGTTTTTAAAGTTGTTTGGGTCGAGTTGGCTTTGCGGGGTGAGTATACGCTTCGAGGGGCAAAAGGGGCTATACAGCTACACCTTCGGTAGGGCGTGGTAGTATATGGGATTTGGTTAAGTGTTTCCTTCAAGCCAAATATATAGTATAGTGGCCATATGTTCATAGAATTTGAGCGATAATCTGATGTTTGAACGGTCAGCAGGGGTACACTAGGTTATATATCTGGATGCCGGTCGGTCCAGGGAAATTGTACACAGTTTTATTCGACCACAAACCGTAGCTAAGCTGCAGCCAGTAACTCCAGGGTCAGCGAATTAACCACTACGCCATGTTATGTCCAGTACAGATCTGAAGCCAACAAATGAGATGTCATTGAGACAAGACAAGCGAGCAAATGGAACAGCAATGTCGGAATAATAAGACGCAGCTTACCAGGTTTCACCTGGAGACCAATAGTGAACTGATCCAATCCATGGATTCACAGCCAGTTATCCTATCAATAGGGAGGGCATGTTACCAATCCCAACCATATACACGAACAGAAGCAGAAACAAAGTAGAGAGGTCAGACAAGACATATGCAAGATATCAAACGTCGCAAGACTTCCGAAACAAGTTTAACAAATCCCAACCAATGCAAGACGTATATCGTTCCCGCCTTTCTAGATCCTTATAACGCATGAAAATCCGTCCCACCCAAAATGTGTACCCAGGCCAAAACCCCCAAAGAAACATGGTCAAATAGCTAAGCGGATTTCGCAAAGCCGCCAGAATACTCCAAGAAAAACAACTCCGTGCCCCCCAAATGGCAAAGTCGCCGCTTTCTATACATCATCGCCGGCCCTGAACCCCGAGGCCAATAGATCGGTATTTTGGTTTTTCCCTAACCGAGCGTAGAAAAACAAGGTATCGCTGGAGAATGCAAGAATCGAATCGCAAGGGCGCCGTCGCTCGCAGGTAGTCGAAGAAGCATCAATCTAGGAAATCGTGATCGGAGGGTGTATATACAAACATAAACAATGTATCCTTTTATGCTCCGCAGATTCGTGAATCAAGAAAAGGCGAGTTTAGGTTGATCGTGAGAAAGGGTCGAGTCGTGTCAAACGATTAGAGAAGCAAAAGAAGTCAATATTATGACCCGCGGTTAGGGAGACCGATGATGCAGAAGCTGGGCGAAATCGAGAAAAAGTCGTGGGTGGACGTGTGGCTCTTGCCAGCAGTATGACGGCTTGGCAGGTCATGGCCATGGTCCTTACCACCGACGCTGAGCGTTCTGCATCTGTGCCGGAGAGATCGAAGTGGGCGGGCTGGTCATGGTCATCCCGGTGTTGGGGTTGATGATTGGAATGACTTTGCGGGCGCGAGCAGCCGAGGGTTGCTGGAAGCTCGCTTGATTATAATTACCGGTGACCCCCGAGTGGAGGTACGTAGTGGAAGAAGCGGGAGACAAGGAAATCGACGGCGTAACCTGCTGAACGGGCTGAATTTGATGCTGGATCGGCGATGTGTCGGGCGAGCCGCTAGAGAGAGATGAACGGTCCGAAGAAGCAGAGTGGATTGAGTGCAGCTGGAATTCCGAGTCAATAACAGATCATTACGAGAGGATTCGATTCCGAAGATTCGAACCGGGCAAAACATACGTCGTCCTCCGTCAGGAGACCTGGACAGAACTCCAGGTCGTCGTCCAGGTCAAAAGACCGTCCAGCTTCAAAGCGGGCACGGAAAGCAGTGACCGAGGGAGCCTCGGCCAGCTCCCTCATACTCTTGACACCACGGAACTGACGTTGAGCGTTCTGAGCTGCCATCTTAGGGCCTCGTCGGGAGCGGCCACCATGGTGGTTATTTGACGTTTGCAGGTGAGCGGTGGCGCCATGGTGAGGGGCTTGGTGGTGCTGTTGGTGCTGTCCGTAGAAGAAGGTCGACATCTTGGCGGCGGCGTATTAAGGCGACGAGCAAGGAATAAGCACGTTACGGTCGTTGAGATGGTCAATGTACAGATGAATAGTGGATACAAGCAAGGACCAGAGTCGTTGACGGTGAGCAATGCAGGATAGGACTTTTGAACAAAATGGAAGGGAATATATGGCAAGGAGGTAGTTGGACGGGGAATATTCTGTAGAAGGAGAATATACTAACGCAGGGGGTGAAAGAAGGAAGAATAGTAATATAGCTGAGGAGGGAAAGGGAAGTGAACGGTGGAAGGTTGAGTTTGAATTTAGCTGTGTGGGATGGAGAAGGAATCGAAGGCGGCGGCGGCAACCAGACTGAAGAAAAGGTCTGGGAGTCGAAGCCATGGAGACTGGAGAGGGGCTTTCTGCTGGGGCTGAGTCTGAGTGGACGACTCCAAAGCGATTACTCGGTAAATTACCGACCGTATGTTACCGCTGCCAGCCTTTGACGATCGCTTGCGGCTGGTCAATCCTGTCACACGCTAGTCTCACGGCTAGGGTCACCAGATTCCTCGAGAGCGGAAACATGGTGGCGAAACTTTCCAAGGTGGCCAATAAGCGGAGCATAATTTAGCGCTAGGTGTCCCCACATACATACAATTTTTAGTCTAAGGGGCCAGGACCACCAATAAGACATGGACCAGCGCCGAGCGGCTAGCACTATGTGGAGCTAACGAACGTCATTACCGAGCTAGCCCATTGCGGTTGCAAGTTGGTCAGATGCGGGAATCTTATCCCGGCTTAGCCGCTCAAGGGCCGACTGTGCGCCTATCATCTCCTCCCTGAGAGTCGCAGGTCCTCACTCCTCAGGCACCTCAGGTAGGAATCGTTAATTTCTGCTGGGCTGCGCATTAATGGCTAATGCAGGAGACCATGGTAAAATACAGCCACGCTGTGACTGGGGGGAAAGTGGGTCGGTAGAGCGTGGGTGTACAAACAACAAAGGGATGCATCATGCAAGGCCTCCCTTTGGATCGGGAGGGCGGCGTTCTTGCCGCACCTCTATGGGGATTGCTTTCCAAACCTCGTATTGAACACTGAAATACTTGACCATGTCGCTCACAACAGTCGCAACGTCGGACAGGAACCTCGCCTTTGGAGGCTGTCCAAAGTCTGAAACCTGAATCATGCGGCAGGCGTTTCCGAAGATAGGCACGGCATGCGCTGGCAATTTGCACCATGACCAGGACGGACAATGATTTGCAAGGAAATGATCTGAGCCCCGCCCACAACAAACAGATGTCATACTCATCGATGATTTGCTCCCAGCGCTTCCCCATACATTCCCACGGAACCGTGCGACGTGGTCGAAGAGATTGGCCGCCCCATAGATTCTGGAAGAACGGGCGCAGAGAACAGCTCGGCCCGACTTGTCTGCCGGTCACCCCAGCTAGTTTGGTCACGTGACCTAGCTTTGTAGCTTACCTAAGCTTATCTTTAAACTTTACTTATAACTTTGGTTATAATCTAAATATAATAGCTATTAATATAACAAAGCCTTATACTACTTTTTAAGTAGTATAAATATTAATAATCCTATTAAAACTTTATATTAAATTTTTTTTTAACTTTTTTTTACCCCTTTTTACCTTTTTTACTAATAATACTTCCGCTTATTATGCTAACTATTAAATTAATAATAAGAACTACTTAAAAACTACTTTATAATTTATTTTTATAGCTAATTTAAGCCTAGGCTATTTTTAAAAAATATATATAAATTTTAAATAATAAAGTAGTTTTTTTTAAGCTAGAGCTAAAGGTAAGTAAGGCTATTATTATTAAAAAGTAAAAGCTAAAAATACTTTTAAATTACTTTTTAATTTTTATTTTTTAACTTTTTTTAACCTTACATGCATCCCTGGGAAGTACTTTAAAATTAATTATTTATAAAATAATAAAATAGCCTACCTTTTTTAGGGGAGCTTTGCTACTAGGTTAAAGGCTATTTTAATAAAATAAGTTTTTTTAAGTGCTTATAAAAAGTACTTTTTAACTAGTTTAAATAAAATTTAATATTATTAATAGCCTTTGTAGTTATTATACTAGTAAGCATTTTATTATTTATTTTTTTACCTAGGTTTTTAAAAATAAAAAGGATATTAAGGGCTGCCTAAAGGTTGGTAAAATTAAAAAGGCTAAGAATAAGTTTAGTTATTACTTATAAAAAGTACTTTTTAATTAGTTTTATAAATTTTTATTAATTTATTATTAATAATTAAAAGGCGTGCTAGGCTATAAAGCTAGTTATCTTATTTTAGCTTTTATTTAAATAAAATAAAAATATAAGTAAGCTATGTTTTTTTATTAAAAATACTTTTTAACTAGTTTTAGTATAACCCCACTACTATAAAAAAAATAATAAAAAAAAAAGTTATAAAATTTCTTATAATACCTGCAAGTTAAAAAAGGTGCTAACTAGTAAGTTTTTTTACTTTATTAACTTTAAAAAATACTTTTTAATTAGTTTTAAAATACTGCTTGTGGAAGTAAATTAAAAATTATAATTATTTTAAGCTTTTTAAAAAGCTTAATACTACTGGCCAGGATAATAAAAACAAGAAAAAAAAGTAAAAAAAAAAAAAAGATTATTAATATTACTACTACAAAAATTACTTTTTAAGTAGTTTTTTTTATGCCCTTTTTTATTTTTTTTTTTAATTTAGCAAGGCGCCTACAGGCATATTTTATATTTTTTACCTTTTTTTTAATAAGGTGCATATAATATTAACTACTTTAAAAGTAGTTTTTTAATTTTTAATTTTTTTTTATATATAATAAGCTATAATTAAATACCCTAAATTATAATAAACTTTATTTTTTTATAATTAAGTCTAAACTAGCTTTAATAGCTTTTAAACTAGTTTTATTTTTAGGTGTAGGCTTGTTAAAAACTAGTTATTTTTAAAAAAAAGTAAAAAAATAACTATTATTTTTTTAAATTTAAAGTACTTTTAATTAGGGCTAAACTAGTTTAGTTTAGGGTTATAAAAAAAATTAATAAAAGTAAAATTTAAATTAAGCATATAGCTTACTATGTAAGATACCCTTAGATTATTAGGCTTAATTATTTTAAAAGTACTTTTAGTATTACTAAGTGACTAAAAATTTTTAAAAAATTTATTTACTTATTTTTAATTAAGGACTTATTTTTAAATTTTTATTACTATATTATACTTACTAGGCTAAAAAATATATTTTAAGCTTACTTATTTTTTACTTATTTTATATATTTTACCTAATAAAAGTAGTTTATTAGCAGCCTAAAATAATTTATTTCTTATATGCATGTTATGCTAAAGGTTTTAATTAATAAATATATATATTTTTATAATATTTATACTTTAACCAGCTAGTATATTAAAACTTAATTATTATAGTATAAAATTATATTAACATGCTATTAAAACCAAGTAAATAATAAAATTTTATTTTTAAATAAGTAACTAAAGTACTTTTAAAAATATTTAAACTAATTTAAAACTAGTTTTAATTACTAGAATTATTAACCTTTTTTTTAATATATTTAATAACTTTAGTAAATGTAGCAGGCCCCCTAGTTATTTTATTATAAAAATATTACTTTAACTAAGCTAGCTTTTTAAAATTAATTTTAATTTTATTTTTAACTTTTAATTTTTAGCCCTTTACATGGGTGGTAGTGGGAGAGTCTTAAAAAATATTAAAAGATTTAAAATAATTAGTAAGTACTTAAAAACTAGTTTTTTAGTAAACTTATAATATTAATACATGTTTTTAAATAGGCATAGTAGTAAAAGCACTAAAATAATATTAATATTAAAAAAATTTAGCCCTAGGGTAAAGCAGGCTTTATTAATTTATATAATATATTAATAGGTAGGTGTAGTAAAATTAGCCCTAAAAAATTATTAATATTAAAGTAGTTTTCCCCGCAAGTAAAGTAGTTTTTAGGGTATATTAAAATATATAAAGCATGTTATTTATAGGGTATAACTAAAGTTATATTAAAGTATTATTAATATAAAACTAGTTTTTATATAAAATAAAGTACTTTACCTTTTTATATAATATAATTAAAACTAAAAGCCCCTGGCATGTATAAATTTAAAAAAACTTAACTTAAATAAGATTTTATTAAAATTATTTTTTGCCTTTTATAGCTTCTTTTATTTTACTATATTAAAAGCCTTATATTTTTAGCATACTAAAAAGGTTAAAAGTAATTTTAAAGTAGTTTTAAAGTAGTTTTAATATATATATAATTTTTTTATATATACTTAAAATATTATTTATGCATGTTATTTATGCAGTATTTATACTAAGTTTTATAAAAAACTTTTATATAATATTAATTTATATTATGCTAATTAAGCTGCCAGGAGCTGCCTTAAAATTAGTAATTAAAAATAGTTTTTATAATAAATAAAGTAGTTTTAATTTTATAACTATACTAAGTAATAACTTTTAAATACCTAAAAAATAGGACTTATAGTAGCTTTGCTTAATAATATTAATATTTTTTTAAATTTACTTATAATAATTAGGTAAAATTTAAAAACAGGCTTAATTAAGACTAGCAGTAATAATTAAATAAGCTTTATATTTAGCCTAATTATAAATAAAAGTATTTTTATATGCTAATTAAAGTTAAAACTAGTTTTAAAGTACTTTAAAAAATAAAAAAATATACTTTAAAGTAGTTTATAAAAATTAAAATAATTTTTTAAAGTTTTAATAGTAAGCAAGCTTTTTATATAATAGCTAATAAATATATAATACTCCTCCCAAGGGTAAAGCTTTTAAATAATTTAAAAAAAGTAAATATAATATATAATAAAAATATTTTCTAACTACTATGTTTAAATATAACTATAAAAATCTTTTTTTTAAAAGTATTAGCCTAATCCTAAAACTAGTTTAGCCTAAGGTAAAAGTAATTTTATATAAAGCTTACTAGCTATTTGCTTTACATATATATTTATTATAATACCCTTAATATTAATATTATAAAGGTAAAAAAACTGGCTAAAAAACCCCTGCATAAAAGTAATAAGGCTAAAAATCTTTTTAAAAAGTAAAAAATATTTATTTATAGTTTTAATATTAATAAAAACACGTAATAATATAAAAACTAAAAATAGTTAATAACTAGTTTTAAAAAAAAGGTAAAATATAGGTAAGTAAAGTACTTAAAAAGTACTTTTTAACTTACTTTTACCATGCTTTAGCAGGAATATAATAAAAATAACCTTATTAAAAATACTTTTAACACGCTTATAAAATATATTAACTTTAAAAAAGTTTAGTAAGGCTAAAAGCTTAATTTACTTATTAAATATATAAATAACTATAATAATATTTTTATGGGTAACAAGCCTTTAGTAATAATACTTTTTAAATAATTAGTAACTAGTTTTTAGGGCATGGAATAAGCTAAATATTTTAAAGTTTAGCTTAACTAAAAGCTAAAATTATATATTAGCTATTTCCCGGCTTTTAGGGTAAAGTAAAGCCCTTTTTTTTATAATAATAATAAAAAAATAATCTTGGTTTACAAAGCTATTATAAATCTAAAATAATATTTAGTTATTATATTATTAATAAAAATTTTAAAGGGCTGGACTTTTTAAAAATTAACTTAAAAGTAATTTAGTATTAAATAAAACTACTTATAAAATAGTTTATATACCTATTATAAGGTTAGGATCTTACATCTTGCAAATAAACTTAATAACCTTATTAAAAATAGCCTTTAAAGATTAATTTAATAAAAAGGGAGAATAAATATACATGCCTTAAAAAACTATTATAGTAAAAAAATATCCTAACTAATTTAAAAAAATAAAAATATTAAATATAACCTTATACTTAATTTTTTTAAGTTTTTTTTTTTTATAGGTGGCTTTAGCCTAAATAAAGTAGTTAGTAAGTAGTTTTAAGGTTTTAAAAAAAAATACTTATAAAACTAGTTTTATTTTTAAAAAACTAGTTTTAATCTTATATACTATATTTTTTTTTTAACTAGTAATAAACTTAACCATGTTATATTTTTTAAAATTAGCTAGGGCTAAAACCTTAAAGCAAGCCTAAAATAGCTTAATATTAATACTTTAAGCCTAGTTAAATAAGTTAAATATAAAATACTTATTAAAATTATATTAATTATTATATAGGCATGCTATATAGTAATAATATATATTAAAAATATTTTAAAGTAATTAAAAACTAGTTTATACTTTAAAATTAGGGCTACTTATTAATATAATATACTTTTATAAAATAGGCCTGCAGGTAGGAATTATTTATAGGCATGCCTTTTTACTTTTAAAGTATTTTTAAATTATTTAAAAAAGGCTAAACAGGCTTAGTTAATAAAATAATTTTAAAATAATAAAACTAGTTTTAACTTACTTATATATAGCTTTAACTTTTAAAAAAGCTTTGCTTATTATAATCTTTCTGTATTTATTATATATTTTATTTAAAAAATTTTTTTTAACCTTTTAATAGGTAATATTTTATAATTTTAAATTTAAATACTTATAAACCTTAACCTTAAAGTAATTAAAGTAAAATTTACTATATATTTACTTAAAAAACTAGTTAAAAATTTATTTTATACTTTTAACTTTTACCTTGTAATATATAAACTAAAGTAATTAATAATTAATTTTTAAAAAATATAAACTTATATATATTATATATTTTTTCTTAGGACTATGCGCCTGTTATTTTATTTATATAAATAATATATATATAGTTATTAAAATTAGTAGCAGGATACTTTAGTAAGTAATTAATAAATTAAAAATAATAAATTAAAATAGGGTATATTTAGCTAGTAGTTACTAGTATTAATACTAGTAGCTTTTAAAAAAGTAATTAAAAAGTACTTTAAAAGTAATTAAAAATTTTTATATTTTATTATTAAAATTAGCTTTTTAGGCTTAATTACACTCTTAAAAAATATTTTATTTTTATTTATTAAAAAAGCCTAGTTAATTTATAAAAACTTTTTTAATAGCTGGCTAAGGCAAAGGTGTTAGTATTAATAAATTAATAAGTGTATTAATTATAGGATTATTAAGGGGATTATTAGTTAAAGCTATAGTAAAGTAATTTAAAATACTATAAAATTATTTTTTTTAAAATACTAATAAGGTATAAAATAAAATTTATTAAAAATATAAGGTAGGCTAAGGATTTTAATTAAGCAAGCTTGGCTTGCTTACCTTAGCTTAATTAAGCTGCGGTCAGCTACAGACGGGGTGGGCCAACCTGTATGCACGAACGGGCGCCATCTTCGACGGACTCAAGTAGCCCTCATTAGAGCAACAACATGGTAAAGACCATCCCAGAACAGCTTCCATGAGCTCTCTCCGCAGTAAGTAGTACTCTGACTAACCAACGAAGAACACAGTAAGATGGTAAGACCTAATTTCTCACAGGAATCAGGGGGCCGGCGGAGAACGGAATCAACAGAAACATCCGATTCTCGGATCTAACCCTGGCATGATCCTGCCGCACAAGCCACAATTGTGGCTTTGCATCTATTGCTGTCTGAGCGTCTCGGATCAACATGATTGTCTGCGCCCCTCAATCCTTCAATTATTGAGTCATCAAACGGTAACATTTCCGCCACAGAATCCCCAAGGGGAAGGCATGTCAATGAGTTCATACCTTCATGACTCTACCTTGGAGGCTCTCCAATATTGCCATCAGCGGAGCAATGCCTCCCGAGAATTATCCATATTCGCCTCATTCGTTCCGCTACAGCCCTACCAAAACAATTACATAACTACTCCGTATGTGGAGCACCCCCATTGCTGTAGAAATGGGACAATCAAAACAACAGATATCATTACTTCGTCAGTGCAGTGGCACAGCACATACGAGCAACAATACGGCGTTGAACCTTATTCCATGACGTGAAATTGATCGACTTGAGAGCTGGGCATATCCTGGCAACTATCGCATATCTACCCCGAGTATATGTTGCTGCTCCTCCACACTCCATACAATAAATCGAGTGGCAAAGACAGACCACTCGATTCCACACTATGCTCTCACTTGACGCAACTTCCGATATGAACGTCGTCCGACTTCCACGGATTTAGGAGGTAAATATGCTCCGTAAGAAGTAGGTGTCTAACATGTGGATATGCGGTCCTGGTTGTTAGCACACCGCATGTACCCAGAGTATGGGATAGTAGTACGGAGTAGTGGCTATCTTTATGTTACAGTAGGAAGGTTGGCTAGGTATTTGAAAGAGAGGATTGCTCAAGAGCCCATGTAACCTTGACCTTAATCGCATTCCTGACCATGGTCGCATGGCTCGCTAGGTTTTTTAAGAAAGCTGCACCGAACTCCGCCGGATGCGGCCATCGGCACTGGCCCATCAGAATATAAAAAGTAGCTTTCGGTCGAGTATATTGAAATGATTGAAATAATGACCAAACCAAGAATGCGTGCTCTAAAGCCAAAGTATATACAATCGAATAGACGCTCATCCTCATTTGTCCAAGCTTTTGCTCTTTACCAAGCGGCCTAGAAGCTCCTTGCAATTCTTCTCACTGTATTGTTCCCATACTTCGTATAGTGACACCAACTCCTGGGTCGACTCAATCACCGCCTTAATGTCGACCTCACTCTCGGCAAGCCATGCTATGAGCTTCTGAATCCTGGGAGGAGGACCAGCTCCTCCCTTGTCACCGAGGGCCGCTAGAATATTCATACCGCCGTCTCGCATTGCCCCTGCTATTGGAGCCGCAGAGCCATGGAATCCTGTCTGGCTGCTGGGCTTGAAAACAACAGCGACAATGACGGCCATGACTGCGATAACGTGAGGCGGATACAACAAAGACAAGTCAGTGAGGTAGTGATCGTTGATCACTGACCATGCAAGCGCAATCTCATCAGACGTGAGGGATAGCTCAGGCTGGAGCTCCGATAGAGTTCGGTAGGGATGATGCACAATCATTTGGGCTTGCATTTCTGAAATCAGCGAGAACTCGCACTCGCCGACTTTGGAGACGTCAGGAGCGATAAACTCTTATGGTGCGTTAGCGATGACCGGATGGTAGGCGTTCGAGCATTCGCATACCTGGCCAGAGACCCCGAGCCTCGCCGACCACGAATCTGATGTGCTGAGGGCATTCTTCCATTTTGCAGGCGAGATAAAAGGCCGTAGTCAGAACAAGATACGGGTTCGTGTTCCTGATCTCGTTCTTAGTGTAGTATCGTTTGATATACACCTGAGCCGTGGCTAGTGCTTGCTGCCTGGTTGCCATCCTCTTGCCGAGTTTGATGAGCTCTGCTTAATACTTAGTTTAGATCTCCCTGTTCTTATGGTATCAGCCTTACGCTGGTTGAAATAGATATTGAGCAGTCGTTGATCTGGCAGCGGGAACTGCGAATGCGCAGCTTTGTCTTTCTCCTTGAAGCTCTCCCTAATTTCCGCCAAGCGCTCCCTGGTAAATAGCCAGTGCCTTCGCTGGGTTGAAGCCCAGTAGTTAGCTGCCATGATTCGATGATGAAGTCTCCGGATTTGCTCAGGTCCAAGTCGATGTTGTCCTCATCATGGCAGGTCAAGACAAGTCGTTCAGTGATGACAACAGCCCCACTCTATATATATATATATATGAATGTTTTGCTTGCTTGAAGCTACCGTTCTGGCATGGTCCCCTCTTCTGATGAACGCAGCACTGGGTGTGTAGACGAGACCGAGGCTCCAGGCTACAGTAGTAGGCTTCCCAGAAAGGTATAGTGAGGCCGATCACCGGGCCGGTTCCTCCCCATGAGTTCTGGCTCGGAATTTTCTTTCTCCTGCCCGCAATAATTTGTGAAGCAAATCACTGCTGCGGGATTTCTCATGGCCATTATCAGGCCTGAACCCCCATCTGCGATATCAGCAACCCCTCTGCTATCATTATAACTTGCAGATTCGATGCCCCTGCTATCCATACGCCACTTCTCCCCTACATCCACGGGGATACACTCACACCGCGCATTCTTGACCCCTCCATCAAAATAATGACGGGAGCCCGGTAATAATATAACTCCAACCGAATATGGCCGGCGGCGAGTCGAAATCCGAATGCGACGAAAGAGTTGCCAGGCTCTGGGCGCGTCTGGGCGCGGAAAAGAAGGAGCATCTTGATTACAATGGGTTGAAAAAGGGTCTGAGGAGGATCGATCACCGTGAGCTCCTCCATGACCTCATCCCGTGCTCTTGTTGGCGCCTGACTCGCAGTAATGGTGGTGCTAACTATTTTGCGCTCACTAGCTCTAAAGAATGCTGACACTATGCTGCGGAGCATCTTCCGGTCGGTCGACTACAACGGGGATGGGATCATAGAGTATTCCGGTAAGATCACACGTCATCGGAATCGTGACGAGTCCTGATACTCGAGCGCCTGCCACCAACTGGTGATTTGATCAACCTAATACTTCCTAGAATTCCGGTCTTTCGTCGACCGTGCCGAACTGGAGCTATGGCAGCTCTTCAAAAGCATCGATCGCAACAATAACGGGGAAATTGACAAAAGCGAGCTCAAGGCCGCGTTCTCGAAGGCGGGCGTCACTGTTTCCAACTCCAAACTCGATGAGTTTTTCGCAGACGTGGATACGAATCAGGATGGTGTTATCACTTATCCAGAGTGGAGGTGAGCATACCTCACGGGACATCGCTCGTGTAGCTCGCTAATCGGTTCCTGTCACGCAGGGACTTTCTTCTCTTTCTGTCCGGTTACTCTTCCTACGACCTGCACGCCGTTCTGTCATACTACAGTGCCACGGGAAATCTAAACCCGGAAGGAGATGTCCACATCAACGATCTGCAGGGTTTAGGTACAGACCACTCGTTTCTTAGACGTTATATTTTGGCCATCAGAACATTTTTGCACAATATCTTCCCAGCGCACTCTTTGACAGCCCTCTTCCCGTCAGCCCATGCGGAAGCTCCACAGTCCTCGTTCGCGAATGATACCTCCGGCTGTGACGGCGACCTAGAATTGGAGTGGCTGCCCATCCCCAGGACCGTCGCCATGTGGATGTCCTTTCGATATTATGAACAGAAGTTGACCGAGAATACTCCTCAACTAGGTTATTTTATTGCTGGTGGCATCGCGGGCGCCGTATCCAGGACAGCCACTGCGCCATTGGACCGTCTGAAAGTCTATCTCATTGCGAAGACCGGATCCCCATCCCCCGCTGTCACTGCCGCCAAAGATGGAGCTCCGCTCAAGGCCGCTGGGAGAGCTTCCAAGTCCCTGGTTGTTGCACTGAAAGAGCTATGGAAGGCTGGGGGTATCCGGAGTCTTTTTGCTGGTATGCGACATCTTCATAACATATGAAACACGCTGACGGGAAAAGGCAACGGGTTGAATGTTGTCAAGGTCATGCCTGAGTCGGCCATAAAATTTGGAGCCTATGAGGTTAGATTACCTGTCGAGCACGCACACGGTATAGATGTTTAATGACATTTTACAGTCCGCGAAACGGGCTTTCGCTCGCCTCGAGGGTCACAATGATCCCAAGCGCCTCAAACCCACTTCACAGTTTTTGTCTGGCGGATGTGGTGGAATGGTTGCTCAGTATGTTACCAAGGTATCACTCAAAAGTGACCATCTAACATAGTTGCAGGTGCTTTGTTTATCCTCTTGATACTTTGAAGTTGTAAGTGTTCAGTCTCCTGCCTCTGCCATACTTTCATGTGGCTAACATATCGTGCCAGCCGAATGCAATGTGAAGTCGTCGAAGGTGGCTTAAAAGGCAATCAACTCATAGCGGCGACAGCCCGAAAAGTGTGGAACAAGAACGGCATTTTCGGCTTCTTTCGTGGTTTGCCGCTTGGCCTGGTTGGAATGTTTCCTTATGCCGCCATTGATCTGTCGACCTTTGAGTACCTAAAACGCACCCTCCTTGCTCGGAAAGCTCGTCAACACGGCTGCCACGAGGACGACGTTCCTCTCTCCAACTTCACCACAGGTGCCATTGGCGCTATTAGCGGAGGTCTTAGCGCGTCGGTTGTCTATCCCTTGAATGTTCTTCGAACGCGGATGCAGGCACAAGGCACCGTCCTACACCCCACAACCTACGACAGCGTCATGGACGTTGCCCGCAAAACCGTTCAAGCTGAAGGCCTCCGCGGATTCTACAAGGGGCTCACGCCGAATATGCTCAAGGTCGCCCCCGCAGTGTCTATCAGCTACATTGTCTACGAGAACTCAAAACGGATGCTTGGGCTTAAGTAGGCCGTTTCGCCTTGGCATTGGACATTGCGGTTTGTCCTAGAGCGACTCAAAGGAGACTTTCGTTGGCCGTATTAAGGAGAACGCCGAGAACGAATGCCAGAGCAAAGAGCAGGGCCTTCACCTTTGTTTCAACGGCTGGAGCACCAACCTCGAGGTGTCATATCGGCTCCCGGGCCCCTTAAATCATCGAATTCGCCACCCGTCGGCACCTTAACTCGTCGACATCGCTCAATTCCGCCACATGCACAATTTATCTTCTTGTTGGGTCCTTAAAAAGCGTTTACCGAGATACCCTTGAACCAATTGATCGCTTTCAGTGCGACATCATGGTTCTGATTATGGAAATCCATCTACCCATTTTTGTGTTTGCTAAATTATATGCAAATACGTTGACCTTGTTCCTACTATACTCGTCACCTATCTCTTGCATCTTACTCGCCGACCTTCGAAATGCATATGCTTTAGATAGCTAATCTCTTCGATTGTTGTCAGCGGGGCATCAATCATCGTTTCCGAAGTGGTTCTTTTTGGCACGGCTTTTATTGCAGCAAATCTACACTCGCATGGCAAGGCGTCCTGCGATAAAGCATCATATGGAGTTTTATTTTTATTTCTTTCTTGCTAACCCATATGTACAATTAGATTGCCCGCAGAGTGAAAATTTTCTCTATCTTTCATTTGTATCAAATTAGGGGCTTGTCGAGATACTTGTTAGGATAGAATATATAGCTCATAGATAGGCGGATATCTGATTGTTTCTTTTTGTCCCTTCACTGCTAGACAAGCTATATTAGAAGAAAATATATAACGTCTCGGAAGGCTCGATCCTGGCAGTACCCAAACAATAAACCAAATTCATAGCTTATTCACAGCATTCACCTCCTCATTCTTAGGGAGGATATCTGGCGTCGGGCCCACAGGCGTAATGCCAAAGGGGTTAATCTGCGAATGACTCTTCGTGTAGTGCTTCTTGATATGCTCAAACTGCGTCGTCTCCTTGAACGCCGGAACATCCCAGTACAGCTTTCTCAACCAAGCATGGATAGCCGGGTATCCAGAGCGGATATCCCGGATGTTGCACTTGAAGTGCTGCACGTAGACAGGGTCAAAGCGGACGATTGTGGTGTAGAGCCGGATATCCGCCTCGGTGATGTCATCGCCAAAGAAATACGGCGATTTCGATTCCGCAAGGTGCTTCTCGATCCTGTCGAGGGAGGAAAACAGCGTCGTGACGTTCTTCTCGTACGCCTCCTGGGTCGTCGCAAAGCCAGACTTGTACACGCCGTTGTTCACGTCGTCGTAGACCCATGCGTTTGTGGCGTCGATCTGCTCGCGGAGAGGGGGAGGGAAGAGGTCGACTTTCTGGTATTGGGCGGGCAGGAGGTCGTCGAATTCGTAGTAGAACATGCGGATGATTTCGGAGGACTCGTTGCTGACGATGCGCTTTGTTTTCTTGTCGTAGAGGACCGGGACCGTGAAGCGGCCGGTGTAGTCGGGCTCGTTGGCGAAATAGATGTCGCGGAGGTGGGTGTATTCGGAGTGGATTGGGTCTGGGATTGTGCTTGCGCCGGGGATGTCTTCGTCGGGGGTAGCAAAGCGCCAGCCTATTTGATTGAAGGATCAGTATCTTTTGGATGGGCTATAGGTTTTGGGGTTCACACCTTTTTCGCCCAAGTGCCAGTGCACCGATGTGTATGAGATGATGTCGTCGAGGCCCTTTAGCTTGCGGGCGATCAGGGTTCGGTGTGCTGCGAAGGTGAGCTTGTGATTCTCGCTTGATGCTACAAGCAAGTATACTCACCCCAAGGGCAGGCATAAGAGACATAGAGGTGGTATCGATCCTTCTCGGGCGGAAACTCAGCTCCAGCTTCCCTGGAGATCCAGTTCCGGAAGACCGAAGCCTGGCGCTTGAATTCGCCAGATTTATCGCCGGGGTTCACCCAATTGGTAATTTTGTTGGAGTTATCGGTCTGGAAGCGCCTTGTTTAGTAAAGGATCAAGGCTAGGTGAACGGTAAGATAACTTACAGCCATATTGCGAACGGCGAGTGGTGCGGGGAAAACGTTTCTGACGATGCTCGAGCTTGACGGCCTTGAGAGTAGGCTGAAAGGCGGTATGTGCTGCGTGAGCTGATTGACTCGTTGCAATACGGGAAACATGAAGAACAAAAGCAAGAGGCAGCACAAGGTAGATATATACGAGGCTCGAAGAAAGATGCGGGGAGGCCGCAGACCATGACGTGGATTACGTGAGGGGTCACTAAGCTTGGCTTTAAGCCGGATCGGGTGCTGATAAATGATTGCCTCATCACCACCTAAGACAAATTATGGAGCACGAGTTTGAAGAATGGTTGAATTGAGAATCATCTAAAGGGTACCTATATGGTAAACCAATGTGTAGATATCTTATGGCCGAACAGGGTTATAATTTTCAACGTTCATGGATATTCAGACACTCGTTCTGACCATCACTTCCGCTTCACCATAACATAGGGGATCTCAACATCTTCTTCGGTCTGGTCTTCAGCGGTCACCTCGAAGATAACGTTCCTTTGGTGGTCGGGAATTGGCTTCTTGCTGATGTGCTCCACTAGCTGGCTCATCCTGTTGCAAACGAACATTAATATTGAGGCCATTGATCAGTACACGGTGGTAACTTACTTCATTGGAAGGCGGTCCTTTACCTTGGACGGGCCGTAAAAGCTGGCATAGAGAAGGCTGACACCAGAGCTGACCATGCTGATCTCCAAGCCCAGGTCTGAGAAGTGCTTGAGGAAGTCCTGCAAAGGGATATCGTCCACCTCGAAGCGGTCCCAAATCTGGTCAATGGACACTTCACCCTGTTTGCCCTGGTACGTGGTCTTGGGGCTTGCAATAGGCTCACTGAAGCCAAAGAACGGTAGCGCAAGGTTCACAAATCCATTCTTGTACTGTTCGATGTCATCCTTGCCGTCGATGATCTTCAACAGCTCCATGGCAACCAGACCAGTGACGAGCGCGGTAGTTGTGGCAATGGCGGGAATAATCTTTCCGGCAATGAACTTAGTCTTGTGACGGTCAGCCGGGGAAATATCGTAGTTCTCAGCGCGCAGGTTACTGGCTGCCGTGATGAAGTCGATGTGATGGTTGGTATCATCGTCCTTCTCAAACTCAACGGGGTTTAGACGGAATCCCGCAAGCGACTTGGGCGAAGGAAGGACATCGACGAGTTTTTTGATCTCGTCACTGTCATCAAACGAGGACCCTGAAGGCTGAGCGTTCGGATCAGGGTCGTTCTCATTGGCCTGGATTTTAACACCCGACTTGGGCGTGAACTCCGGGATGATCATGTTATCCACGACCTTTGTATAATATCCCTTATCAGCACCGGGGTTCTTGATACCGTAGTTGAAGGCATGAAGATTGGCGCCCGCGATGACGAATCCGAGATGCGTGGGGTTGGTGCTATCAAACTTCAGTGGTGTGGGAGCGCGCTTCGGTCCTGACCAGAACGGCTGGCCTGTTGAAGTAGTCGAGTCTTTGGGGAAGTTGTAAAGCAGCTGTTGGATGGCGTTATTGTATTGAGCTTCAAACTGATTACGCGCCCACACAATACAATCGTCAAAAGTCAAGGGTTTCTCGGTCACCAAAAAGTCGCGCAGGTGCTCCAAGGTCTGCTTCTCGTTGCCGGCCTGCTTGAGCGTCTGTTCAATGTAGTTTGACTGAGACAAATACATGTTGACAGCCTCTGGAGGCCCAACGAAGTATGTTTGGAAGAGGTCTCTGGCCCAAGCAATTGTATGCTCAATCCGGTTGGGGAAACTCTTGAGTGTACACATGGGGAACGATTTCTCAGGGGGATCTTGGGAGCTGGAGTAAGATTCAGTAATACGGGGAAGGACGACTTGAGTATTGCCCTTGGTACCAAGGGTACCACTTTCTAGGAGCGGCTTCCTGAAGAAGACACAGCGACGATCGACGTAAGTTCTGGCCTCAACATTGTCAAGAGCATTTGTGACTCCATCAAGACCCTCCCAGAAATCTTCGTTGAAGATTTCCTCAGTATCAGGACCCACACGGTCTTTGAGCGTAACGATCTTGCCCTCGAGCTCTGGGTTCATTGCAATAACTGCAGCCGAAGCACATTCACTCTTGAGCTTGCCGACATCTTTGGTACGGAAAAGGAATTGGCGGTTGAGGTTGCTCTTCTCGATCTGGTCCATGTCTGTGACATAGATCTTGCCCTTGGGACCCGTTCCTAGACCCATCATAGCCCAGTTCTTCAGCGTCTCACATCCAATAGCACCTGCACCGACCAGGAACTGGTTAAGATTGGCAATCTTATCCTGGAACTCTTTGCCGAACACAGCAATCTGGCCGTCGTAGCGAGTTCCAAGAGGCTTGCAAGTCTCTTCGGAACGAGTAACCGAAGTAGGCAGCGACTCCAACGAGTCGAAGTAGAGCCACTGGTGCACGGGACCAAACTTTCCGGATACTGCCTTGAGGACTTCTTGTGCAACAATGCCTCCGAAGAAAGCAGCCAAGGGGTTGAGGTCACCTTGAGCCTGGTAACTCAGCTCTTTAAGGAGCTTCTCGTCTAACTCAACCTTCTCTTCTTGGCTAGATGCCAGATCGTTCGCGATCTTCAAGAATTCCTGGGCATCGATCTCATGATGGGGACGAGGGAATTGTCCCTTGGTCTCCGCAAACTTGTGGAGGGCTTGAACACCAATGTGAAGCTGCTGAGGACGGTCGAATTTGGCAAAGTCAGAGATCAAGAATTCCGGCTTCTTGATTTGTTCGGAAAGCGGCTGAAAGTCAACGAACTTGGGCATCTTGACCTGTGTAAACAGACCACCACCCTGGTAAGCACCGAGGCCAGACACGTCGCCAATGGTGAACGAGTAGGGGCCCTTGACGGTGATTTTTCTAGGCGCACTGTTGTTCAGGCCTTCCATACCCTTGACTTCGGTAAAGGTGACAAAGTCACCGTCCTCTAAGCCATGACGAGTCTCGTCGAGCGCGGAAACGAGACCCTCCTCAGAGATGTCGGCCACGATTCCACCTACAGGCTCTTCACCGGTGGAGTCGCCAACGGTAAAGTTCTTCCCAAAATCGTTGAAGAGGTACCCAAATAGACCGAAGGTATCCGCTATCGTGAGGTAAATGCCATTCTTGTGGCAAAAGTCCGCAATTGCCAGCTGCTCCTTCAACGGGGTAAGGGTGAGGACAACTGCCTGGTAGCGCTTCAGTTGTTCCAAATCATCCGCTAGATTGCTGCCTTCGTGGATTGTGACCGGGACATACGAGTTCAACTCGGCAACTCTAGGGGCGGTGACGTCGGCACGCGGCTTGCCAACGTCCTGTGGTTGAAGGAAGAACTGGGAGGAGAGATCGGAGATAGCAACGGGGGCAGGGTCGTATAGGGTAAGCGATTTGACACCGGCGAGAGCAATGTTTTTGGCTAGAAAGGTTAGAGTCTGGACGTGTAGGGTCGATAGCAACTATACTCACCAATCTCGACACCCAGACCTTTCAGACCAACAACGAGGACGTTCGATGAGCCCATTCGTTTCATGGCTTCATGTCCAAGAACATACCTAGCAAAATTAGTCCCCTGTTGAAAGATGGGTATCCGTAGGGCGCTCACAGCTGTCGGCTGTACAGGGACTCATCGATCTCGCCATGCTTGATCTTCTCGACCGTGTCCAGCGTGGGGGTATCGACCTCCATCTTGGAGTCCTAATCTATTTAGCATATAGATTAACACTAGTAACCAGACCGAGCATACCGTCATGGCCTTCTTCTCCGGTCGAGTTTCAGACTCGGCAGACGCTCTTCGCTTTCCCGGCTTCGCAGCGTCACGAACTGGAAGGTCGGAGGAGGTAATGGTGAAAGTATGGAGATGAAAGCCTTGCGCTGAGCAAGACTTTCAAGCACTGATGATTTGTGAGCTCTCAGAGCAGGCCCAGGAGTAAACAGCAGCGGTGAAGTCCGACGGCGGGAGGAGCTTGGGGAGCTCAGAACGCGGGGTCGGAAAGAGGGAAGATGAGGGGATTCTATAGACGATCTCGAGGAAGACGAGCGTGAGAAAAATCCAGAGAAGCGACAGAGATGATAGTGTGAGCGAGGTATGAGTTGAAAGTTTATGATGCGAGGCGAGAAGGTGATAAATCATTCAAGACAAGCTGAGTCGACGTAATTGGAAGAGGGGAGCGAGTTGAGCGACTGACTAATTTATGCCTCAGGCAGCAGTATTTCTTGCCTGATGTACCTGGTGATGTGGCCCGTGCCACCTCGCCCTGTTGAAGCAGCATTGAAGACAGGCAGGTTTGTTGTCGTCTTGTTACAAGGTTGCACAGTGATTGGGTCTTAGGCACCTTTATAGAAATACCCATTAGGGTCTGGTTGAAACAAAGTCCTGTAAGTGGTCTTTTTTCAGATGCTGTGGTGATTATTAGCTGGTGGTCTTTGCATCCCTGCCCTGCATACAAGCAAAATCCACCTGTTCTAAGATCGCTTTGTGCGGTCATGGTCCGTAGTATGATATGGTCATGTCCAGGACTTGATTGTTTGCTAGAATGCTAGGTCCGGCCATAGGTATAGATGATGTCTATTTTCAAGATAGGTACCTTAAGTGAATGTTATGGTCTAAGTCCGTAGCATGGATACTTGGTCAGAGCAATTTGATCATATGCAGGTTAGAGAGTGCAGCTCCCTGGGATAGCTTTTCTTTCCAATATTTATTGGCCCCGGACACTCCCCTCTGTTTCTATTCATGCCACTAGAATTGGCATGAACAGGACAAAGAAAAGCATTGGCAGCATCTAAATGCGCAAGTTTTACGACTCGCTGAGAGAGCCTGTCAATGTTGGCGTGCGGGATCTATGTAGCAGGTTATGCTGGAGGAGCTCGATCAGACTCAAAAAATTTTAATTGATGTCGCCGTATACAGTAGGTCGCCGAGATATCATGGAAACGGGACAGATGATGGTGTAGGAGTTTACTGGTTACCGACCGATTTGGGACATCCTTGCGATTGGCATTGAGGAGAGCAAACAATTCAAAGCAGACGAGACGCTTGATAACCCGTGGCCTGTTTTTTGCATCTCGGACTTCTCACTTCACGTAATCGGCATGCCGAAGCATCGGATACGGTAATCGGATATAGACACAGATTAGAAAAGCGTTTTCGGCCCGAAACCTCCCAGCGGTAGAATTCCGGCATGCTTATACTCTGCTTGATAAGAATCTCGAAATTAAAGATTTGTTAGGGTCCTTCACCCCCTGTGTCCCTCCGATTGGCCAGGGGAATTGGAGATTATCCACGTCTATAGGGCGGCAGCCGCGGAAGCCCGTTTTATGGTGTCAATGGACCCATTTTCATAGAAGATTTGGTGCTTCATAAGCATGACAGATCATATTTGCCAAATTGCCTCAATATGGGACCAAGCATCACGAATCTGTACCTGCAGCATTTGACAGCAGTGTGGACACTTGATGCGATGTATAAAAGAGCCCTGTTCTGCCGTCGATATCTGTACATAGCAAACAGAACAGTCGTCGAATCCTGATATCTCCTGGTATAGGCGAAAATGTTGATTCCCTCTATTGTTCTTGGAGCGTTGTCTCTGGGAGCTGCGGCAAAGGTTCAGCATGGCTCGCCCCCGAAGTATGATTTCGTCGTCGTCGGCGGAGGGACCAGTGGGTTGGTTGTCGCCAACAGGCTCTCAGAAATGAACAATATCACCGTGGCTGTCATCGAGGCCGGAGATTCCGTTCTCAACAATTTCAATGTCACTTATGTCCAAGGTTATAGCTTGGCGTTTGGCACTGAGATAGACTGGGCGTACCAGACCGAGAACCAGACATATGCCGGAGGACTGCAACAGACTATTCGAGCCGGAAAAGCTATCGGAGGTACAAGCACGATCAATGGTATGCTCCGCCTTTATCTTTTGCACCAGACCATTACTTACTTGAGCCCCTCGCAGGAATGTCCTACACCCGAGCCGAAGACGTGCAAATCGATAACTGGGAAGTTGTCGGAAATGTGGGTTGGAATTGGAAGAATCTCTTCCCATACTATAAAAAGTCGGAAGGGTTCGATGTGCCCACGAAAGACCAAATTGCGCATGGGGCCAACTATGACGCCGATTACCATGGGAAGAACGGTCCATTGAAGGTCGGTTGGCCCACGTCAATGACCAACAGCAGCGTGTTCCCTGTACTCAACGAGACATTCGAGCAACTGGGCGTTCATTACAACCACGATTCCGAAGGAGGCAAGATGGTTGGATTCACGGTGCATCCCGACACAATCAACAGAGAAGCGAATGTTCGCGAGGATGCTGCCAGGGCGTACTACTGGCCGTACGAATCCCGCTCGAACCTGAAGATCATTTCAAACACGCAAGCGAACAAGATCATCTGGGCAAACACCACCCAAGGTGAAGCAATTGCTATTGGAGTTGAGGTTACGGGTCCCCGTGGTGTGGAGAAGATATATGCTTCCAAGGAGGTCATCTTGTCGGCCGGAGCACTGAGGTCGCCAGCACTCCTTGAATTGTCCGGCGTTGGGAACCCGGATATCCTCCATCAGCATGGTGTGCCTGTGAAGATCAACCTCCCGACCGTGGGCGAGAACTTGCAGGATCAAACGAACAATGCTCTCACCTGGGAAAGTAATGATCACTTGACTGGTCTCGCAACATTCTCCGCTTTGCCCTCGGTCAACCAGATTTATGGCGACAACGTCTCCGCCCTGGCATCGTACGTTGAGACCAACCTCGCGGGCTACGCAAAGAACTTGTCAAGAGCCTCCAACGGCGTGGTGAAGGAATCCGATCTTCTGGAAGCTTTTAAGCTCCAGTACGATCTCATTTTCAAGTCACAGGTTCCATATGCGGAGATTGTCTTTGCTCCTAGCGGGAACTCGTTTGCCAGTGAGTATTGGCCGCTTCTTCCTTTCTCGAGGGGCAGTGTCCATATTCAATCGGCGAACGCCTCTCAGCCCCCGGCTATCAACCCGAACTACTTCATGTTTGAACAAGATGCCACCGCACAGGTCGAAGTGGCCCAATTTATCCGCAAGGCTTTCGGAACCGCGCCACTTAGTAATATCGTGGGAGATGAAGTTTCTCCAAGTTTAGATGCTCTCCCTGCGAACTCGTCAAGCTCGACTTGGATGAACTGGGTTCATGAGAATTGTAGGTGTCTTTCGGTCGAATCCCGGAACATGTTGCTAATGAACCATCAGATCGACCCAACTATCACCCCGTCGGAACTGCTGGAATGCTTCCGCGAGAGAAGGGTGGGGTGGTCAGTCCTGAGCTTAAAGTGTACGGCACCAAAAACGTCCGAGTGGTTGATGCTTCGGTCCTGCCTTTCCAGCTTTGCGGGCACTTGACGAGCACTTTGTATGCTGTGGCTGAAAAGGCTTCAGTTTTGATCAAGCAGAGCCACACTGCATAGGCACCATTTTGATTTGGCCTGATGGATGCGAGGTGTTAGCGGGATAAGGTGAAAATAGAGGGAGTAGAGTATTTGTGTACATTAAAAAGCTTAGTAATTGAGAATATGCACAGGCATATTATTGTGGTTCCCGCAAGAGTGCGCTTGTGATTCCAGGAAGCGGGCAGAGACACTGCGTCCGAGGTCTGGCTTTCCTCTAGTATGTACTTACCGGCAGCTACGGCTGACCTCTGATCGCCCATGAAGCATCTACACACTCCCTCATCTGCAGCAATTGCGTTCACAACTCCTTGTGGGTAATCAGATCTCACGCGTCACGGTCCAATAGCTCGGCGGTCCGGAATATAGCTCCTGAGGACAGTAGTCGTGCTTTCAGCCCACTTATATGTGTCGATTCGAGATCCTTGGGAGTGGGCTTTTGTACTGGCAACGCCGTGGCTCAGAGCAGAGTAGAGATCAGCCGTTCCGCTTAGTGTGAGTGCCCGCGATAGTTCTACGCCAAACGCCGCCCTGAACTAACCCAGCCCCAGCGAACTTCAGCCAGGATGCTCCACGAGATCCTCCTGTCGCTCTCCGGCCAGCAGTCGTCTCTCTTTAACCTCCAAACAGAGGAAGATGCCGTCTTTGAAGAATCTTTTCCGCTCCTTTCGCCTCCAGAAAAAGCCCTCCTTGCCTCCCTCGCCCGTCTGAGCCGTCTTCACGCCCGGCTTCGAGCCCACACGGCCTTGATCTGTTCCTCACACCCCTCCGTCATATGCCGAGCCGTTTCCACCGCGATTCGAAGTCATCACCTCGGGGCGTTTCAGAAGAAGATCCTCGACGTGGAGAAGGCTATACTGGTTGAAGATAGTGGTTATGTTGGGGGTTACGGAATTGTGCCGTTAGCGACGGTGGTCGGCGAGTTCGCTCCGTGGACACGGCGATTGGAGTGGCTTTGGGGGGTTGTGCGCTTCATACAACCAAATACCAAGAAGGAACACACCCAAAATTGCACAGGCGCGGGGTTGATAAACCATCTTCGCGGCGAGTCACAAACTGGTTATGTTGACATTGAAGAGATCGTACTACATCTGATCGGTGCTGCGGAAACCGCCTGGATGAGGCAACTATCTACATGGCTGCTTTATGGTAACCTCCCTATTCTTGGAAAGGGCGATTTTTTCATTCAAGAAGCCGGAACGACGGAGAACGACGGATCTGCCGCCCAATTCGCGATCCATACCCGACTCATACCTCAGTTTGTCTCTTCGCATACCGCGGCATCGATCCTATTCATAGGAAAGACCTTGAACCTCATCCGCGCCAAACGGGGGCCTAGCGGACACACATCAGACACACTCCTCTTAACGTCACCCGTTACCCTCCATGGCGAACACATCAGTCATCTCGCTGGGTTGAAGTCACCCATATCTGCCTCGAAGCTGTCTAACGCGGTCGACTCAATCCGAATATCTCTGTCCCAAAGCACACTATCCAAGCTATTGCCGCTTCCTAAGCTTCTGGAAATACTTTCTCTTCTGCACGATTTCTTACTTTTACAACGTGGTGAATTTGCCACGGCCTTAGTATCGCATGCTAATGCTCGGTTACGAGAACGCCAACTGAAACCAGAGTCATCTGGTGCCAGAGATTTATTAAACAGTGTCGATGGCCTAGCCATCAAAGAAGGTGACGTGGCAACGACCCTGAGCAATACCTGGGCGGAATTGTACTCGTTGCAAAATGAAGAAGACCCGGTCGATGATGAGCTCGACCTCGCGAGAGAGCTTGTTCGGCTATCACTCAATTCGAAAGTATCCAGCCAGAGTTTGGGATCTTCGCCAGGCGACGCTACGGCTGAACCAGTAGCTGAGACCTCCAGTGTCTCCTTTGACGATCTTCTCTTTCCTATTTCGACATCACTCTCGGTACAGGTGCGCCCTCCGCTAGACCTCTTCCTTTCAGCGGCCGATGTCTCAATCTACTCGAAAATGCACTCGTATCTGTTGGGTATCAGGAGGGCACAGATTCGCTTGGGCGATCTCTGGAAGCACACGCCGCTACGTCGGAGTCACCCGTCCCCATGGGGACCACCTCGGAGTAATAGTCGGTTTGGGCGGAGTAGACTCCAAATGGGTCGGCAACGTGAGAACACAAGAACCGGCCAGATGCGCGCCATCTGGGCGACAAGTAGTGCATCCCTCTTTGTGCTTTCGGAGATAGGAACTTATTTCCAGGGAGAAGTCATTAACGGGTCGTGGCAGCACTTTCGAGACTGGATAGAAGCAGGGGTATCTAACACGGCTTCCCCATCAGGATCGCGACCAGGAACTGCGACCTCATCAAAGGCACGAAACATCCGCCTGGGCGATCAAACTGAGGATGGACCGGATGTGCATCCTAGGCGCCACGACCCAGAGGCTCTCACAGTTGCCCATCGCCGGTACCTATTCTCTCTGGTGCAACTACTCTTCATCAACGACGCGCCTTTCACTGCAGCTCTCCGGGGCCTGCTCGCAAAAATCGACCATTTTATTGCTCTTGTAATCCGATTAGAGAGCATCCAGCGCAATATGGATCTGGAGTCCGATGAGGGCGTAGTTGATGCATTGGTAGATTACGCAAGTGAGGAGCGCGAAGTATGGCACGCACTTGGAGCAGCGCGAGGAGACACTGAAAAAGGCATCAACGAGGTTATTGCCCGACTACGAGATATCGACGACAGCCGGGCAGAGGAGGGACGGATGATGTTCGAACCCTCAACGAACGCCACCAGTCATTCGAATAGCTGCTCGTTTAGGCCGCGCAAAGCAGCCGGGGTCGACCGACTGCTGATGAAGCTGGACTTTGGAACAGCGGGCAATTAGGAGTTTACTTCTGGCGCAGTGGCAAAGCAAGCATGGGACGGTGAATACTGATTAGGACATGATTAACGATATGCATTCTCAGGGGAGCTTACTGATGAACATGTAATGAACAATTGACAGCCAGCAAACCCTGCGTTCTGGAATATTTCCTGATATGTCGTTTTCCGGGATTGCCTGAAGCGGTAATTCCGATCAATGGCCCGCGAAGTCTGCAGGGAACTGACGAAGCTTCGCCGTCGAAATCCCCTGTGGCGATGCATGCGATAACCAACCATTACATTTAGGACCCTGGAGCGCCATGTTCCAAGGCCGTGGTCGAGATACAAGTCAACATGATGCAACTGTCCACTACAAAGTACCTGCGCCAAGCCCGCAAGGTTCACTCGGTTTTTTGACCAAGGCAGGTTCAATACAAGCTCTGACCTCCTATCTCCATGGCAATTGGCCGGCAGCGCTGCCGAACTCAGTCTTGCGTTCGGGGATCCATTGAGGCAGCCCACCATACATGACAGGCCAGACAGACTCCGGGCAGATATAAGAATGACACCACCACTCGAATGCCAAGAGTTCCAGCCAGCGGAAGCAGTAGCCGGCACACTCTCCCCTCAGCTCATGGCATAGCGGTGACATATATGATGTTGATATCTTTCGAAATCAAGAAATCACCTACTCAGTACAGTTCCCTGTGGTGGTTGACAGGGCCGGGGAGATGCAAATAGAAGCCCCATATCCCGTGTGATTTTCCCCATATTCTCGGGATACCCGTTTGATATCTGTGGAACTGGACCGTGCCAACTGGACGTTGAACCGACATGCCTCGACCGACCGATCAGACCTGCCTTACCGTCTCGGGTAATGCGACGCCTGAATCCAAAGCTCACGATGCTCACCTGAGCCTTCTCCTTGCCTTCAGCCCCTTCGAGGCCTCTGCTCGCCCATTCACCGCTGCCCCCTTGGCCGTAGTTCTCTAGTATTTCTTTTTTTATTTATATTTTTACCTTCTCCACAGCTGATCACCTGCGGTAGTCTGCGACGCGTCTCGCGAGCCCGGACTGAGGTCTCTGAGCTCTGGCCGGCGTTCCATGGCTCCAATGCTCGACGCCGACTGGGATTATTGACGGTTGACTTCACGATGAAGGAATCTCTGGAGTGATTGAGCAGTCACGCGGCTTCTAGAATTTTACATTTTTATTTTTTCCTTTATTTTTCTATCCGATATGGGAAATTCTTTGGGGTAAGGTGGTGAGTCGCCGAGGGGTTACGTTCGCGGTGCGCTCGAGGATATAAGCCGGCTCTGCTCAAGGACGTTTTCAATTTGTTTACTGTTAGCAATCTTCTCTTGATTTAATTCGAGAACTTTGACTGTTTTGCTAGCAATCAAGCGAACTTCGTTCCGGTGTTATCTTGACCTCTCTCCTCCTTCGTGACCATACTTAGCCCTACTTCTCTCCATCTCATACTACCTCCGCCTCACAACACAATGCGCAGCATACTCTCGCGCTCTCTTTCCTTGCATTCGTCGCCCCAAATTCGTTCTTCCATCTCAGCCCCAGCGCTAGCATCATCATCAACAACAACATCATGGTCTTGCGTCCGCTCCCCCTACGCTGTGTCCCGCTTCACCTACGCCACAACCCCCGAATCATCCAAAGCACAACCCCCACACCAAACCACAAACCACATCCAGGCGCGCATGCCCACCCTCGAAGACACAAGGCCTAAGCACCGCTTCCCCGAGTTCGACCTCCAAGACCGCGTCTATGTTGTCACCGGTGGCGGAAGGGGCCTCGGCCTATGCATGGCCGAAGCGCTCCTAGAAGCCGGTGCAAAAGGTAAGCTACCTCTACCGTGACTATCCCTACCTCGAAGCACCTTGATGCTAACAATCCCAAGTCTACTGCGTCGACCGCCTCCCAACCCCACACCCCGACTTCGAAGCCGCAAAGTCCCACGCCGAACAAACCCACGGCGGCAGCCTCCACTACCACCGCATCGACGTGCGCAACGCCGCCGAAACAAACGCGCTCTTTGCGAAAATCGCCGCGGAACATTCCCGCCTCGACGGCCTCATCGCCGCCGCAGGCATAAACCACCTGGAGCCGGCCCTCAGCCACTCCCCCGAGAAACTCCACGAGGTCATGGACATCAACTACAACGGCGTCTTCCACAGCGCGACCGCCGCCGCGCGCCAAATGTTCAACTACCAGCAGAAGGGCTCGATCTTGCTTGTTGCCAGCATGTCCGGCTTCATCGCGAACAAGGGGATGACGAGCCCCGTTTACAACTCGAGTAAGGCGGCTGTTGTGCAGCTAGGTCGGAATCTGGCGATGGAGTGGGGGAGGCATGGGATTCGTGTCAACTCGCTCTGTCCCGGGCATATTGTTACGCCGATGGTTGAGCAGGTGTTTCAGAAGGAGCCGGCTGCTAAGGCTGTTTGGGAGGCGGAGAATATGCTGGGGCGGCTGGCGACGCCTGAGGAGTTTAGGGGTGCTGCGCTGTTTGCGCTTAGTGATGCTAGCTCTTTTATGACAGGGAGTACGATGCTTATTGATGGGGGGCATACGGCTTGGTAGGGTTCATCCCCACTGGCTATCTTCCGCTGCTTGGTTAGGTTTTTGAAAATAATTACACATTATACGGACCATCGCATGTGTATACTAATATGGGTGTTGTGGTACTGCCACTTTGAGCGTTCTTATGAATGAGCGTTGTCTGTTTTGTTTTCGGTTCTTTGATCCGGCACACTCATGGTTTGTTCTGCTTTCTGAATAACATTTCGGCTGTTCTTTCAAATCAAGGTTCATCTCGATTGTAGGTATATATCCAAGGTATCTAAAGTAATATAAAGTAAGCCAAAAATCTATATAATATACGTAAACGCCTCCTGTCTACGCTCCCCATCGCCCAAAATAAGAACCTCCCGCTCCCTCTCCGTTCCATCCCTCTCGCCCTCCGCCAACCTAGCGTTCGCCCGTCCAAGTATCCCCCTCAACACACCAGCAAGAATCGCAACAAGCGCCATGAACCCGGCACAAACCGCCATTCCCCTAACATACCACGGCCCATCATCCGCAGGATACAGCCTCGTGCCGAGCAGTGGCCCGCACTGCCCAATGACATTGAGAATTGCAACACTCGCCCCTTTACCCTCTTTTGCGGTACGGTTGTCCATGCTCCACGTGATGATCAGCGTTATGGCCGAGAAGAAGCCTGCGGTTGCGGGGTAGACGCAGATATAGCGGATTGCGATGTGGAGCGGTGGTGAGAGTGAGTCGTGAAAGGACCCTGTTAGCGCGATGGTGAGGTAGGATATTGCGGAGATCAGAGCGTGTGCTATTAGGTAGGGACTTCGGCTGCGGGAGCGGTCCGAGAGGTAAGCTGTGACTAGCACGGTTATGAAGGCGATTAGGTAGGGTGGGGCACTGAGGGCTTGTGAGGTTTGCGGGGTGTAGCCCATGCTGTAGGTTGTTAGCTTGGTGATTTGATGAAGAGGAAGGAGGAAGGATATACTCTTGCAGGATGGTTGGAAGGAAGACGGGCATGGAGCTGAACGCTACATTACAGCTGAAGAACATGAACTGCGCTGGTTAGTGTATACGAGTCAGTCGGAAATGGGCGTGAACATACAGCTGTGATATACGACTTGGGATCAGATAGGGCCTTGCCGACCTCGGCCCAGTCGAATCTCCTACGATTGCCAGGGTACTCGGGCCTAGCGCCGTCGCCCATCCGTAACTGAGCTACCATTCGTTGTCGCGGCTCAAGGAACGCCGCAGTTCCGGGCGAGTCAGGAATCATGAACCAAGCGAAAACTGCGACGATGACGCTGGGGAAGCCCTCGACCAGGAACAATGCGCGCCATGGAGCAATTGGACCGTCGCTACTGGACCTCACAATCAGCCATGCTAGACTGCTGGCAAACGACGAGGCTAACGGAGCAGCTGAAATAAACAGCGCGTTTCGAAAGGCGAGCTCTTCGCGCTTGTAGAATAAGGATAGGTAGAACGGAACGCCTGGCCCAAACGCCGCTTCTGTTACCCCTAGTACTGCACGAAGAAAGATCATGGCTTCGAAGGATGTTGCGAGTGACTGGAAGGACGCTACAAGGCCCCATCCGCATACGCAGAGCGATATGTAGACATGAGCCGGAAAGACACGGTAGAGCAGGGTCATCCATTCAAAAAGGATGTAGGTGATATAGAAGGCTGTCAAAAGCCATTCATACTGTGATGATGACAGGTTCAAGTCCTCTGTAAGACCAGCAATCTTCGCGTTTCCGATATCTGACGATGTTAGGACATGTTCGCACAAGGAGGTTTGGCTGGCTTACTTGAACGGTCTAGAAAAGAAAGTAGATAAAGGAGGGCGAGAAATGGAACAAGTCTGCGGTCAAATTTCTTGACTACCTGTTTCTCCTCAATAGGCGTATACTTTGGCACTCTAGGCCGATGGAACTTGGGTTGCGCTTCATCGTTGTAGTTGTAGTCCTCGGCTTCGTCTTCGGAGAATAGGTCTTGTACAGTGCCAAAATCGGTCTGGAGTTTCAAGGAGCCACTTCTGTGATGTCTTGGCTGTTCATCGACGGAACCGTCTGACATCGGAGTGTATGCGGTATTTGATGTTGACGAGCTTTCAATAGAGGCTGGCCCCGCCAAGGAGCGGAAGGGCGCCATTCTAGAGATAAATACGCGTATGCAGGCTAGATACTCATATCTTATTGCGCGAGATGGCTAGAAACAGGACGAAAAGAAAAGAAAGAAAGAAAGAGACGTGGCTAAACAAACGATTATTAGAAGGAGGGCAGCGAACGACAGAAATAGGAGCATGGGCCAAGATCCGGGGGATGACCTTGCTGTGTGATCCGCCCCGTTCCCCCTCGTGCCCGGTACAGGCCAATCAGAGCGGTGTTACCGTACAGAACAAGGATCCACCCGGCTACCGTCTCGTAATGGAAAAGCAACAACAGCCCCGGCAAGCATCAAACACGAGAGAATGAGAGTAACAAAACTAATGTACACAATTCTGATTCCAAACATTGCGTATTCACGCCCTGTCAAGGCACTAGGCACTGTTGTAAGAAGCCGAGAATGCCTTGTCATCAGCTTTAAGCATGAGGACGGTACGAGTCGACGATGCGACGAGAACGCTTTTCGCCTCTGCTCTCACTGCGTCTCTTGCTTCTGCTGCGGTTAAAGTGGTACTGCCTGCTCCAGTTGCCCGTGTCGTCGTCAAAGTGGCGTTTACGGCCACCCAGGAGCTGGGCTGTCTTGTCCCTTGCTATGGCAAAGGTATGCTCCAGGTCCGGGACATAGCAGTTATCAGAGAGTCCGTTGGCATGAAAGTAGCGAAGCGTGTTCTCGGCTGAGTCGCGGAGGAAGCGGACTGCGCTAAGGCTTTCGAACCCGTCTCTGGTCTTTGTGTTGAAGTAGTCTTCTTTGGCCTGCTGGTAGACCTCCAAGAGGCGTGCCACGCGAACGTCATCCTTCAGTGCCTCGCTGCTAGGATCCAAAGGTGCGGCGTGTTTGATGTTCTCGTCGTCGTAGGCAGGGGAGTCGGGGAAGTAGCGTGAGTACTCGACATCGATGTTGAAGGGGGAGGAGGGCGCCGCCTCTTCTTCGCGCTTGAACTCCTTGCTGGGAGCGGCGACTGCGGTCTCGCTGTGCTCATGGTCGGCTATGGCTATGAACGTATTAGACGGTAATTGTCCCATCTTTGAAGGGAAACTTAACATACCCTTGTTCAAGACATTCTGCACTTCAACGTGCTTAGAGACCGTCTCTACACCGTCGGATATGGGTGCAATCGGAACGATTCCCAGAAACTCAGTCAAGTAGAGCTCCAGCGCACCCGGATCAGTTGCGCTCTCTCCGTAGTTGGAGAGAATGAGCAAAGCTCTGTCATAGATGGTCACTTGGCAGTCTTCGAACTCCTGCGAGCGGCACTTGGAGAGCGCCACCTGCCGGCGTAGAGCACCAACGAGGAGAGAGTATGTATCCGCATCGTTGAAGACTTCGAGCATGACAGCACTAGGAGCGTTGGCCTTGCGGTACTTGCGAACCAGTTCGTCGACCCTGGCCTGCGGGCCATCGCTTCTGATGCGGTCACCGCGATGGAGGGGGCCGGTTGGGACCATGGCAACTGTTCTGGAGGACATTGGATGGACGGTCTTGGGTTATGTGATGATGAAAATAGGGGTGAGAGCTAGAGGAAGGGATACTGCTATCTCAAAAGCGCGGTTGGGGTAAACGGATCTCAGGAATTCAAAGGGAAGAGCGTTTGTAAAGGGAGAAAGGGAAACACATTTGTGTGGTTTGTTCACTGCGACTGTTAGTGAGACAATTATTGCAACCTGTTGCCGTGAGGAAAAACTTGGTTGCTTGGTAGACATGGGCTCGGCATCACAGCTCATTTCCAGCATAAAGACTTTCTGCTTAATGGTGAAAGGAACGCATGCAGCAAGACTGCCCCAAGCACTAGAGATACTAGTATAAACTTTCCAGGAGCATAGTCCTTAAAGAAGGTGACAAAGATGGCAAGTATAGTAAAACCATCTCCTTTGAGCGTTAAAATAGTGGCATCCAGGGGAGAATAGATGGGATTAGGTCTCGCCCACTCGGACATTCGAGGTATGAAAGCTCAAGGCATGGAACTGCCTGGGTCACTGGAAGACCCAATGCAACATTATAGTACGGAGTCCAACTGTAGTAACCTCCGAGGACAATCAGGAAGAGGGAAGGGGTGGAAGAGGCATTCTCAATAGATTCATAATGAATAGCAAAAGTGCGAATCTCAATGACATGCTGGGTTACTTTGCCCTATATTGATACATATAACAGACGCGGTTAGCGGAAATACCGTATCAGCACTTCATAAGCGGGACATCAGCCCATCATAACTCATACTGTACCCATGAGCCAGAGCTGTTGGACGGCTCAGTTTCTCTGCCCCCAGAGCTTCTCAATCTCATCGACAAGTATGTCGACTTTGCTTCCCTCGCCTTCTTTCGCACAGTCTTTCCAGGTGCCGCCGTCTCGGACACACCATACTTTTTCGTCAAGGCGAACAGTGCAGCTCGTCCTTACACCAAGATCCGCACTATGGCGCGCACTCTCCCGGAGAAGACGGATGCCGCTCAACGGTCCGTCCTGGGTAGGTTTATTGGGGTCATCATCTTGCTGGCTGACACATTCGTTCAGGGCATCGAAGTCGATACCATGCTCCAGCGCACACTGCTCGACCAGCGGTCTGTCCGGAATGTCTTGGTACGAGCTGATAAGACAAGTTGCGAACCCGAGATATCGAACGGTGGGTGTTTGACTTTGGGCGGGAGCGTCTTCCGGTTGGAAAGGAAGATTCGCAGCGCAGAGCATGAGCATGTCCCCAATGCATTCGCCGGGGCCATGCATGCAGACAACATCTGAGGACTCATTCGACACGCTACTCGACAAATTAGCCTTCCGTGGAATGAGTCCAGCTGATTTAACTCACGTCGCGATAAACGAAAGCTTAAAATCCACCTTATCGCTGACTCTCTCCATAGTCGGTACAACAAGCTCCCGTATGCAATCATGTGCATCAGGGCATTTGCTCATGATGTGAGCCTCGAATGGTACTCGTTCTGACTCCGTCGAGGCCTGATTCGTAGCGGCCTTTCCGCCATTGGGAGAGAGCTCATCATGCGCCGGCCGAGTATGCTGGTGACATGGGGATATTCTAAACGTGGGATATGCGACGGGAAGCCAGTGGAGAGTCAGCCAAAGGCACGAGATGATGCCGAGGAGGCCGACCAGTCGCGGAACAACGCGGCGGCGTTGCGGAGTGTTTGGAGTCGTAGAGGAAGGGAGCTGGTCCCTATGGTGTAAGAGCTCTTCCTGCTTCTCCATGGCTAGTAAGCCGAGCAGTGGTTTGATGTGGTGGATAAATCAAGGGAGGAATGCGTTGGCGAGAGATGGGTCTCAGATGCGGGGATGACGCCCGCGCTGGGATCCACTGCGCCAGAAAAGTCCGCCGCCCAAAACCAAACACCAAAGCCCAGTTCTCAGATTCTATCCACACTTCAGGATGACTATAAGCGCCCGGGAACCAACAGTGGCGCTTGGTTAATTTAGTTATTTCCACCAACAGAAGATTATCTCTTCCTGTCGAGCCCAGAAACATCCTTCGGCAAATCTCGAAGTAGTTGTTGCGAGGTTCGCCTATCAAATCCTGCATTATCGGCGCCGGTTGATGGCCAAGAGAGAACGATTTTAGCTCAAAGCAAAGACCACGGCTAAATCGAGCTACATCTGATAACTAATCTTTGTGGTAGTATCTGATCGCGCAGGGTAGTACGGCTACTACGGTACCCAGACGCTCGAACATGGCCAAGATCCGCATACAAACACCGGGTTTACAAATCGCACCGGCTCGAAGGAAATCAGAAAGTGACGTGCAGTTAAATACCATACTTAGTACACTGGTGCTGGCGATGGTCGTTGCGTTCTGTGCCGCTGCAGCTGCTGTCGGCTTGAGCAGATCTATCGTGACCAGTCCTTCATGTTTTCCTTGCATCTACACCAGGCTGAAGCACAGACATCATCTCATCGCTTCCCATTCTGGATGCATACTCTGCGGCGCTTCCCCATGATCCTTTAAGTGCGGGATCCGCTCCGTTCTCGAGAAGCCACCGAACTCGCTCTACTGCTCCCGCCCTGACAGCCTCAACGATTGCATAATTGGGAACTTGGTTTCCTCTCTGCGGCCCTTGGTACTGATTGACATCTGCACCATGCGCTACTAGAAGGGATAGAACCGGAATCATACTTCTATCAAAGTCCTTGCTTGGGTTAAAACGGCCAGTGCGCGGATCCCAGTCGGGAGAACAAGCTCCTGCTGCTGCATGCAAAGGAAATCCGTTCTGGATCACAGCGCCGGCATCTAAAAGTATACGCACGGCCTCGACATCTCCCCGATAGGCCGCTTTCTCAAGAGCGACGCATGAGTTGTTGACGGGGTGGCCGAAACGATGTTCCTGCTGTTGACCGAGATTAGGGTTTGCTCCATGAGCCAGAAACCACTTGAGAAGACTATGATCGGTCATGACAGAAGGTAGCAAGACAGCGCCATACATTCCTTGAGGGATTTCTATCAATCATGAAAGCTCGTCGTGTCAGGTTTGTCTTACTCACCTGGAGTATTTGGTGTCCAGCCACACTCAATAAATAGCTCAAAGAGTGGAATCTGCTTATCTCGTGGGGCGGAGAGGATATGCTCTGGGGTCTTTCGAACAATGGGAGCACCGGAAGCAAGAAGATAGCGCGCAACCTCCACGTTACCAGCTTTTACGGCAAGGCAGAGACCATGATGGAGAAAAGCAGGAGTGGATGTACATGTCTCGGTAGAGATAGTGGCCTGTACAGTCGCAGCAAGGCCCACTCGACACGCGGTTTCGAAGTCATTATAGTAGGCGGGTCGTGGTCCAAGGAACTGGGGTGTCTCCGTGATAAAGGTCAAATCATTTGACTCTATGAGAGGAATATCTTCATAGCGACAACCCTGACCCATTACGGCCATCTGCTGGCGATCACGTGGAAGTAATCGCCCGGTTTCTCTTGCACGAGCTTCCTGGTCTGATCTTTCCTGCCTCTCAGCTAGGATCTCTTCAAATTGCCGCTGGCGCCGACGATGCGCAATGGGAAGCCATTGATACGCCAGAGGGTCTGACTTTGATATCGTCTCGAGCGCGTGAAAAGCCTGCACATTGATCGCCCGATGGCCTTGTGTCTGCAGATTTGAAGATGAGTACTCATGGTCTGATAGAGTATCGACAAGCCTGGAGATCTGGGCACGTCTCAACACTGGATCTTGCGCTTGCCAACGCGACGATCCGTCTGACGAAACCTTGGTCCAGCCCGGAGCCGTGGACTGTGGTGGAGGTAGAGGTTCATTGGACATCTTTGAGATAGTCGATTTCATCTCAAGAAAACAGTCGGGAACTTCGACACCGCACGGATCATAAGATGCACGCGCTGGCTGCCTGAGGAACGGAAATCTGGAACATCTCCGATCTGTAATCGACTCATGTCTTGGAAGGTTTTACGCTGACCAGTCATGCAGGCAGCAGTTCCCCTCACCTCAACTCCTCAACTCGAATGGTCTTTGCTGGGGCCACCAGGCCACTTTTAGCCTAGAAGCGCCGGCTCAAGTTGGCTGTCATCGTCTCTCGGCTTCAGGCACAAGAGGTGGCGTCAAATTCTCCGGCGAACAAACTCCAAGGTGTCCGGCATCCAGAGTTACATCGAGCTGTTCTCCAAGCTGGGCCTTGCTCACATGAGGGGATACAACCATATAGATCTCGGTCGACCGTCTCCATGACATGAGCGCATTTTCCTCTTCTTGGATAATGGGCCGACGCGGGAAAACATGAGAGTCGTCAGTCAAGGATCGAGAGATTGATAAACTACTATAGTCTATCGCGGCTCGCGAAAAAAGGAAAGATCCTCAGCTCCGACTTCGGAGAGGGTGCTATGACACATTCAGAGTTTCAAGCTTGACTGAGGCTTACAGCGCCTGGCTCGAGCGACGGCCACTAACCATTCCTCTCACCATTCCTCTTTTTCCCGAGATCTGACAATCAATTGCGCGTCAAGTTTGCTGTGATGGATCCACCTTCCAACATCCATCCATATCGTTGCAGTTGACAATCGTCAGAACGTGCGGGATCCGGCCAAGCCGACAGTCACCTGCGGGGTCAGTTGACTGCTGCAAGCCCGTGCTGGTCAATGCTTCACTCAGAGGAACGGAAGTCGGTGACTAGATAAGGCACGAACCTCCCGGGACTCTGTACTCTTGAGCACGAGTCGCGGCGACTCAGGCAAGCTCGTATTGAGCTGGACAGAACGGTGAGGCTAGACTCTACCTAGGCGAGGATGCATCCCACCACCTTGGACACCCGACTCACCGGTCGATCCACCCAGACCCTGGACGAATCAGGGTCTCAGGGCACAAATTCTGGATTGGGTGACCTTGAAGCCGGCAGTCGTGGTGATTCACATAGTTCTCTGTCACGAGTCCCCGTTGGCCTGTTCTGCCCCAGCCCCACCCAGCTAGCTACCACATGGCAGGTAGCTTGTAGGATTCAATCACGATGATATTATCGGCGATAATATACGGAGTAGAACCTGAAGCGACTTTGTAAGGAAACGATGAAATTATTTCCAGTTGTCTCCAGCAACTTGCGGGCAATTCTGACGTGTCTGAAGAAAGATACAGTTGTACCCAAATAGCCAAGCTGGAGTGGAGTCTATAGAGAATAGATGTAGACTAGCTACACTACTACTGCTCCGTAGACTACGTAAGACTTCAACGGAGAGGATGGGGAAACTCCGGGACCTTCTTCTCCCTGAGAATGCAACGGCACTACTACGGCGAGATTCACAGGTGCAGCACGGATTTAGGATGTCGCCTCCAGTCAAGGTCGTCCCAGACACGCAGGCATCCAGCCGACCGGGCAGCGTCACATCGCCCGGTTGATGGTCGCATTCCATCGCATCAAATCATCCTCTTTTTCTTGTCCCTCTATCTTTTGATCTGGCCCTCCGCGGCCTCTTTCTTTTTTACCTTTGCCTGCCTTCTGCTGCCCTACGCGCCCTCTCTTTCTCTTTCTCCTTCCGAATGGTGGGGATTGTCGCTGGCTGGCCCTGTGGCTTTTTAACCTTCAGCCCTTTCTATAACACGCAATTGCTGCCTTCTTCGCAATTTCCTCCTCCATTCCACCCTGTGTACCACCTTCAACCCTCCTGCCACTACCATCGTCGGGGTAAGTGCAAACATACTGTGCAAGGTGCAGGCCAACGCCCTTGTTCCCTCCCAGTCCGGACTTGTTTTCCTTTCTGCGCGCGCTCTGGCTTCCTGCATGGTGACTGTCACCGTTGTGCTATCCTCCTCCTTTGCCTTGCCGCGGACACACGTCTTGCATTGACATTCGCTGTAACGTCGGGTCTGACCGTTTGTGTAGAGTCGTTGCAGGCCTCCAGACTGCCGCCCCCCTCGAGGATCAGTTCCCGCGGTTCCGACTCGAAGATCCCCCCCTCCCCTCCCGGGCACATACACCACCGCTTAAATCAGACAACCGCATACTGCCAACCTTGGAGAGATAGTCCGCGGGGGGATACATATATACCCGAATAAAAACCCACCATCCTTCGCCTGTGAAGTGAACCTCACAAGACCAGACTGCAACCTCGAAGCAACCCCAGGCTGTGAGTCGCACGGTGGACTTTCGCAATACGCCGGACTGCATCCTACCTCTGCACCCCGCACCACTTCTCATCACAACAATGGCTTCGGTGGACTCAGCGCGTTCAGGGCTACCCACCGTGGAAGAGCACGAGATCATACACGACGACCACGTTGACGAGGACGAGGAGCACGATGAGGACGCTGCGGCGGAGATGGATCCCGCCGCAAGGGCATACCTGGAACACCAGCGCAAGGTTGACGAGTTCTTGTCCCCGCTGTCCCTAGACGAAGCTGTCCTATACAAACTGGCCCGTCGACTGTCGAACGTATACCGGAAGCTAGCTTTAGAATCAGACCAGCAATTCCTCCCCACCCCGGTCTCCAAGCTACCGAGCGGCATGGAGACTGGCCGTTACCTAGCTATTGATGTTGGCGGGAGTAATCTGCGAGTTGCTTTTATTGAGCTACTCGGCGATACAGCGGATCCTGATATGGCTCGCACATCCGCATCGGAGAGGCCGCTCAAGAAGGCGCAGACGCAGCGGGTGAAGAGGACACTTGAGAAAGCATGGCCGATTCAGGAACACTTGAAAATGGACAAGGCGGAGGATCTTTTTGCGTGGATCGGAGACTGCATTGCAGAAGTAGTGGCCGAAAGCTTGACTTCCGATGTGACGAAAGGTGCAGTTCCTGAAGAGCTGGAGATGGGTATCACCTTCAGTTTCCCGATGATGTGAGTGACAGCATTTTTTATATTCGTACTCGTTTTGGTAGGAAAACCGTGTTATACTTGCTAACAAACAACAGGCAAGAATCCCTTGCGGAGGCCACACTCATGCCGATGGGCAAGGGCTTCGCCATTACTTCGGATCTCAACCTTCGAAAGATACTGCTTGCTGGCTACGAGAAGCATACGAGACGTCCAGATGACGAGGAACAACCATCGGCAAAGCGCCGGAAACTCTTCGCCTTGCCGAAATTGAAGATATCTGCCATCACCAACGATACAGTAGCGACGCTCGCATCACTCGCGTACGCCGTGAAATCTTTACCCAACAGCCGCGTCGCCATGGGTATCATCGTGGGCACGGGTTGCAATGCCACGATACCGATGAAACTCAGCGCCCTGCATGAAGACAAAGTAAAGCATGTGAGGAGAAGCGATCCAGATACGTCAGAAATCATTGTCAACACCGAATGGACAATATCTGGTGTATTACCTCCTTTCAAGGAGCTTGGCATTGTAACTAACTGGGACACTGAGCTGGATGCGAACAGTGCACGTCCAGGATTTCAGCCCTTTGAGTATATGACGGGAGGTAGGTACATTGGCGAACTGATTCGGCTCATTTTCATGGACTTCCTGATCAACATCACCGGGGCGTCTAAGGATGCGCTACCTGCAAATCTAACCACACAAGACGCCTTGACGACATCATATGTATCCGACAATGTTGCGCGTGCCCGCTCAGACGACGAACTCGCAGCTGAGCTGACCCGTTCTTTACCTCCAGCAAGTGATACGTGGAAGTGGGACGCTACCTCTGCGGGTGTCTTGCGAAAGGTTGCCAGGGCTGTACAAAGACGATCTGCAGGACTGATAGCGGCTGCAGTTGTCGGTCTATTAGCATGCGCGGAGGAGATAGAGTTAAAGTTGGACAGCCAACAAGGCTCACCACGAGAGTCGCACGCTGCTTCGCCCGTGCATGACAGCATCACGAGTCTATCTCCTCAGCTCAAACCTGCAGCCTCGGCTTTGAATGGAGTTCGGGGCCCGATCGTCCCTATTATATCGCCTACACCTTCAGACTGGCAGTCTGGCCCGGAAGAGCTTGTCGTTGCCTGTACAGGGGGTATAATCCAGCACTACCCCAACTTCAAAGAAATGTGCCAGCAAACCATCGACCGGCTAATTATGCGCACCGGTCCTCAAAAAAGCGGAAAGTCGGTCTTTTTGCGTGAAGCATCGGACGGCGGCGTTATTGGCGCTGGTGTTCTCGCAGGGATGATAGGGAATCGTTGATTCTATCCCAGTTTCTTCCGTCGCATCGGCGATTAGTGAGATTCACCAAGGCTGTACGAGCTTGCTTCATTGTGTACAAATGCACCCCTGCCAGGCGTACAAATGCGATCGAGATAGCACACTCGTGGCCGCCACATTATCCATTCCATTTTGCTTCACCGGGTGTTTTACACAAGGGAGGCGTCATTTGAGCCGGCCGAAAAAGAGCCGAGGCCTTGCTCGCAAGACACGAGTTTGCATATTTTTAAGTCATGCCATCATCGTGTGCATGGCAGCGTTTGATTTTCTGAGTCATGTTGAGAGCAGCAAACTAACAGTGAATGATTATCAATAACTATATGTAACGGAACATATTGTTTCGAACACTCCGCTTCATAGTCTGAGGCTTGCCATCCTCGTACTCTAATCCAGCCACACCACCCTCTCCAGACATCTCCTCGAGCCGTTGGCGTAATTCCTCATCTGCCTGGGCCACGGTTTTGGCTTGCCGCAATTTATGGTGTTCGGATGTAGAGTCCTGCTTGGTCGCTTCCTTCGGCTGTTCGTCATTGCGCGCTGATTTATCTGCTGCAGTCAGCCTAGGCCACTAAAGACTTTACATTTTCCCATACCCGGATTCAGATTCGACTGAACTTGCGCTGTCGAAAATATAGATCTCGCAGCTGTAAATGAGGGTTGTTTAAATAAGGCCCCCACCCTTAGTGATGAATGTGCTATCCTCTGCATCTTGTAAAGTGGAATTGACTCGAAATGAATCAAACAAAGAATTAGGGAGCTGATCTTGCTTAAAGCCTCAATTGAGAGTTGCCCTCGAGTTTACAACACACGACGTAATCGCCACTGATCACGTGCCGGCTATATAAGGTCCACATCTTATCGGAGTCATTAACCATCCCTCATTCAACCACCTCATTGTCGCCGCAACAACGCCGTCAATATGAGCGCACAGGCATACTACGAGCTTTACCGCGGGAGCAGGTACGTTACTCCCTTCGAACCCGCTCACATAGTCTGTTACTGATCGCTGCGTTCCCAACTTAGTCTCGGTCTGTCGTTGACCGACACCCTCGATGACTTGATCAACGAAGGGCGCATCGAGCCCCAACTCGCGATGAAGATTCTCTCCACATTTGACCGCGTTATCACTGAAGTCCTCGCTGAAAAGGTCCGCACTCGCTTGACTTTCAAGGTATATCATTCCCTCGACGATACCCACAGCCCGGCGCAATGCGAGCCGCATATTCCTTACGGTGATGTGTATAGAAAAAGTATGCTGATGATATATATCTGCGTATAGGGCCATCTCGATACCTACAGATTCTGCGACGAAGTCTGGACCTTCCTGATCAAGGACGTCAACTTCAAGCTGGACAACCAGCAGACTATCAGCGCGGACAAGGTGAAGATCGTGAGCTGCAACAGCAAGAGGCCCGGCGAGGCGTGAGGATGGAGGTTTTACGAATCGTCAAATGACACTGGCGTTATTTTCTATTTCTTATGCATGCTGCCCTCCTGGATTTCTGCGCATATGGTCAATTTTATCGGCGTTTGGAGGATCTCTTCATGGCATTAACTGTGCTGCGCATTTCCCGTTTTATAACAGAATACTGATACCCAAATAACAAATAGAGGTTTGAGAGCTTATCACCGATCTTTCCAATCGTAGATTACTGCTCTGATGGTTGTTGACAACTTGACGTATGAACCCCGTAGAGTCTAGGTCGTTCCCGAATGCGGAGCGTGGGGCAACTCTAGATCGCCGCGGCTTCTGCGCGACCTAAAAGTATTTCGCGTTTGGTCCGCATTACTTTAACATCTACATCCGTCCGTGACACCAACAATCTACAACGATCATGAACGAGAGCTCTCACTTCGCTCTTAGATCCAACCCACGCGATCCATCATGCCTCGGACTCTTCCCTGGCTCACCTGTGGAGGTAAGGTGAAGCGTGAGCCGGACCTACCAGCTCCAGCGATAAAGCGCACATCAACTCCGCGCGTGAAAGATGAAACGCCAACGAAGAAGGTGCTTCTTACTCCTAAGAAAAACTTCCTCAGGTCGTGTACGTTGCCTGATGTTCCAGTAGCGCTGTTAGGCCCGTCCTGTCTCTTGCTGACAACCCCGCTGTATAGCTCCCAGTCCACCCTCCTCACCGATCCATCGATGCCCATCCGAAGAGTATGCCGCCCCGCGATCGAATAGCTACCACCTGATACTGACAAAAATGCTAGATTCCTCCGCGAAGGCCTGGACGAGGATGACCTCTATATAATGGTCGAAGACGAATTCTATACCGTCGCGCAAACCTTCACGCAACACCTACACTACGCCGAATACGTCCGTCGCAAAAAAGAAGCGAAACTTCAAAATGCAGATACAATAGCAGACATTGCAAGACCAACTGATGGAGTCACCCGGATGAGCGCGGAACTCACGAAGAAAATCGCTGCAGAGGAGCTCAAGGCACAGCAAGATAACGCGCTGGATGCGGCTCTGGGAAATCAACCGGCCCGCGATCAAGACGCAGGGGACGATCCGGAGACAGAGGCCTCGTGGGCTGGGACGCATTTACAAAACCTTTTGCTTAGTCCGAGGAGGGTGAGGTCGTTAGCTGCGCTGCGAAAGGTTAGGTCTTCGACGAGGGCAGCGGCGGGGTTCTCGCAGTCTTCTGGATTGGGAACTGATAGTGGGTTGGGTAATTCTATTGGTGACGAGGTGCCTGTTGAGAATCGACAGGGGAAGAAGGTGCCTGATCCTGCAGATAAGAATACAGATGACGACGACGATGATGATCTTGATGCTGGAATGGACCAGGGTAGTCCAACGGTTGCGAGAAAGAGCAACATCTCAACGGGCTCGGAACCAATCCGGCACACACCTTCCGCGATGCAACATTCAAAACCGATCGGCCATTCGAGCAAAAGGAGTCTTGATTTTAGCGAGCGTCAGTCGTTGCCGACTACGAAAACAAGTAAGCCACCGGGCCCGGAGCCGCTGCGTCGCTCTGCCTCATCGCACGCTAGCGAGAATCAGGCGTCTGAAGTCAAGGAACAGATAAAAAGGGAGAAGAATATTCCTTCAGGTACCATGCAGGCTAGAAAAAGGTTTGTATTTGATGACTCCGACGAGCATTTTTCTTCAAACTCTGGCTCGCTGCGTCGCTCTTCTTCGTTGCTTCCAACTAGCGAAAGTCGCCTGGTTGGGATGAAGAAGGAACTGCAACCTACGAAATCAAAGGGCGCCCTCTCAAACACTGCGCAGGGTAAACGGAGACTGGTATTCGATGACTTCGACGATTTTCCGGAGCCGCGCAAACCTAGTATACAAACTGAAAGACAACGCCCTCTATATTCCAACACTAAACAGGAAAAGCTCAAGGAGACGGAAACGGCGTCGAAGAAGTCACGACTCAATGAAGTACCAACGTTCCTGCTTTGAAAACCATATTGCGACAAGCCGGTCAATTTTGTCCTCTATATCCACTAAAACAATCCCATGCCACTGGGCGACGGGTATATCAATCCATGTCGATGAGCGGCTGCGGCCGAGCCATCTTGACGCTTAGTCTCCGGACTTGAGTCTTGATTCTGTCTCGCTTTGACGGTTCCTCCTCGATTGCCTTCACTATGGCGTCTTTCTCCAGTGCCGTCCGGCTGTGCAGGGTGATTGCGCTGCGAGAGAGTCAGAGACGATATTCATTATTAGCGAAGACTACATACTCGTCATCGGTGAAGAAAGACGGCAACTCTTCCTTTCGGAAATCAGTTGGAGGCCCCTACACATCAGTTGTCAGCGCCCTACCCGCCAAAAGCTCGCGCTGGCAACTTACAATCTCCATAACTCTGTGTTTGTTCCGCGTAAATGGGCTCTTGACGAGACGGTATATTTGCCGGAAACAATCCATATCGCAGAATGATCGGATGGCTTTTGTTGTTTGCTTTCAATGCCGAGCGAGGGTGATGGTTGAGCGGTCCGCCACTATATACAAACGGACCGATGCAGTCGAGCTGTGAACCGAAACGAGAGTGGACGTATGCTATGCAATGCTGTTCTATCGGGCGGAAAGATATGATATCGAACGAGAGACTAAGGAACAACGCAAAAAGAATCAAAAGGCAAAACTAAACGAAAGACTAAATGCCGAAGCGGTGACTTGGAGGTTGAGTGAGAAAAACCGCATCCTAGGCGTCAGGAACCTCGACGTTATATACTGAATGGAATCTTTTTCCAAGGCGTTTCGAGCGCGACAGAATGGATCTGCCATTCATGGTTCCCGTGCAGATTTAGTGGATCGGCAATTTTGTGGCACGGAGCTAGTTCGACTTGAGGTATGTGCTGGCTCCTCGCTGGCTGGCATTTCCACAGCACATTCTTCTGAGTGGACAGTCTTTTCTTCTGTGCTGTGAGACAAGGACCCATAATTTCGGCGCGAGTCGGCCATCTACGAAGCCGAATGGACAGATACATGACACTTATTCTAGGTGTAAAGCATGATACATTGATAATCTGCAGTACGATTTAACCAGCCTCGTCAGCGTCGGTTAAGGCTAGAATGTTGCACAGGGAAACCGTCGCCCAGTTCGACTACCCCTGTTCCCTTGCATATTACCAACGGGTCCCGGGGTGACACGCATCGCTATTCGCTATTCGCTGCCAGCCGATGGCACCGAATGACAATCTTGCCGAGATGAATGCGCTGGCACCCTGCGTGCTTTGTGTTTCCATGCGGACCCATCAACACGCGAGTGTTTCTGCTCCTTTATCTCCGGAGGAATGACTTTGTCAAAAGTACCTCGCTGTCAAAGAAAGCTGCGTGATGGTTCGATTCGACTCGGGTAGATCGTCCTTAGTGTCTCGGAAAGTTCAAAGCTGCAGTTCACGCCAGGTCCCGTCCCGTACCCTGCAATCTGCCCTATCGGTCTGGCCGACGCCGTTCTGGAACATTTGCTGGACTGAGATCCACCATCAATTGACACATATTGGATGAAACGACCCAGACCCTGGGCCTTTCCTTCGCCGGCGGCATCGTTGCTTGGCTACCGTCTCTGGTCGATCCCGGGGTAATCTTAATCTCAGCAATAGCATGTATGAGTAAGAAAATGACAGCATTCCAGCTTTGATTGTCTCATTCCTCTAGCATCGAAATCAGGGTAAGATTGAGCTCTGATTGGGCCAGCCTTCATTCTCCGGAGATGCTCTTTCCCACCTGCCAAAGAAAGGGCACCTTGCAGCCTACAGGGGTTCAGGTTACCGAGCCATAACGCGTTATGCGCAGGCCCACAGGTCACGAAAGGATAGTGACATGTTTCGCGAATCGTGGACATAGATACGACCCATCGGCTCATACCTATGAAAGATGAGACAGCTCCAGCCTCCGCCCCTTGCTGAGGGGTGCGTAAGGGTCATGTACCTTTTGGGGTGTAGGAGGATTAGAGGTCGATAAGGACTGGTGATTTGCACATAATTGAGTAGTCGTCGGCCAAATGTCCGAGGTTAAACAGCTCCAAGCTCGGCAATTGGAGACCATCACATTTGATGATATGACGAGGTGGCTTTTGAGTTGTTGATTGTTGACACCAGGATCTCGGAGCAGGGTAGCCTTGCGGGGGCCGAGTTGACCCGCTCCGGCAGAGCTGGAGCTTCGCCCAGGAACTTGAACCGTGCGCAGCTTGCATCTAGACATCCTTCCGTTCGGTTGGGATTCGGGACCAACCGTCGCTGAGACGTTTAAACTTTGGCCCTGGAGGGTAGACTCAGGAGTTTTACTTTTGGATATTGCACAGGTGTCGGCTGGCGCGTTTGCTCAATTGCGGTATGCCAATCGATCATTCCAAGCCATCCCTGGCCAGCCACATGAACCGATCCCGTCGCGCCCTGGAGACCCGCCTCGCCGAGCTTGAAGCTAGTGCGGTCAAATGTCCCGAGAGCGACTCTTGGTCCGACCAAAGTCACGGCTGGAGAAGTTACCTGCGGAAATAATCCAGGAGATCTTTCTTCGCTGTCTAGAGATCAACCTCCCTCGAGCTTCTATCTACCTCGCCCGGGCGCTCTCAGACCCTACCATCTATACATGGCTTGTTCGGCTGGCTTTTGCAAAAGCAGATGGCGAAGGGTCAACTTTCTTGACTGAGCACTTCCTGCCCCCATGTGGTGTTGTTGGTCACATTGAGCCTGATGAGCTGAAAGAGCTCCGAACTCGTATCCTCGAGTGCCGGTGGTGCACGCTGCCCCTGATCCGCAGCTGTCAGCTGGCGTTTCTAAACCATGTCATCGAATACAAACGTCCCGAAATCAGCATCATTCCTGACGATCGGCCTCTTCTTGCTGGATTCGCAGGATGGTTCGATAATCTGGAGTCCTGTAACAAGGCACTGAACGGCCAGCGTGGGGAGAACGACTTAGCCCTGCGAGCCAATCGGCCAGGGCACGAACTCGATGGCTCCGACTCTGAATCATCGCACGACTATAACGTTGCAATATGGTTCCGCCTTGGAATCATTGAGATCCATGCAGTGGGGAATAACCAACCTTGTGGAAAGAGCTATTTCGAGCTTCCATGTTGCGAATCCTCCAGTATTCCGGACAAGTTGCTTTGTCCGCCCTGGACAGACCAAAAGCTCGAGTTTCTCCAGTTGATCTCGACCAGAGCGTTCCTCGACAAGGATACCGAATTCCGGCGTGCCACTCGCACTCTGCGACGTCTGATCCGTGATCGTGACTTTGCCACATTCGCGCGGCTCCTGGACCTTCGTGTGCGGATTGAGTGCTACGGTTTCCCGGTTATCTGGCCCACTAGCAATGTTGTGTTCCGAGCGGCACTGAAGTATGCGGACGAGCATGGTGATCCTTTCGTGCGCTTGCTGGTTGAGGAGCGGTGGGAGCATATTGACCCTGAGGATATTCTGCTGAAGGAGAAGTTGCTCAAGAGCTTGCTAGATTCGAGCCATACTTGACCCTGTCAATTGACTGATAGAGGGTTTAAAGGCGAGGACCCTACCCTAGTCTATCCTCGATCTGTGGATTCCTTGCGAGCATCTCAACCGTCCTGCAGGCTCTTCGCGTCAAGATTAAACTCAGCGCATCGACCTTCTTTAGTGGCCTTTTCCTGCTGTGTAGGCAAAACAGGGTCTGTCGTGTTAGCTTGAATTGCGTCTAGCAGAAGCGGAAGTCGTCGATCTGATATGGATGGCCTTTGTCCTTTCAGACATAACCCACTTTCGTAGATGGAAGCTATTTCAGAATATGACTGCCTGTCAGTATTAACCTTACGCAAAAATAAAGATATAATCAATCTTATGACTTCCGCACTGTCATGCCTACAGCTCTGTTGTATAGATCTAGATGATCGGCGGGCGGTGAGCCTCGAAGTCTTGTCTCCGCATCAAATCATGACATCTCCAACTTTGCTTCATTTTCCATATTGAAAATTGCTTTCAAGCGTCCCATTCAGAGGAGCAGAAACTACTTGAAACTCAGGTTGGATACATTGAGCCGACCATCGCCCACAACACTACGGCGCACCTTACCTAGCACCAAGCCAATGCCCTAACGACCTCGAGCCCATCCAATCGAGTCTCGAACACATACCTACAACCGGAAGCGCAAATCTAAAAAGAATAGCAAGGAAGAACATGGCGCACTCCAAACGCAACACCTCCCTTCCCCACTTCACCTCCTACGAGCGCTCCCTCCTCCGCACAGCCTGGGGCACCCAGCGCGGCGTCATCGGCCGCGACTCCTTCCTCCCCTTCGGATCTTGCCGCCTCTGCCTGCACCCCTCACGCTCACCAAGCGTAGCATGCGCCACAAACGGCGATCTATTCTGCCGCGAGTGCGCGATAAACGACCTCCTCGCGCAGCGGAAGGAGATTGCGCGGCTGGAAAAAGAGCGGGAGGAGGCGCGGAGGCGTCTGGAGGAGGAGAGTGGGCGGGAAGCGGAACAAGCGAAGGACAGGGAGGTGCGGGAGTTTGAGATGGTCAGTATGGGGTTTGATGATGGGGGGAATGTGAACAAGAAGAGGAAGGTTAGTGTTGAGGATGATGAGGTTTGGGAACGGGTTAAGAAGAGAGAGGTGGATGTAGGGGGTGGGGTGAAGAAGAAGGTGTTTGAGTTGGATGAGAAGGCTGTTGAGGGTGTTATTCGGAGGGAGAGGGAGAGGTTGAGGGAGGAGATTAAGAAGGAGAAGGTTTGCTGGCTCTATACTTCTCCCGACGTGCTGGGTTGGTTTGCTGATGATGCGTCGTGGCAGTCCGAATCGAACAAATCGGCCCTCCCGTCATTTTGGGTACCCTCTTTGACGCCCGGTACGGATCCGAACGAAATCGCCGCGAATATGAAGGTCAAATTAAGCCCGATATGCCCGGGTTCCACGGAATCAAATAAACACGGTTATTCGCTGAAGTCGCTGGTCGATGTGCATTTCACCGAGGAGGCCGGCGCTGATGGAGCCATGGTGCGGGTGTGTCCGAGCTGTAAGAAGACGTTGACGAATACTGTCAAAGTGATGCGTACGCTACCCTTCTTCTCTGCTCCTATATTCAATGTCTGTACTAATACTTGCTCTGTACAGTTACAAAACCCTGCGGCCACGTTATATGTAAGCCATGCGTGGATAAGTTCATGACGCCGCATGATGCGCCGGACCCGCATGCAACAAAGGAGGAGCAGGAAAGATCGGCTGAGCTGCATGGTCGAGTATCATGCTATGTGTGCGAGACAGACCTGACGCCGCGCGACCCGACCCGGGAGGATAAGGCGGGGACGGGGGAAAAGAAGAAGAAAAAGAAGAAGGATAAGGAGGGGATTCAGCCAGGGTTGGTGGAAATCTCGTCCGAGGGCACAGGGTTTGCAGGACGAGGAGGAAATGTTGCGACGAAAGCGGGTGTCGCATTTCAATGCTAGCCGGACTGCGTTGAAGATCTTAGACAATTTACAGATGATCTATACCAGACAGCAAAGTTTGTATAGAGATGAAATAATACAGAGATGTATGAAGTAGATGTACAAGAAATCCGATCTAAGCCTTCTTCTTCGCATTGTTGAACTCCCTCACCACAATATCACACCTGACCTCCTGGCAAAGCCTCTTTCTCCTCCCGGGGTCCAGCTTGCTCGCAAACTCCAATCCACTCGCCCGCTCAACCGCCTCAAGAGGCACCTCGAACTCAGCCAGGCGCTTATCATTCGAGATCCGCGCATTGGGCAGCACAAACGCCCCCAGCGCAACCTTCCCACTCGGCACACCAGGGCCCTCCTCCGCATAAACAACCTTGTAGAAGTGCGTCGGCACAGCAACATTCGGCGGCGTCCCGATAACCTCATAGTTCACCCTCCACTTTCCATCCGGATCCCGATGCGGCAGATACAGCGGCCCCGTAACGATCCGGACACTGGGGTACCTCTTCGTCAAGTCGCGGCAGAAATCCTCGAAATGCGCCCAGTAGTCCCTGTTGAAACCCTCGCCAACCTGCGGACACATGTTCGTCAACGCGAACGTCCCATCCATCGCCTCCTGCGACCACTTCGCGTCCGCCGCGGGAACCTGGTGGCCGCGGTCATAGCCGGAGCGGAAATAGTCCGCGAGCTTCGCGCGGAAGAGCGGCGGGATCGTGGCGTCCTCGAAGAACGTGCTGTGCTTGCGGTCGGCATTCTTCATGGCCAGAGACGCGGGCGTGATGTGCTCGGCGACCCAGGATGGGTTGCGGGTGCGGCGGTCGTACGCGCCTGCTAGGGGGAGCGAGTGGATTGGGTCGGCGACTGGGCCGGGGAAGCCATATTGATAGATTCCGGCTGGGTCGACGGGGCCGGTGGGTGTTGTGGTTTTGCTGGCGAGGGAGGGAGGAGCGGGTTGAGAGGGAACTGGGACGGTGACCGGCGCTGCTGGGGGTGGCAGAGGTGCGCTTGTAGCGGGTGTAGCGGGCTTCTGCTGCTGGGGGCTTGAGCGCGAGTAGAAGAGGGCTGTGAATCCTGCGCCCGTTGCGGCACTGGCAGCTGCGATTGCAGCGACGGTGGCCTTGGACATGGCTGTCGTTGCGGTGGATTGGGGACTGGGGTGAGTTCGGGGATAAGGAGCGAGAATGGAGACAAAAATGTTGCGGCTTTCCCTTTTGGGTGTTGGGGATGCTTTTGGTTCACCGCCCGGGATACAAACAATGGCAATGTTAGGTTGGCGAGCTTGTTTACTTTACTTTGTCTTCGAGAAAGGAGGGATGCCATTTCATTTATCTCCGATTAAGCTTGATGCTTCTCTTTGGGCCATGGGCTTCAGCTGACCCTGCCTGCTGGCCACATTGACCAGGTCATCCGGGCATCAACAGCGAACCATTCCACCATGCGGACAGATAACGTTCATTCCAAGAATGCTTATTCAGGTCGCAGATCAGGCGCTTCGAAAGCAAGATTCTGAGACCATGGTCGACTTATTTTGTTGTGGCTATTGAGAAACTTACACCCATCTCCGAGCGGCGGGACAAAGGCAGCCAGAGAACCAAACCCAACTATAGCCACACTGGGAGCGCGGACTGTTGGCCGGGCTTCTAACTTGCGGTGCCGGTACGGTGTGCAGCCAAATTGCGAGGTCCAAGTCTGTCTGGGGAAATGCTCAAGCGCCGCTTCGAGGTCACCTTAGAAAACCCATGTGCAATGGACAAAAGTATGGAACTCCAAGGTTAACTTCGATTGCATCACTGCTCTATCGTACGTATCCAAGGCCCAATCTGTCATTCGTGAGATCTCCCGTTGGCTTACATCGTGGAGAAAGTCGGACACCGAATAAGGATTGATGCGTATATCGCCATCGGGGAAGACCTTGGCGTGATGCGACAGCTCTCGGTCGACGGACATCCCACCTCAAGAGCAGCTGAGAAACATAAATAATGCTCTGATACCCCGTGTGCTACAACTATCAAGCCACGCATTGATACGACTGACACCCAAAGCATTTCTATCCCCAAGTGCAGAGTATATATTAAAGGTTAATGTACCCATCCAATGATGTGAACACTGGGTAGATCAGGGCTGATAATGATGGTCTCTCCTAGCCGTCATTATGCGCTTTTCCTGGCTCCCAGCCGCTGCTCTGCTACCCCTCGCGGCCGCAGACTGGCAGTTCAAGTCGCGGACCGACCTAGCTCCTCCTAGGCTGAACATCACCATCCCTGCTGCTCCGGATGTCGAGAAGGGCTATCTCTTCGTTGCACCTTTTGCCGGCTACGCAGACACCGCAGGAGAACAGCATGGTCCTCGCCAGGCGGCTCCCTACATCTACCGCGATGATGGAGAGCTGGTCTGGTCCGGATACGGCTACTACTCTATCTGGGCCACCAACTTCCAGAAGGCGCGCTGGAAGGGCAAAGACGTCCTCTTTTGCTTCGAGGGGGACCACAACCCTGGATACGGTCATGGGCATGGTCACACCACGATCCTCGATCAGCATTACGAAACAATTCGTGAGCTTCGTGCGGGTAATCACAAGTTGACCGACAAGCACGAGTTCCATGTCATCAATGAAGAGACTGCTCTAATTCAGGTCTATCAACCTGTTCCTGCGGACCTCACCCCATGGGGAGCCAGTCCTGAGCAGCAGTGGATCGTAGATGCTATCATTCAAGGTATATCTTGTCTTTGCTTTGAGATACACGAGCTAATGCGCAATAGAACTTGACATCGAGACTGGAGAGCTACTGTTTGAGTGGTCGAGCTTGGAGCATGTTTCTCCTGATGGTGAGTAAATGCGAGATTTACTACAAAGCAGGGTTAACAAGAGCATAGAGGCCATCCTTCCCATCAACCCTGGTCAAGCTGGCTCCGGATACAACTCTTCCGATGCCTGGGATTACTTCCATATCAACTCCGTTGACAAGGGCTCCGATGGTAATTACCTGATCTCCGCTCGGGACGCCTGCTCTGTCCACAAAATAAATGGCACCACAGGTGAAATCATCTGGCGTCTGGGCGGAGTCAAGTCAGACTTTGAACTGGGAGATAATGTCAAGTTCTGCTTCCAACATCACGCTCGCTATGTTCCCAGTGAAGATAGCAAGGAGGTCATTTCGCTGTACGACAACGCTTCGCACGGTACCGAAGACGGCCGCGGCCATGAAGTCCACACTCATCCCTTCTCCCAGGGCAAGATAATCGAGGTAGACACTATTACGTGGAAGGCGACCATCGTCCAAGCCTTCCAGCCTCCTGACGGCCTCCTATCCAAGTCTCAGGGCAGTACGCAACTGCTACCTAATGGCAACGTTATCGTTAACTGGGGCTCTGAGGGCGCTTTGACCGAGTACCGTGCCGACGGCACTCCGATCTTCCACACCTACATGGACTCCGGCTACCTGGGTCTCGGAGTCGAGAACTACCGCGGCTTCCGGTACAACTGGACTGGGCTGCCCAATGAAGCGCCTGCTATCGTCTCCCTCGAGAACGACCAGGGTACGACTGTGTACGTCTCGTGGAACGGTGACACTGAGACCAGAACCTGGCGCTTCTTCAACATTGTCGACGATTATGGGTCTCGTCAGTTCCTTGGCGAGGTCGAGCGTAAGGGCTTTGAAACATCTTTACTCATTAAAGATCATGGTATCGGGCTCGTGACAGCTGAAGCTATTGGTGCTAGTGGCCGCGTATTGACTTCCACCGCTGCTGTCAAGGCCAAGGCGGAGGCGCTTCCACCTAGCTCTTTATCTGGTCCGTCGTCCAATGCTCCTACTTATACTCCGTATGATGGGAACGGAGAGCAGGTTCCGATGGGCCAGAAGGACGTGAGAAGGGTCGTTGGGATGAGTACATGATCTTGAAGGGTAACCGGTTCGACTTGAAATAATTTAGCTGGTTTACGTTGCTGATAGCCCTTTGAACCTAGGTGAGAGACTCGGCGCAATTTTGAGATGAACTACTCGGTTGAAGCTATACTGGTTGTCTCTCATCATGGTGCTTGAACTGTTAGCCGGCTGCCTTGAGCCGATTACCAAGATCTATCAAGAGAAGGGCTGCTCGCGGCCTCTGATGAAATAGGTAGCTCATGTATCTAGCCCAATGCATGGACTAAGGATACTCAATCCGTGGAAGATGTCAGCCAATGGTGGAGTTCGCTTAGTTCGATAAGGAAGCGCTGCAGCGCTTTAACAGCGCTCAGGCGCCTCAGGCAGTCTTAATTAAAATACTGCAACGCCTACCACTAAATTACTCGCCTGTATAACTATAATATTTATAGTTCTTTAAATATTACAAAGTATTAGTAAAAGTATTTAAAATTCTTACCATTTTTAAAAGCTTAAATTATTTATATAAACCTTAGTTAGCTCTAGCTTTTAAATATAATCACGTTTTTTATTTAATTCTCTAGTATTTATATAATTAATAGCTTTTTTTTACATAATATTTAAAGGGCCTTATAATTATAAGCCCGAAGAACCGCTTAATAGTCTAGTTTATTAAATTTTTACTTACCTTTTTTAAACTTTTTAAAGTTATTTATATTTTCTAAGTACCAGCCCTTTTATTATACAAAGGCCTTTTGCAATTAATTATTTCTTATATTTATACCTAGGAAGTTAAATACTAATTAAAACTTAACTTTTATACTTAATCTAAAAGTTATTATAAGCTTTATTACTAGCGCCTTAAATATAATAGTTTTTTTAAAGTCCAGGAAAAACTAGCTAGTATAGTATAACTATATCTCACGCACTATAATTATTATAAGAGTTTAAAAGTATCTTAATTTAAAAGTAACTTACTAGACTCCTTTTTTTAAGCTTTTTTTATTTTTTAAAAATAATATTAATAAAAAGGCATTTAAAATATTTAATTAAAAATAAAACCACACTAAGCATGTTTTTTTAAAAATTTAAAATATTAATAATGTTATATAAAAGTTAATTATGCTTTTTATCTAGTAACTTATTAAAAATAAGCTTATTATAAAGGTTTTTATTAAACTAAAGTAGTAACTTACTCCTACTAATTTTAAAATTAAACTTAAGGCCTTAAATAGCTATATTACTACCCTTATTATATTAATTTAATAAGAAAAAGTTACCTAGTAGCTTTAAAATTATAAGCATGCTTATTAAAAGATTTTACACCTTAAGTAACCCAAGGCTAATAATAAAATAGCTAATATAATATTTTTAAAGGCTATTAATAAATACTTAATAGCCTATGCAAAATATTATATAAATTAATTAAATTATAAAAGACCTAGCAAGACTAATTATCTTACCTTTATTTTTAAGTTTTAATAGTATTTTTTTATTATTAATGGCTTTACTAAAACTTTTATAAAAAAAATAACCTTTACTATACTTGCTAGAAAGTTAGATTAGCCCTTTACTAGTAATTTAAATATTAAAGGTTTTTTTATTAATAAACCTTTTTAGGCACTAATTAATAATAAACTAATTTATTTTTATAAATACAAGCGCGCCGCAGAGTTTTACTATAACTTTATATATTTATATTATTTAAAGTTTTATAAAATAAACAAGGGCCTAAAAAAAATTAATAAAGTATTTAAAAAAAATAATAAATATAGCAAGAAGCTTTAAAAGTTAAAAATTAAGAATACTAAGCTTTTTAAAAATAAAAAAAAGAATACCAAGAACTAAAAAGCTTAGTAAAATAGCTAAAAAAACGCGTAATTTATAATTCCTAAAAAATATTATAAAGCGGCCCTAGTATTTAATATTTTAAGTAATTTAAAACTTTAAAATATTTTTATTTTTAACACCGGTGCCTTTATTTATATTTATAATAATTTTAGTTATTTTACCTCTTTAAATTAATCTTAAGATAGTAATATTTAAGTTAAAAATATAATTATAACTATATAAGGCTATAAATTAGTTCTTATTTATTTAAAAGTATTTAATAAAAAAATTATATTATTTATACTACATAAAGTTATATATACTCCTGGATTTTACCTTAATATTATAGTAATAAGGCCTTTTTAAAAAGCTAAATATACCTAGAATTTTAATATCCTTATTTTTAAGAATAATAAACCGGTCTTCCGTCTTAAAAATTATTTATTAAGCCTTTAAATAATAAAGCTAAAAAAGAGCTTTTTAAAGCTAGAAAAGGCCAACGCTTTAACTTAATAAAAAGTTAAAACTTTAACTTAAAAAGTGTAGCTTTAAAAAGATTTTAAAGCTTTTTACTAGCGCCTAAAATATATTAGTAATAAAGTACTTAAGCATTTTTTTATAATAATATAAAAAATTAATATATTTAATTTTTAACTGCCTAAGTATTATAATACTTACCGGGTTAATTAGGCTTTTTAATAAATATTTAAATAGCCTAAAAAACTAGTTACTAAGCTATTTATTTATATTTATACTAATCTTATTTTTATAAAGCTAGTAATAAATAAAGATTAATAAGTAACTTACTTTTATAATAAGTACTTTAAAATATACTAGGCCTACACTTACTAGCTTAAAAGTAATTATAAAAATATTATTAAGTAATTTATATAATTTATATAAAACTATTATAAAGTTACTTTAAAGTTCCTATTTAATAATAATAAACCTATTTTTAGTAATAATATTTTTAACTTTACTACCTTTAAAGGCATTTTTTAAAACTGGTCTGCTTTATACTTCCTATTTTAAAATAGTATGGCCAAGCACTTTAAAGGCATCTTAATTTAAAAAGCTAAAATAATAACTTTATATAAAAATATTTTGCTTAATATATAGCCCTAGGTTATAAAAGCAGTAGCTTATATTAATAATTAAATTTTTATTAAAGCTATTAATTAAATAACTTTATAAAAAAAACTTACTAATAAAAAACCTTATATTTTAAGTATTTAAACTATTAGGTGTTTCTCCTGGGCAAGAAAATCCTAAAAAAAAGGCCTTTATAAAATAGAGCTAAGGGCCTTACTTAAATATTTTATAGGTTATTAAGCCTTAAATATTTAATAAATCTAGTTTTCTTAAGATTAGCGTGTTAAAGCTTATAAAAATATTATTTTTAATAAATCCTGGCTTTATAATTTATAAAAACCATTTCTTACTATTAATATTTAAATTAATTTTTTTAAATTATTAATTAAGATTTTTAAACCGCCCTCTTGCCGCTGCATTACTAAAAATATAGATTTAAATTTAAATTTTACCAAATTTTTAAAAAAAAAAAAAAAAAAATAAGGGTATTTTAACAACAAGTAAGCCAAGGGTAATAAAAATATTTAAAAATAAAAGTGTTAAAAAAAATAAAAATAAAAAAAGATTTAGATATAAGGTTATACCTGGGCCTAATTCTAGTAAAACTAAGGCCTTTAATTTATTAAAAGGCTTATTATTTTTTCCCACTCTAGACCCCACTTTAAAACCTTACTATTATAAAAATTTTATATAAAAATTAATATTAGCTAGTTTTTTTAATAAGCTATTATAGCCTTTATAATAGGTTACACGCTTTTAAACTTAAAGGAATTTATTTTTAAACCTAGCTAATTAATAATTATTATAAAAAGTAAAGTAAGCCTGCTCCCAAACTCCTATTTATTTTATTACTAAAAATATAAAAAAAAAGAGAAAACTAAAAATTAAACCTGTTATTTTTTTTAAATAGTTAGCTAAATAAAAACCAGCACCTTAAAATAATTAAAAAAACTTTAAGTTTTATTTAGGCGCTTTAATAAGCTACGCAAGCTATATTATTACTATAATTATTTTTAATTTTACTTTTTATAACTACATATAATTTGCCTTTTTTGCTTTTTATTAAAACCCTAAAAAAAATGCTTTTATTAAAATAAACTACTACCTTTTTTTAAGCACTAGAAGGATTTTAAAAACTATTTACTTAAAAATATATTTTTTATAGCTATTAACCTTAAATTAAATAAACTTAAAAAGATAGGAGCATGGGAGGTAGTTAATAAATAAAAAATAGGTTTAAATAAGTTAATCCCCTTATTATAGGTATTTATATATAAGTTTAATATAAATAGCTACTTTTTTAAGGCTAAAGCTTAAATTTATATACACGGAGATTTTAAACTAGTTAACTATAAAAATAATTAAGCAGCTATAGCCTTTACCTATTTTTTTTAAGTTATTATAATACTTATTACCTTTTTTAATATAAATACAAGGTAATATAATATTATTAATACCTTTTTTAATATAGGACTTAATAAACTTATATACCTTTAATTTTTAAATAGCCATAAGCAAAAAAAAAAGCTTTTAAAAACTTTTAAAATTATTTATAGCCTTAAAAAGTCTCCCTGCCTTTAGTAATTTAATTTAGCTATTACCTTATATAAATTTAGCTTTACTATAGTGCCTAAAAAAATGCCTTTTTACTAGTAAGCTAATAATTCTTTTAATATATATAAATAATCTTATTTTTATAAACCTTTTTACCAAGCAAGGCCGCTTTATAATAATTACTTTTAAAAAAAAACTTTTAGTAAAGTATAAGCTTTGGCATCTTAGTAAAGCTAAATAATTTTTAAAAGTTTAAATTTTTTAAAATAGGCCTTAGCGCAAGCTTTAACTTTTTTAGAATTTTTATATTAAAGTTATTATAAATTAATTTTACTTAAATACTATAGTTTAGCCACTTTTTACCCCGCTCCTGTTACCTAGCAAGCTTTATCTAAACTTTAATATAGTTATTTTTAAAAATATTAAAAAAATAAGGTTAAAAATTAAATTTATTAAATATACTAGTACCCTTACTTATTTAAATATTTTTTATATAATAAGCCACTTGTTAAAATACCTTATTAATTTTATAAATTATTATTAACACGTAGTAAATTAACTTATTTTTTATTTTTATAACACACGCTTTTTTACTCTTAAATACTTTAGTTTAAATAGCTTTAAAAATAAGGTTTTTATTAAAAAATACAAGATTTATAAGTTATATTTTAATATAGTGTTTATAAATTACTTTAATTAATTTTTTAGCATAGGCTATATTTATAAGCTATATAAAAATTTAATTAAATAAAAGGCTATAAAGCAGTATTTAGTTATTATTTTTACTACTAAGGTAAAGTTGCTTGCTTTTACTAAGGCCTTTAAAGTAATATACTAATAATAAAAAATTTTTAAAGCCATGTAATTTAATTTTTAATACTAACTTTTAATTTAATATAATAATAAATAAATAATTAATATTTTTATTAATATTAATATATAACTTTGCTTAAAGCTTTACCATGTTAATATTTATAATTTATAGCTTAGGCAGGAAGTTTAATATAAAAACCTTTATATTAAATAAACCCCTATTAACTAAATAATTATAAATAGCCTTATAAAGGTACTTATTAAGTAATAATACTAAGAATTTATTAAAATATTAGGTTTAGTAAATATTTTTAGCCTTATTCTTAACTAATTTAAAAGTAAGTAAGCGTTAAGGGGGCGTGTTAGCTAATAATAAAGTTTACTTAATTTAATAAAAAAGTGTTATAGCGCTTTAATAATGCTTAGGCACCTTAGGTAGTCTTAATTAAAATACTATAATATTTACCACTAAATTACTTGCCCGTATAACTATAATATTTATAATTTTTTAAATATTATAAAGTATTAATAAAAGTATTTAAAATTTTTACTATTTCTAGGAGCTTAAATTATTTATATAAACCCTAGTTAGCTCTAGCTTTTAAATATAATTGTGTTTTTTATTTAATTCTCCAGTATCTGTACGATCAACAGCTTTCCTTTGCACGGTATTCGAAGGGCCTCATAGAAGATATCCCCTGTGCCAAGGTGTAACTGTTCCATATCTCACTCCCTGCTCAGAGACTCGTCCCATTAATGCTCCAAGCCCTCTCCAAGATCACCTTCTCACACCCAACCTGCTCCCCTCCCTCTCCGCTTGCCTACCAATTAACTTGCTTCACCTCCCTCGCCGCCGTGCAAGCCACAAAGCCACTGAATCCCTTATTTTACAGCTCAATGTCTTTCCATTGACTCTGAACCCCGTGGGATATTTCTCGGCCATCTGATCTCCCAGCATAGCCTGTTTGTACACGCTACTCAAGCCGTTGGCGTCGGAGAGCAAGATGGGCCCATGTGAGCTCGCGCCTATCACATTCGGGGTATTGGTGTTATAGAGTCGTCGTCGCCACCAGCGTAGGTATGTAGGGGCTGGGCGAGAGATGAGGACGTGAGGAGGACGTAGTTTGTGTGCCCGTTGAGTGTTATGGTCGAGGAGAGGTAGAGGGTCTGGTTCGTTGTAGGTGATCTTGATTGTAGGTAGTAGTGGTATGGCTTTGTTAGAGATGGAAGGCTTGAGGAAGCAACTGATGAGAATCTTGATGTTCCTAATGCTTTAATGCGAATAGATAAGGAGATATTTAAAGATCATAAAACTTGAGCGCCCTCGGACTATATGGGCAATATATACTTCTGATAAAGTCAAACACGGGCTATTTCCCTAGCACTGGCTCTTGAAACATGCCGGTAAAAGTTTCAAATTCCAAGCATAACCTCTTTACATATACCTTCACCAACAAGTCTCATTTAAGCATTGACAAATGTAAGTTCTGCATATTGGCTGCTCTTCCATAGGGAATCGTTGCACAACCTCTTGTTATACTCTTTTATACCCCACCATGCGCAGCTTACATCATTAATAATACACATAATCACATGCAGGTACAAGATAGTCACGTGCTGATACCGTCCTTATCTTTGTCCCCCGAAATCCAATCCTTTGAGCCTCCGCTTCCAACATCCAACCACTCGTTCCTGTCCTGACCCTGATGCCACTTCGACTCACCTCCGCCCCAGTCTCCGGTATTAAAAAGCGCAAGTCCTCAGCTCAGTCACGCCCCCGTGCGTCCCCCTTCGCCAGCCATGCCCGCAGCAAACCCTCCGTCCGCCCTTCGACACCTGGTGGCGTGAACTCGAAGGCGAACGATATCGAGTTCGAAGATTACGGCCCCCTCGAAGACCTCGGTCTATCGCGCCATATCCCCGAAACCGCACCCGTAGATGATGTCCTCGATGCGATTAAACATACCAAGGAGAACATGTTCGAGGAGCTCCCCGCACGGGCGGGGATGAACAGCACGCGGATCGCGCAGGTGTTGAATTTCAGGCGCTCGCTGCCGCCTCTTGTTTCGGTTGCGCATGTTCATACGATTCTTGATGCACCGACGAAGGTTGAGAGGGAGGTTATGGAGCTGGCGACGGCGGGCACGATAAGGCGCTTGATTGTGCCGGGGAGGGGGAATGATGCGGCGGGGCTGGGGGATTGCTTGGTCTTGACGGAACATTGGGAGGCGCTTGTTAGGGAAAGTGCCTTGGATGATGGCTTGAAAGGTTGGTTTTTGGGTTGATGCTTGGTTTTGAACGTCAGCTAATCTCAGCAGAGAAATTCCTTACAGTGCTTAATCGCATCGGTAATACGTGCGCTATACCGGGGACGGCCTTCTCGAGCGCAGAATATATGGCCTTGGTACGCGCGGGATTCATCGTCTCGTCTTCATCGCTGGCCAAGGGCACATCTAGTGTTCCGTCTTTGCCGAATCTACCGAGCATGGCTCCAACGATGCCGGCTAGTCGAATGGGCTCTAATACTTCTGCGAACGATACAGAGCCGACACTCCGATCCCAGTTCCACACGGCAACATTATTCCTCTCTCTCCCGAACACCGGACCATACCTCAAACTCCTAGGCGGTGGACGGGACCATCTCATCGCACTCCTCAAGAAGTCGCCATCCGGAGAAGCTCCGCTTACCCTTCTTCGAGACCGATGGGACGGCGCAGTCGAGTCGGAGCGCAGTTTCAGCGTAGCGAAACGAGCGAGGGGGGAGTTTGCGGGAATCTTACCAGGCAAGACGAAGAAGTGGAAGGATTTCTACGGCATGAGTTTTCGATGGGTGCTGGAGGAGGCGGTTGGGGCTGGCTTGGTGGAGATCTTTGATACGGGGAGTGTTGGGCCTGGGGTGCGCGCTTTATGATTGTTCATATACCCCGTTCTAGATTTGGTTATGTTTATATACTTGCTCTGGTCTGGTACACTTGAGCGTACTACCAGTTCGATAAAACTACTGAAAAGTGTAAACTAGGAGAGGCGGAAGTATATCCTACAGAGACTCGATTCAGGAACATCTATCAACCGCAGTATAATCAAATAGTTTAATCGGATGTCACGAAAGCCTATCATGATAAATCATCATTATTATGCTAAGACGTAGAGCGTGACAAGCGTGACAATCGTAACCCCCAACCCATAACACCGTCCATTAGGTATCCTTATTAAACAAGCCTACCATCCAATGCATCCACCAACAAAATGAAAAAAAAAGTCATTAGAACATGTCATGCATGTATGTGCAAGAGGAGGGAATTTTCTATCCCAATAACAAACGTAAAACATTACAAGACAAGCCGTGATAATATGCGATCCTAACGCGGATCACTCTCCCACGAGTACCTAGCAGGCCTAGCAGGAGGAGTCGAGGGCATCAGGGTCGCAGACGAGCCCCGCTCATTGTCCTGAATGATAGGGAGTAGACCGAGACAAGCGGGATCATCAAGGTTAGCGCTCCATCTCGGCGGTCTTCCAGGCTGGAACACGGCGGGTGGCTGCGTGATCGCCGCCATGGGCAGCTGCATCTGGGCCTGCTGGTGTTGGCGACGGAAAGCGGAGGAAATGGACATGGAACGTCTCGAGGGCGCAGGCGAAAACGCACGAGGCGAGTAGGGCGGCGGAGGCGTTTCGCGTGTCGCGGTCGATGTGTTACCGTAGCTGCTCGGGAAGGAGATTGCGGAGGAGACGTCTGACGAGGCTTCTTCGGGGCGAGGGTGTGTCGGGTAGGGGTAGTAGGGGTAATTGGCGTTGTTGTAAGGACCGGCGGCTGCTGCTTCCTCCCATGCCAGGCGTTGTTTCTCATCCGTTGTCTCTGTGGTTTGGTGGTAGTTTTGGAGGTGGTGATGGTATGACTCGTTGGAGATGGGTGGGTCGCGCAAGTGAGCCGTGAGGGTCTTTTCCTGCACGGCTATTCCCGAGCCGGAGCACGGAGTGTAAGCCGGGAGCGGGGTTGATGTGTAGCCATCTTGTTCAGGAACATGGTTATCTTCAGGAGCTTGGACTTGATTGGCGTCGGTGTTGCTGTGTGAAACTGGCGCACTGGGGTAGTGGGGTGTTTCCTTGGCCTCTTTGATGGACTTGGTAGGCAGGCAGCAGGTGAGGAGGGTGGAGAGGAACGCCATAGTGCGCGGATTGTTCACTGGTGTTTGCGGGAGTTTCCGGTGGCGTTGTTGACAGATGCAGGCATGCAGGCACGTCTGTTGTTTGGTTTGTAGATAGAATCTCGGTGCCTGAGTGGACACAACGGACTGAGAGCCGCAAGTGGGATTCCTCCACTATTAGAGGGCCTCGGAAGTGTTCCCCGTGGTGGAGGGTCTGTTGCTTTGCTCGATGTATCAGGATAATTGCGGAACCATGGCGCGTCCGCTACCTGCCGAACGAACAAGATGTCAGACTGTCGCCTGGAGAGAGATAAAGTAAAGAGAGGGGGGATTTGGGGAAATGTCAGCTTTTAGAAGCACAATTGCGGCTGTGAACAAGCTGTCCTGCGCCTTAGGCAGATCCATTAAGGCGGCCTGTGATTGGCTGTCGCTTATCGCTATAAATCCCTTGATCGTATAAGTGCTATAAAAGGCTTCCTGTCCATTTATCCATGCCTAGGTGTTTCAAACCATGTGTTATTATAAAAGGGAGTAATTGCTAGGGTCTATCACTTACAAGAATCAGAATATAATAGTTTTAAGTATTAAATATAGTTTACTATCTGCGGATTAGACTATATGCCAATAACCTTATAGTTATAGTTCTGGATGTTATGGACCATGGGCAAGCCACAGTAGAAGAGCATTATTTGAACAGGCGGGTCTCTGTAGCATTATCTGCCGGGCGGTGAGCGTCTATCAACAATTTTTGTTCTCCGGATTTTCCAAGAGAACCCCGCCATTGCTTCTCCCTTCTGCATTCATTCATATAAAAGTCGCTCTTTGAGTCTTTCACTCGTTACGGACATTTACCATGTCCGCTACTCCAGTCGTTTCTATGCCCTCGGACGTCGTGGCCGCTGCTCAGGCGGCAAACCCGCCTCAGATCGCGCCCCATCGCTCCCACGACCCCTCCAACAACCTCAAACGGTCAGACCCTTTCCAGTTCGGCTCTCGCTTTCTCGAGGAGGGTGACGACGTATACGAGTTTAATGCCTGGGACCATGTCGAACCCGACGCCGAGTTCCTGGCGTTTGCAGAAACCCAATACGCAAAGCAGCGCGAAGCCCAAGCCTCCGATTTCGACAAGAAGCGCTTCAACGCCGACCCGGTGAAATGGTGGAATCTCTTCTACAAGAACAACACTGCGAACTTTTTTAAAGACCGCAAGTGGCTGCAGCAGGAGTTCCCGGTTCTCGAGGAGGTCACTCGTGAAGACTCCGGCAAGCAGGTCGTGCTGGAGGTTGGTGCTGGTGCGGGGAACACCGCGTTCCCGTTGATAAAGAATAATGAGAACCCGGAGCTTATGGTTCATGCTTGTGACTTCTCGAAGACGGCGGTCCAGGTCATGCGCGATAGCGAGCACTATGACCCAAAGCACATCACGGCTGATGTGTGGGATGTTAGTGCCCAGCCCAGTGAGGACAGCAATGGCCTGCCGCCTGGTCTGACGGAGGGCTCTGTTGATGTCGTTATTCTCATCTTCATCTTCTCGGCTCTTGCGCCTGAGCAGTGGGAGACGGCTATTCGGAACGTATACCGGGTGCTGAAGCCCGGCGGTCAGGTCTTGTTCCGTGATTACGGAAGGGGAGATCTTGCCCAGGTTCGGTTCAAGAAAAACCGCTATCTGGCCGAGAATTTCTACGTCCGCGGAGATGGGACTCGTGTTTACTTCTTCGACAAGGACGAGTTGGAGCAGATGTGGAGTGAGTGGACACCGGAGAAGGGTCTGCCGGAGTTGGAAGTGCCCGAAGCAGCTGAGGAGGCATCTAAAGGCGAAGAGAGACCTGCCCAGCCCGCTCCGGCACAAGAGGGCGTCTTTGATCTTAAGAACCTGGCGTATGACCGCCGGTTGATCGTCAACCGTCAGCGTAAGCTGAAAATGTACCGCTGCTGGATTCAGGGTCATTTTATCAAGCGCCAATAGCTGTGATGGCAGCTGTTTGTCAACACCGTATAGGCGACACGCCAAACCAGTGTCGGTGGCCCTAACGCCACAGCATACTCCTTCTAGGCCTTTCTAGGCAACATACTGCGCCAGTTCCCGGAGCCAGCGGTCCTAATTGATCAGCGGGACCGTGAAAATAGAGGCATAAAGTGGGCGACTTTAGAAGAGCAGATCAAGAGCCTTTCCTCGCGACTACAGTGATCAGGCTCGGCGGCACATACACCTGGCCATAGTACAGCGTCGCGCCTTCTCTTTTCGCCTTACGTTGTCCACCTCACATATCCTGAGCTAGTCAACAATGATAGATCGACGGATTCATTTCACATCGATACATGGTCCCATATTCGCATTCTGAGTTATATATCCAGCGTTTCATCTTAGCTACATTTGCAATATCATACCACCAGACCGCTTTCGCATTATATCGGATTGGACTCGTGCATCGAGCGAAACCGCTGTATCGTTGAACGTATCATTCTACGGCAAAACGTTTACTGGCAATCCCTCCCCTCGTTGGCTCGTATCCGGAGCAGGCGCAGTATCCGTATGTGTCCCAAGTCGGGTGACGTGGTAGACGAAGAATTTATCGACTTGGATGGTGATGATCTGACCAATTCTTCCCTCAGGCCTTGGAGTCATTCTTTTGAGAATGCCGTAGTTTTTAGTCTCATCAATCCCGACAGCGGTACCGGCAGTTTCCATAACAGACTCCTCCTTCTCCATCATCCAGTGCTTCAGTATATCCATCGGTGGATGTGGATCTTTCCGCTCAAGGTCCTTTCTGCCGCGGCGCGTTTGGTGGAAATACGTCGGAGATGTGCCGGTAATTCGCGTTGTACCGTTTTCGATTCCGACATGCTTTGCAGCTTGCCAGAAACGTCTTGTGCGGAGACATGTCCAGACACACCCAGAATCTGCGAACAACCATATGCACTCGTTCAATAAGTCTGCGGAGTTCGCCCTCATCATAAATCTCATCGGGCTGGTCCTTACACAGTGGACAGTGGATACGTCGCGTTGCGGAAGAGGAAAATACATTGTTTGGCGGCTCTACTTCACTGGAAGCTTGTTCGCCGACTCTCTCTCGAGGCTGAATGATTGGTACGTTGGATATCAGTACGTAGTAACTGAAACTTTGAATTTCACTATATGGTATAGTCAAAAACAATCTATACTACCTTTATTCAGCCGCAACCCTCCTCCAAATCTTCAGCGGCATCTGCCCCGGACTCAAGTTTGTTGTCTCAGGGATCGGCGGGTCCCAGTCTGGCGACGGCAGTGCAAAGTCATATCTATGCACCAAGGAAGCCAACAGAACGGTTTGCTCGAGATAGCTGATGTTCCGGCCAATGCAACCCCTCGCTCCCGTGCTGAAGGGGATGAAAAATGACTGCAGCGACTTGCCCTGTTCGCTTAACCACCGTTCCGGCACATAGCTATTATTGTCCTTGAAGATCGACTCATCGTGGTGAACTACATATGCAGACATACTCACGGATGTGTCTCCAGCCACATAATCCCCTAGGATAGTCGTTCCCTCCGGCGGGGTGCGTCTCGGCAGCCCGAAAATAACAGGTGGCAGCATCCGTAGGCTCTCATCTAGACAGGCCTTGAGGTAGGGCAGATGCTTGACCTTGGAGTATGGCGCGACGATATCATCCTTACCAAGGACTTCATTAATCTCCTCGCGGAGCTTCTGCATACATTGCGGATTCTTCAGCAGAAAGAACAGGACGTTCCTCAACGCAATGGCAGTCGTATCCGAGCCCGCGTTCATCATGATGCTAATCTCGGCGACGAGCTCGCCCATCTCCAGATTGTGAGGCACGCCTTTCTTATCCTCCATCAAGGCGGTAAAGAAGTCGTCGAGCTTCTCACCGGCCATATACCGCTTTAGCCGGGTTGTCGCGCGGTTATAGACGATGCCGTTCCAGTCTGAGTCGAGGCGCCAGAGTCGTCGATAGTACGGTGAGAGAATCTTGCTCAGCCGCTTGAGGACTGGGAACAGATCGTACGCCCAGATGAGTTTGTACGTGACTGTCCCCGAAGCCTCGCGACATTCCCTGAACGAGACCTGCTTCACGTTCCCGTCCATTGACTCAGACGGCACCATATCACTCCCCTGCTCAAGGAACCCCAGATCCTCACTAAGCCCAATATTCGCAATCGCAGCAACAGTGAAATGGTTCGTCCACGAGCGATAGTCAATCGTCAAATCTTTCTCATCGGGGACCTGCACAGATTCCGGAAGAGGCGCCGTGCATTTCCCATCAAAAACCCTAATAAGCCGACTCGTCATATCAGACACTTTATACTCCCACCCCTCCAGGTTCTTAATCGCGTACGCAGATGCCAGGACCTTCCTCTTACGCGCGTGCTCCGCTTTATTCACGACATCTGCCAGATGGGCATGTGAGCCGGAGGTATCAGAATAGAAGCGGTCCTTGACGCATGCCGTGCTGTGCCCGTAGATGTCTCTGATTGCTGCCGGGGTACCGTACGAGAGGGCGTTGGGCCCGATCCGGATGACGGGGTGTGTCTGGTGCAGCTCATGCAGGGCGCGCGAGCGGAAGCCTTTCTGGGAGGCGAGGAGGAAGGGGATGTCGCTTAGCCCGGAGAGGGGGTGGAAGGTCGGATAGCGGCGCAGGTTCTTAGGGTCCCGGATGTAGGTTATCAGTGGGTGGAGGAGGGAGATGTAGATGAGGTAGAGGGGGATAAGGGCGAGGATTGGCTCGAGCATGCTGTCTGGTTTTGGGAATTCTAGTCACAACTTAATGTTTCATTGTTGAGGTGGTGCTTGGGGGTTGATATAGCTTTTTGCCATGGTACACTCCAGTTAGGGCTTGAGAGAGGGGAGTGGAGTGGAGTCGGCGAGACACAACCACACCAAGCTAGCGTCGCCGACTCGCTAAACCCGATCCAGCAATTCTCGGCGGCTCTAGTCGGTTAGGGCAACTGCAGGTGGATCCCAAGGGTCCATCCATCAACCCCACGTTTACCATACCTCCAAGCTGCAAACTCAAACACCTCTTCCAATGCTCGTTGGCCAAAGCTCGTCAATGCGCTTGGTGCTGACCAGTATCTAGATCCAACCAAGCTTGGGCTCTGTGCGGGGAATCGCCGACTTTTCGGAAAATCGAACCCACCTCTGCCACTTCTAGGCACTCTTCGCCGTCCAAGCTTCGACTGTTGGGTCATCGGGCGAACGAGAAATATCAGGTATGATGTCGCCGAGGTGGAAGCCCTGGTGAGTAGCTCTCGCCAATTATTCCTGTTTCTGAATAGCCGACTGAGGATCTCGATCGGGCAAAGCGAGCATTGCCGAAGTATGCATTCTTATCTACGAGTTCTGATGTGTTACTGACATAGTAAATTCTAGGACAGCATGTGAAATGTAGGTCTTGTCTGCCATGGTATCATCGCATGCTGACAGCCCAGGTGTTGGGTATCCAACATGCACTCGCTGCGAAAAGTCGCACCGAGAGTGTCGGCGGGTCGAGACCAGGTGGAGGTTTCGTCATACTACCCATGCCGGTTGTTCTCCAAGCAGGCTCTTTTGGCCGAATAAGGCTGATATATGTTTTAGTGCAGTATGTTGACGAAACGCCCAAGTTTGGCCATACGGCTGTGGATTCAAGCAGCGGAACCCCAATCTTGAACAGCTCGGCCGCTGGCGTCTCACCTCCAACACCGGCTTTTACCCCGTCTCACTATAGTCATATTTATGGCTCTACGCCAGAGACCCTGACGACCATTGACGCTCCGAAGAACTATGGCCATGCCCCCTGGCCCCGTATCAGTCCACGAGAGGCATGTCTCCTTCGGTATTTTATCGAGGAACTCTCACGTTGGGTACGCCACTCACCTCAATATCATCCCCCTTTGAAGAATAAGCCAAGTAATTTATATTGGTAAAGTTCGACCTCACCGACCCGCACAACAACTTCGCTACTTCGATACCGCAGCGCGCCCGCTCCAACCCGATTTTGCTTGATGCCATCCTCGCCGCATCAGCCCGCCACTTTAGCACCCTTCCATCAGACCAAAAGGCGCATATTATGTCTCACTATGGCCTCTCACCATTGCCATCACATATCCATGACTCGAACTCCGAGTTGAGTATCACTGAGGAGACAGTCATTCACTATCATAGTCGTTGCATTGCGGAGCTACGGGTGCTCGCTAATGAGCCACATGCTGTCATGGACGAGGACCTCCTTGCTGCGGTGGTCGTGCTGAGGTTCTTCGAGGAGTTGGATAGTACGTTCACTCGTCCCTCTATACCCATATTCAGAATTTACCAACCAGTGTAAACAGACCCCTTCACATCACCACCCACCGAAACAGCCTTGCACGGCCTTCATGTTTTCCTCCGCGCGCAGGCCTCATCTGCCCTTCTGGTTCCTGGTCCTCGGCAAGCATCATTCTGGATCGGATTCAGGCAGGAATTCAACCTGGCATTCTCGCAGCAGCGGAATACGAACTTGCCACTCGAGATTACGGACTCGTATCTGATTTTCACAGGAGCCGAAGATCATGTCTGGACAAATCGGCTGGTTGTGCTGGGGGCGAGGGTCCTGGAGTTCTCCTATGGTTCCAGCCCAAGCAATGACCTGGAATTCAACGAGCTTGTCCGGTTACGGGACGAATGGGTCGACAAGAGACCGCGATCCTTCGCACCTATCTACACCGAAAGTCCCGACATGGACACCGCCTTCCCCAAAATCTGGTACACAGACGACAGCCACATAACCGCGGCACAAACCCTACTACTTATCAACATCCTCCTCCTCGCATACTCGCCCTCCATCCCACGAATCGGACCATCACGCAGACAAACGCTCGAGTCCATCGACGCACAAATTAGGACAATAGTGCTAGAAATCTGCGGGATGGCGCTGTCAAATCGGCAGAGCAGACCAGCGGGCTTGACGGCGTGCATTGCGATCAATCTATGTGCGGATCGGTTTACGGATCCCCAAGAGCAAAGGGCGCTTATGGGGTTGGTTGTTGGCACGACGAGGGATAGTAATTATTGGCCAACGAAAGAGGCGGAACGGAGGTTGAGGGGGATTTGGGGTTGGGATGGGGATGATGATTGATGACGACCCGTCCTCTCATATGAAGCTACGGCGTATTGTACAATAGACACGTGGAATGAACAATGCAGCCGCTAGTAAAATACAGCTGTTACGAAAGAGCAACAGATACAGATAACAGATGTAGCTCTGTAGCAATACGTGATGACACGACGAATATCAGTTAGATGCGAGAATCCGGAGCGCGCAAACCAGAGAGGTCTTTATCGGAGTGCAACCTTCGAATCTGGGGGCATGGATGGCTGGTCTACTTACTTCCTTGGGGAATATCCAGAATGAAGGATATAGAGTAAGCATGACAGCGGCAGGACTCGAACCTGCATCTCCGCTGGACTCGTAAAAGAGCCAGTCTATGTTACCATTACACCACGCTGCCGGGAAGGTAGGTGAGTAGGGAGAGATGAGGAAGCGGGAGAGAAAAAAAAAAGATACGGAGTAACAGAAGGGAAAGTAGGGAAAGCGAGTAGGACTCAATGATTGGTAATGCAGATTGGTAATGAACCCTAGAAGGTGCGCGAGACCTGCTATTAAGCTTTGCTCCTAACATTACGGTATGAATCACCTTAGGTATGAATCATCTACCGGGCACCGGAAAGAGCTGCCAGAGGATGACATTCCTGCGTTGCCACAAACTTCGAGATTACTTATTAGGCAATGAGTCACTACCACCCGGTAGAACCCGCTGTTGAAGCAGCCGCCTTGGTGGAAGTGATGCCCGGGGGGCGTGTTGAACCTTAAGGCACGGGTGCACGAGAAGAACCGGAACCTTCCTGAGCTGCAACACAGCTGGTGACTCCTGTTCCTGCCGGTCCGGCCCGCATTTAGCTTTCCATTTAGCTTTCTGGAAAGCTTAATCTGTACTCGGCCGCTTCCAGGGCCGTCTATGTTTAGTAATGCTGACATTCGAGGTCTCGCTGAGCTGCAACCTTAATCGCCATCGCAGGCATAAATTCTTCGTTTCCGCTCGCATTCTCCATCATTCCTTCACATCTCTCCCTTCTCTTCTTCTTCCACTTTGCCCACTCTTCCACTTCTCTTCCTTTCCTTCTTCTGTTGTTCTTTGCCTTCTTCTTCTTTTATCCCCTTCCATTCTTCATTCTTTGTTCCCCTTTCATCTTACACTTCTTTTCTTCCTTCTTTCTTTTCATCTTCCCCATGTCCTGGTAGGGTGGTAGGGACGGGCATGGGACATCCCACTTCCACGTCATCACCAGCATCTCTCTCTTCTTCCTCTGCTGGCTCCGTCCTCCTCCAGCTACCTACTTTCCATCCTTGTCCAGCAGGTACGTCATCACTAAGCTCACCTAATCCATTCCCCTTCTCCATA